TTTTAATAAATTCGCTATCGAATAAAAAATTAAAATCAACTGATTAATTTATTATTTTAAATATTTATAAATATTAAATATTATTTTAAATATTAATGAGCATTAAAAAAAAATAATTATTCTCTTTGCTATAGAATATTTAAAAAATAATTTTTGCCACTGTGGCTTATTAAAAGGATTAATTTCGTTACAATGGAAGAATTAAATTTTTTGCTAATATAAATTATTAAAAAGATTAATTTTTTAATAATTATTTTGAATTATTAAAAAATTATTGAAATTTTTTTTTAATATTTAATTGTTCACTAAGAGAACAGACTAATTAATGAAAAGCTTAATTTTTTGGCATTATAAAAATTATTGAAAGAGATAATTTATTTCTTATAAACTAAATTTGGCATATTGGAATTATTTTATTATTATTATTAAAATTTAAAGCCTAATTATGAATTATTCTGCAAGTAACTGCAATATCGCTAAAGCGGAAAGTAATGAAAATCGATCAAATAAGAAAATTTTTGATAGAAAATTGAATTTTAAGCCATAATTTAACTTCCTTGTTTGGCAATTTTGCCATGTTATGTTTCAAAACTCACGCATGAATAGCTCTTTTTTTTGAGGGATTTAGGAGATTTAAAAGGTTAGAAGAATAGGAATAAATAGAATTTTCCAACAAAAATTTCCAAATTTTTCGTCTTTTTTTCTTTCATTTATTTTATTTAAACAATAAAGATATCACATAGTTTGATTATTCCTTTCTCTTAATCGCAATACATTTATTATCAAAAGCGAAATTCAGTGGCTATTCTGATAAAATGATTCTAATAATCAGTGGACGCAAATAAATTGCCTTAGAAAATAAGGCAATTGTTGAAACTAAATGAAGGCTTGAAGATTTTTACTATTTTTTCTCTAAAATTTACCATGCTTATGGAAATGTTTTAATGTTCAATTAGTAATGCGCATTTTATAGAGTTCAACAATTCATGAAAATTCATTATACGATTGCATGATTGCATGAAGAGGTGGAGATTCTGGAAATCATGGAAAATTTCTAATTTTTCTCTTTTAATTCCATGAAATTTGAAAGAGAAAGGCCTTTAAAAATCCTTAGAAATTCCAAATGAATCGAACAACTTGATGCTTTATTACGATTAAATAAAAATTGGCAGTTATTATAAATATGAATCCGAATCGCACCATTACATCGATGAATTTCTCAATGAATAAAAGAATATTAATCGCCTACCTATCATATTTCCCATCTTAAGAACCATTAATATTAGTTTACTTTCATTGGCTATTAGTATAGAAATTTTCATCAGGGAACCACTTAGATAGGATAGAAACATGTTCGATCGTCAATCTCATTCGGATTTGACTTCTAATAATGTTTTCATTATTACCAACAAATTTCGAGGAACGTTGATGATTACTGATTTAGCCATTAAAAAAATTTACTTAAATATAAACTAAATAAATTAAAATATTTAAAATATATTAATAATAAAATAAAAATAGAATAATTTAAGCGAAAATACAAAAGCGAAATACATTTTGTTTTTTTTTTTTTTTGTTTTACATAAATTTATTTTACAATGAAAAAATTTTTATTTTATATAAATATTACATAAAATTTTTTTTTCAAAAATTTTTTCATAAAATATTTAAATTCGTTGATTGATTTTTTGCTATTTTATAAGAATTTATAAGTGAGTTAAATTTCTTTAATTTATCAAATACCAAAATTTTTCTATTTTATAATTCTTCTTTGCATAATTCATTTTTTAGAAAAATTTCTTTACTTTTTAAACGAATTTAAATTCGTTTCATTTTTGTTTAATAGATGTTTTTTATGAAATTTTTCATGAAATTTCAAGATGTTTCATGTGAAACTTCCAAAAAAAAAAAAAATTAGCCTTCCAAAAGTTGAAATCTGATAGAAGAAATCTGATAGAAGATTTATGTGGGTTGTAAAAATGCTACTAAAACGCTATAGCTTGAAGATGAGGATTTTAGCGATTCGAGACATATATATTTTTATAAATTCGCCAACTGTTCAAGTTAAAACGTAGGCGTTTGATTGCTAATGATTAAAATCATCGACGAAAGATATTGCATAGATTTTCATTAAAAAACTTTTTTAAATTTTTTAAAATTGTTTTTAGTACGTTTCATTTCTTATTGTTCTTTATTTATTCGTTTTATAAAAATTATTTAGTTGTAAAATTTATGTGATAATTGATAACTGATAAGTGGTAATTTCTTTCTTTCGTAATTTAAATTTGGTGATAATTTCGAATGATAAAAAAACATGCAATTGGAGAAAATATTTTACCGCAAAAATGGAAAGTAATAGACGTCTTTTGGGAAATTTTTAGGAAAAAATATCGTTTATTTTGCGAAATCTCATAAAATTTAATTTTTTCTCTCTAATTTTATTTTTTAAGAAAAATTCTCATTTCTTCTCATTTTTTTATTTATTTAATCGAATTTTAATCTTTTTTTTATTATTTTGAACCATTCATTGCTCGCTCGGCTGGAATTAAACCCGCTATTAATCAATGAATTTAACGGACAGTGGGCCGCCAATTTGTGGGGACCGTTAAAAAATGAACCATGGCCGTGATTATTAGAAAAATTTTGAAAAATGTTAAAAGGCAGTCGAATTTTGCGGCTTAGTGTAATTTTTAATTTATATTTTAAAATTATGATAATTTTTTTTCGCTGTGCTTCTTATTTCATTTGCTTTGGTCTAAACTTTGGTTTTTAGTAATTTCTCTGGCTTTGTTCGGTGAAATACTTCACCGTCCGTATTCATATTTTTCAGGATGATTTTATTTTTTTATTTGATAATTTTAAATTTTAAAAATAATTTTTTTTTGGGAAATTTTCCTTGATTTTTTTATATTTTTTCTTTTTTATTTTATGAAACTGATTTTTACTTTTATAATTTTATAAAATAAAGCAAATGGAAATAGAATGGCTCAGTGGCTTGTTTCTCAGTTGGAGGCGCCGATGCTGAGGTTCGATTCCCCGCAGGAGTGAACCGAAAATCCGTGTGATGCTGGCGATTCACCTATATTTCTATCGCCAAGGGACTCCCTGGCATATTTGTCCAATGCGACAAGCCAGCGGAGCGAGTTTAACCAGTAATGGTGAAAAATTCTTGAAAAAAAATTAAGCAAATATTTGTTCTATTCAATATTTGAAATATTCCAAGAAATCATTAAAATTTAGTGGATTTATGCAAATATTCATTTACTTTTAGTATTAACTCCTATGCCCTAGTAAGATTTAATAGAGGGATTTTGTTGGACATTAAGGGAATAAATGCGGTTGAATAATAGGGGTCCACAATTGCGCTTTAGGGGATTATTACAGTCCAAAAGGTTCTATTGGATAATATTAATAGAAAGTATTGTGGTAAAAAATTGTTGCGTAAAAAGGAATAGAAAGAATAGCGTAGCGCTTATAGTAAAGAAGTAAAAGCAAATTAATTCTGAGGAAATTGCGGAAACTTAACTAATTCAAATTGGCTTAAATTATTGTGAGAAGATTTTAAAGAGTATTGCTAATGGGTTATTGCCGCAAAGGAATGCAGTAAATTTTCATGGGGTATCGAAACTTTAGCGTATTATTGCGTAGTTGATTTACACAGACGTATACCCATTGAAAGCTCAAACGATTATTTCTCTTCTTTTTTTTTTCTCTCACATGTCTGTATTTCTTATATTCCTATGTTATTTTCTTTACCTATAATCGCTTCTATAGCAGTTCTGCATTCTTTTTTCATTCTTTACGAATAATTGAATAAAATAATGGAGTTAATTATTACTGATTATTTTAAAGGTTATTTATTTATTTCGATTAAGAAATAAAATAATTTTATGAAATTTTATAAAAAAAATTTTTGGCATTCGAGTAAAAAAAAAATAATTGATTGAATGGTTTCTTAAACTAAAGACAGTGTGTTAAGCAAATTCGTTCAGCTCAATTCTGAGGTTTGTCTTTATTGTTTTTCTTTTTTTTTTTCACAATTTTCTTTTGTGCTAAAAACAATTGTAGTGGAAAAAAAAAATTTTTATTGTAGAATAATGATGATTGACGTTTGCTTTTCGAAATTATTAAAATTATTTTTATAATTCTTTTTTTAATGATATTTTTAATAATATTAATTTTTATAATAATGATAATAATATTTAATATTATTTTTCAATAATAATAATATTTTTAAAATAATAATTAAACATAAAATATAATTAAATTAATTAAATATAGAATAATTAATTATATAATTAATTAATTATATTAATTATAAGCTTAAGTGATATGTGATTTAGGCTCGATTCTTGTCTTTTGGTTGAAATAATAAACTTATTTATTAACAAATATTCAAAATTTGAAGATTTTCTTATCCTTCCTTTAATGCAGTTGGCTCTTTGGTGAAAGGATAATACTAACAGTTGATGGAATGAGCGATGTTAGATTTTAGAAGAAAGAGGAATGATAATCGCTTAACGATCTCTTCCTTTTTCTATATTTTCAATTTTTTTTTATTTTTTTAATCATTTAACTGATTCATTATTGTGGAATATATTACTCAAATTGCTTAAATTTATTTCTTTGTGATTTGAATTAGCTTATCGGAAAGATTGAACGGATGCGGAAAGGATTTGAATGAAGAGTGGTCTTCTTTTTCTTCATACTTTTCGGTTTAGTAGACAGCACTTAGCCTATATTTATATGCTTTTATTTTTCCCTTTTTTTAAATCTTTCTTCATATAGTTATCCATCTATATTTGTTTTCATTATTATATTCAGTAATGAATATTCTTCCGATTCTGCGATTATTTGTTGATCATATTTCCTATAAACGGATAAAAGGGATAATTGTTGTGTTTTTAAATTCGTATTCGATATTTGCAGATATGATATTGTTATAATCGAGTTTGAAGTTGGTTTCAGTTCAACGAAAGAAGTAAGGCACAAAAAACAGAATGGGAGTTATATCTTTGAATGTTATATGGGCACCAAAAAATAATGAACAATCTTCGATAAAGAAGACGATGCAATTCGACCCGTCGACACTTGTTTTTGATGCTTGTAAAATTATACGCGAAAAAATTGTAGGAAATAATATTAATCGTTAGTTCTTTCCGTTTTCTATTTTTAAAAGGTAGACCTTTTGAATGAAAAAGAAAATTTAAGATTTGGGGAAAAATGATTCTGAAATTTCCTTGAAGGAATTTTGGAAATTTGAAAATTTGAAAATTTTGATATTTAAATTTTTTCCTTTTCATCAAAATTAATAATAGTACAAAAGATGCTCAAAATCCAAATTTTTGTTACTTGACAAAGGAAAAAATAGCTTTAAAAATTATTTTTTATGAATAAGAACTCAGAAAACTTCAGAGGTAGATGTTTACTTTTTTTTTCTGTTCTCTTTTGAATCTTTTGAACTGTAGTTTTTAGTGATTTTTTTATGAATTGCTTATGTGGGTTTTTAGGGAACAATTTTTTTAGATGATAGTTTAAATGATAGAATATTCATTAATGATTTTTAGCAAAAGAGTTTGGTTTGTTCCGTCTTGAGGATGATCCAACCAAATGCGTTTGGATGGAAAACGGTCGAACCCTTGAGTATTATCTCGTAAGAAATGGGGTAATCTTATTTTTTATTTATTAATTATTCTATTTTCGCTAGAATTTCATTAGAATTAATATTTTTCCAAGTTCTTTTTATTTTGGCAAAGTTTCTGGAAAATTTAAGAAAATATAATTTGAAACAATTTCAAATGATATAATGATATTGAGATAAAAATTTTAATATTGAGATACTTTCATTCTGTTTTTTCAATCAAAGCTAATGAATAAATAAATAAATAAATCATTAATAGATAAATAAATCTACATAATCTACGTAACATTTTAATTAATTTAAGAAATTTATTATCTAAAAAAGGTCCAACCTTTTAATTTCTATGGACCATGTTGAATGAGTTGAGGAATTGCAGTAGGTTACATAAAATAGTACAGTTGAATAATACTATTATTGTATAGAAAAGATAATAAATAAATAAGTAAATGGAAGAAATAAGTAAAAAATTCCATCTATTTTTTGTATTTTTTATGATTGAACGCAAAGGAATAAAAGCACGGAATTTGATCATTTTTTTCTTTTACGAAACCAGTGAATTAGAGGTGATTTCATTTTTCATAGGACTTTTGATTGAATACCCTTGATATAAAGTATCTTTTTTGAAATCAATGAAACAAAATATTGTTTTTGTTTATTTTTCATTCTTTAACAGGATACAGTTGAATATAAAAAAAAAATTCGTGCTCTAAAGGTTCGAATGTTAGATGAAGCTGTAAAAACGGTAATGGTCGATGAAAGTCAACCAGTAGGTGAATTAATGGTGGTCATTTGTTCGAAAATTGGTATAAGTAATCACGAAGAATATTCAATGGTTAGAATTTGACTTTATTTGTAATTTTTTTATTTGAAAAATTATCAAGCAGGACTAATGATATAAGCATTATATTAATAAAAAGGCATTCCGGATGATGCTGGCGACTCACCTGTATTGTTCAAGGGATGTTGCCAAGGGATTCCCTGGCATATTGCCCAATTGCGATTCAAACCAGTAATAGTGAGGACTTTAAACAGACAACAAACAGGAAAATGATAAAGAATTTAATAAAAATTATGATCAAAATATCATGCAATTAAATGCTTGTCAAGCCAAATTTGCTTCTGTTTGTATTTTTGCTTCTCAGTCATTTTATTTATTGCTTTATTTGCGCGGCAGGTGCGTCAATCACTGGATCACGATTGGCGTTCGTCATTGACCTTAAAAGACGAAAGGCGTGGAAAAAGCGAGGAGCGAGGACTTGGGTTTGGAACATTAGGAAGAAATAAAGAGAAAAAAATGGAACAATTACGAGCTAAGCTTCACACTGACGAAGAGCTTTTATGGCTTGATCATGGAAAAACTCTTCGAGAACAATCGGTTTGTTTATAATTTTCTGATTTCTTGATATTTTATAAAAACTGTTTAATCAATAAATTTAAAATCACTTCTTACTTTCCTTACTTGATTATAATAAAAAATAATAATTTTCTTTTTGAAGAAATATTAATTTTTTTACACTTTTTTTACGTTATTATACCTAGATACGTTATTCATTAAAATAATTTGTTTATTTCTACTGAATGATTTTTTTTCTTTATATGTCGATTTTGTTTTTTTAAAATTTGTTCGCACATATATTGGAACATCTTAAATTTTTCTCTTTTTTTGCATGAGGATGAACTAATCAATTGTTGGAATTGTTTTTTCTCACGATTATTCAATATAATATTTATTTTTTATTTATTTATATAATATTTATTTTTTATTTATATATTTATTTACCTTTGATATTCCTCAAATTTTAAGGAAAATTAAAATTACTTTCTTTGCTTTTCAGCAGTTCTACTTATGTTCTCTCTCCTTTCTTCGTTTTCTTAGGTTACTCTGTAGCTTTTTTAGATCAAAGAAACATATCTGTCCTCTCCGGCGAACAAAAAAATACATTCCAAAATACATTATTTTTTTTAGATTGGTGATGACGAAATTTTAATATTGAGAAGAAAATACTTTTTCTCTGATACAAATGTGGATTGTCGCGATCCAGTTCAATTAAATCTGTTATACGAACAATGTAAAGTAGGTGTACTTCAAGGTAATCATCCAGTTACTCGAGATATGGCTTGTGATTTAGCTGCACTACAATGTCAAATACAATACGGCGATTTACAAGAAAGTCGACAGAAAAGTGCAAGTTTTCTTGAGTTAGTTCTTTTTTTTTCTGAAAAAATCATGAAAATTTGAAATAATGATATTAAAGATTTCCTTTATAGTATAACAATTATATCTTTTCGTCATACCTTTCTAAATCGTCCAAAAATCGACTTTACGCCATTTGTAAATGTATATAATTTAATGATCGGAAATTAATTAGTATTAAAATAAAATCGGAAATTTAAATTAGTTAGTATTAAAAATATGGGAAATAGTGGGCTTAATTTATTGAAATATTATATTATATATATAAAAAGGTCGTCCAAAATTTATTTGAAAAAATGTTTCTCTCGGATTAAATTTCTTATTTAGCCTCCGTGAACTTCTACCGAAAGAATATGTAAAATCCAGAGATAATGAAAAAAAAATAGTTGAAGCATATAGAGAGTTAGCCGGTAAAAGTGAATTGGATGCAAAAAGTAAATATGTTCATTTGTGTCGCTCTCTCATCACTTATGGCGTTACCTTCTTTGTAGTCAAGGAAAAAATGAAAGGTTTCATTTTTCACTATTTTTTTTATCGATAGGAAAAGATCCTTTCATCAGTCTTTTTTAACAATTTTTTTGATTATTTTCAATGCTTATTGTGAATATTACTCTTTATTATCTTAGTTTTCAGCCGAAATTTATTTTTTTCACGTATTCTTATATTTCTCTTTCTTCACTTTCTTATATTCTTCATTTCTGTTTATTTTCTTTTATATTCTTATTATGTTCTTTTCCATATATTTTGTGTGCATTGGCACCATCAGTTCATGATATATGCATGGAAAGGTTTTTCACCACAGTAACACCGTTTCTCCACCACTACGTCTGTTGTAGTAGTCGTTAAACTGGCTGTTACGGACCTGGGGTCCAAGCGGCTTTCAGGTATTCAAAGAAGCCTAGTTCAAATTATATATTCTTATTATTCGAAAATTTTTTGATTATTTTATGCAGTTTTATTATATTTTATTTTCAAAACTCTTAGATGGAAGAATATAATAAATATTTTTTAAAATTTTGGAAATATTACTTTGGAGATTTTAATGGCATTTTCATGAGTTTTTATGTCACTTTGTGGTTCGTGAAAAAAAATTTTGACGATCATTTTCATTCTCATTTTCTCCTTTACCACTGTTATTACCAATGTTTGGTTAGTATCGTTATACATCAGATAATGGACAAATAAAGAATGATATTAATATCAGAAGGGGTAGGGAAAAAATATGTAGTGAGTTTTATTGTATTTCAGTCCAGTGAAATAATTTGTTTGGACTGCAACAAATTTTGACAATATTAAGATATTGTAGGAAAAAATAAGTTGGTTCCACGGCTTCTTGGTGTTAATAAGGAATGTGTTATGCGAGTTGATGAAAAAACGAAAGAAGTCCTGCAAGAATGGCCACTGGAACAGGTTCGGCGTTGGGCTGCATCTCCCAAAACTTTTACTCTCGTAAGTTTCACTTCTTTATTTGTTTGTAAACCAAAACTAAATATTTTTATATTTTTTCTCATTTTAGCCGATTAATTTTGTTTAATTAAATGTAAATTTTAAAGGATTTTGGAGATTATCAAGATGGTTATTATTCAGTGCAAACTGCTGATGGTGAAAAAATAGCCCAATTGATCGCAGGATACATAGATATAATTATTAAGAAAAAAAGAACACGTGATCACTTTGGAATTGAGGTGAATTAATGCCATATTCTTTTACTGGTTGATTAGAACTCAAATATTTGCTGGAAGCAATTTCTAAACGTATTAAAAACCAGCGGAGCAAAACTAAAGAGGAATGGTGAACTATTAAACGAACAGTTTTTAATTGCATTAGCTAAAGAATTGGAAGTTTTCTCAGGGTGATGAAGGATCAACCATGCTTGAAGATGTTGTTGCCCCGGCTAGAGCTACTCTAGTTGCTCATGGACAAATTGGCGAAGGTTTTGCAGTGGAGAGCAATGTAGCCATACCAGGAGTTTTAAGAACTTCCATCGAGCCTTCAAGTGGACAGAGATCAGCTATGAATGGTGCCCATTACGGAGCGGTCAGTGGGCAAATTCTGCAACAACAAATTTCTCGAGTTAGAAATAAATTTTTAATTTGTCTGATGATTTTCTTAAGTTTTGCTCGATGTTGATTTTAGAGATTTTTTTCATTTTAGAGATTTATTCAATAAACATAGCTTGGTTCCAGGGCCAACATGCGCAAATCGTTGATTCACAAGAAAGGGCACAACGAGCTTTAATTGGTACAATTGAAGCTTCAATTAAAGCTGTTGAAAAAGCTGAAGAAGAGATAGAGAAGCCTGTAGAAATTGAAATACCTCGACTTACAACTGACCCTGCATCGCGGAGATGGGTTGAAACTAAAGTGGAAGTGGAAAAACAAAAAGTTTTCTATCAACATAATTTTAAATTTTTGATTTCGATCGTAGAAATATATTTTTTGAAATAAATAAGAAACACTCATCGTTCTTTTTTTTGAAATTTTCTGAAATAATTTTTTTTTTGAAATTTGTCCTTGTTATTTATTTTTTATATAAGAAAATTTCTTTCAAATCATTTAAGGTTGGAGATCAACTTGCGCAAATGGGCGCAGCTACTGCTCAAGTTGTTCAATTAACAGCTGTGCCAGATGAGATTGATTCAAAAGTAGGGACTGCTATCGCCACAATTGGCTCGAATATGCCGGAAATGGGTCGTGGTGTACGCGAATTGGCAGCCCTATTGCCTGATGAGAGAAAAGCTGGTTAGTTCTTATTCAAAAATATCTATTTAAAATTATTTAAAATCTTATAACAATTTCTTTTTATGTTTTCAAGTGATCTTATAATGTTTAGGTGATCTTATTGATGCGACTCGCAAGCTCTGTGGTGCCTTTTCGGACTTTTTACATACTGTTAATCCTGAACATGAAGAAAAACGAACAACCGTACTGGCTGCAGCAGGTCGTGTTGGTGATTTTTCACAGGCGGTGATTAATACTCTCGAAGAACCAACCCAAGAAGTTAAAGTATTCCATGATCACCTAGTGCAACGCGCAAAGAATGTTGCTACTTCCACGGCGCAGCTGGTTTTGAGGTATTGTATTTCTAAAGATTTTGTATTACTTTTTTCTGAATTAATTTTTCTTGAAGAAACAATTTTTTCCAGTGATATCTAGAAAAAAGAATGGTAATGAATGCCAAAATCAATATTCCAAACTTTTATTATTTCATGTTTTATTTCTAGCCATTTCGAGAAGTTTCTGGTTTTTTTTTTTATTTTTTCATTTTCGTAAAATTTTCTTAAAGTTCCTGTTGCAGAGCAAAGACAATATCGGCTGAATGTGAAGAGCCTGCTTTGCAAGACAAAGTAATTCACAGTGCTACTCAATGTGCATTTGCAACTTCTCAACTTGTTGCTTGTGCCCGTGTTGTCGCTCCAACGATTGATTCACCTGCTTGTCAAGAACAACTTACAAGCGCAGCTAAACAAGTTACTCGTGCTGTTGAGGAATTGTTGGTGGATGCACAAGCGGCTTGCAGTAAAAGTAGTGGTGACGGTAAACGCTCTTTCGGTGATATACATGGTGCTGCCAGACAGGTTTCATTCTTTTTTTCTTTCTTCTTGTTCTTTTCATTTGAAAAATGTGGATAATCTGTTTTTATTCTAGGTTACTATTGCTCTGGATGATCTTCTTTCACATGTTAAGACATCGCCGAAGTTAATTAAAACTACTAAGGAAGAATACGAAGAATTCGAGCAAGTTTTAAGTCAGTCGAGGCGAATCATCACTCATCAGGTTTATTTAATATAGAATTAAATTTTTGCTAATTTTCATATTCTCTTTTAACTACAGTTTTTTAAATGTTTTTTTCTTCGAAATATTTGCAATTTTTATTCATAATCTTCAGTTATTATTAGTCATCAATTTTTCAATTATTTTTTTATAATTGTCGCATTATAGGGTCCACCGGAAGATATGATTCGTCAAGGTGAAAGTGCAATTCGTCATAGTCGGATTTTGGTTGAGCAAATGGAGGCTGAAGCTGTGCGAGCTCCCGAACAACGTGATCGTTTGCTTGAAGCAGCCCGTTCTGTGGCCCAGGCAACAAGCAGAATGATCGATGCTACTAAGGTTTTTTTCACAATAATGTCTTGCCATTTTTGATTCGGATATGTGAGAACTTCAAATGTTTCAAATATTTCAAATACTTAAAATATTTAGGAATGTCAGATCCGTCCACATGCCGCCGAGTCTCAGGTTGCCTTACGAACTGCAGCTGAAAAATTAGTAACAGTAACTAGTGAAGCCACTAGCGACCAACAATCCAAAAGAACTATGGAACACCTTGAACAAGTAAGAATTTTTTATTTTTTTTATATTTTTCTTACTACATATTTTACATATTTATTTTCATATTCTATGTATTTTTATGGTTTTCTTAGTTTTAACCTTTTTTAATTTATTACTTTTTTCTTTTATGGTGAAAATTGTTATTTAGGCAGCGAAACAAACAGCTGCTGCAGCTACTCAAATGATTGCTGCAGCAAATGCTTCTCAACAATATATTGAATCTCGTACTGTCACTGAAACTTTAGTAGTTGAATGTACTGAAACTGCTGAGCATGTACCACGCTTAATTGCTTCAATTCGTGAAAGTCAAGCAGCAAAGATTCCAAGTGAAAAATTTCGCGCTCAAAGCAATTTGATAAAGAACACAACCCAGGTTGATTTTGTTGTGCCCATTAGTGCGTAATAGAATTCTCTCTTTTTACTGTAAAAATTTTTCGTTCTTGCTTTATTTCAATTAATTTTTTTGTTTTTGCCTGCTTCGTCTTTGTTATAATAAGCTACTGCCATTTTGATGTGATCATAGGTTTTATGAAATTAGGCTTTATTTCGTAAATTACGAATATCAAATAGTTTTATAAATTGTCTATTACTTTCCATGTATTGTTGGCTTAGTCCAATAGTCAATAAATAGGCAAATTACAGAATAAAGTTTTGGTAATATTCAAATATTCGCATTCAAATTTTCAAATTTCTTTGCATATTTTCTTTGAATTAATTAACTGTGATTATAAGTTTCGATTTAAAATTTCATCATTTTTAGTGAAAAATACTGTTGACTGATAAGGCTGAATGCATATATTTGTTATATTTTGTATTCATGATTCGTTGCCAGTGTTAATGGCGGCAAATATAATTAGTTAATGGTTTGAGGTGCTACAACCTGCAACGCGCTTAGTAGAAATTGCGCGACAGACAGTACCATCAGTTCCTGATCAGCATGTTGCCAGTCATCTACAGTCAACCAGTCAACAACTTTCTACTCAACTCGCCGAACTACGAGTAGCATTAAATAATGCGCAACAACTTAATTTTGAAATGCAGCTAGCCCATACTGAAGATCTGATCAAAGAGCTAGATAATGAACTGATTCAAATTGGTCGTGCTGCTCAAAATGCTCAACTTACTGCCGTACCTGGCGAATCAGCCGAAAATGCAACATCGAAATTGATGGGTGCTGCTCGTCAAGTGAGTCGTTATTCAGTTTTCACATTTTATCTTATCGAAAATTTGAAATTGTTCACGGTTCATAAATTTGAAATAATAATTTGAAATAATATCATATAATATGAAATAATATCTGTGAAGTTATCTTTATTTAAGTATTCGCTGGTAATTGTTATTTTAAACGATTTTTTTTTCAGATTTTGTCAAGAAATTTCATATCTAAAAGAATATCGAAATCGGATTTTTATTATTTTTTTATTGAAATTTTTTAATTCACCTAATCTTTTTTTTTAGAAAATATAATCTGCTTTAAGGTTGGATCAACCTTGACTCAGATGGTTAGTGCAGCCACCAGTGGTGATCGACAACATATTGGTGCAAGTGCTATGCAAGCAGCTCAATCGCTGCGTACATTTACCTCTGCTGTTCATGGTGTTTGTGCAACTAGAAGAGATACACCTTTTGATAGGTTGATTTTGAATATTTTTTTTTACATATTTTTATTTCTGAATCCCAGACCATTTACTTATTTTTTTATCATATATTCTTATACATCATATCATATTTATCAGTTCCATCTATTAAATTTCTGAAATTTTTTAAGATTTATTGTAAATGCTCGATCTGTTGTTCATGATTCGGGCCGTATATTCGATCGTGTTCGTGAACATGGCACATCTTCTCAGCTAAATGAAGCCATGAAAACTGTTTCAGTTTCACTTCGTCAATGCCTTTCTTGCCTTCCTGACAATCAGCATGTTGAGCGAGCTGTTACTCAATTGAAAACATTCCGTGTATGCTTTTGTGATGTTTTTTTATCGTAAGTCCTATATAATTTTTAATCTCTTTGTGCTTCTCAAATATGGGAGTATTCCAGAAGTAAGTAAAAAAATTTTAAAATAAAAATGAAACCTAAATTTTATTATTTTAAAATTGTAAAGCACAAGCAAATTTGTGGTTTTTTTAGAGGTTTGTTCCAGACAGAATTTTATTGTAATCTTTCTGCTTTTATCGAAAGGTTTGTTTAAAATCATTTTTTTAGGTTTCGGAAGTATCGCAAACTGTTGATTTGCGTGGAGCTGCTTCACGCTTAATTGAAGCCTGTTCAGAACTAGCTGTAAAATTACATGCACCTGAGCAAGCTGCTGCGGTAGATATTTTCGTTAGATCTTATACAGATTTCCATACAGCCGTTTCACAAGCTGTTCGTCAACAACCAGTAAATATTTAATTTCCCATTTTTTACTCCATCAAACTGTTTTTTATTACATCAAAAAGAATTTTTTTAAAAATCCATTCAACTCTTTTATTTTCAGGATATGCTACAGCGTCAAAAATGTGTTACGTATTTGGAAACCATTCGTGAAGAAGCGGTAAATGTCATCGTTCGCACGCATGCCGCATCAATGGATACTGATAATGCTGCTGTTCTTCAAGCACTTTCTCAATCAACACGGTCGTTAACTGATTCAGTTAATGCAATTGTGGAAAATGTTGGCCGTGAAGCACCCTGGCAACGTGAATGTGATGCAGCTCTTCGTCAGATTCAAGTTGTTTCATATTATTTAAATTAAATTAAATATTTTTACACTGAAATTACTGTATTCTATTTTTCAGTCAGTACGACATATTTTCACGAGGTCAACGTTACCTGTGAACAATGAAGGATATTATGAAAGTTTGGATACGGTGACGGAACAGGCTAAAAGATTAGGAGAAGGTATGACTGGGATTGCACGAAATGCCAAAGGACAGGATACGCATGCTCTCTGTGACAGTGTAAGAGTTGCGGCAAATGCTATATGCTCATTAGCAGAAGGCGCTGCTCAGGTAATTATGAATAAAAATCTATATAAAAATTTTTAAAATTTTCTTGTGCAACAGTCTTATGAAAAAAAATTTTAATCATTAATTTCTGTTCTCATAATTTTGAAATTCTGGTTAATTATGAAACAAATTATTTTCAAAAAATTCATTCAAAATATATGGCTAGATAATATATCAGATACATATCAAATAATATAGATATATAATGCATAATTTCACCTCTTTAGAGTGCGTACTTAGTTGGTGTGGCAGATCCAAAGAGTCAACATGGGCAAAGAGCAATAATAGATAGTGCTAAATGTGATCGATCCATACAAATTGTAAAACAAATATGTGAAAGAATACGAAGCGGTGATTATACGCAGCAACAAATCCTTGATGTAAGTTCCTATTGGCATAGTAGCAAATACGACTTATAGAAAATTAAGACTTATTTAGCTATTAATATTACATTATCAGCTGCAAATCAGTGTGGTATATAAAGTTATAAGTATACCGATTCAATCTTTATATATAAATTTTATATTAATTTTTAAGTTTTGTAGAATTTATAAATTCTACAAAATCGGCTTAGAAATTGTTTTCTTTTTTAGGATGCAACAGTTATTGCAAAGCACACTTCAGCACTGGCGAATTTGTGTCGAGAAGCTTCAGAAAACACTTCGAATGTTAATCTCAAGAAGCAATTCATAAATTGCGCTCGTGATGTTGCTTCTTCTACGGCTTCGTTAATCACTGCAGTTAAGCAGCTGGATAGTTCATTTACGTTAGTTTTTTGTAGTAAATTTAAATTTTTTGTCACTTTATATTAATTGTTTTATTGTCCGAAGTTATTGTTCACTGCAATTATTAGGTTCTATAGACTAGTATTTTACCAGTTATAATGGTTCCAGTTTTATTTCCTTTCAGAAATAAAATAGTGTTTAGTGGTTCCATTATTTTTAATTCAATTTTTTTCAGAGAAAAGAATAGAAAGGAATGTACAGAAGCTGCAACATCGTTAACAATTGCAGCTGACCAGCTTGAAGTATTTGTCGATAATCCAGATTTCGCTGCAGTTCCAGCTAAAATATCTGCATCTGGTGAAAAGGCTCAAAAACCTATCCTAGCATTTGGCAGTGAGATGCTTGATGCTAGTTATGAGATGATTACGTAAGACTTTAATACCTGGAAATTTCTAGGATTTTGATTATATATAGTCCGAATTTTTCTATTCTTACCCACCTTAAAAAATTTTTCTCCATTGATTTTTTTGATTAATTTTATTTTCTACTTATTCTGATAATTTTTAAAAGCCTTTCTTAGTAATCCTTTTTATATTATGTTTTTCAGATAGGTAATGCCATCATGTTAACTAAAAAATTTTGTTGATTAATAGAACAAAATCCAGGTTGAATGACATTTTTCAGAACTTGTAACGTTCAATTCTTTCTAAATGACTTAATAGACCTTTTAGTACCGCCAAACATTTGGCCGCCTCACCTACTGATTCATCCACATGGCAACGACTTGCTGATAATTCCAAAGTTGTAAGTGAGAGTATCAAGAGTCTTGTATCAGCTATACGTGAACAGGCGCCTGGCCAGGTTTCTTTCTTCGATTAAAAAGAGCACTTAGAATTTTTTTGCGCAGCATAGTCCTATTTTTTTTTTGTGTTCTTACCATAACTGGTTAGACTCGTTCCGCTCACACCAGGCAAATATGCCAGGGAGCTTTTTAGCGATAGAAATGGAGATAAATCGTTAGCATCACCCGGATTTTTTGATTATATATGTTACTTATCTATTTGTTCACCTCAGGGAGATCTTGACAATGCAGTTACAAGATTACGGCAAATGCTTTCACAAATTGATCGGTGTGCTCTTGATGCTTATCAAGATCGGCTTCCGAGAAGTACAGTTACAGAGCAAAGAGTGCACCAGCAGATTCTTCATTCTTGTCAATCAGTTTATGATAGGTATGTATTTATAGAAAAATCGTTAACTAATTTCTATTACTAATTTAAGAAAAATTTATTTTTAAATTCAGGATTCAACCGTTATGCGAAGCAGCTACTGGGCATTCTGAAAGTCTTGGTCGCACGGTACGTGAACATATGGTTGCTATTGAGCCGCTAGTCAAGTCTGCCATTGATGCAGCTTCAGCTACTTATGACACTAAGTCGCAGAATATCATTTTTGAACAGTGCAAGACAATAATTGAGGCGGAATTGCAAATGGTATATGCCTGTAAGGATGCCGGCGGCAATCCTAAAGTAATTTTGCTACTGAAAATTGAGAACATAAAATTGAAATGATTTATTTATAGCTGGAAGATGGAATTATGCAAAAACCTTTATTTTATCAAATTTTTGTATTTAAATTATATTTTATATTATATTATCTTCGTAGTATTTGAAAGTCTTTGCTGTTTAAAAATTAATTAATTTTTCATTTTGGTATGATTTGAGAAGTTAAGATGTTCAGAAATGGAAAAAATATTTATATCATTATTTACATGAATAATATGAGATATTAATCATTTTATAAGTTCCCATTTTTCATTTTATTTACAATTTTAGGCTCATGAACTACACGGTGTTGTTGAAGAAAGTGCTCGGCAATTAAAAGAAGCGTTAGGAGATATGCAAAGGCACATCAATCATCTAGCATCAGAAGCAGGTGTAATACATGGAGTTGTTGAAACGATTTCACGATCAATTGCATTAACTGACGAAAGTAGCTCGCAGTTGGCTGGTTCTTTTGCCGATGCGCAAACAAACATGATTAATTTATTAGAAGAAATTTCACGTATTGCTACAGACATGCCAATTATTTCTCCGGAATCACTTGGTGCTTCAGCCTTAACACTTTCTGAACGCTATGCAGATCTGGCATCTGAATCGCGCCTGGCCATCGCTACGTTATCATCACCAAATCTAGCTCAAAAACTCCGAGTAGCTGTGCAAAAATTGGGAACTGCTTGTATAGAACTGGTTAAAATTGCTGGAAAACGCAGGGCCACCCCTAATGACCATGTATATTATCACTACATTTATTTTCACCATGTTTATTTCAATATTGATCAATAAGAAAAACATTTTTATAGCATATTTTTCAGAAATATTTCAAGAAAAATATTTTTCAGAAATTGTTGGATGATCTTTCTTATGGATCACATATTGTTGTTGAACGTATTCAGGAAATTTTAGCTACGCTTCATGAAGGTTCAAAAGGAACACAAGCATGTATTAATGCCGCCAACACTGTATCTGGTATTATCGGTGATTTGGATACAACAATAATGTTTGCAACAGCAGGTTCATTGAATCCGCAAAAAGGAACAGAAAAGTTTGGAGAACACAGGTGCCTTCAAGCTGAATTTAAATTACTCTGATATTTTGATAAATATATAATCCACTAATTACAAAAAAAAACATTTTAGAGAAGCTATTCTGAAAACAGCCAAGGCCTTAGTTGAAGATACAAAAGCACTTGTGGCCGGAGCTGCTTCAAATCAGGAACAGTTAGCTGTAGCGGCTCAAAATGCGGTTCGAACCATTGTCAATCTTTCCGATGCCGTGAAAAACGGTGCAGTATCTTTGTCTTCAGATAATGCAGAAGCTCAAGTGATGATTATTCACGCAGGTCGTTTATTTAATTTTGTTTTTTATTTTTTAGCTATGAAGAAAAGACTAATTTTCTAATCCAATTTACTCAATAATTATTTGTTATATAGTTCTTTTTCAGTACGTGACGTAGCTGCAGCATTATCGAATCTTATACAAGCAACGAAGAATGCTTCAGGGCGTTCTTTACACGATCCAGCAATGAACAATTTGAAGGAAGCGGCAAAGGTATAAGATATAAACTCAGTTCTATTTATATCTTCAAATCTACTTACTTAATTTTGAACGTATCATTTATGCTTTTAAGATTATGGTAACTAATGTGACATCATTGCTCAAAACTGTTAAGACAGTTGAAGATGAACATCAACGAGGCACACGTGCTCTCGAAGCAGCGATTGAGGCCATTGGGCAAGAAATTAGAGCCTATGATAGTGGTGAAGCTCCTTCGAGAGGTTGTTTTTCCATAAAACTTCATAAAAGTCAAAAAAACAGTATTTGTCTACGAGATATCAAAATAATTGAGAAAAAAGTTTAAATTGAAGGAACTGCAACTGCTGAAGATGTAATTCGATCTACAAAAAATTTGACTGCATCTACTTCTCGAGTGGCCGCAGCAGCACAGACACTACTTCAAAATGATATTATCGCTGCCGCCAATCTAGCTCGGCAAGCTGTTTGTGAATTATTGGCCACAACTCGAGCAGCTGCACAAACTGCAGATTCTGTTGATGCTAGGTAATTTTCGCATTTTGCGCAATAAATATTTTTTATATCGTTGGGCTATGCGGCTGAATTATAAAATATATGAATATTATTTAATGATAATTAATCCGATAAATTTGGCAATTAACTACCTTCTAAACAAACATTGATTGAGTTTTTAAAAATTGGAAAAGAAATGAATTTATTTGGTTTTAATCTTGGAATCATTAATTTTCAGCAGTTTTTAAAAATCTAATTCTAGAAACTCTTTCATTTTAGATATCGTACCTTAGACTGCGGAAGAGAAGTTGCTACGCAAGTGAGGGCTTTGCTTATCAATCTGCAGAATTTGTTGTCGCGTTCCGGTGATCAATTTGCTCGTAATGCTCTTCTTGAAACGTCTAGAAATATTGCCAAAGTATATTTACCCTTCAGTTTAGTTTTTAATTTTCTAATTTTTTATGTCGAAAAGTGCGATTATTAAAAAGTACATATTGTTAAAGGTTGTTGCCGAGCTCGTGAATTGTGGCGAATTATTAAATGACGATTTGTCAGATCCCTCCGATCCTACTGTTATAGCTGAAAATGAACTTCTTGGTGCAGCCAATTCGATCGAATCTGCATCGGTAAAATTAGCTCAGTTGAAACCACGACAGATTCATGTTTGTTTTTTCAATTTTTACATTTTTCAGTTAGCAGTTACCAATTACCACGATCTTTGCTTTTAGTTTCTGATATCAAAAGTAATATCAGTCTTAAAACGAAAATTTGTAAAAAAAATTGGATGCTGTTTTTTGTTTATTGAAAAATTCCATTAAATCAATTTTTTAAAATTTAAAAAAATTTTTCCTGAAAATTTTTACATCTTTCCCATTTCAATCCTTTTACCCTCAACAAGCGTATGCGACGTTGATATGTCTGGTATTCTTGGGTTAGATTTGGTTAACCAGTATCTCAGACGTATCATCGTTGTGTACGTGTATGATGTTCGTCCTTATTAATTTTTTTGATTTCACTAATTTTTAAATTTTTTTTCACTTTTTTGTAAGTTTTTCAAAAGCTGCAAATAAATTTAATGTCTCTTTTCTGTATATTATCACATTCAATATCTCCAAATTGGCAAACGCTATTCGAATAAATATGGTAATTTTAGAAAGTCGATGAATCATTAACGTTCGATGAACAAATTCTTGCAGCTGCTAAATCGATAGCGACAGCTGTGCAAACTCTTGTTAAAGCCGCTTCAGCAGCTCAGAGAGAACTAGTTGCTCAGGGAAGGTATGGTTTTTTTTTAATTGTCGACTAAATTCACTTAATCACTTTATACTAGCATTTACAGTTGTTACAGATTGGAAGAGCGCCCGATATTTGCTTCTGATGACTATCAGTGGTCTGAAGGGCTAATTTCTGCGGCTCGTGTAGTTGCTGCAGCCGTACATCAGTTATGCGAGGCAGCAAATGCTCTTGTTCAAGGCCACTCCTCAGAAGAAAAATTGATATCGGCCGCTAAACAAGTATGAAATCTGTAATTAATTTCATTATAAATGCTGAAATTATTTAGTAAATTTTTACGGATATAATATATCCGAGAACATCTTTATTGAATCTTTATTGAAATAGAATTCTGTTTGAAACTAATTCGTCATTAAAAAATTCGGGTTGTTATGGTAATTTGCTTTTATTTCCATCGCCGGCTGGTTTCGTAATGAAAATTTTCATTTTCATTTTATAATAATAGCTTATAATATAATTTAATAATTTTCATATAATATAATTATATAATTTAGCTTATAATATAATTTAATAATTATAATAATTTTCATTTTTATAATAATATAATTTTTCATTTTATAATAATAATAGCTTGTAAAACCAATCTTATACAGTCTAAGTACTGAGTGCGAGTGCTTCACTTTTTATTTGCATTTTTTACAGTAACGTTACCTTCGTTTTCATTAGAGTTAATTTTTTCATGATAAAATATGACCACAACCACTTTTTTATGATCAAAGAGAATAAATTTTTTTTCTTATTCCAAAAGATTATCAATAAGATAGAATGAAGATTGAACCCATCCTACTTATACCTTAAAAATTTAATAAATTCAGGTTGCATCATCAACTGCTCATTTACTCGTTGCATGTAAAGTGAAATCTGACCTAGATAGTCGGGCAATGCAACGATTGCAAAGTGCAGGTCATGCGGTGAAAACAGCCACTGAACATCTAGTAATGGCGGCTCGCTCAGCCATTCATGAAGATGAACGTACGCTAGTTATATCACAAAGAATGGTTTCTGGCATTGCTCAAGTAAGTTTTTTTTAGAGTCTTCAAGATTAAGATCAAGAAGATGTATGTTTTAAACAAAAATAACTGGTTGTTTTGGAGGTCATGGATGCCCAAGAACAAGTTCTTCGAAAAGAACGAGAATTAACGGAAGCACGTGGAATGTTAGCAGCTCTAAATAAAGCGAGATATGAACGCGGTATGTCTCCTACAGCTGAATAAATAAATAATTATGCAACGATTTTTTAGCTTATTATTTTGCAGTTGCTTGTTTCATTTTATATATTTAGTCGTATTTTGCATATTTTTCCAAATCTTTTGGACAAATATTAATATTTTATATTTTTTTTTATATTTCTATATATTTATATAATTTTTACCTTTTTTCAATGCTAATTCATGTGCCTTAGATTATTTGATTAAAGATGAGCATATTTTTTGGTACATATCCATTATCTATTTTAAGACTGCCTTTAAAATTAATCAACATTCATATATAGTCTTGAATTTCTCTATTTTATGCAGTTTTTATGTAGTTTTCGCGTTTGAGCCTTGCTTGTTACTTCCTCACATATGCCTTTTAAGCCATTAAATAGTTGTTGTAAGATGATTCATTCTGTTTTAAATTCTCCGTGAATTAATAAAATTTTATCATTGACGAGGTTTTATCTATTTAAAGGATTTGTCGAATTTCTCTTTCAGTTTGAGGAAATAATTTTGCACAGTTATACATTCTCTTGAACAACCATTCTATGGCCGACTCCTTGGCATATTTGTCCAATGCGACAATCCAGTGGGGCGAGTTTAACCAGTAATGGTGAGGACTCTTAAAAAATTAAAAAAATCATGTCATTAATTTTTTTTGCAGTTCTCTAATTCATTAATCCACTGCAACCATTGAATCCTCAAATTTATAACCATATAAATATATTGGATAGTCGAGTTCTATTTTGCGCGTTGATTCTGTCCCTGGATTCTCGATTCAACTATAAAATGTGGATGCTGGAGATCTGTCCTATATCTTTATCTTCAACTGATTCTAATGAAAAGGTAGCACACCAGTAGTTAATGGAAACAGCTAGGCTAAATATTTGGTTCGATGAAGATGAATATTATTTAATGTTAAAATTTAAAATTTTAAAATTTTTATTTATTTGTTTATGTCAGATTTAAATTTTTCTTAAAAAATTTTAAATTAAATTTTTTATTTTTAAAAAAAATATTGAAATTTTTGATGAAATTTGTTTAGCTAATTAATTCGGCTAAAAAAATCGAAAAATCATTTAACTGTATTGTATTTCGATGGAATTTTATTGCAATTAGTTAATTAATTAATTAATTAATTAATTTTAAACAACCTGATTTAAAATTAAATGAATGAATGAATTAGAAATAAGTGAATTCTTTGACAATAAATTTTATTTATCGTCTTTAAAAATTTGCGTTATTGTCTTTTCAAATAATTTCTTAAGCTTCTTAATTTTATAAAAATTATTAAAAAAATTTTCAAAAAAATCTTCAAAACAAAAAAAAAAAATTTTTTTTATTTAAGCGAAAAGAAATTTAAAGCGTTTAAGATTTGTATTTTATTTTCTTTATAGCATTATAAATTTTATAAATATTATAATAAAATAATTTATTGTTGAATTATTTATTTATTTATATTTAATAAAATTAAAAGATTTGATTTTTCACAGATTGCATTTTATTCATTCAAGGTCGTTGAATCATATCGAATATTTCTGATTAAAATTATAATTATAGGACAGTAACAAAAAAGTTCCATTGCTTTATTTCATTTCATATTCATAAAGGTAATAGAAGACGGAGAGAATTTTGCTTTTATACTTACTTATATCTTATAATTTTTAGCCAGAATCTTATAATTCGATGAATTCTCTTAAATTATTTCGTATCTCTAAATAGTAGTGAAGTTTTATTCTAATTTCACGTATATATATATATATATATATATATATGTATATATATATATATATATAAAATCTTCAAAAACAAAAATATATATATAATATATATAAAAATATATATATATATATAAAAATATATATATAATATATATCATTATTATCAATAATCATATATATATAATCGTTATTATCAATCATATATAATCATTATTATTATTAATGATCTATATAATCAATATCAATAATCATATATAACTGTTATCAATAATCATATATAATCATTATTATCAGTAGCCATATATGATCATTGTTATTAATAATCATATATAATCATTGTTATCAAATTCTTAAGGAAAATAAATGATTAAGCGCTTACTAATTGCGATTTAGATTCATTCTATTTGAATTAGATTCAGCTGATAGTACGTTGAGAAATTTTTAAATGAGAAATAATGTGGCGATAGAAATACAATAGTTGAGTAACGCACTTTTTTTATAATTCTGCAAAAAATAAGGAATACAACGAAGCTCATAAGCAAGGTGAAATGAGAATCTGAAACAGCAATCACTCGACTATTCTTATCGTTATTTGCTTCCTTTAGGCTTAAGCAAATTATTATTATCACTTTTATTGTGATAAAAAAATGATAAATAAATAGATCCATGAAATTTTTATAAAATATTTCACAGCAATGTTAAGCATCTTTTAAATTGAAATTTCAGGATTTCATATTAATAATTTTTTTTTTCCTTATGAATTTTTATTATTTCATTATTTTTTTATTGATGAATTAAAGGATTAAATTGCTTCAAATTAGACATTTTACAAGTAAATACAACGACGAATAAATGATAATAAAAAAATCACCGAATAAAGTTTTAGAAACTTATAACGCTATAAAGCAACAATTTAAAGGAATATAGAATATAGGAATATAGGAATATCCACCTCTTGGCGAATAATATGGAGAATCTTAATAGATAACAGATAGTAATCAGTTTAATCAGCAAAGCCAATCTATGATAATATTAGAAGAAAAAGATAATTTAGCATATAAAAAAAAAGAGTTAAATGATTTCCTTTTAAGCTTATTTTTCAAACAAATTAGATTAGATTGGGTTAAATCCCTGCGAAAACTATTTTTATTAAATTCGATTTTATTGGATTCGCTGATTGGCATAGTAGGGGGGCCGTTAGAAATCACCCCAATTCAAGATCGTTTCATATCTTTTATGCCCTTTTTAAACATCGCTATTATAGTTGTTATTAATTGTTATACAAAAAGTAAGACGGATGCAAAATTATAAGATAAATGAGAAATTCGTTTCAAAATATTTGTCGAAAATTGAAATAATTCATACAATATTAATTAAAAATCAATGCAGTACATATTAAAAGTATTGAAAAGTACCATTAGTATGCAAATAATTGCTTGAAGCATGGAATCTTAGGAGTTTTAATTTTGGAGACGTTGTTATTTGAAAGCCTTACAATTTTTGCACAGTTATTGTAAGATTATAGGTCATAGGTCAAATTGAACGTAAAATAAATGTTATAATATTATAAACTATAACAAAATGCATGATGATTGGGAAAAACAATTTAAAAAACTACTAAAAAAACTATATTTTAGTTAAATTCAAGCAGATTAATTCATTTACATGTAGACACCCAGCGGTGCCTTAAACAAGTATTACATTTCAGATGGCAACACCAAACGAATTGACAATCGCATTGATAAGATATCACCTCGTGAGACACCTGTAATACTTTTTTTTTAAGATTGAACATATGTTTTATTTTAAAAATAGCTGATTCTTATGTGGCTTTTTTTTAAGCTTCTCACTTCTAAAATTATATTGTTTAAGAAGAAGAGATAATAATATGGTCAAGTGGAGAAAACATTGCTTGCAATATTATCAATTCAAACTCGGCTCTTATCAATTCAATATTATCAATTTGAATCATAACTCGCTCTTATTCTTTGATTGCGATTTTATCTTATCAATGGGAATTAACTTTTTTTAGAGTCCTCACCATTATTGATTTGATTCGCTCAGACAAATATATGCCAGGGAGTCTCTTGATAGAGGTGCAGATTAGTCGGTCACCAATATCACCAGGATATTCCTGTGAGGGATAGATCACCATCCCATATATACTGCTCGTTCTACTACCTTTCATTAACCCTCAATCAGCATCTGAGCAATAACCCATTCTACACTATTGGAGATTTCTTACAAAAAATGAATTCACTAGTTGAAAAATATTTTTATTAAAAAAAAAAAATTATGTCTATCGCTTTAATATTAAGCATTTTTACATTTCCTGTTTGTTTTTGCAATTTTTTTTCGAACATTTAAAATTTTGTTTTGCAAAAAATACAGTAATACGACGAGGATAGTGATTAAATATTTCATAATTTTAGGAGATTTTCTATAAATTTTCGAATTCTGCTATTGGTACTCAATCACTATTTGCTTCTTCCAATAACGCATTTCTATATTTTTATTCAAATTCCACTGACTATTCGGATAATTCCATCTCGCTGAATTCATTTGTATAGAAATCAACTTCTAATAATATTTGCCTTCGAAACGATGATTTAATAAAAAAAATTTGACGAAAAAAATATTGAATTTTCAATTGAATTCTATAAGATAAATGAAAAAAAAAGCAATAATAAAGATAATGTTTAACGATTTTCCAATATAAAATACTTAAGAAATCTGAAGAAATAAAAATTTTAATTGCGGTTGTCGATTTGTTCATATCGAATGCATATTTAGTGATGAACAATTCATAGGAAATTTTTATGATCGTCTCGGCTAACCAATTTTAGTCATAAAATATTGTCAGTCGCTTAATTCGGCGATTTATGCGAAGTGAATCAAACAAATCAAAGAAAAAAACTTGATTCACAAAATTAATGAACAACTTTTTAACAATGTTACAGGAGGAAAAAAGGAAGAAAAAAGGAAGGAAAGAAGGAAAGAAAGAAGAAGGAGGTAAAACATCGATTGTCGTATGAGAATTAGTTCAAATAAATTATCATCGAACAAATATGTCTCACCAATTAGTCGTTCAGAATCACGAAAAAAAATCAAATCGAAATTTTCTAATTCAATTTTTTCACCCATTATTTACGGTAGCTAATTAATCGACTGATTGATTCCTCAATTGTTTATTGATAAGTGATAACTTTATAACTTGTCAGCCGAAAAAGTCATGGTAAGTCAAAACACTTATCAAAATTAACACTTATCAGAATTAATAATCTATATAAGTGCATCCTCTAATGCATCTTGTGTTAACTCTTAATATATTAGATGGTCGATATAATGGATTTCTAGCACACAAATTTGCATTATTACATATATTTATATATAAGAAAGAAGAATTTTGATATAGCAAAATGATTTCCACAATTTAATATCACTGATCTTTTCATAGTTCCAGCATTGTCACACGAATATTTAGTTAGAAATGACCTTTCTAAATGAAGGACATCTATAAATTTTGTTTTTTTTTTTTTAAATATTGCTTGAAAATATTGAAAAATATGATTTTCTTCTTTGAAATCTAGTGTTACAATGCTTATTATTTTCAGATTTCAAATTTTGATAAAATGTTACTAATTATTAAGAAATATCAGCATGGATTTTTGCACGGAAAAATCCGCTTCCTTAAAAATATTGACAAATCATTCTGATTGGTCAACATCAGTTGATAATGGAAAAATAGCATCAGTTGTCTTCTAGCTAAAGCTTTTAATACGGTTACTCATAGTGTATTGTTGGTTATCATTAATCATTATGCCATTACAGACAACTTGTATAATTGGATATCAGATTACTTAAAAGATCGATACCAAGCTGTATGTATCAATAACTCGCTTTCAAATATGGCACCAGTCAAATCAGGCGTTCCTTAAGGTAGTTATATCGCAGCATCAAATTAAGCTCTACCATATATTTATCTTTATGCTGGTCACTGTAAATCTTTGTGCTGGTAACTATTCTCATGGATGATTTACTTTTATTATAAGGCGATCTCAGTAGAACTGCCAACTGGTTAAATTATGATAGGCAAATTTTCTTACTCTTCCATTCAAAAATGTTTTACATATAAATTCAAAAGGATTCGATGTTCCAAATCTTTTTATTAATGACAACATAATTAAACGAATCTCAAATATATCAAATCTTGGCAAAATTATGGATGAAAATCTTGATTTTGATCTTTATTGTAGAACCATAGTGAAGAAATTCTCAAGAATATTAAAATTTATTTTTCACTGGTTTAAAAATGGAACTGAAAGTTTTCTTATTCGATTATTAAAATATACAAAGCATTTTGGAGTCGTTCGGTCTCTTTTTGTATATAATAATATATAATATAACTTTATCATCGCCAATCAAGTAAATTAATTGAACGACTCCAAAAATACTTCGTCGCCTCTCACCTAATAGCAGTTTCCATCATAAAGCATAACTTCAAGTATTCAATTTAGATTCACTCTTAGTTCATCGAATTATGATTTAATTTACTATCATCTAAAATCATCTAAAATTATATATGTTATGTCAAATTAATTTGTTTAAAATATTATAATTTTAGGTTAAATTTCAAATTTCAACCCAACAAGGTCAAATGGGTTAAAATTATTAAAACTATGCATAATTAAGGGCGCATAAGTTTTTTATTCGCACCACTAAACTATTGGAATAAGCTGCCGAATGACATAGTTCGTCCATAATTCTTAGCATTTTAAAAAAAAAAATTAATATCTTCCATAATGTTATTTAAACAGTTCACGTTATGAAATAGTTTAAAATCTTAATCATTTTATCACTCGAATATAAATAAACTGAATATTCAGTTCGACTTGAAATATTCCGATTTTGTAAATTCTATTGTTTTGTAAATTTTTTCTTTACGTGGTTTACTTTTGGCCCTATTTTATTATATATATCGCGAGGTTAATAATTTAATAAAACGTACAAAAACTGAGTTACACCTTGGAAAAAAGTGCTCAAGAAAAAAAAAACCAGCAGATTAAGTCAATTTGTTAATAGAATATATTCGTTATACCATTTTTTAAAATATAATTTAGGTGAAGGGATCTTAAAACGACACTTGAGGAGCCTAAGTGATAAGCTAAGTGATAAGAAAGAGGTTAATTTAATTTAAGATGCTTTCAAATTATTTTCGTTTTACTATAATAATCAAATGATAGATAACAAATTTTCTAATAATTTTTTAATATATGGATAGAAATCTTTTCAATTTCGATTTTTAATACGATAAATGTTATCGAAATGCAATATAAATAAATAAAGACGATAAAGAAAAGCTTAGAAGATCCTCGATGCAAAAATATTTGAAGGGGCATTACGATTTAGAAACGATGAGACACAAATGATCGCAAAAAATTTTTACGGTAAACGTGTGAAAATATTGGTGAAAATTTCGATAACCTGGGATTTTATGTAAAATGTGGAATTTTGAAAAATCTAAGAAAACAATTATCTTCGTCATATCGACTAAATCTATCGTACTATAACGATAAGTTTACTGCAATAAAATATTTTACGATCGAATTAATGGCCAACATTTTCTTACCGCATCGTTTCCCTAATTTTATCAACAAAATTGTACTTAATAGATTTTAACTCCATTTATTAAAAATACATTTTTAAAAATATGAACTGGAAAATTGCGTACGGATTCGCCCGAGGGCATTACGATAATAATAATTGAGATAATATGAAAAGATAGCGAAATGTGGTATTATTGGTATTTCTATAAATTCTTTTAAGGCGACTGATAATAAAAAAACAATTTAAAAAAAAACGATTGATAAGCATATCACATATCAAAAGAATAAAACTGAATTATAAACAAGTAAAGGTGAGTAAAAGACGGAGATATTGGCAATAATAAATATTTTATCAGTCAGTTATCATCAATTAGCAATAAAACCTTACCTTGAACCCTTGGCCACAGCATAAAACTGAACAATCACCCATACTGTTCGTTTCATTTCGCCAATTGCAAACTCGATTTGTCGTTCGAGTCGTCAAACATGGATCCGGACTATCTTCCATAAATATTAATTCGGCATTCTTAGCACGGGTTTTCTCGTCACTCACTCTTCTAGCCTACAAGATTTTTATCTGCATTAGAAATTTCTATATACTCGTGATCATTTATAATTTTATAATATTTTTCTAGAAAGGATTTATTTTTTGTTTGCAAAAATTTTTATATATTTATTATATTAATTATATTTTTAATGAAAATTGTGAATTTTTTTCTGGATTTTCAACGACAAACTTACTCTGCGCAATTTATTCGTCAAATGTTTGACGATTATTGGTAATTCTGCAGCTTTTTTCCAGCAAGTTTTTTGGTCGCAACTTCCACTAACGCCGTGACATTTACATGAAGATACCAATGTTTTTTTGATAGCCTAAGATTTGCTAATCGATTAACATGTATCAAACGTAATTTTATCGGACTTAGACTTTTTGTCAAAATACTACAATATGCCCTATTTTAAAAGAAAATTTCTTTTGTTTTATTTAAAATCTTGAAGCGCAGAAGATTAGGATTGAGATTAAAAGATGTTGCAGATGATTCCTCTTTCTTGGGGTAAATCTATTATTAGCAGCGAAAATGCCTATGGTCCTATGGCCCTAATTTTTTAATATTCACTAATTTTTTTTGAAACGAAAAATTCAAGTAACTAGTAAAGTTACTAAAAAAAAGTTCAAAAGTTAAAAAAGTTACTAAGTTCATGCGTATAATAAAGAATATTCAACTTACTATTCGGCCAGCTTTAAGATTATGTTTTTCAAGTTTGCGAATTGGCGATCGCGTTGGTGCGCTTCTAGTTAACAATTTTCTAGAGGTAACAATACCAAATTGAACGCCATATGAGCAACCATCCCATTCCCAATTCTGTTTCACATGATCATGTGTGTTGCACGCACAATCTTGCAACCATCCTTGTGCACAAGCCATAGAAATACCCCAAGCAGCTCCAGCTGACGATAAGGCCCACAGATATGCAGCTTCCTTTGTACCTAATTGATAGTTTTTTCAAAGCTTTTTTCAGCTAATTTCTTCTGTTTGAATATTATGCATCATTCGTCAAGTATGATAAAAGAATTAATTTTAATTATTAATATTAATATTTCTATGAATAATATTTCGGAACACCTTTGATTTTCTTGATGTAAGTTAAAAATACAATTTTCCCGTGGATAAAAAAGAAAGGCTGAATTAAGAAAGGCTGAATTGGAATATCTTAGACTGAAAATTTAGTAAAAAAAAAACGTTTTTTTCCCAACTGCCTCTTCAAGTTTGTAAATAGTCTCTCATTCAACTCTTAGAAAAGGAAATGACAAAAAAGTGTGAAATAGTCGAATAAAAATGCCAACTGAACCGTATTTACAAGGATATAAATATTATATGCAAAAGTTTTCAAATGTAATCTTAGGTGGCATAGGCTATTAATGATTTATAATGATCATAAAATCTAAAATCCTTCTCCTTTTATAATTTTTATAATTTTAATTTTTAAAAATTAAAATAAGCAAATAAAATTTAAAACAAAGTCTTGTTGTGCCTTTCTTTCCCAAGTTAAAATTAATTAATATTATTTATTTAATATTATTTATTAATTTTGTCATTTATTAATTATTATTATTTATTAATTTAATAAATATAAACAATCATTAAAGGACATAATATCAATGGACCAAATACGGTTAGGCAAGATATTTTCAGAAAATGAAGCATTTTCATTTATAGAATGTATATTTCGAAAGATAAGCGCTCGTCTTCTGCCCCAGATAGGAGAGTAAACTTGTTATATTAAAATTTTAATACAGGTGGCTCTGATCATCTGTTTCAGTCTCAGCCAAGTTTTTCTTGAAACTAATCGAAAATCTAAGAAACAATAGGCTCTTAGGGTGTTTTAGAAGAAAACGATTTTTCCATTTTACATGCATTCGAAAAATTAAAATATTATGGTAGAAGATGAAAAATAATTCATAAACGGAAAATATTGATGATAAAATGAAAAAATATGGTTAAGACAAGGATTCCTCAGAAAAGTATAGCAAATCAGTTTATAACTGCAATTACTGTTATCAGTTTCATAATCTTTTATAGTTATTAATTTATCAAGGACTCGAAATAGCCTTTTAGTATTTTGCTTGATCCATGGCTAATTTATGTGAAAATATTTCTTAAGATTGTAAGATGATCTTTGCAGAATTTAATCATTATTTCAACATTTTATCGAAAGAAAATTTTGTGGTGGAAAGAGTCCGAATAATTAAAATACAAACCCATTCTTAAAACTGGTGGATCTTGAAGGACTGTGTTGATCTGGGAACAGTCCCATGGCTCAAAGCGCATTTTTTCCCTGCATTCATTCATAATATCTTGCATCCCTTCATAGGCAGCAACAGCAATTGATGGCTGCGTCCGGCAAAGTAGGTGGAAATGCCGATAAGATCGTAAGTGAAGCAACTCTGGAGAACAGCCCTGTGATAGTTTTCGCTGTTTGTTTGTAAAATTCCAATTCTTACCTGGGTTAACTTTTCAGGCGGTGACGAGTTACCACTATTGACACAACCATGACGATTCATAATAATTGTAATCAAAAGACTGCAGATATATCTGGCCAGCAATTTTTTATTCATAGACGACATAAAGGGTCAATAATACCAAATATATCGACCTTTATCACAAATTTGAAATGGTGACTGAAGCAATATTCAAAATTTTAAGTAGGCAAATTACTGAAATCATCAATATTTCTCTAGAATATGTAAGAATTTGCTGGGACTAAGAATATTAACAAAAGAGCAATGAAATTCTAGATCTAGCGATATATGGACTTAGACGATGGAAAAAGGAATGGCTTCTATTACTACTAGTGACGGCGTCGGACCGGGCAGCTTGGAGATAACTTACTAGCCAGCGCAGCCAGCCTAACCAGTAATGGTGAGAGTTGTTAGAAGAAGATAAAGAAATTCTTAATTTCACAACCATAAATGACCGTCTAATAAAATAAATTTAAAAATATCAATTTGCTATAAGAAACCGAATTGAAATATGAAAAATTCGAGATTTGAGAAAAAAAATAAACAACAACGGATGAATGGATTTGATTCGATATAAAAGAACTAAAAATATTTTCTATTAGCAAATGTATCTTAAGCTTTAACAGAATTCAGAATTTTTTCATTTATTTTGGATATTATTTTAGGAAAATTTTAAAAAAAAGAGCAAAATCGATGAACTTTTCATATAATAAAACACTTCCTTCTTATCAAATGTGTGCTAAGTTTATTAAATTTCATTGATATTTTATAAATCGCTTTGATGAAAAAAAATTATAATCACGATATCAATTGTTCTACAAATTCTCCGCTTTCTTTGAATGCTAAATATTTACTGGTGAAACTATTCAATTATTCTTTAGCAGATGCTTAACTGTAGAAACTTTAATAAATGGTGACAATCAAGAGACATAAATTTTGAAGCTATAAGTAGCTCAACGATTTAAAAGTTTTGAAAATAAATGATTGCAATATATTTCAAATATGGAATCGGATTGAAAGGCTTAGAAATGTCTTTTCTCGTTCTTTCTTAGCAGCGAAAAGAGGAAGCAAAATCAGAAATGCGGTATATGCTGTTAGAAAATTTTAAGGAAACAATATAAATATTATAGAAAAACGATGGGATAAATGAAATAAGTGTGTGACGATTTTGAATTGAAAATTTATAAATTTTGGGAAAATATTTCAAAATTTAAGAATAATAGATCAGCCATCTCCACAAATTTTTACCTCTCAAAATTGGTCGGCCCTTCAATAAATTCTTCGCCCCTCATAACACCGCTTTTACAACTTTTTCTTTTGTCCAACCAATTTTCTAGTTTCATACTCTTTCTTCTCTCCGCCATCAACAAACACGCTAATTCTATCTCTTCTCAATTTTTCTCTCATCATTTGTCGTTCTCATCATTAATCTTTTTTACAGTATAAACGAAAAGGGCGTACAGTTTTATTGGCACATCGGATATCAAACACGGCAGCACACCTTTATAAGTTCAGTTCGATTTTATAGTATTCTTTTCCAGAAGAGTAAAAAAGATTTATTTCGTTAAAAACGAGTACTTAAAATATTTTCATATACTTCTTTAGAATAAAATTTGTCTTTTAATTTCTCTAAATTTTTATTGCCAAATTGAAAGATTGAGGCAAATCTTGGAAATGAACGGCTTCAGTTAATTTTAAGGATAATATCGCATTCGTAAATTTGGAAATATCTCATTCTAGGAGTCCACTGGACCAACGACATCGGAAATAATATGAATTTCTCAAAGAAGAAGAAGAAATTTGAATTGAATTGAACCACTTTTATTTCAAAATTATGAATAAAATACATAAAATACACAAATAAAAATAATAGAAAATTAATAAAACTGAATATCCTTCCAACAAATTTAAATTTATATTATAATAAATGGACTAAATAACATTTAGTTAAAATAATTTTTAGAAAGCTTATAGATAGATTAAGAAAAACTGGTCAAAATTTTCCTAACGCTCGCATTGCTTTGAGTTTAATACCAATTTGTGCCAATTTCCAACCTCGCGAGTCAGCTAACCATAGTGGAACTGGTCTGTAATAGTTGATAATACACCTTTAAGAAATAAGAATTTAAAAAAAATCGGTAGCCATACAAATCTCGGCATATAAATCATACCATGCGGCCGACCTAATCGCATATTTCTGTAGTCGCATTGCTCAAATCCGAGGCAAAAAAAAATTTTCAGATTATAAGCATTTGAAGAAGGTATTTAAATATTGTACTGCGATATAATTAACTTGGCCTATAGATAGTTAGCTTACTGTTCTTACTAGTTGCAATTAATTTTTCTTTTCGGGGGAGGGGGGCTGGGGGGAGAGAGGAATGCGGTGCATATATATTTGAATATATAAATAATATTTGAATAACGTTTATAATCGATCTAACTTTTTATTTGCAAAATAATATCGAAATATATTAGTTTTAAAACGAAAAATAAATTATTGAACTATGTTTTTAGGAGCTCCAAGCGAAATTAAATTGCGTCTCATAAACATCCTTTCAATTAAAATTTACGGCAATGAAGAAAAATGTTTAGGGGGGAAAAGGGGAAAACAAGAGAATAAAATGAGAACAATCGAAATGAATCACAGCAATTTTATTTATATTGTATAAATGACAAAATCGTTTTCGATATTCGAAGTTATAAAAGATCTTTAAAAATGGTTTAAATTATTCTTTTATTCGCAAAAATTAATTTCAACCAAACGTTATTTAAAAAAACTGATCGAACTAATATTCATCTTCTTCTAATAGCTCTCACCATTACTGATTCGGCTCATTCCACTGGCTACAAAGATAAGACGTCTCCAAGCTGCCCGGCCGGATGCCATCACTAGCAATATTAGAAGTCATTCCTTTTTCCATCGTCCTAGTCCATATATAGCTATCCCTCTATGCGTTCAAAATCTTTCCTGACTAGTCCAGTCCAGCTCTTGACAGGCTCTCCTCGCTTTTGACGTCAACCATCACAGGGTGATGATCGGCGGAGACTAACCAGCAAAGACGATGGGTCGATTCTTCCGACATGATCGAACTAATATTAGAATCGATCAGTAAGGATTGATTTTGTTTTTTTAATTTTTCGCCTAATTTCTAGTTTCTTGAATGCGATATTAAATATTATTTAATGTCTACTCGAAAAAAAAAACAAAAACTATTGTATTTATGTGTATTTGAATCGAATAATACATCGATTTTGAAGGATTTTAATAATCGCCTGGATTTAATTTTGTTTCACCTTGCCTAGCATAATTCTTTTCCACTAGAGAGCAATGATAGTTGAGCGGATCGCTAAAAGATTATCGTCATGCGAGACAACAGTTCGGATTCTATTCTCATCAGTAAGAGTAAGCTTAGCCGGTGATGCTAGCAACTCACCTTATCGCCAGTGGATTCTCTGGCATAGTTGTCCAATGCGACAATGCCAGTGGATCTTTAAACTAAAATCCTTAAAAATCGGAATTTTATGAAAAATTAAAAATTGGAAATATGGAAATATAAATATATTATAATAAATAAAATTTAACCGATTTCTCATGTGTCGCTCGTTACGTTTTGGCGGACAAATTGCATGTGATTTATATACGGTATTCGATCGGCGAATGCGCCTAGTTTTTGAAAGTGATTCGATGATTGCATTGCCTATCAATGCAATCGGTGTTGCACGAGCCTCGCAACGTTGACTTTTACAACTTCCAAATGCCGATATGCATTGACATTTGATTTGAAGTGAAACTCGCTGGATAAAAAAAAATTATTTTAATTATCTCAAGATATTTCTTAATTTATTTTATTGTATTATATGATGTAAAAGAAATTAATTTTTCGTTTTTTTCTAATTTTTCTTCTTAATTGTCATTTTTGGTTTCGTCGGCTATACGGACCAGCACTCCTCGTAATAGGGGATCATTTAAGAATAGGGCCTGGAAATAGGGAATACAACTGAGTCTTTGCACCATTCGGACATATGCTGACATAGCTTTTAGCGGTCAATAATTAACAGTAATTAATATTATCGCCTTATATTTAATATTAATATTAAGAATTAATAAAAAAAAAACGAATTTTTTTATCATAGAATCAAAACTGCTTTCGAAAAATGAAAATTTTTTGCGAAAATTCCTTCTTTCTCAAGCAAGCAAACTAACATTTCGAATTTTTGTCTGGACTTCTGTTTTTTCTTATCAAGAACTGATAAGCTGATTTTATTTCACGAATTGTATTAGTTCTCAAAATTTACTTAAAAAATCTAAGAAACTTCTTTTAAAAGTTAATCGTTTAATCCTTTTCAACTGGATTATCATTGATGCAAAAAAGATAAATTATTTTTTTTTTTAGCTAGCAAAATATCGGAAAAAAAATTTACGGAACGTCCAACAGCAATATTGTGTAAATATATTTGCAACGCTCTATTATTGTCGGAACATGTGAATTGCTGATCGATTAATCTCCTGAATTTCATAAAAATTGCTTGATGATTACTGTAGAGAAATTAAAAAATTGATTGCTATTGCTTCATTTTTTTGGTTACAGTAACTAAAATGAACTTACATATTCTACCAGTAATCACATCACGGTTTGGTTGACTATTGGGATTAAGAATTTTTAGCCAGAGAGAGAACATGTAAGTTTTTAGAATTAGATGTGCATGCAGATGGATATCTCCATATCATATTTATATTTGCGATAAGAGGCTTCAAGAGTATATATCACTGTTGGTTTATCACTGCTCGAAGCAGCACATCACATGTTCCTGCCATCATGTCCTTAGGCTCCTACATATACCATTCTTCCATTCCTCTTAATGCCCAGTTTAGTTCGAGAAGTAGCCACTTAAAGCCCATATTAATGCTATCAATATATGCATGTTTTTTCCCATTTTTCAACTAGAAATTGTTCGAACTTTCCAATTTCCTTGGAGAATTTCCTATGTATCGCAATATTTTGTTCATTTTAAATTGTTCCATGAAAGGAAAGGAAATATCCTACTTTTCTCAAAAAATATCGCTATTATTTAATGTTCAAATGAGTTCATTTCATTCATTCATTCATATGAAGAATTTTATGATGAAGGATTTTGAAGGATGAATCAAAAAAATTGGGTCAAAATTTTAAAAAATTAGTTGGCTATCGGCCATAAAATCACTAAGTTATATAAATAAAAAAACAAGTCAAAAAAAATAAATCATTGCGATTAATTGCAGTAAAATTATTCGCAAAAAAATAGAAAAGAGACAGAAAATGATCATAAAAATAAAAAAAATCATTCAGCGACAAAAAAAAGATTTGTGTGAATCAAATTTTTTTTCATTAATTTTTGCGAAATTTTAATCGAATATTTTTTTAAAATAAATAAAAAATAGTCCTAATGAATGCATTTTTTTATTTTGTCTAATAAATTATAATATTATTTATTTAAATTTTACAAGAATATCTAAAATATTTTGCAAAAATTTTTTGAATTTTTTCTTTTAATTTTAAAAAATTTATGAAAAATCTCAGATTGTTATCGTATTTGAAATTTTATAATTTTCTGCAATCATTAAAATAAAAAAATAAAAATAGTAAGACAAAAATTAAAAAAAAAGCAAAAAATAAAAAATACACATAAAAAATTCTTGTATTTAGTAGTTTATAGAATGAGAATTAAGGAGGAATCAGTTGAAATAAATTTTTTACTTTGATAGCCTCCTAGCATATCTTAAATTGTCCGAGCCTCTATCAATATTACAACTTGCCCACACTAACGAACGATTTGAATCGATGGGTCCGATTTTTGATGGATCACATGCACATGATCGTAAGCGACCACGAGCACATGCATGAGCGATTGATCGTACAGCTGATGCAGTCGAAAGAGCCAAAAAATATGCAAATTCTGGACTTGCTGAAAAAATTCATATTTTGTTAGGGTGAGTTTAAATGAAATTTGGATTCTATTCCTTATTTTTTTCTAACAGCCTCACTATTACTGATTTGTCTGGCTTCGCTGGCTATGTAAGGTGCCTCAATGCTGCTCGATCGGATTGCCATGCCTGATATTAAAAGAAACCACTCCTTTTATCAGTTCAAATCTTGGTTATTCCTTCTCGCTATCAGACATTATCCAACAATAGGATTTAGCAAGAAAAGAGATATGCGTCAATTCTTGTGATGCATAGAAAGGAACATAACCAGGATAGACGATATTTTGAATGCTGATATTATTTGCGAAGATGCATATAAGATTTTATCCACTCGGCAAAATTGGAAAATATGTTATAGATACGTCATTAGAGGGGTCAAAAGTGAATAGTTTCTTAATATTTTTCATTCTCATTGGCCGTATTTCGTTGATATATAACAGGATGGTTGGCACTCCAGCCAGATAGATGTAAACATAATTTTGATAGCCATTTCGAGGCGATACCATAGAACAAAACAAAGAAGCGACGATTAGGGGCTGCAATTTCGTCTTTCGCTTGACCATTTGTTATAAGAGTGGATCAAAAATTTAATTTTTAAAATTTATTATTTCCTCAAGCCATGACGAATTGATAAAAAGTATTTCATTAGTATTTAATAGTATTTTATCAGTAAAGAAATTTTCAAGGATCTTATGCCCGAATTTTGCTGTCGATCCTTTATCTAACACCTCTTGCATTTTCCTCACATTGAAAAGCATCATCTCATTAGTATACTCAGAATCTGTAATACAATGAGCTGATTTCTACGCCTCTTCAAAATATTTTATGGGAAAGGAAGCACCTCTAAGACATCAGTCCTTACTTCAAAAGGACTTTCCAGTTCTCAATACACAAATCTGAATATATGCAAAATCTCTTTATGAGCCGAATGAGCACCGTTGCACTCCATCATCCTCCAGAGCTGTTCTATCATTTAAATCGAAAGCAGCGACAAAATCATGATAAAACAAGTGATAATAGGTTGATAGGTTGCCGATGTTTGTTCCAACACCTTTCTTAACGTGAATATCTGGCTAGCTCGACTTGATTTGAATCCAGCTTGGTTAGGGTAAATCGTGCTCTCTCGTGCCGCCAATAAGTCTATTCAGTAGAAACAAAAATTTTTCAGGTGATGTGTCGACTGATTCACTCGATAATTTTTTCCCATCTTAGGAACTGAGAACAGAATAACTTTGTTTCAGCTATCTAGTATTGATAAAGAATACATCCGTTGAAGATAAGTTTTTAAGGCGCTGAAAAACAATTTCAAGCGCAAAGGCCATCTCTGCGAGCTTTATTCACCTCAAGTTCATGAACTACTGCCATTATTTTTTTCTTCGGCCACTCGCAATTGCAAGTACATTGTTTCAGGCTCAGATTTGCGCATAAAAGGCACACCATTATTATTTCGGTCCATTCCTGAATTATCGTTGCACTATCGCTGAAGGTATGAAATTTTATATTATCGCTTATTCAACTCGCTATTTCCATATTCAGAGCCATAGCATTCCAGTTGCATGACTTTGAAAATCCGTTAGCCAGAATCACCCGAATTCATGCTTTAGGAGCCTCTTCGAACGGTTAGATAATTGCTTTCGATGCCCAATTAGTACATTTCCGAATGATATATTCTAGCTTGGATTGAACCCACTTTCTAAGTATTTATTTTGGACTATCATCAGCCATTTCAGAAATGCAATTATTAATGAATAGTGATCCTAAAACCTAAATCTTTTAGCTTGTAATAATTAAAAGATTTTGGGATTTTTTGGGATTATTTCCTGCGATTTGCCACTTGCCCTTATTTTTTTCGTGCAATTATTAATGAATTGTGATTGTTCAAATGAAAATGATGAATTTCAATAGCAAATATTTTAAGTAAAATCTTCAAGAAAGATATAAATTGGATTCAGATCGGGATGCGGTTTTGTTTATTAGTTGTTCACGCTAAGAAGGATGTTGGAACATTGTATCAGCATATCAGCAACTAACCGTCAATTGTTTTATTGATTTTGTAGCTGCTTTCGATTCAATAGAGCAGAGCTTTAGAGGACCACGATGTTCTTGAAAAGATCATTCGACTCATAAAGATATTTTATCAGCGTCTTCATATATCTATGTTTATGAGAGACTGACAAACTCTTTCGAAATAAGAACTGGTGTTCATCAAGGCAAGGTTATTTCCTCTACAATTTTCGATTAATTGGATAATGACCTGTCAGCATTTTCAAGAGGTACAAATCAGTTCAGAGCATAGTATTGCAGATCTTGAATAAGCCGATGATGCAGTCATTTTTACTGATAATTGTTATAGTTGCAATGCAATCACTAAACAAACCATTCGTCAACAACTTCGGCAAGAAGCATATCAACGTAAATAAAACAAAAATCTTTTCGTCTTAAAAAAAAATACCTAATTCATTGCTGGCTGAGAAAGTGCCAGACTTTAAATGTTTTTATTCCACTCTAATCCCAATTGGACAAGTCAAAACGAAATTCTTTGATAACAGTTAGAAATGCCTTCTTCTGGTTCATAAAAACTTTATGGGGTTGTCACGAAATCACTGTAAAAAACGAATTCGTTCGATCTTGCTATATGGTTGCGAAATATGGCCGAAAGTATTGAGAGGTTATCTTCTTTTGACCATTCATGGATAAGATATACTTTATGGGTGAGTAGATAAAATCTAACAAGATTACATCCATCTTCACTTAAGTACCACAAGAATGTCGCCTTAGTTGGTTAAGGCATTTTCTTCGTCCTCATCATATTTCTTTGTTAAACGCTGTGATCAGTGGCATCAAAGGTGGGCCAAGGGATTTGGACTGATAGAGAGAAAGATTTCAAATGTATAGGCGAAAAAGCGATGTATGGACTTAGACGATGGAAAAAGGAATATTATTAGGAATATCAGCGATGGCGTCAGATAGCTTGGTTATCTTAGAAAAAGAAACTAAATTTGCAATTTGCAAACTTCATGGATTAATAAATTTGACTGAAATTTTTTTTTAAAATCTAAAATTTTTTAAAATATTTAAAACTGTAAAATTTTTTATGACTAAATTTCTTCGAAAAACACCCATCCCTAATATGAGATTTCATATGCTAAATTTGCTCTTGTCAAGGATAACGAATCTATGCTCAAATTTAGCAGAAATATTAGAAAACACCCTGCATTCCCGTAAAATTTCAACTTGTCTAAAAATTACCTAAAACCTTAATTCATTCCAGTTCATTTATCCTTGTTTATACGGGCTGACTTCTAGTTTCAAAAAAAGATGAAATACGATCAATCGCTTTCCTACCGTGTGATGCTAATGATGGAAAAAATTCGCCATAAGTTGATCCAGTAATTCGACAATTCCATTTGTGAATCGATGAAAGCCGTATGCATTCTTTAAATGAATCGTTCAATGCCTCTCGTAATACAGCTACTAATCCGGGATCTCTTTGTAAGATACGATAGATTTTCTGATTCAAAATACCTTTTAACTAAATTTTAGGCATTTATCGACCTATGAATATTTTATAAGTATTTTATAAGTACACAAAGAAAGAATGTCGAAATGGGAAATATTAAATGATAAATATTAAAATGAAAATAATGGTCGATTTGCGGAAATATACGTTTCATGGCTTTCATTCTTATTTTTTTCTATAATTTGCTCAGTTTTTTCGGACAAAAAATAAAAAATATGAATATTAATAAAAGTATAAAATCGAATGAAATCGGAAATCGGATAAATCGGATTTTGTCTATTATTTCATCTTAGAAATTCTGAATTGGTAATACGATGAAATATTCAAATAAATATGATTTTATCAAACTCTTAGCTCATTTATTTAATTAATTAATTTTTTTTAAAGCCTAATTAAATATGCAAAAATATTTTGGACCATTGGATAATTTCTGAAAATAATATTTGTCGCCTAAATTTTTAAATAAAAAAGTTCATTTTTATTCAAAAAAGTGGAATATAAAATTATTAATTAATAAATTAATTATTTATTTATTTAATACGCCATAATTGTAGCTTATTTGCATTTGCTGTGAAAAGATTACCTCAGCAAGCGATGATCGAATCCAATGTAGTCTCCTGAAATATATAATTAAATTTGTATAAAAATTATTAATTATTATAAAAATATAATATAAAATAATATAATATAAATATATATAGACTATTATAAAATTTTTTTCAAATTTCTCACATTTGAATATATATATATATATATATAAATTAATAAAATATCGAATATTTAAAAATATAATATAAAAATAATATTTACTATTGCTGATATCGATCTATAAACGCAAATAATATAATTTTATATTAAATAATAATATAATAATAAAAATAATTGAATTATTAATGGCGAGAATGGAAAAAAAACGAGGATAAATCTATCCTCAAAAAAAACCGAGTGGTGTTGGCAACCTATATGTGTCACCACGTTTCTCAGCAAAAACCCCTAACGCTAGCGCAGTGAGCGTAACAAAGAAATGATGAGCTAATTACTAATTATTCACTTATTTCTCAACGAAAAATAGTAATCAATCTTTAAAAAATACTAATTTGATAAAAATAATTAGTAATAAAATCTTTGCAAATTTCAATTTTCATTTATTCGAAAAGTTTTTCTCAAAATTCAGCGATCGTAATTTCATTAATTTAATGATGCGTTAAGGCTGTCAATTAATAAAAAAATTACCAGTCATCGAAACTATCAATTTTCTGTTGCAAGCGTACAGTAAGCATTGCTGTGAAGTACCATTAAAAGACCCATAGGAACTGCAAGATGTGGTTCATTATGACCCATCCGGTCCTACTATGGATAACAATGAAACATGCTTATTTAAATTATTACTCTAGTAGCATGATTATTACTCTAGTTTCGACCTCTATGGAAAAAAGGAGTGAATATGATGGCTGAGTTGATATGATGGCAGAATAACTAAGTCAAGCTATCACGAACTTTGCGGTTTGACTGGAATAAGCCTATCATTAAAAGTGGAATGCGAATAGTATTGGAAAATGGATATATGACTTGTACTGCTAAGTGATTCTAAGGTGAAAGTGCAACAGTGCTTAAAAAACAGTGGTGTCGATTAAACCAGAAATAGTGAATGAAAGCGGTTTCCCAACGTCGCATCGCTAGTATTTCCATTATTTCTTTGTTACTTTAAAAATCCTTTGTTTTTCATAATAAAAAATTAAAAATTTTAAATTTACTATAATCACATTTTAATTATTTTAATTTAATAAAATTGCATTTAAAATATTAGAAATGATAATTCAATAGCGAAATTTGATTTTAAAATATCTTTTGAATTTCTTTTAATTTCGAATTATTTACTAAATTCTTAAAATTTTTTATTTTATTTAAATTAAAATAATAATAATTAAAAATATAATAATTAAAATGTGATTATAGTAAATTTTATTTAAAGATTTCTTTATTATTATAAAAATCATTCCATTTCATTTATTTAAATAGAGAAAAGATAAGTAAAATGGTTGATATTTGAAATTTTTCTTTAAAAAATTTGATGTTTTGATAGTTTTGGATTTAGAAAATTTAAAATTTTTCAAAAAAAATTCGCTAGGAAAAAAATGAAGAAAAGAAATTTCTCACATAAACCTAGAATACAATTTGCGGATGATACGGTTTTTCGGAATCCATGAGCTAACAATCGAATTGTGAAAAATATATTCAAGAATTAATATTGTATATTCAATAATTATTAAAATGTCAAATTGATAATATATTCAATTGATAATATATAAAAATATATAATTGATAATATATATAATATATTGATAATATATATAATAAATTGATATGACATATTGATAATATTTAATTGATAATGTAGTTGATAATATGATATATCAAAAATTTTAAATTGATAAAAATTTAATATATATAGAATATTTTTATATTCTCTAATATATTCTTCAAAAAAAAATTCATTGAAACGAAAGCTGAAACCCTTAATTTTATTTAATTTTTGACCTTAATTAATTTTATCCTTAAATTTTGAATTTTATTTAAGGACAAAATAGAATCGAACAATTTTATTTAGAAGCTCCTTGAAAAAATAGAAGAATAAGAATTTTTTCCAGAGCATTTTAACTGATAAAATTTCACCTTAATAAATTCGATTATCTTTCGATTCTCGACTATGCACCAATTTTAAATTCAGCTTATCTTATTTGCATTTAAAAGCCGATCATCAATTTTTAAATTCAAAAATTTCTTGGAGTAAAAATGGCTCAGTGGCTTAGTGGTTTGTTGCTTAATTCAGAGCGCCGGTGTTGAGATTCTATCGCCCCCGCAGGAGTAAATCAAAAATTTAGGATGCTGGCGATTTACTTTCATCATCAAAGCACTCTTTAACTTATTTGCGCAGTAGAATAAGCCAACGGAACGATTCTAACTAGTAAAAATTCAAAATACGATTATTACTTTAAAAACCGATTATCATTTATAAAAATTTATTAAAATATGAATAAAAAATACTAACCACCATTGAGGTTCATCAAGTAAACGCGTATTGCAAGCGAAATTTATTAAAGAAATAAGTATTAGAAAGAAAAGAACCTTCCGAGGGTTTCGCATATTTTACTTTCGAAATCAAAACGAAATATGGTAAAGACGGTTGTATCGTCTCCTCTCGTTTATCGTTCATTGTATCCTCTTCGTTTTTATTATTACTATTATTATTATTATTCAAATCATTTTCCGGTTTCTCATAGTATAAACTGTTGCTTTTTTTGTTAATAAATTTTAAAAATATGTATGAATATTTGATATTTGACAATAAAAAAATTGATAATTTTTGTTTTACACTTATTTATTAAAATATATAAAAAATATATATTTTAATATATAAATATATGAAACTTTATAAGAAATTATAATATTTAACATTTAATTTTCTTTTTAGGTGAAAGAAAAAATTTATCATTTTTTTGATTGTAAAAATTTAATAGGCCAAAATAGAGAAATATAAATATTATAATATTGCTAACTTTGGCTAACTTTTACCATTTTTCATCGTTAACTTATAAGTTTTATGGATGGAAATAGATTTTAAGAATTTTTTTTGCCAGCAAATCACTTGCAAGCGATATTAATAGACGTGGATCACTTGCACTAACTGGATTTTTTTTAATGGATGATGGACATTTATTATCGCTAAGAAGTAGGATAATAGAATCTATGGTGCTAAATACATATCGAAACTCCACCATATCACTGCACTATCCTTAGCTTTATTTCCATCATGAAAGTAATTTTTTGGAAGCAATTTCTTGTAAGTTATTTTATGAACAAATGGTATTATAGTAAAGTTGACCAATCAAGACCTGGACTGATACGGTCAGGAAAGATTTTGAACGTATAGGTGGACCAGCAATATATGGACTTAGACGATGGAAAAAGGAATGGCTTCCATTACTGTCGACGATGGCATCAGACCGCGCCACTTGGAAGCGTCTTACCCTTGTAGCCGTTGGAGCCAGGCTAACCAGTAATGTTAGAAGAAGAAGAAGAAGAATAGTAAAGTTCAATGCATTTTTGTAGCAAAAAATTATGGCTGTTTAACGAGAGTTAAAGATTTGCAAAACAACTATCAAAAAGTTTTGTGAATTATTAATTATAAATAACAAAAATTAATTAATATTGAAATATTGTGAACTTTAATTTTCGTAAATTTTATGAAAATTGTATTTTGGAAAAAATTTTATATAATAAATAATGAAATCAATTGGACCCTTAAGAATCAATTTAAACCTTCTGAAATCACTGTTTTCACGCTGTTTCAAAAATTATTATTATCCATTTAATAAATATTCTAATAACGATTTAATAATGCCATATTAACTGGAATATTTATTTTAATAATTATAATATTTGACATTAATATCTTTGATAATTAATTGATAACATCGCCAAGCGCTCAACAATTTAATAAATTGGCATTAGGAAATTCTTTAATTGTTCCATCGACTAGTTAAAAAGACTGAAATATCTATTAATATTGCATACTTAAATACTTTAATCTTACAAAAATCTATTATCAGCATCCTGGATTTTTTGAATCCACAGTGTTTAGTATGCTTAAAAATTTAAAATGTTAAAATTAGATTATATTAAATATTATATTAAATTATATTAAATGTTATATTACAACAATATAAAAATAAAAAAAAAAACATTAATTACAATTAATTATTATTGTCATTTTTAGGTGATAAACTTTAATACGTGAACGTAAAATAATATTTGTAATATATCCATAAATATCCATAATAAATATATCTATAAATATTGTAAAAATTATTATTATCATTATTAAAAATTATTATTATTATTAAAAATTGTTATTATTATAAATTATTAGATTATCAATGATGATTAAATCTCATTAAATAATTTATATATAATCTGCTATCGAGAAGACCGTTGGAAAAGTTCCATTGGTTCTCACAGGTTTTCATTTTTCATAAGAAGCTAAAAAGAACGAATAAAACCATACTGTGGTCTATTTTTAAAATTCAGTTCAACCAGCGATTCTTCCCTCTTTGTTTCATGGTTCTCGCAGATTCGCCCTGTGGCCTCTCTTATTCAGAAAGTTTTTTTTTTTAAATTGTCAAATATATAATCTTATTTTTTCAAATTTTTTCTATGCCCTCAGGAAATTTTCTACGTTTGCCCATTGAGAACCAATTATTTAGATATTTAACTATGTATAAATCCATAGGATACATTAGCATCTATGATGACAATATTTGAAGCGCTTAGTTCAATGTAACAACGTGATTAGTGTACGTTTAAAGCACGTTTCCGTGAAAAAAATCAATAGAATATTTCACGTATAAATCAATAATGTATTGTTTGCATTTCGAAGTGCTCATCGATGAATCAATTTTGTTATATATCAACATGTAAATATTATCATTTAGCAACGAAACAGTCAATAGTGGTTTATCGTTGTTCTTGCATAATGGATGGTGGCCAAATATTTATTGATTTGAGGACATCGGTCACCACGTGTGGATCTCATAATGGTATTGTAGTATATTCTGGTGTAATTCAAGGCAATACTAAGACGAGTGATCTTTTCTATTCTCCCTATTCTAACACACCAATTTCACCTATACAAATCACGTCGATTCCCAGTTCTAGCGTTGAACCGTATATTGGCCCAGAAAATTTGTCGCCTTTATTGATTTGTGATACATCAAATCCACAAGAAAAACCGAGCTCACCACAGAGTCCGACTTATTCATTTGGAAAAAGCGATTCACCACCAAATGAATTCATCGATCATTTGGATCGAATTCATTTGAACGTTTTTCAGGTTATATTTGCTGTATTTTTTTACGAAACCATTTAGGTGTGTATTTCTTTATTGTAATAATATTTTTTTGTGCTGTGGACCCCTTTTGGTGATCCGGTGAGATATATGGTCCACATTTTGAAATGTGTTTTTCAATATTGCAAAGAAAAAGCAGCATGTTATTAAAACATTTATAATTTCTATTAGTGAATTGGTAGTACCAGCGGTACCATTACTCTATTTTATTATTAGATATATTTGTAACTGAAGGAAAAGTTCAGTTATGAATTAGTGAAAAAGAAAAATTGAATTTTTTTTCATCAAAATGCATGGACCAAGTCTATTCATAAGGTACCAAGTGATCTGTCGGTTCATGGTTCATGCTAATTTTTTTTTTCTAATATACCTTTTTTGAGGACACTAACACGCTTTATTATTAATTATGCCAGCTTCTTTATTAGTTCTAATTCTAAGAAATAATCATACATAAATTAGTTATTGAAATAGAAAATAAGTGATGAGCCTTATCCTCTTAAATTTTACCCTAAGCTAAACTTATTAAATTTAAGGCCATAATAGTAATAATAAAAAAGTCGATTGGTACTTTAAATTTCCACTGGACATAGGTTTAATTTGATTTATAACGATAAATTTCATTTCCAGTGGAAATTTTCACCATAGTTTTTAGGATTCTGTGGAAGCAACTTGTCCATCAACCAATCGTTTGAACAAATGCGTTAAGTCCGATACAGTCGAGTCGGACACCACTCTTCAGTCTAATCCTATAATTAAAAATAATCGTTCTTTTGTACCAAAATCAAATTTGCATTATTCGTATCCTCAAAAAGCAAAAAAGTTGATTTTTATTTTTTATAAATTTATAAATTTACAAAAGAAAAAATTCTTTATTTTATTTTATTTTATTTTATCTTTATTTTAATTATTTTCAATAAATAATCTTTTGAATTCTTCTTCGATAGGCAAATTTATTGAAACTGTGGATTTTTGTGGATTTATTTCAGGGCAAAAATATTATTCTGTCGAAATAATAATTATTTTCAAATAATTATCAACAAATAATTATTATTAATATTATTATTATTATTATTAATTATTATTATCAAATAATTATTATTTTTTCGAAGGCGTTTTGATAATATATTCACTATCACTCAAATCAGAAATAGTGAAATGTTCATTCTTAGGAGAAATGATAAAATAAAATGATAAGAAATAATGATAATAATAAATGCTAATAATAATGATGATAAAAATAATGATAATGACAATAATGATAATGATAATAATGATAATGATATATCACTCGGTTTTTTGATTTTTGATTTTTCTTATTAAGAAAATTTTTATTTATTTGAATTTTTATTTATTTAATTTACTTAATTTAACTTTTACTTTTAGTGTAAAAGTAACATTAAAAAATTACGATGAGAATTCGAATCGTTCAATTTCAACAAATAATTATTTTCTCGATGAATTAGAAAATAATCAAGAAATGATTTCTTCATCGCAAAGAAGATTAGCAACGGAAATCGAACCAACCGATTATGCGAATCAAATTCGTCGTTCTTCTTCATTGCTTCCAGCTAAATCGCTAATCTCTCTTAACGAACATTCTTATGGTAAATAGAAGGAATTTTTTTTTTTTGATTTTTAGGATTTAATAAAAATTAATATTAATAAAATTCAATTGGTTCCAGTAAGCTATTTGTCTTATTCTCTAAAAAGGCTAATCTCTTAAAAGGGGTCATTCAAGCAGTCGACGAAGGTAACCGTATCAGATGAAGAGAAAATATATTAATTGGATATATATTAGAATAAAATATGAGATCGGTCAGAGCGATATTTGGGGGGAGAGAGAGGGGAACGGGGAAAGAAGCTTAGATTCTTCAGCACCACCCTGAGATAAAATATATTTATTATTAAAAATCGCTTTTTTTAAAATACGGTGCATTCAGATAATCAGAGAAATGGTTCGTTGGCTAGAATTGCCTGTCGAGAGCAGAAATTTATGGAAGACGACTATCGTAATGATTTATCTGCAAATCTAAAGCAACAACGAATGAGGAGAAATATAGATTCTAGTGAAGAAAATGCTAAACAACTCGAGAAGAATCGTTCAGTTATGGTTCCAACACGAGACTATGAAATTTTATATGAAAGGAGTCGTCAAAATTCAAAACCCGCCGAGGAAGATTTTCATCTTTATGAGACTCGAGACGCGTTAGGCAATATTCGATTCCACTGGTGAAATTCTTCTTGTATTTGCATTTATATTTGTGCTTTCTAAAAATATCAAATAATCTCGATTTTTGTAAAATACTCGCAATTTTTCTTATTCTCCTCTAAATTTCTTCTTCTTCTAGCGGTTCTCACCATTACTGGTTAGGCTGGCTCCACTGGCTACAGGCGTAAGACGTCTTCAAGCTGCTCGGTCCATCGCTAGTAATGATAGAAACGATTCCTTTCATATATTGCTGCTCCACCTATATTTACATTCAAAATCTTTCCTGACCGTATCAGTCGAGGTGTCGATTGGACCACTTCGCTTTTGATTCCATCCATTAAAGGGTTCCTCTAGCCATTTAACAGCTTCCAAGTGAAAAAAAAAGCGAATAAAAGATTGGTTTTTTAAAAAACTACTTGTAAATAGATGAGAAAATAGTAGACTTTTAGTGATATTTTATCCTTCTTATTGTATTTATTATATATTTGTTATGAATAAATAAATCTTCAAACATCGCCTTAGAATAAAATCTCTTAACCAGAACGCCACCTGCAATTACGGATAAGTTGATCTTCAGTGAAGAGCCGAGCTTTTGACCTTACTCAAAGCAAAAGTACCATTCAGCCACTCTGTCCCTAAGATAATTGAGCAATAACAATGCATACCATGAATTACACAGTCCATTTAAGAAAATGCAAAGTAAAGTGTTTCCTATTTTTTTAAAGAGACCTTCTTATCTTAGTAAATCTTAGTAATTAGATTTAGACTGATTGCACTGATTATCACAAAAAGCTTCGAGTACCATCCATTCATCTTCAAAGATTTTATTTATAATTTTTTGAAATCTCTTCGACATCGATTCGTGAGTTTTCTTTAAAACTATCATTATTGGAACTTAACAATCGTCGACTTATTTGTTTATTAAGAGGGTGGTTAAGCATTTAGCATTTTCAGTTTGTCTCTGCGGGTTATTAATACAGTCAAAAAATTTTGTGAGGGAATCATTTGACGATATATGTAAATAGATTTCCAACATTATAGGCTTTAATGAGCTTAACAGGTTTATTCCTCTCGGAGAAAGGAATCGAACCCACACAAGTTGAAGTACCACACAGCCACACATGCCCTTATTCCCGTACATGACAAATTTTACCCAATTGTACCGCAATTTATCAATTACATTGCAACCTTGTGCCGCAGCATCGTCTGCATTATGGCTATTGCTATTTCGCGATCAAAATTCGGATGGTATATTTTTTCAATACACTTTTTAATTTTTTGTTTTCGCGGTCGGTTTTTTATTTACTAAAATTTGTTTCTATTTTTCTTATAAGATTTCATTCATTTCCATTGATATATTATTTTTATTAATTGATTTTTATTAATTCTTTAAGATTATTATCGTTATTATCACTAATGATCAACGATTCAGGATTGTCTGTTATCATTTTTATCACTAATTGATCAACGATTTAGGTTGTCTTTTACCATTGCTGTCATTAATTTATCAACGATTTAGAACTATTATCATTATTATCATTTTTAATAAATATGGATGATGATTATATGGATGATCAGGATTATAATTTGGTATATTATATTTTAATTATATAATTAAATTCAGTTATTATATTTTAGACGTTGCCGAAGGAAATATTAGGAATTTAAGAGAGAATATAGAGATAGAAGAAACTTATAAAATTGTTGATATGTTATAAGATAGATTGGTACATATCTGCGATGTCCTATTACCCATTATATTGTACAATTGTTTTTGCTAATTTAACCTGTTTTTCTCTTTTCATTTTAAGTTCCATTATGTCGTTGAAATTAGTAGAACAATGATGATGAGTAGGAAAGAATATGGAGATCCATTATTAATTTAAGTTGTTGTTATTAAGGAAATAGCGAAGTGATTTTAAGAAAATCACCAATAAGCAAGGTCAGTTCTCCCAGTTAATTATAAAGTATCAAACTTGGTTTAGAAAAATCAGTAAGAAAGAAATGGTTTTTTTGTAATTGTGATATTTAGGAATATTCGGACGATTCGGATTCCGAGCCAGATGTTGATCTAGAAAATCAGTATTACAATGCTAAAGCTCTTAAACAAGAAAAAGATTACGATGGTGCTTTACAAGGTTTTCATAAAGTTCTCGATTTAGAAGTTGGAAAAGGCGAATGGGGTTTCAAAGCTTTGAAACAAATGATCAAAATAACCTTTGCATTGGTGAATGTTTTGAATTGAATTTATTTTTTATATATTTTAATTTTCATTAATTATGGATATTAAAATAATGTAATTTTCTCAGAGAAGTAAATTTTTATTTTTATTTATAGCATTGCCAATTTTCATTGTTTAGAATTCATATGAAGCTATGCTGGATTATTATCATCAATTATTGACGTATATCAAATCAGCTGTTACAAAAAACTATTCGGAAAAGTCAATAAATTCAATTTTGGATTATATTTCGACTTCGAAGCAAATGGATTTACTTCAAGTATTCTACGAAACAACATTAAATGCTCTAAAGGTTAATTTCTTTAAATTTTATTCGATAATTTATTTAGATTTTCATGTTTTTTCAGTCACTTTCGATTGCATTTATTTCTGAAATTAATATGTGTTGAGTGTAGTGAAGGAATGGAAATAAAATTTAAGGATGCAAAAAATGAGCGCCTTTGGTTCAAAACAAATTCGAAATTAGGAAAACTCTACTTCGATAGAAAAGAATTCGGTAAACTCGAAAAAATTATCAAACAGTTGCGCCAATCATGCAAAGTAAGTAAACGATTATTTTTAGTGCAATGTTTTTCTCAGAGAATTATTTGTTTTATTGATTTTTTATTCATTTGTTCAAGCGTTTTTGTTAAAATCTTTGCTTATGCTTTTGATATTCTTACAGTATTTGATATTTGGAATATTCACAGATAAAATTGCAGAATGAAGTAGGCGAAGATGATCAGAAAAAGGGAACACAGTTGCTCGAAATATATGCTCTTGAAATTCAGATGTACACTGAACAGAAAAATAATAAAGCTTTAAAAGCTGTTTATGAGCAAAGTTTGCGGGTGAAAAGTGCGATTCCACATCCTCTCATTATGGGAGTTATTCGAGGTTATCGCTTTATTTAATTCTAAGGTTTAATTTTTTATGATATATCACTGTTAATATGAAATTCTATTAGACGACAGTCAGTGAAATATTTCTTGATTTTTTTTTTTCATTTTTTCCATTTAGTCTTTTTGTTTCAATTTTAATAATTTTAAACGATGAATGTTAGATTTTCTTACTTTATATCTTAATTTATATCAATTTCAAAAAAATTTATGTTTTTAGAATGATATTTTGAATCTTAAATTCCTTTCTTTTATTCTTTGATTCTTTTAAGAATGCGGTGGAAAAATGCATTTGCGTGAAGGCCATTTTGACGAAGCACATACGGATTTTTTCGAAGCTTTTAAAAATTACGATGAAAGTGGTTCAGAAAGGCGAAGCAATTGCTTGAAATATCTTGTTTTATCGACAATGCTTGTCAAGTTCGTTTTTATATTTTGGATTTAAAATCAAAAATCAAATTTTTCATAGACATTTTTTTCAGATCCGTTATCAATCCTTTTGATAGTCAAGAGGCGAAACCATTCCGTAATGATCCAGAGATAGTCGCAATGAATCGCCTTGTAAGCGCTTATCAAAATAGTGATATTCATGAATTTGAAGAAATTTTGGAAAGCAATCGTGAATCGATTATGGCTGATCCTTTTATACGTGAGCATATTGAGGAATTATTAGCAAATATTCGCTCAAAGGTTGATATTTTTATTATCAATTCTTTTATGTTTGATTTTCCATTACGAATGTCTGGATTTGTCGAAATATCAAAGATATTTTCAATCAAAATATTCTAATCGATCTAATCTATCAAAATATTAATAAATCTTATAAAAATCATTTGTTTTTTCAGGTATTGTTAAGTTTAACGAAACCATTTACTCGCGTGAGATTAAGTTATCTGGCCCAAAAACTTCATATAAATATCGATGAACTAGTTAAATTACTTGTTGAACTGATCCTTGATGGAACATTAAACTGCAAAATCGATGAAATAAATGGAATACTTATTGCAAATTCAGCCGATGATGAAAGGTTTGAGTTAGCTTTTTTTTTGTTATTTTGGTCGATATTAGATTTTGGTGAATAAAGCAATAAAAAATTAATTATTTCGATTGGTTTATACATATTTAAAAATTTTTAAAGAATTATTAATGATATTTTATAAAGAGATTTTGCCTCACTTTATTTCTTTTTTTCATTATTATTGCTTTGAGACTTTTGAAGAAATCTTTTTATGAATCAAATATTCAAATCATTTCAGAAATTTTATAGTGTGTTTGATCTAAATTCCATTTTCATTTCTTTAATTATATTTTTTATTGTATTTATTTTATTTTCTATCTGACAGCTTATTTGGATTGCCTAGTTCATACTGTGGAGGCTGCTGATATCATTTAATGTGAATATTTTGCAGGTATGAGGCATTAGAAGCATGCGTCCAAAACTTGCAAATGCTTGGCATTTCAATTGTTGATCGATGTGTCTAATGAGATTAGAAGATTTTCTCTGTCGCCCGATTTTGACCATATTTTTTTTTATCACTTTGGCTCATTTGGCTAATATATGGCCAGTATATGTTTTAATTAACTTCATAATTTTCAATATCAAAGTTCGGTAGATTTGGTTCAGTATCGATGATATTTTTTTAATAGGTCGAATTTGAAAAAAGGATATTTTTATATCTTGGGCGTTTATTTTATTATAGAATTTCGCGACATAGCTGTTGTATTGTTTTGTTTTTATTACGTTATATTACGCAATTTTTCATTGTCATGATTAACAGATATTAATACTGCTAGTGCTACTATTATTATTATTTATTATGTTTTCGTTGTAATATTAATTTTATGTTGCATTTGATTAATAATAATTACTGTGAGATTATTGTTATTAATAATTACTGTGAGGTTTTTATTGAGTTTTAGCTGCTTAGAAAATATTTTCTCTCAAATTCAGATGGATTTTTGTTGGATGGAATTTCTTTTAGATTTGTTTTCTTTTTTTTTTTTGATTTTTGTTTTTGTTTTCAGAGCTGAAAAATTTTTTTGCATTTATATTTAATCAAAAAGATTTGATTCTTTTTGACTGGTTTTTGAATTGATAATTTTTTATTCAGTCGAACTATACTTGTGATAATTTTATGCTATATAAAAATCTAAAATAATCCCATTCGCTTTTGCGATGATTTTTGCGATTTACAATATCTCATAAATAATTTCGATATTGTGACTGTTATTTTTGAAATTTTATGAGGCTTATTTGAATTGTTTTTACATAAACGTAAATATTTAGTTTCATAAAATAGCGAAGCGTGTTAACTATGAACAATGATATGAATGAAACGCGTCGAGAATTGGCGGATCTCGTAAAACGACGATCTGAAATAGCGGTTTGATTTCTATTTTAATGACAATTTTTCCGCATATTTTCTGATTTAGAAATGGAACTTGTAAAGAAATTTGACCAATTGCAGCACTCTTACTTAATATTTCAAGTGTGGATACTTTTTACCGCTAAAGTCTATAGGAAATTTTTTTCAGGAAATTTTAAGTTCTCTTGAGCAGCAAATCTACAATTTTGAAGGATCTTATTTGGACGAAACTGCTGAATATGGAAATGTCGTCAAAGGTCGGTGTTTTTCTTTTTCAATTCAATTCAGTTTGATTTTTTAATTCAATTTATAATCGCGTTTTTATTGTTTTAATTCATATAGAATACAATAATTTTTTATAATTTTTAAAATCTATAATTTTTGCAGGTTGGGATCGGTTTGCATTAGTAGCGCCGCCTTCAAAAAATAGTCTAAAATTGGAAAAAAAAGGATCGAGAAAATCACTTCGTGATTCTGAAAGAATATTCTCTAATTCATCAGTGACTTCGCCAGCCGCTCTAAAAAATAGTGTATCACAACATATAGCACATGAAGATAGTCCGAGCAATAATAATCGCTATAATCGCGATAATCATTCGAAGAAAGGAAGCAAAAAAAGCCGAAGAAATGATTCATTTTCAAAATAGTTTTTTCTCAATATTTTTTATTTTTGTTCTTAAAAAATAAAGTTTTGGTTGGCAAATTATTAGTTATATGTCAATCTTAAAAATTTGGACAACTTAAATTAAATTAGAAAAGTCGAAATTTTATTGTAAATTTATTATTAAATTTATAACGAAATTGCTTTTTTTCGATGAAATTCAATGAAATGATTATTGAATTCATGAATGAATGAATCTTTTTTTCCCATTATGTTTCATTTTTTTTATTGAATATTTCGAAAAATTTTAAAAATTGTTAACATTTAAAATGATACCGAAAGGATGAATAAGAGCAATTTATATATTATTTATCTCATTTTTATTTATATGTATATTTTTTTCATCATTTTTACTGAATTTTTTTTGTTTGTCTTTCAATTTTTTAAATTTTAATCTCAGAGGAAGGCTGAAAATTTATATTATAGTAATATTTTATCATTTTTTTTCTGCTTCGTGATTTATGACAATTTTTGGCTTCAACAGCTTTCTAATGAAAGTGATATAAAGTGAACTGATAAATTTATGTGTCAATAGAGTGGATTTTTTTTTTTCAAGGCTCTTCTACCTTAATATTCTAATTTTTAAAAACAAAAAATTTAAAAATTTAATTTAAAATTTTTCAAATTAAATTAAATTTAACTTAAAATTTAACTTGTGGATTTGTTTAAAATAAGCATAAAACTGGATAAAAACTGTATAAACCTAATTTAGGATTGTTTTATACAGTGCATTTTTATAAAATATTTTAGGTTTTATTGAGATATCAATGGATTTTATCACGATGCATCGATGTTTTGCAGTTTTATGATCACACGCAGAGCTTTTTTTTGCTTAAATTATTTTAGACTAGCAAGTAAAGATTTGATATGGATCATGAATTTTTATATGTATATAGTTATGAAATAAATGAAAATGTTCGAATTCGTGTTGTATCCTTAGAAGGTGTTGCATCCAGCCTTGAACGATTTCTTTATGTTACTGGAAACAATTTCTTCGTCACTGTTACGGTTATTTTCAGTGATTTATAATGCAATTTTTATTTAATTAAATTTGGGACTAATTAGGTCTATTAATTTTGTTGAACGATTAATATTTGGTTTATTACAGGTTTATTGCAATGATCGCTCAGTTGGTTGTCCAGTCTCAACATCCTATAAGCCTCCACCAGAAATAATAAGGCATGCTTTACATGAATGGGATGAGTGGATCATTTTGCCAGTGAAATACAGGTAGTACTTATACTATTCGCGTTTTTAATTCAAAAACTGCGGCCATTTAAAATTTTTTTTTGTTGTACAAATTATTTTAGATTTAGATTTTTTTGTTGATAAATTCTTTTATTGATAAATTTTTTTCAGTGAACTCAGTCGCGATTCATTTTTACGCCTTTGTTTATGGGATGTAGGTAAAGAATTGGAACCAAGGTTTGTGGCCCAAGCAACTATTACTTTATTTAGTATGAAAGGTGTTTTTCGTTGCGGACCACAGAGTTTATGTTTAGAAAGGGAATCTTCATTCGATCAGCTACCTTCTAAAAAGGTTTTTTTTTAAAGAGATTTTTATATACAACTAGAAATTATGAATTGCAAATTGTTAAATTATTCATTATTGCCAATTGGAATGACCAATTTTGAATCAGCCAAATCGATTAGAGATAAGAAGTAGTTATTAGTTCAGATTATCTAAGCTGAAAAATCCACTAGTGACTCACCTGTATTTCTGTTGCTAAGTGGGCAAAAATTTCTAACCATATTAACAACCAATAAAGCACCAGGAATAGTGAGCCATAACTACTTGCTTAATTTTTCTTGCTAGATTTACCAATTTGAAGCAAATGTTTTTTGGGATTATATGGATGACGTAGAAAAAAAGTAGATTTGTAGATTAAATAGAAAATATTTACGAAGATACGAAGATTTTTAGCCGTATGAGTTATCTGACACTGATCGATTGCACAGACTCACTAAAGATTATGGAGAAACATTAATTGACCATGTGGATTGGTTGGATCGTTTAACATTTCCTCGCATAGAAAGGCTCAAACGTGAAGTATTTATTATATCACATTAATAATCAAACTGCTTTTTCAATTAATGTATTATATTAATATTTATTCATTTACAATATGGTTAAATATATAGGGTATGATGGTGGAATGATGTGATATGATGTTCAACTATGATCAAACCATCATAGGTTTCCTTCTTCTTCTTGGCTTGAATAAAACTACCGTGAAAAATGAAAGGACGATGCTGGGAAATAATTCCATCTATTTTTATCTTCAGTTAATTATCTAAAGAATTGGTATCATCCAAATAGCTAATGGATGTTACAAATCAAAAAGTTATAAGTCTTTGACCACTCATGTCTAAGATACATTTTACAGGTTCACTGAGTGGATTTAAAATTTTGCATGGTTATATACACTTTCACATCCACTTTCACTCACTCAAATACCACCCCGCATTAATACGACCATCATAGAAATTTTGAATACCGTTAGAAGATGGAATTCTGTTGAACGAAATTTATTATTCATTGTTAAGTTTTATTGCTCTAACAATATTATAATATATTTTCATCTATAATTTTTATAGAGTGAGAATAGTCAACGATGTCTCTTTTTAATGATTGAATTGCCTCGAGTGGTTCTTGGAAATAATACTTATTCCATTGTTTATTACGAGAGGGATGAAGATACAAAAATTTCGCCATATAATGCACCTTATCCTACTGATCCAGAACTTGGAATGGATAATTTGTGCGAAGCGAAGCATCATATGCTAACAAGAAGTGCGCGAGCTGAAATTTTCGAACGTGAACTGAAACCGAATGCGTCCACTCGAGAAACTTTGGAAAAAATTTTGCAAGTAAATTTAAAACGATTTATTTCCTACATTCTTTTATTCTTTTTCCGTCTACTATTGTGGAAAACTTGAGTAGAAAATTTTTTCGTATTTCAATCATTTTTTTTGAAATATTTATAATGACTCAATTAAAATTTGAACATTTTTTAGATTTTTAAATTGTTTATTTGGATTTTTTCTCATAAATAGTGATTTAGTGAAATTTATTTTCTGGTTGCAGATGCCTTCTTCTTACCCAATCAGTGTTGAACAACGAGATGTTATTTGGAAATTCAGATATTATTTGCGCAGTAACAAAAAAGCTCTCACTAAATTTGTAAGGTCTGTAAATTGGAACGAAACTAAAGAAGTTATGCAAGCGCTACAATTAATAAGGTCTGCTCATTCAGTACAACTTTTGATGAAAGATCATTTAAAAATAAATAGAAAAAATTCTAATTCGATTTGAAATACTCTTATTTTATTCGGTTTTTAAATTTTTTTGGTATTTTTTAAAGAATTAAAGAATTTTAAAGAATTAAAAGAGTTGTCTTATTTCACCATATTTATTTTAAAGTGAGTGGTCTCCGTTAGAAGCAGAAGATGCTCTCGAATTACTTTCACCTTCTATTCAAAATGAAAATGTTCGTCGTTATGCTGTATCACGTATATCAGAAGCTTCTCATGATGAAATTCTACTGTATCTGCCGCAGCTTGTTCAAGCGCTAAGATATGAACCCTTTACAATTAATGATAATTTTCGAGTTTCAACCCAAATTTTTTCGGTAATTGTTTCAGTAATTAAAAACATTTTATTTCTATTTTATCCAATTTTTCTTCTCAAAAAAAGACACTTTTTATTTGATGATTATCATTTAATTGATGATGATTATCATTATCATTTAATTAATTTTTTTTTGTTATTTCGAGGTTTCATTTATGCAGAGATTTTATATATTTTATTTAAGCACCATAGGTATTTAGTGAAAAATAGTCGATTTTCAGTCTGATGAGGAAAATGATGAAACAGGAAATGGTGAAAAATATAACGATAATGCTATGCAACGAGTCTCACAAGAATGCGAAGTTAAGAACGATTTGTCATCATTCTTAATTCGTTCTGCATGTCAAAATCAATTTATCGCTAATTACCTTTATTGGTTTCTGAAAGTTGAGGTCATTTTAGCTGATTTTTTTGCTGTTGGAATATGGTTAATAATGAATTTTTACTGCAGCATAAAAACTTTGCAAAAAAATCAATATTTAGCAATATTTAGCAAAAGTCTTTTTTTTAAGTTTCAAAGATATTTTTTAAAATTGATAAAGATTCCTGTTGTCATATTATTATAATCATACGTAGTTTATATAAGTCAATTTATTAATTTTCAGTTTTTTAACGAATCGATTATATAAAACTTTTTAACATTCTATTAAAGATCGAATCAACTCGGTTAGTTAAACCAGACATATCTGAGATGTATAAAACTGTAATGGAACAATTGCTCGCAAAACTTGAAACTGGCAATGACGAATCGCGTCAGTGGAATCAATATTTTAAGCGTCAGCAGGTATATATAAAATTTTTATTTCATTAATTATAAAATTGAATAATAAATTAATTCCAAATATTAATTTATATATTTTCAGAAGTTAATTAATGAACTTGTTGCCACCGCGAAATATTTATCGCAAAATTATAGTTCTCGAAGTGAAAGAACCACCGCATTAAAGCGAATACTACAAGAGAAAGAAATATTCGAAAATTTGGGTAATATTCCTCTTCCTCTTGATCCAAGTATTCGAGTAACTTCTATTGTGGCAAATGAAGCATTTCTTTTCAATAGTAATCTTATGCCTATGAAACTTACATTCAGTACTGAACAAAATCAAAATTATGTGGCTATTTTTAAAAAAGGCGATGATTTAAGGTATATTTTTTTTATTTCTACCGCTTTTCATTAAATTGCATAAATATTTTACTTTTTTTCTATTTGCTTTATCTTTGAAATTATTTGCTTTCTTTTAAAGGCAAGATCAATTGGTAGTACAAATGATTCGTTTAATGGATGGTATCCTTCGGGCAGACGGGCTTGATTTGCGCCTTACTCCTTATCGCGTTCTTGCTACTTCAAGCACAGAGGGCTTCGTGCAATTTGTTAAAGCGAAACCTTTTCGGGATGTAATTTCGACATGGGGCTCAATAACTGTTCGTATTTTAATTGTTGTCATCATATTTTCATATTTAAGCTTGGTTTAACTCGATTTGAACCAATTATTATTTTTTTGAAAGATTTTAGGGTTTTCTGCAGTCTTTTCGACCATCTCAATCGGGAACATTTGGAATTGAACAGGAAGCTTATGATAATTATATACGATCTTGTGCTGGCTATTCTATTATTTGTTATATTCTTGGAATCGGTGATTTTTTTTTCTTCTTTACGGGAATTTAAGCATTAATTATTAATTATATATTAATTCAGGCGAAGAAAGTTTTTTTTATAGGCGATCGTCACTTGCATAATTTACTATTATGCGAAAATGGGAAAATGTTTCATATAGATTTTGGCTATATTCTTGGCCGAGATCCTAAAATACTGCCACCACCAATGAAATTGTCTCCAGAAATGATTCACGTCATGGGAGGTCCAGAAAGGTGCACTTTTTATTGGCTCTTATATTGTTTGCGAGTTTTTTAGCATGGAAATTAAGGAAACAAATGAAATTTACGAAAATGTTAAGGTTATATTTGATAACTTTATTTTTTATTTGTTTTCATTATTTTAATTATATTTTACTTACCTTTGTATTATTCGAAAATTGTAAAAGAAATTTTTTTTAGAAAAGAATGGCACGATTTTCGTTCATTGTGTTTCTCGGCATTCAATATACTTCGGCGTCACGCGAATATTATTTTAAATTTGTTTTCTTTAATGCTGGACGCTGGAATACCTGATATTGCCTTAGAAAAAGATAAAGCAGTGCAGAAAATCGAACAGAGGCTAGTTTTACAATTTTTATACAATTTTTGTACGATTTGGAGATTATTTATAGTTAATTCTTTTTTTTTCAGATTTCATTTAGATTTAAACGATGAACAAGCAAACCGATTGATTCAGCGCTTGATTGACGTTTCAGTTAGCGCAAAGATGCCAAAGATAACTGAAATGATGCATGATATTAATCAATTATTGAATAACTAACTTTTATCACCACTTGGTCTTAATTAAATTCTTTATTCTCTTATTATTGTTATTCTCTTATTATTTTTTAAGGCCAAAATATTTCGCAATGAAAATATTTCACCGTGTCAGAAAGAAATTAATTCCACTTTTATATTAATATATATATATATATATATATATATATATATATATATATATATATAGCAATTATGATCAATAATTTGATATTAACGCATTATAAATATATATGCATGGAATAATAGAATGAAAATTTTCGCTTATTATAAAATCATAATTCATTGATAATATAATCATTTAATTAATTAGTCACTTATAGAACTTAAAAGATGTTATTTTTTATGGACTCTTTGGCTAAAAGATGGCTTTATCCTCATGAGTCCCATTTTTAAACGATTTTCACGCACTATTTGATAAGATTTGAAAATGGAAAATATGAATTTCTTTTTCCGACATTTAAATACTCATTTACTTGCCTCATGGTTTAAAATCACGTATTATTAATCCATATCAATGCTCTGATAAATGGCTATTTCTAAGGATATCAGCGTATAAAACTTGTTAACATATTGGAGGCTATTCGAAATTCATTAACCTTTCGCATTAGTGGTCGTTATTATTTGTTATCATAGGAAAAGCTAAAAAAAAAAAATATAAAGAAGATAAAATAATGAACATGCAAATAAAAAAAAAAATTAAATGGCCATTTGATGTCGTGAGAAGCCACATAGCCATATGGCAGGCAGTTCAATAATTCTTCCATGCTAAGCAAAATCAATTCGTTGAAGGACTTTGGCGCATTCAAACATTGTGTTTTGCCAACACACTTCCATAGATCCTTCGTCATTATTTGCTTCATAATTAAGGAATGCAAAATATTTTTTATTCCATTGCAAGAACTGCTGGTAATAAATTTACTGATATAAAAGATAATGCCACCTATGTCGCAGGTTAATATTTTATCACTTCCTTATCACTTAATTAAATAAAGATCAGCATTTCATAATTTGCTTATATTTCCTCTCAGAAAATGGCAGTACTAAAGATTTCATTTGCATTTCATTTCTTAAAAGTTTAAAAATTCTCTATGATTTTATCGATAAAATTCGAAAAATAAAATTTGTTAAGAAAAATTTTTTCTTGCAACTGCAAAAATTGAATTATAATTGTTGATTTGTATAATTAATAAAACGGTTTTTAAATTATTTTAGAGCTAAGAAATGATATTTGTAAGTAATGATAAATGATAAGAAAATAAATCTAAATTTTAGTAATTTTTTAAAGTGTTTTATCATTTTATTTGATACTTTAGATTTCATTGTCAGAATTATTAGGTATTTTCGTTAATTTTTCAATTGTTATTCGATGCATAAATTTTTTAGAAATTTTAAAAGTTAAGGTAATTTTTTAAGGCAAAAAATTTTTAAAATTTTAAATTTCATGTCAATGATTTTGCGATAATTATTAGCAAATTGCGATCATTTAGGATATCTAAAAATTCTTATTTATTTTATTTCTTTCAAATTCATTTCCAAGCCATTGAAATGAAACAAAAAAAATTTGAACGAGTAGGTTGGCATAATTTAAAAAATTTAGCAAATTCCTTTCTTTGAGAACATCGTTTCTGTCAATTTTCATTTCCTTAAATTGGCTTATTGGTTTTATTTTATTTATATTTGTAATTAATATTAGATTTCGCCGTGTAAAATTATATTGTAATGACTGATATATGATAAGATATGTGATAAGACGGCTTATATGTGGTTACTCTTCTGCTTTCATTTTGGAAAAATCACTGAGACAAGGAAATGGACTGCCAACTCACAAAAGCAGTTGATAACAGCATATATAGGGGAATGATTCGCAAAGTTCGAGCAAAAAGACTTTGATCGTCAAGACAAGTCAAAAGCAGGCAGGCCAAAGGAATTTGCTATTAATCAATTACAGGCATTTCTTTATGAAAATTCTTGAAAAGCAATGTTGGAATTGGTACAACAATTAGGAATTAGGAATTAAAAAGAAAATGGTCATTCTTCAATAGTGTGTAATCTTCAAAGCAAGGAAAAAATCCAAAAAAAATTGGGAAATAGAGACTATATGGACCCATCCAAAAGAAATGTGAATTGATGAATGTGGATGTTTCTCTTTTTACTAAATTTTAGGAAGATTGTCACTGGGAAAACGAAATTACAATTCATTACGGCAATCCTAGGAGCAAAAAATCATGGTTGACCTAGGATAGTTAGGAACTCCATTGGCTTTGTTCATTCTTCTGTAGTTGCGAGGTGTTTTATATTATGGTGGGTCTTCAGTACTACTTTCTAATTTTATAATGGCAAATGGTTACTTCTTTATCTGAAGTGCATACGGATCAAATCCGAACCTTGATGTTCAAAGCACTAATCTGAACAGCAACTACTCGGCCATTTATTTGAATTACGGTGGAACACAGAAAAATGATATCAAAAATGATATGATATATGATTACTGCAATCCTCTCGAATGAAACTACTTATTGTTATTTCTGCTTTCATCGGCTGAAATACTACTACTTTTTTTATCTGATGGAGTTATTTGAGAATTATAGCAAACTAATAAGTCGCTTAAATTTTTTATGGCCTTGAATTTCAGAGATGCTTAATCGTGAAGGCGACGACATGAATATTGTGGTACTTCGAGCGAAATGCCTCAATGTTATACATATGGCACTCAAAGTCAAGCATGGACAACTTAATCCAATAGCAATGGATGCACTTCAGGTTCATTCATTTTGCTTCATATCAATCTGAAATATTAATTATAAAAGCTTGCATTCCGGATTTGAATGAATAAATTTCTAGATACCATGAGCGAAATAAGTCGAAAATATATATTTATGCATATATGCATAATAAAATGCTTCATTTATGCGGAGGTTTGTGTGAGAAAAAGATGGTCACCCCTGAAGCTACTATTTTTTTTTTCCTATATTTGTGGTACCTTTTTCCCGCTTTAAGATAATCATGAATCTAAATAGCATTCCCTATTATGCTTCCTAATACCTCGCCTCGTTATGCATTGTCGCATCAAAAGCAACTATAAAAGATCAGTGAGTATGATAACGACCAGAAATATTGATAGGAGATATATTGAGGGATAAATAAAGTGTTTGTAGGACTCTCTCACGCAGTAAGATTTGAAAACCTAAGGAAGTTCAAAAATGATTCTGCTCCACTATCTTCTCCTTTTACCGATATGTAAAATAAATCAAAGGTAATAATGGATGCGACCATGAGCTAATAGATATTTCGAGATTTTTTGCCTTCTCTAAGTCCATTAGAAGAGATAATATAGGCATTCATTCGAGATCCGCGATTTGAAAGCCATGGTACCGTTGAAAATGAAAGTGACACACTAGTTATGCAAGTATTAAAAACAATCAATCCACTCGAATCTTGGAAGCCTCATTTTCAATGCAGAATCCTCACAGTTTGTTTTCTTTTTTTTTTCATCCATACTACGATTGGTCGTACTAGGATTACTAGGATTTTATAGGGTTTTATATAGGCATGTGTATGATAATATGATAATAAGATAATAGTATATGATAATATGATAATAGTAAATAAGATAATAGTAAAAGCTCCATTCTATGCAAACAAATTGTTAAGGCATAAAAGCTTCAAAATATGGAGCAATTTATTTCTTCGTATTCTATTAATTCTTCTATTTTTATTGAATATATAATTATCGAATTTTTAGATCATAATTGAAATGATGTGCAATCCAAAAAAAAGAATTTCATTGACTATCATTAAGGAAACAATACAGGTTAATCTGGTTTTATATTATTTGCCAAAATATATTTGAGTTGAAGAGTTGACAGATTTACTAATTTCTCAAATATATGCCAAGCAATATTAGTAAATAGATGGTACCACATTATCATTAAAAGTTTTCATTTAAAAATACTCACCTATTTGCCTCTATGATTAATACTATGTATAAGTTGTTGTCAAGAGGATGTTACTCGAAGATAGAAATACTGGCAAAGAAAATGAAGTTATGGATGCCTACTGATCTTAACTTAATAGCGAAACATTACGAATCACTCACTAAAACGTCAACGAAGGAAATCAGAAATAATTCTAAATGCCCATTTTATAATAACGATTCATATAAAATTAAAAATCGCTTCTAGATGTGCTCTAAAGTATATGGAAATGCGGAAGAGACAAGTGTACGCTTGGCCGCCCGAGCTGCCGTAGCTCAAATCGTCAGCTCATTTTGTTCAACAGCCAATTTACCAGAGGTACCATTGTAGAATCACTGCAGTTACTCTTGTTACTAGTTTTATTTATAATTCTTTTTGTAAATTTTTTTATTCGCATATTATTATTTTCTAGGAATTTGTTGCACAAGAAAGAATAGCAATATTTATGGATGTAACAGCGCTTCTTGATGATACAGTTAAAAATATAGATAAATTAGGTCATCAAACGGAGCGAGTGGTAATCCTATTGGACACAGTTTACTGTCTTCTTAGTGTGCAACCTATTTCCATTCAAACACATCAACCTTTTATCAATGTTATTTGGTAATTCTTATCATTCACTCGATTAATTAGAATTAGACGGATATCATTTGATTGTTTTACGCTAACTTACGCTAATTTTAACCATATATCTTATATTATTTCATTATTTCTCTCCTAAGGGGATAGAATGGCTCAGGGGATTGTTCCTCAAATGGGAGCGCCAATGCTGAGGTTCGATTCCCCGCAGAAATGAATCTGTGCAAAAATCCGAGTGATGCTGGTGACTGACCTGTATTTCTATCGTCAAGGGATTCCCTAGCATATTTATCCAATGAGACAAGCCAGTGGAGCGAGTTTATCCAATAATGGTGAGGACCCTTAAAAAAAAACTCTCTCTCCTGTAATTTTTTTTATTTTCATTTAGGCGCGAAATGATCCCCTGTGTGATGAAAATGCTTGGAGAACCAATGAAAAGTTCGTTTAAATCAGATGTTACGGATGGAGCAATGGGTAGGGGCCAAAGTGCTGCTATCATGCAAACGAAATCTATATTTGATAACGTGGAAGTTGCTCGATCCTTATATCAGTGATTTTTAATCCATTAATTTCTCATTGCTTTCCAACCGAATATTCTATAAATTATAAAATTTTCCTGTGTATAATTTTAGTAAATGAATAATTAAATAAGCAAAAATAGTTATAATTCATTTAATCCTTTTTCAATAGAAATATTGGAACATTTAAAATTGGAAAAAATGGATGAATATAAAATGAATTTAAAAATAAATCAATAAAATGAATTTATTAATAAAATGAATTTAATTGAAAATGATAATTTCTACAATGAATTTATTAAAATGAATTAATTAATTAAAAATTCGAATTTATGAAAATGAATTTATAGATGAAAATGAAATATAAATGAATAAATGAATTTATGCATATGAATTATGAAAATGAATAATGAATTTAAATTTATTAAATGGATAATGAATTTTAAAATAAATAAATGATGAGTTCATTTTAAACTTAAAAATTTCTTTAAATTTTAGATCATTCGAGCAATTATTACGAATAATGTCATCTATGAACGAAATGCGAAGCATTCTGGAGGCTGTTTTCCATAAAGCATTGCTTTATCCAACAATTAATCAACGAACAGAAGCACTTCGATTAATTCGAAAAGTTCATTATTTTTAAATTTTTCCATAATTTTAATTTTAAGCTCGAAGAATCTATGATTCTAAAAATCTAACGGAACGGTATAGTTTGAAAAAAGCCGTCAAATTTTCCCATCAAAATAATATTAAATAAATATATTAATATAATATATTAATATAATATATACATAAATAAATACATTGCTATTTAGCCAAAGCAAGCCAAGTCAAAGCAGTGAGTGCTATATAAATTACATAAATGAGGATTTATTTTAATAAAATAAAATATTGTAAAAAAATTTTCAGATTGTTAGCAATGAAGATCGCTTAATGGATATTTTAATTATTTCTATCAATACTCAATCGTTTACTCTCTGGAAAATTATATTGGATTGTATCGTCGAATGTGCATTTTCAATTAGCATTGATATTTCACTGGAAGCGATTCGATGTATAAATGCGGTTGTTAGTTTAAAAATTTTTCAAAAAACTAAAAAAAAATTCGGAAATAAAAAAAATTTAAAAATACAATGAATAAAATTATAAATGATAATTTCTTAATAAATACCAATAAATTATCACTTATCACTTTTTTGTTGAGATAAACAAATTCAATTGAGTTTAGTTGGCCTCATTATCAATAATATGTGAGCAAACAGATTCAAATAGCCTTATTTCAAATGAACTACAAGAAATTATACTGGAATATCTTCCCAATGATCAAGCTTCAGTCGTAACAGGTTAATATATTAAGTCTTAGCGCTGAGCTAAAATAGTAACTAATTTTTATGATTTTTAAGCTTTCGCATATAACAATAAACGAGAATTCGATACTAAGAAAAATAACAAAAAAACAACAAGTATGAAAGGTGAGAAAACGGAGTTAAAATCGGATGAGGCTAATTGTGGAACTAAACCAACATGCGAAGAAAGAATGTTCGACAATATTCAACCACCGCAAATCAAGATACATACGCCGGATAGTCATGAAGAAGAACTCGACAATACTGATTTTAATAATGTATAAAATATTACTTAAATTAATATAATATTTTCAAAATTAATATCCTTGTAAAGTATTTTTTAAACTTATAGACAAATTATGGAGCATTACAGTTATACGATAGTTATTACGCTATTTTTGATTTTTTGATACATTTTTTGAGTTTTTGAGTTAACATCAGAATAACATATATGATAATTAATTTCTAATAAAGGATTTCCAGGAAATCTCGCAAAGATTAAAATTATTGGCTGATAAAATTTCCCAACAGAATAAAATTGGCTCCACTGACATGCAAGTTATCGATTCTATTGAAGAGGTTTTCTGAAATTTGATTTAGTTACCAATTTGTTTAATTTTTATTATTCAATATATTGCATCTAAAAATGTAAAGTAGAAAAAAAGCCCTTAATTTCACGGAGCAATTTAAATTCAAGCAAAATTTTTAATCTTCAGGAAGAGATTGAAACCGCGGAGCTATTCGTGAAAGAACTGTCGTCTTCGATTGTTCGGTGGAACGAGCTAAGAAGTACGATTGAAGTCGATGAAGCAATCAAACAATTTTCATCTGATTTTTCGTCGAGTAAATAATCTGTTTTTGGATCTCTGAAAATCTTTAAATTGCTCGACATTTGCTAACAATAAGTCCTGTTGATATTCCAGTCGTTTACTCATTTAATGGCGTTATTTTGTCGAGTTCCATTCTGTCTGAGGGATAGGTAGTATGAAGAAAGAATAAGTTCCAAGCTCATCATATCCTTTTTTTGAAATTCAGTGAATATTACGCGATGGAGGTTCGAATAGATAAGGTTCAAATTTTCAGCATGGGAAGGTTGGGAAAAGCAAAGGTTGAGTTCTTGTTCTTTACTGGCCGTTATTGTAGATCTATTATTTGCAAAAAAAAACTGGAATACTTGCAGGTCATATTTTTCTATCGTCAAGTGATTCCATGAGAAAACTCATTACTCACCTTAAACTTTTCACCTAATATTGGAAAGAAAGTAGAATTTCAAATTTCCAAAATTTTGAAATTCTGGCTATTATCATAATGATAATGACAAATGTAATTTTTCTGATATTTTCAAATATTTTATATCCCTTATTTTAGATTTCTCATCAGCTCAAAATATAGCATTTCAATCTCAAGGCAGGAAACAAACACAATTTTTAAATGCTGATGCCATATACTTGACAACCTATGTATCACTTTCGATAGCGTTTCGCATTAATATTCAAACTAATACAGATAAGGTAAATGTCACGTAGATTAGGCTTTTCTAACTTAATGTATGAATTCAAATTGATAAAAAAGGCTTTGAGCGATTGGATTTATGAAAGCGTATTTTTGTTCAGGCATGGTTTATCAAAGAAATTCAACAAAGTGGCTGCGTGATCTACACAAGTGATCGTTGGGTTAATGCTGTATATAATGCTTTAATTCAGCAGAATATCTTTGGTGATATAAAATTTACAGATCTATCACCATTGTTAAATCTTGTGGAAGGTAATCATAAAAATTTGTTAAAAAATTAAGATAATTTATAAAATCTATAATTTTCTAAAATTTTTATTTTTCCTTATCAATTTAATCATTACAATAGAGAATCCATTTTAAAATTCTCATTTCAATTAATGAAAATTTTAACTTTACGTTTTTAAAATAAAGCCAATTTCTTGTTGGAAAATTAAAAAAGTGTTTAGAACTGATTTTATTAAAGGCGAAAATAATCTATCTACTAAGAGCCACAACAACAAAAGGGCATAAGGGATTTGAAAGCACCAAACAAATTTCAGTATTTGCCTTAATTAATTTAGCAAAAAAGGCTAATTTTCTTGTTTAATTTAAAGGCTTTTCAATAATATATTAACAAAACAAGGTTTTTTTAATCTAAAAGCGATAATCATCGAGAGAAGTGTTTTAAATTTCGAAACTAGAAGTTCCAACTCTTTTGGAATTTTTCAGCAATTCTCATTGATCTACTAAAAGAATTAAGGAAAAAAATCGCGATTAATGCGAGGAGAATTACTCAGATCAACTAATTGCCATGTAAATTTTTGGATTTATTTAGATTTTGATGGCCGAGCCTGTAAAATTATGAGTGACGTTCGACGAATACAGCAGATTTCTAGCAAACGAAGTGATCTATTTATTGCAGGTTAAAATTTCATTTTTTTTAAAAAATACTAATTTAAACTATTTTTTAAAAATGGAGAAAACTGTTAAAGTTTTTGGCTCTAAGTGGATAATGAGAAAAATAACAAAAGTTTCGCGAAAAAATTCTGAATCTCCGAAAATTTCAAAAACTTTAATTGTCAAAAATTCTCTAAAAATTGATCTAAAGTTTATTTCTCAAATTTTTTGGCGCTCGTCATTTTTCTAGTTAGGCGATCTTATTTCGTTTGGTTTGTCGTACCAGGTAAATTTTGCCACTCGACGATAGATGTACTGGCGAGTTAAATCTGCAAAGGAGAGGAAAAAATCGGTTTTACCACATAAGAACGATAATCCACCGTATCCTTCAGTATTGTTCACAAGAATATTGAAAGATCCTATAAATCCTATTTAGCTCATCGCCTTTGCCGATGGTTCCTTAGCGCATCTTGGGATGGTTTTCTCAAATCGAGTTCCTGTTATGTATTTAATTATCAAAATCAATGTCGAACTATTAGACCGAAATTTATGGAGACAATGAATCAATCACTAAATGCACTACATTCTCTCATTAATTTATCTGTCCTCCTAAGTAAGTTTATTGAAAATATTTCCTGGAAAAAAATTTTTGATTCTTAAAATTTCTTATTTTTATTTCTTAGTTGGTACTTTGATTGCAATAAATAATAATTGTATAATCTTCAATATTTTTCTATTTTCATATTCAATTTATAAATCTTTCAATCAACAAATATAAAAAATTCTTTCGAGAATTAGAGTAAACTGATTTAAAAATTTTGAAATTTATTTAAAATGGTAGAAAAAAATTTGAACAAAATGAAAAAAAAATAAAAAATGGAATAAAATTAGAAAAATAGAAAAATTTAAAGATATTTGTGATCGAAGCGGAGCCGTGTTTGAACGGATTGTTGAAATGTCATGTCCGCTTGAAGATTTACGTAAGTTTGCCTTTTTGAAATCGAAAAATGATAATGAGAAATCCAACAACAAATGGGTTCTACAACGTATGGATGTTTTATCAATGCAACTGGTTTTGGATAATGCCATAACTTGTGGACTTAACGACTTCACTTGCTGGAAATATATAATAAGGTCTGCATAAAGCACAATTTTCAATAACTGATAAGAAGAGAAATTATTTTCTCGCAATTATCTTCGAATTTTTCTGCTTTTTTCTGCATTTGATTCTTTATTGCTAATTTGGATGACTACATCGCATTTGTCATTTTATCAATATTATCATTTATCACTTATTATCTATCGTTAACATCTATCTATTCTGAAGCTGAACGAACTTAATTTTTGTACCACTAGAAAAGAATATATTTTTTATTATATATTATTATAAGAATATATAAGTATATTATATTTTCTAAAAATTTGAATTTTTAGATGTATGGAATATATTTGGGAAGTGGAAAAGTATTTGTTTGGATCGAAGATTGACGAAAAAAATAGTCCATGGATGTTCTGGAAAAAAAAATCTGTAAAATTAAAATCGGATAATGTTGATTTCGGAGATTTACGATCTGTTGAAGATGTAATGAATGGAAGCGATGAGAATTTGTTAGATTATCATTTTTCTGCAAAAGCTCTTTATGTGCTTTTTAATAAAATAGATAGGTAAGTTTTTTAATATTTTTTTGTATTTTTTTTGATATTTTTAATATTTTTTTTAAATATCAAATATTAATTTTTTTTAATTTTATTAATTTTTAAATTTTTTAAATTTTTATTATTTTTATTTTATCAAAATCTTCGTTTATCTTTAGAAAATCGTATAACCAAAATCACTTGGAATAATTTTTTTAAAGCCAAAACATCTCAATAATTGTAGATTATACGAGAATGCAATAAAACAACTGAATTTGCCAGCGTTAAAAACATTTCTGCAGAATATAATTGTGGCCAATGAATTGGAAACTCATTACTTGAAAAATGATCACGTTGAAGAGGCGATAACTTTTCTTAATCGCATAACTTTTATTGTTTTAAAAAGTTGTCAACGGCCACTAATTCATTTAATGGGACTATGGCCAATGGTAGCGCAACATTTTGTCCAAGTAAGCCCATCGAGTGTTCTCCTCTAACTTCAGCTATTATTCTTCTATTTTTCTATAATTATATAATTTCATGAATAATTCATAGTGTGCATGTTTACGAGAAGACGAGAATTTAATTCAATGTTCGGTGGGCTGCTTAAACGATTGCATTTCTGGTTTACTTATCACTGAAGCGAATGGTTTTTGTTTCAATCAAATTCTATTTCAACCGTTCCAAGTGATTTTTTTATTGGTACTTTCAAGTCCCTTAGTTCGTCAAAACTTACATCAGTCTTGCATCTTTGATTTGAGTTCTAATTTTTGATATTATGAATAGTTTTTCATGAAAAACTATTCATATTAGATCGCAGAAATATGAATAAATCGCTAATTCTTGTTTACCATAAATAGGTTAATAGGAAATTACTAGTAGAAATCTTTTGAAATTTCCTACTAGGAAGGTTTTTTCTACTGAAATTATTTTTTGGCTTGAATATGAGAAAAAATCGATTTACATATCAAATTAACGTCAAATATGTCAATTTTCAGGATATTTTATGTAGTGGTAATTGTTCAGAAGAGGCACAAAAGGAGATAATTTCTTTTCTTGCAACTTTTGTTCATAATCGTTCGGATGAAATTGATTCTGGATGGAGACCATTATTTGGTGCTCTTCGAGCCTTACATACGACAGCTAATTTCGGTCAATTTTATAAACTTATATTAATTTATAGAATTAAATTAATTGCATAATTACTGGTCATAAATCAAATTTTTCCCTATTCGATCAAACAACATAAATTGTGTATTTCAAATGCATTTTAGAAATGGATGCATATAATGAGGCGAATTCAGTTCGAGGAACTGTATTCGATGTAATCGTTACATATCTCAATATCAAAAATCCAAACGTACTTTTGGCAACTCTCATGGACTGTATCAGTTGTCTTTTGCAATACGCTCAAGCAACTGGCATGTTTGTCAATTTATTTTTATCCTATTTTCTATCTATTTAAATTTATAATGAAAAACAGATGATTTCTTTCAAAGGAATCGGTTAAATTTTTTACAATTCAATGCCATTCGATTCATTTTTTCTCTCTTTTTTTATTTCAGCAATTTTTTCTCAGTTTTTTCATCTAATATTTAATATTTAAAAATGCTTAAAAAACTTTTAATTTAAAAATTTAAAATATAATTTAAAAAAAACTTAAATTTTTTTATATTATTTAAAATTTTACAGTTTTTTTCAAGGTTCTGATTTCGTGGAAAATTCAAACGACTACATAATGGCGTCTACTGCTTTAGAATATCTTTTAGAGATTGAGAAACGAATTCACGCATTACTGATTTCTGCGAATAGTACGGTTCCACATTTGCTGCATAGGTTTTTACTCTCAATTATAGTTCATTAAAATTCGTTAAAATTTAAAAATTTAAAAGAAAGGCGATATTTTTGAAAAGAATAAGGAATATAACGAGATTTTCCATTCCTATCTCATAGAACTATTCCACTATTCTCAGTATTTTCAGGCTTTTATTACGCGAGCGTAATACACAATTTTTGGATTTGTATTCAGATGAATTCGATATCGCTGAACCTCTATCCAATGTTTTATTAGAAGATTCATTATTCAACGATACCACAGAATCATTATTACCAAGCGATTTGGATTGTCAAATGCAATGTAATCTAAGAAAATTGAAGAGATGGTACTTCGAAGGCGGGGGGGAAGGGATATTTCTTTCCTCGGAGAGAGAATATTTTTGTTGATATTTCCATGCATTTTTTAATTTTCATGCTTAAGCACCCATAATTTGCAGTAATTCTCAATTATTTATTATTTTACACAATTTTAATTTGAATTTATTCTCAAAATTATTCTTTTTTAGTATCGATACCTTCATTACCCTGGGAAACATTATCAGCAACTAAAAAAGGATGCGTCGAACTCTATTTATCATTTATTGAAGGATTGACAGCTGTTGCATCTACTTGCCCAGTTTCTTTACAGTCTAAATTGCTAAATACATTAGCTCGATTAATTTGCGACCTTTCCGAATCAAAATTTGGTATGGTACTCGTCCTTTGCTCATATTTTAATTATAGAACTTTAAAAATGGCTTTTAAACAATAAAATGCTCTATTTTTTTCAAGAGCATCATTACTGGTTAAACTCTTTTAGCTGCCTTGTCCGCTAGGTAAATGTGCCAGGAAAATCCACTGGCGATAAAAGCATAGGTGAGTCGTCAGCATTACTCAGATTTTTGGACAGGCCTATTCCTGCCTGGAGTAGAACCTTAGTCGAAATTAAGCAACAATCAACTAAACTGTTCTACCTTCTCTCTTTTCGCCTTTAGGCGATAGGGCAACAGCCTGACGTGTTGCGTTAGGCTGATTTGAACATAACTGTCGATCCTCTGTGGTAATTATATTGGCATTGAGCCACTGGCAGACCAAGGCTACGAATTAAAATTATCTATTAAAGGAATAAATTTTGGTCCTTATATCTTGTCAACTTTGACTTTTCCAATGTTGCAACGATGCATTCGAAGAAGCAAAAATGAAACCGAAAACAATCTCAAGGAAGCAATCGGTTTATTCACCGAAGTGGTTGTTACCTATATGAAAATGCCAAATGGCAAGATTTTCAATATTTTAATATTTTTAATATTTTTCTTAAAAAATATAATTGCATTTTTCCAAATTGGAATTCGATATTTCAAGTTTAGCTAATAGCACTCAAATCATTTTTGGCTTTTTTTTTGAAATTTTTCCTAATAAATTTTTTCTTAAAATAATTTTTTTTTCTTTTCTATATTAAATCATTTCTGTTTAAATTGGTTTTAGTGGTTTTAATGATAAAATCCTTTTGTCAGGGGGAACTCGAAGAATGATAAAAGCATAAATAGGTTCTTTGTACTACTCAGATATGTGTCATATCCCTTACTTCTTTGCAACCATAGAGACGAAACGGTGATAATATTTGATAATAATGATAAATAGTAAATCACCAATTAAAACTATTCTTCCTTAGTCTGTTCGAACTATTTTTTTGGAGACTTTATAAAATTACTATGTAAAGAATTACTTCATTTTAAGAAAGTTCATTTATCGACCGAGTCTTATTGGACTTTCTTTATTTGCTATCGGAATGTGCCACTCGATCAACGTCACGCATATCTCGATTAGCGTGTGCATGCATCCGCCATTTAATTGACTCCTCCAAAACATTTTTTACGCGACTTCGATGGACGATTGTCGTGCGATCATTGTGGAATGCATTGTAGGACCATTGTTTTTTTTTTTTTTATAATTCTTTATTATTATTTATTATTATTTTTAAAAAGTTAATAGACAAAATGACAATGTTTTACAAAATATTTTTGTTAAATATTTCTATGGTTCAATACTTGAAAAATACTTATTAAAATTAAAAAAAAAGGCCATTTTTCTAAAGGCCATTCCTTAAATTTGACTTTTGCTAGCACTTCAACTTTTCTTTCCTATCTTTTAAGGAGAATTTTTTCTTACGGTTCGCACCATTTTTGATTAGATTAGCTCCACTTTTTTTAAAAAATAACGCGCTTGAATCGTTCGATCTAATGTCCTGATTATCTTCATTAATACCTGAAGATATATGAGGTTTTAAATGAATAGAAAAGAGCGATAGCATTCAAAAATCATTATCATAAATCATTTTATCATTTATTATCAATTATCATTGACATTAAATCCTTAATTATAATAATTCGATTTGAATTGCTCAGTTATGAATTGCAGTTTTTAGAGATATGTCACTGACATATATTCGGTATTTAATGCGTTATTATATGGTTGACGCGAATGATCCAAATGGTGATATTGGCCATGTGATGATTTCAATCATCGAAGATTCATCTCTTTCGCAACATATACTTCTTTTCGTAAAACAGGTTAAATGAGAATAATTAATGGTTCCTTTTCTAATATATGATTTGATTTTATTATTGATAATTGTTTTTTTTGGATTTTATGATAAAATTTATGATAAGATTTTTTAAGATTTTTCTTCTCGATGAACAATTTTCCAATGAGTTCGCTGATAAATACCTCGCCGAATGTTTGCCAAACAAATTCCTAATTTTTTGTGATGAGCAGACGGAAATATTTAGGTGATTTCTTGATACCTTAAATTAAAAAATTTAAATTCTAAAGGGATAGTGGATTTTTAGAAGCTCTATTAGCACATTTATCAGCAGTAATTTTATCATTTTAAACACCAAACACCAAATGCAAAAATGCATATCTTTGTAGCTGCGAAGATGAACAACGATTTTTTCATGCACTAAAAGCATGAAACAATGGCATTCAATATTGTTTGTTTGTTTATTATATTTTTAATAATTATTGAAAGATTTTAAAAATTATAGAATTATTTATTTATTTATTTTTAGAGTAACAATCGAACAACTAGCTGAATCGCTTTTAAGTCATCAATTTCTCATGCAAATTATTGGCTATTTGCTTTTAGAAGGTGTCGAACTAAATGCTAATGGAACTGCACTAAAAATATTACAACAATTTAATGAATCACCTAAAAAAAGTTTAAACTTTTTTTTTTAATAGTTTTTTTGTTTTTCATTGGTACTTAAAAATAATCTTTTATTAAATAGTAAATAGTAAGTAATATTTATGATAGTAAGTAATATATAAATTACACGCAAAATTATTATTATTTCGATATTATTAAAAATATTTTTTAGAAAATTTAACTAATTTAACGAGTGACGATATTACTGTACTTTTGTATTGCGCCAACGTATCACTACAAATAGCGAAGAATTTCGATGAGCGAGCAGGCTTAAAAATTTTAATACAGAATGCCTTTAATTTGTGTGTTATGCCAAATCTCTGCAAACAACTCGTATTTTCTTGGAATTTAATATCATTAACGTTATACGATATTCTACGAAGTACCACTCATAATTCGTAAGTTCTTCTTATCATTTTCAGATATTCCTATTTTTCATTTTTTTTTTTTTAGGCTCTTGATTTTTTATAAGGCGCTTCGTAAAAGCTTGGCTTCTTTTGACTTTTGGCTAGAAGAAACTATTAGCATAGTTTAGTGTTGAAAATATCAGCTAAGATTTTACGCCTTATTCCAAATTCTCAATCTAATCAAACTAATCGTTTTGATGAAGAATTTCATGAACTATCATGAAAATGAATTATTTAATTTAGAACAACGATCGCTAATTTCCTCACAAACGACACTATCGACGAGGAATCGTTTCGAATAAAGCAATTAGCTAAATGTCATAAAAAAATTTGCTTATATTTATGTAAATTAGAAAAATCATTGGCATTACAACGAATTCCAAATTATATACGTGCATACACTAATCAAGTAAATTAAAATTTATACGTCAAATTTGAATAAAATTGAATTTTTTTTATTTTTCAAAAAATTCATATTTATAAATTAAAAAATTCATTTTTAGCAATATTCGCTAGTGATTGAAAATTCGTTAATCGAAAACGAAAGCCAACAAAAATTCTATAAATTAATTTCAGAAACTGAAACAGATTCGCTGCTGCAAGGTATTTAATCTTTTAGGCCTAATTTAAATCCCAAATTTTTGCACCATACTTGACCATAAATTTATATTTCTTATTATTATGAAAATCCACAAAATTTATTTAAGACTATTATATGCTGCATTGATAAGATTTATCGTACTCAAAGGTCAATAAGGTTAATAAATCTACAAAAGAGGCTATAAAATTTAAAATTTAAAAATTCAAAAATAAAAAATAGATAAAAAATAAAAAGTTCGAAATTTTATTTATAGTAAATTTTAAAAATAAAAAAAAATTTTTATAAAAAGAGTAAATTTAAATTCATTTATTTTTAGACTATAAACGATCAAAAACAACTCAGTCTTTGCGAAATACAAAACGAGTCAATCCGTTCGATGAATCAAAACAAATTTTAGCAAACGAAAAACGCTTATATCTCGAAGTAATAAATATTGTTCCTTCTATAGTTTCCTTCAGGGCTTTTAACCTTTATCATATTTTTATAACTTTATTAAAATATTTAATATTAAATATTAATATTAATATTTAAGGATGGTGATATTCGTTGCGCTGCATGGGCAGATATGTCACTCAATATATTAAACATATTTGCCAATGAATCTGAGGAAAACTTCCGTCGTTTTCTTCCAATATTCTATCCAAATTTAGCTCAGCTCATTGCCGGTTCAGTTGATTCCAATATTCGCCAATTCACCTCAGATTTTCTTTTGAAACTTCCAAAACATTTCCCTCTATATTGAAAAAATATTTTATCCTCGACTATTATCTTCGCTATCTTTATTGATTTATCTTTTACTGTCTGTACTTAGTGTAAAATGGCCTATACTATATCAGAGAAAAAAATGTAACTGGTACTGATATTAACGAAAAAGCCATACAAACATTATTTATGTGAAATGCAACTGAATCTTTCATTTTGTAAAGAAATACCTCAAAATAAATAAAAAACGAACATAGAGAAATGTATTTGACTAAATTTGATTGAAACTCATAGTTGATTCAAATTTTTATTGCAATTAATATTAAATTATATTAATAGAACGGCATTAATACAACCATCATTTTCGGGATTATTGGTCACTTGAGCATATTTTGCCCAAACCACTTTTCCACCCTGTGTAACCATTCCTAATTCTGATATATTTACCTGAAAATAAATAAATGGTAATATCGATATAGCACTAAAATATAAAATTTCTTTAAAGATTCAACTTAAAAAGCTGCACTTATAATATTAGGGAAATTTAGACCGGATCGCAATTTCATTTAAAAAAATGTCAATATTCTAAGGTGACAAAAACAGAAATGGAAAAAAAGGGAAAAATAAACAGAAAAAACTTACAAACAAAATAATACATAAATATATAATGCAATTACTTATTAATTAAATCTTAATGAATGGAGATAAAACAAGGATAATTTTTTGAGAAAAATAAAGATAATTAGAAAAAAAGTGGATAAATAAAATTTGACTTCAAGAATTGTTCCTTTCGTAATTACACCTAGTGATGTATATAGTGATGATGAAGGATTTTTCTTCACACCAACAATCGGCAAGCAAAAAGTTGTTTGCAATTCTGGATGGGTGACATGCGCCTAAATAATAAATAAATTCTACAATCTATTCAAAAAAAATTCAGCATATAGCCAGTAAAAAAATCAGAAAAGAAAAAAAACCTTTTTAAAACGTAAACCCATAGGTCTAATAAAACGTTCAAATTTGACTGGTTTTCGCGTAAAGGAATCTCCAACAAAAGTCACTTTTGTGACCATACGCTTCCATCCCTTCCTTCTCGTTTTACCCGTCCTCACGACTTTGAATGCTTCTGCATCACATACTGCCCTTACTTTTGGCAACGGTACATTATATTTTCCCTAAAATTGAATAGTACTTAAAATATAACACTAGTACTTAAAATAGATCACATCAGTTTGAAATTGGTCCTGAACATATTGCTTTTTTATTTTTATTGTTTTTTTTAAAACATACTGCTTTCTGCTTGCGCTTCTGTTTTATCATGGATGATAAAACTGTTCCTGAAGTTTGCTGATCTCTGTCTAATAAATAATTTGGCTCTGCTCCATGCTCAGGCCTTTTTGTGGAGCCAACTTGCTTTTTAGCTTCATGCTGCCTAATTAGTTTCCGCATTTCTACCTGAAAAATGCAATAAAGACATCGAAAAGAAAAAACAATAATCATAGAGCAGGTGAAAAACCTACTAAGCAACTGATGAAATAATGCACATATCAGAAATATGCGGATATTTAAAAAATACTAATATTAAGCCGTAAGAAAGAACCACTCAAATATTGAAGAATTTATATTTCTTGATAAAAATTTTATCCAAATCTTTTAAAATTTTTTTAACACAAGCAGAATAATAAATAAACCTTTTCAGCATATCTTTTCTTATGATAGAGTTTTGCTTTACCACCACGAATTTTTTTAGCATATTGAGATCTTTTATGGACAGCACGAGCATTTCGTTTCCTTCTAAAATATCTTTTATTGTGTTCAAAACATTAAGAAGATAATTTAGTTCATAATTTATAATTACGCTCCCTTACAATTAATTTTAAATTTTCCAAAAAAACAAAATTTCAAATTTCTTTCTTATAAATTTAAAAAACTAACAGTCGTTCCTCATAATCAAGACGACGCCCATACCGTTTACGATGTAATTCGATGTATTCATTTTGCGGCTGAAAAAAAATGAACAGTTTCGAATGATATCACGATAGATCGCTGATTACCATTATCATAAGTTTTACTAAAGAAAATTGAACTAAAATTAAAACTAAATTTAAAATTAAGATTGAAGAAAATCCTAAAAATTAAGAATTTCGTGAGCAAAAAAATTTATTTCGAGTGTTACCATGAAGATATTAAAATTAATATTTAATATTAATAAGCTTTGAAAATCATCGAAGGCATAAAATTATAAAAAAAATCATTAAAAAAATTACCATTTTAATTGTTGTAATACCACTTCAAAATGGTCAATTCCGAATGAATAAACAAGCAATAATTTAAATTGCCAAATATAATCGAACCTGAAGTGTAGAACAGAACTGAAATACGAAAATAGTGCCATAAAATAAACTTAATAAACGCTAAACCATCATTCATAAATGAGAAAATAATACATGAATATGGCGTAAGCAATGAACAGAAACTGGAAAATAAGACTGCATTTATAAAGAAACAAGGACAAATTAAAACATTTGAGATATCCAAAAAGGAATAAAATTAAATGACCAGCGAACAACAATCTACAATAGAAAAAATCAGTCTGCAAAATTTTCCGTACGTATGCGAAAAAAAACATTTTCCAACCACAAAATAGCTCACTTAATAAAAACCATATTTTGTGAAAAATACCCCTAAGCCTCATTAATGTTGGTATTCATGCACTATATTCCCTCCACGCCTCCCCGACTTCTCGTCTGCAGCCGTACCAACCATTCCTAAATAAAGGATGAAATGATGTCTCGGTAAGGATAGTAGAACGTAAGAAATAAAAAGCCAAGCGTGGCATTACAAATTATACGAATCGTATAACAAATTTTATAATGATAATTTCAAATGGCGATACGGTCTGCTGATCCATACCACGAGCATTTTCATTAAATATAAAATAATAGCCTAAAACTTTTTTTATTAGAACGGACGAATGAGCAAAAGACTTTTATCAATTAGCAGAAAATATTGAGCACAATACTTTTACAATTATATTATACATTTTTATATCGTTCTTTAAAAAAAGTACCATATATTTCCCATTGAATTGATAGTCAAAACATTTAACTATCAACTTTAATTATTTAACAGTTTTAATAAATAAAACCGTTAAAAAAAATGAATGGATAAATATTTATAATTTTGTATGAGCTTAAAATCCTGAATGAGGCAAAAGACTATAAAATCTTAAATACTGAAAATCGTTCAGAAGAGTATATCACAGAATTACCATCACATGAATTCCCCAAAGAACTTATAAAAACAATACAAAAATCTCCAGAAAACGAGAACAACTTTTGATTAATGTAAAAATCAAATTCATTAATGAACATATTTCATTAATAGAATCATATTTTTTCACACGTCTCTGCGCAAAACCGATAAAAGATTGTGGAAACAAAGAAGTTAAAATAAAATATACTATTCCACTTCTGACGATAAAATACTATAAAATACAGAAATATTTAAAGATGAAAGATCTCGAAAATGGGGAGATACCTGTATATCATAAACATAAATAATAAACTAAATTAAATGTGATAATTTCCCTATAAAATAAAATTTGACACCTAAAAATAAAATAATTTGATAATTTGATAAAAAAATGCAAAAAACCGACATTTAACAATATCCTACAATCTATTGGCAGGTCCCACATGCGTTGGTGTAAGGGTCAGTCAATAAAATAGAATTTTCAAAACACAATTTTAAAAAAAATTGACATAAGGAGAAAAGCAATAAATAAAGTGCTTTATAACTACTTTTATTAGAATTTACTTTTCTTTTTATAAGGATAACGACTGGGTGAATGAAGCCGTTTACGGGAACGATTCACCTGCTTGGTAAGGAATGAATTCAAATCCGATGACTGCTCTTGACTGCTTATACCCGATGGAATGCACAACGCCTTGAATAGATTTAAAGTTAGAGAGTATTAAACTAAAGCGAAATAATGAAGATAACATTTTTCACATATGAAAAAAAAAAGGAAATATGAGGATAAACCTGTTGAAAGAGAGCAACGCCATTATTAACAGCTTCTTCTGGCGATGGGCTTCTTGAAACGTGTTCACCTTCTGTACTACGAATAGTTTTGGCAAGATACCTCCATATATCATCCAAAGTTAAATTGTGATTCACACGTAAAGCATAAATTTCCTTACATAAAGAATTTTTTCCAGCAATGAAACCTTAAACAGTTAAAAAATAATATTAATCAATTTTTCAAAACCATAAATGAAAAAAGAATGAAAATTTATTTAAATAATTCGAGTTTTACTGAATATTCCTACAGAATTCCTACAGAACATAATAAATATAATAAAAATGACGGAAAGTGATGAAGTAGAAAAAACCTCGTTCAAAAGCTCGTCGTTGATGATCAATTCCACTTTTATATAATTGTGTTGTATAAAAGGCAGCATTTTGCATATGCTTCCAAGACACATCATTGTATAATAAACCAACCGCTTGAGCGCTTTTTTGGAAATCTTCCCAGAGCAACATTTCTTCACGTAAACGCTGCTTATCTTCTTCCATCATTTTGACTTCAATTTCCGCTAATTCTCCGCAAATAAGCCTGAATCTATTCTTTTAATGTCTTTTAATATCTATAAATCAAATTATCAAATAAAGTTGAATTTTTATAGATTTTATAACTATAAAATTTTCAGTTTTTCAACAATTTTCAGTTCGAGTTTTTTATTGGAATTAAAATTTTTTAAAAATAACCTACTTCTTTATCACTTTTAATTAGTTCATCCCCATTCGAAATTAATCGGTTTAGAAGATCCTATTCCATGCAGTTACCGTCGAAAATAGAGAATCTTCAAAGCGCTCTAAAAAAAATCATTAGAAGTCCCCATTAGAAATTAGACTGATAATAAAACAAAGTTTGCATGCTCGAACGATTCATAACAAGACAATTGAGAGCAAATGAAGCTTATAATATATAATATGTTGGATATAAATACATACAGTATACATTAAAATAACAATCATTAATTCCTTTGTCATTCATCCACATTTTTTAAATAGATTAAAAAACAATTGACATAAACGAGTCGAAATATGAAAAAAAATAATTCGCAAAAATGAGAAAATATGAAATAAATAAAAATAAAAAACAAAAATAAAAATAAGAAAAATATTTAAAAGTATTTGAAAGAAAATAATTTATTTTAATCAAAAATAATTTAATCAAATAAATGGATGCACAACAACAACTGCTGATAAGCATATGTAATAAGATAATTTTTCAATAGATAATGTTTTTCATAAATTTATTAATAAATATAAAAATGTTAAATGAAACAATAAATATAAATAAATATAAGTAAAAATATAAAATATAAATATATAAATATAAAAATATAAATAAAAATAAAATTAAAGTTACTTGGACATTCGACGAATTAAGACTAAGATTAATAATAAATAACTTGACCAATTAACAGCACAGCTGGTTCCATTTGAAAAAATTTGACACGACTGATAAAGAAGCCGAAAAATGAATAGCGAATTTCCACATCTTAATTATGTGGGCAAATATGGTTGAATGGTTGCTTCGATTCACACTAGGCATTATAGATTCCATTCCTTTCTTTATTCCATTCCCCATGAGTAAACCTATTATTTAAAACTGTGCAGGGTAAACCTGGTTATTTACCTGTTACAACTCATGTGACACATTCTCTAATAAGTTTCTGATTTCTGATTGTATTAAGTTCAAGTAGAAAACGATAAGCACTTAATAACTACTTTTCACCAATATTGAAAGATTTTATGAATAAATCCGAGAGGATTTGAATGATATATTGATATGGGATCATCTTAATAGTTATAAGAACAGTTATTAATCAGAAAAAAAACCATGAAAAAATTATAGGAGAAAATCGATACAATTATCGTTTTGAAGTTGACATTAACAGGAATTCGCTGCAAAATTTGCAAAAAAAACAGGAATTTTCATGCAAAATATATAAAAAGTTATAAAATATAAAACCTTAATTAAAAATTGCTTATAAAAATTGGCTTATGAAAATGAAACGTGCTGTTTGAAAATTTTTATACATACAAAGATTTGAAACGATGCTAACGACGCATAAAAAAGTTTAATCGAAATATAAAGATTCGTGGATGCTTCCTCATTTCACAATTTTCTTACCATCTTTCGGAACATAAACAGATAAACTAACTTGATAAATTACTATTAAACTTAGATTACTATTAGGTTACTTGTAATTTTAGCCACAATCTGTTAACTAATATCTTTGTTTAGTATATCTTTTTATCCTCTAACTAGTACCATGAAACCGTCTTCGATAGGAATTCTTCTCTTCCATTTTATGCCACAAGCATCAAACACAAATTACGTAAATATTCCTCGTAACTGTGAGACACCATAGACCCTTCTTCGATATAAATCATTCTTAATCATTTTACATTGCAAGTAATTTTTAAATTCTCCTATAACTCAGCACCTACAAGGTTCGCGCAATGACATACAACAAAATCAAAAAAACCCCGCTCGATGATCGAGGCATTTTACGGAACATTTTCTGCTTTCCGAGACATATTAAAGCACCATGTTATCCATCTTGTCGGAACCTCGAAAACTATCTTTTAGTGTGGAACCTCATAATATATTTCAGCCATCATTATCATCGCAAGTTTAATATGAATCAGTTTTTATAATCGTTCATTTGTCATATAATCACATTTTTGATAAAATTTTGCAACTTACAAATGATGATGCCAAGCAAAGAGATCCGCTCACCGTTCACATTGGCACCAAACCCCACAAATTCTAAAAGAACCACAGACGTACCAAACTAAACGAACAGATGTACCAAAACCTAAAACCTTCACCGCCAAGCCATAAAGTAAAATCAATCATAATTCAGATTCACCGAATAAGAATAGAACGGTCTCCGAAAATCGTTTCAAGACTCAACAAGTTTAATAAAATATTGCAGCTGAATATATATTTATGATTATTTAAAATTGAAATAAACGAAACGAATGTATCAGTACAGTACTACACGTGGCGAGTCTGAAGTTTAGAAATGCACGAAAAGGCAGCTTCGATAATAGAATTTCGTTGACGTGTAAGTTGACGTTTGGTCTTGGGGGGTGCGTGGCAGGGAAGGCTATAGCTTCTAAGAAAATTGTAGTTTTATTTTAATTTCTAAAGGTTTCTTTATTATTTGGCTCGATCTATAAAGTGTTTATCCAAAATATTCCGAATTATTAACGTAAATTTAATAGTAATAAAACAAGTCGACTTTCTTGTATGGAATACCAGATGACTGGAACAAAGCAATTCCACCCCCGATTTCTAAGTGACTACGGGACGACAGGGTGTGGCAATTATCGAGGAATAAACATATTAGGTAGGCAGGTGCGTGGAAATTTCCGCTTCCATCGTAGGCCTATAGCAGTATATGACGCCAGCATGCACTCTAATCTGGATTCAGCAGTAAGCTGGATTCAAAGAACGACTGAACGAGACTACTGCGCTGATCCGATTTTCACAGTAAGAGGAATAATGGAGTTCCAAGTGTCGACAATCCGCCATCACCTGTTGTTCCAGTTTTGCAACCTTTGATTCAGTTGATAGAGGAATCCTTTAGAGGATGTTGGAAAGCTCCAAAGGAGATAAATAGACTCATAAAGGCATTTTACCAGCGTAAATCGGCACAAGTTTATTTATATGGGGAGCTTCCTTCGAACAATTTGTTCGTTAAGGTTTTCATTCTTTTGCCATATTCAACTATCGATGGATCAGTAGTGGGCATCGCTTCTCAAGAGATGTGGAAATCAGTCCAGAACATGTATCATAGATCGCGAGTACGCGGATGATGTAGTTCTTTTTGCTGACACCTTACGTGGGAGTAATGCTGAACAATGTCTCGAGATTCGGGCTAAGGATCAGTGTGAATAAAATCTTTTCGTCTTATATACAAGAAGCTGCCAAAAATGTCAATTCATTAATTCATCGCCGGTTGAGGATTTGTTTAACTTTATTTTCGATCCACTCTAATCGCAGATGAACAGGCAAGAGAGGATATCACAACCTGAAATGTGTCTGCTGATTGACGAAACTTTATGAGGCATCGCGAAATCACTACAAAATCGAAAGTTTGCGCCTATATAGCTATAATTTGCTCGAACTTGTTATATGGCTGCGAGACATGGTCGATGAGGTTGGAGGATATTAAGATGTTATCTTCCTTTAAGGCTTATGTTTAAGATTCATGGGATAAAATCGCCGAGCGAATAAAATCTCATGATTGCATCTTCTTTCGCTTAAATACCACCAGCGTATACTACCAACACAGAGCATCGCTTTCGTTTGCATATTCTTTGTCATCCAGGACATATTTGGAACATATTTCGGTACTTGCTAAGTGCTGTGATGGATCGCGTCAAAAACGAACAGGCTCAGTCATGGGCTGATACCACCAAGGTTTTGAGTGTATAGGCCGATTTAGGACGGTGGAAAAAGAGTGGGTTCTAGCGATGACGTCGGATCGAGTAGCTTGGAGACATTTAGCCAGCAGAACCAGCCTAACTAGTGATGATTAGAAGAAGGAAGAGTTGTTAAGTATATTTCATCACATAATTGGAAAATCCGCCTATTTATCGAACCGCCTAGTCTTTTTGGTATTAGTCGAATTTGATATATGTGGTTTTTTTCATTTAATTGATTAGAATCTTGGCCAACCAACTCACTGTTGGATAAATAGTAAGGCAAAGCGTGAATTAGATGAGAAATAAGTTGGATCTGAGGCTTATATTTTTTCTTTATTTGTATAATAATTTCTATATTTATGCAAATTATAGAGAAAGAATAATTTTCATATGGATTAAATATTAAAATTTTTTTTTCTGAATTGAATTGAATTATTTCTATTGAATTATTTTTTTCATTATCTTTAAAAGTTTTTCTTGAAAAATTTAATTTTATAGTATAACGGTATGATTTTTTTTTTTTAATGAAACGATTTTTCAAAAAACTGTTTTAGCGATAAATAGATTTTTAACAGGTTTAAGATAAGGATTACAATGGTAGAGGATCATACGTTAGGTTCAACGATCGTAAAAGCTCGTTTTGGAAGCGATATTCGAAAAGTGGTTGTACACCACAACGATGATTTATCATACAATGACTTAGTTCTCATGATGCAAAGGATTTTCAAAATCAAATCGTCGGTGAACATTTCACTGAAATACAAAGATAAAGGTGTGCATTCACCATGTGTATATTATAGTTTTTATAGTTTATTATAGTTTTATGTATATTATAGTTTTTTCCAATTTCTAAGGTGAAAATTACTTTAAACTTATAAACATTTAAATTTTGCATATATTAGATGTTTTTTGTTTTCTTAGGTTTATTAATAATAATGTTAACATTAATTTTATTTAATAATGATACTAACAATAATTAATTAATTAATTTTTTATTTAATTTTTAATTAATAATTTTAATGTTCTGATGTAATTTATTATGTAATGGTCAATTAAACGAACGAAGCTCGATTAAATTTTTACAGAATCATTTTTCCTTATTAATTTCAAATTTTACAACAAATTTTAAAGATTAAATTAAATTTAAATCTTTAAATTTCAAATTTCAAGCAAATTTTAAATAATAAATTGAACAAATGAAAGCATTCATAAAAAATAAATTTCTTTTCTAATAAATAAATAAATAAATTTTTATTATAAAATTGCAAAATTGATAGTTTTTATTGATATTCATTGATTTAATTTTATAGAATATTGATGATTATTTTTATAGAAGGAGATTTAATCACATTGGCTGATGATCATGATTTACTTCTTGCGCTTAAAACCGAACAGTCGCCAATTTCAATTTTTGTTTTACCTGAGGGCTGTGAATTACCTCAAATTAAGAAGTATTTTTTTGTTGTAAATTTGATTTTTTTATTTTTAGAAAAATTAAATAAATCGAGAATAAATTTCATATTCATTGAATTTCTATTTTTTGAGTGGAGATTTTATGATTATAAATATTATAAATATTAAATTTAAATTTTATCGAATCTAAACCAGCAATTGATTTTCCCCGTAGACTGGAAACAAATCTGGAAAATATACGAAATTTGGCGACAGCTCTTCTAGATTCGCTGAAAACGCTTGACTTAGGTTTTGAATCTTTACTTTCTGATTCTAATAAGAATCAGTCGGATTTGTCGGTGCAGCATGGTGAAACAGTTGCAACGATACAACCATCAGTGCATGAGCAAGTAAGTTTTAATAAATTTTTGTCAAATAAAATTGCAATTGAGGAAGAACGAATATTATATATTTACTTGCTTTCCGAGCTTCATTTTCATTATAATTTTTATGATTATGATTTTTATGATTATTTGAATAATTTCCGATTAACAATGGTACTCTTGGCTCAAACATTTTATCCACTGCTACTGTTGATGATGTTGGGTTAAAAGAATTACAAAGTGCACCAGTGTCTGAACTTGATAAGCACTTAATTTCGTCATCGACGCCTGTCGTTTTACAAAGTAAAGAAAGTGAAAGAATGGGTTATATCGATAATAATGAAACAAGAAATGCTTTTCAACCTATAAAAAAATTGGGTTAGTCGTTCTTATTGTATCTGATTTCTTGTTAGTAATATTATCCTTAATAAAGAATTTTTATTAAGAAAAAGAATTTAGATAGTGATCCAAAGCCAACTGGTCACGGGTCGCTGAATGAAGTTATTCTACCACCCGCTCCACAGTTCAATTCCCAAATTGGATCTGTCCATCCATTGCAAAATATGGTTGGAATTGACCAATCGAAAGCAGCGTCGGGTATGCCAAATTCAGCCATTCGACATCAAACGCCTCCGATAGATAATCAGTTTGGGATTTCTCAAAATGCACTAGCAAATCATCCATCATTTCCAGCCCAAAATATAACCTCTGCTCCTTATATGCCTATGGCAGAATATGTTAGTTCAGTTTCTACAGCATGTGCTACGCCACCTAACTCATACGCTGTGGCTGGAAATCAATATGGTGCACCACCAGCGCAGGTAAATCCGATCCCCCTTTCTTCTCAGAGTACATTTTCAACATCTGTAAATAATCAAATGGCACCAACACCGCCATCTATGATGCATGCAGGATATCCGCCAGTTACATCGCAACCAGTAAGTTACAATGATCCTACTGCTTATCGGCCAAGTGTGCAATCTATGTACAATATGACTTCAAATGTTACACCAGTAAGTTCGATGCAACAGCGTATGAGCGCTCCACCAGTTGGACCACCAGTTGGTGCACCACCTGTGATGTTCACTAGTGGCGCTCAAGGCGCTAATCCATTCCTTCGAGGTCCACATACAGCTCATTATACTCGACCAACTTTTCAACAGTAATTTAATCTGATTGTTAATCTGATTGTTTATGGTTTGTTTGTCTCCTTTTTTTTTCGGAACTATTTTAAAAGTTTATCAATATTTAGGTTTATTAACTTATCTATTATTTTAAGTTCATTAAGAAATTTGGATCGCTTCTTTAATTTTGTTATAATTTCAGTTAAATTCATATAGATATCATAATAATTTTTTGATATATTTATTTTTTGCTTATGTCGTTAATTTCATATATATCTATAGTTATTCAAAAAACTCAAATTCTTGGTTTTCGCTATCCGTAATTTTTCATTTTATGATAAAAATATTTTAATTACCTGAATATGCATTTTATTTTGTTGAAATTCCTTTTTTATAACAATTAAGTATTTAATTTAATTAATTCAAAATGGATAAGATGTTTAATTCATGTCAACAAATGCTGAAAAACTTAAGAGATGAGCTCATTGAAAAAAAAACTGTGCTGAATGCATTAAAGCATTCGAATTTAACAATTTGAAATAGCGATTAGAATATAAGAAATTATCATCATCCTACTCCATCAAATCATAGAATAAAGGAAGTCAAATTTTCATATAATTTTCATATAAATACTTAATAAACTTAAAAATTTAATTAAATGCTAAATTCATACATTGAATGGTGCATATATTCTATTTGGGATAAAATTTCTTATTATTCTTCGCAAAATCTAGTAAAATATTTGCTGGTTGAAATTGCTGCGGATGATAAGCATTTCCAAATCGTTGCATCTCATTGACAAGTCGCTGGGCTCCAAATAAATCAACAAATCGAAACGGACCACCCCAGAATGGTGGAAAACCAATGCCAAACACTGATGCGATATCACCATCGGACTAAAATTAGATTGAAAGATACGCATCGACTGCAAATTTTTCGAATTATTCGAACTCTTTAAGACACCTATTTTACACATCTATTTTACAAAATAGATGCAAAAAAAATTTAATGTGGAGAATATACAATTTTTTGATTATTTTTTCTAAAGATTAACATAAAAAACTGGTGAATAACGAACCGGCGATGATATTACTCCTTCTTCCAAACAAATTGCAGCTTCATTTATAAATCGAGAAATTACGCGAAGTTGTTGGTCTTCAACACTACTACTGAAAATTAGTATTACTTATTGAATAAACAACGTTTAACGATTTTTGTAAAATCGAAATATAAAAAGAAAAAACGAACACTTCTGCCTTCGGTATAAGAAGATATTTCTTGATAATCCTTTGAACATCCTTATTTTCCATCTTCCCATAGAATTTTCCATAAATTTTAGAAGGCCAATCGCTCCGATACACGAAATAACCTTTGCCCGATTTTCGACCTTTATAGCCTGAAGAGACCATTTCTGTTAGCATCTCAACTGACCCACCAGCAACTCGTGGTCCAAGCTCCTGCAAAATTTTATAGTTTATTAATGCAAGTAATATGATTACTCTTCTTCTGCATACAGATTATAAGTAACAATCTCTTTTAAAAACTAAAAACTTTTATTTGAAGAATTGAAGAATATAAAAGAGGAACAAGTCGTAATATACCTTTCCTAAAAAAGTGCCAACATGTTCAGCAACATCAAGACCAACTTCATCAGCAAGAGTTGCAGCACCAACTGGAAAGCCATAACTTTTGGTCATTTTATCAATTTGAGTGGGAGAAACACCTTCTTGCAATAAGCGCATTACTTCATTCAACATAGGAGCTAAACAACGCACAACAAAAAATCCCGGGCAATCCTGAAATAAAATTCAAATGACTGCGAGAATGAATACAAATGTAATAAAGAATTCATAAAGATGAATTTTTTCAGCCGAATTTTCATATTACCGCGGAAGTGAAAAAAAAACGATGATATTCAATCCCAAAAACATTAACTTCAAAAAATATTTACTTTGACAACAACAACTAATTTTTTTTGGGTTAATCCAAGATTAGCTGCTATAGCCAATGTTTCTTTGCTTGTTTTCTTAGTAGTGATAATTTCTAAAAGTTGCATTTTTTCAACTGGTGAAAAATAATGCATTCCAATAATGCGCTCTGGTCTTGATGAAACGGAAGCTATTTGTTCAATTGGTAAAGCAGAAGTATTTGTTGCGATTACGCAATGCGATGGAATCACAGATTCTAACTGGAATGGAGGAAATAAAATAAGAAAAAATAATTCTTTCTTTAAGAATTCTTTTTTAAATTTTAAAATCTAACTTTGAAAGAAGTAAGTTTTTATAGCAATAACTTTTTACAACATTTAACTAATCGAAGATGATGAACATATGGCTAAACATGGTAAACATGTGCTTTCATTCTGCAAATAATATTTAATCGCTAACCTGCTGAATAACTTTGTGCTTTAATGATAAATCCTCGAAGACAGCTTCAATCACAACATCACTATTTTTCACATCCTCATAATTCGTTGTAGGCTTCAATCTAGCAATCGCATTGCTTTGCTGCAGCAAAGTAATCCTCTTCTTTTTGGCTAATTTATCATAATGAGAATATATTTGATTCATACCTCTCGACAAACCCTCATCATGCATGTCGAGCAGCACTGTAGTGATACCTTTATCAATAGAAACGCTTGCAATACCGGCACCCATTAAGCCGGCACCAATAACCGATAATTTTCTGAAAAATACTTTTGAAACATAAAGTGATTTATAAATAACATAAGTAATTCAAGTATCAAAATTATCATACTGTGTTTTTCTAGCATCACCAAATTTATTTTTTTTGCATTCGGTTGAACCTTGGAAAAGTCCAATAAGGGCAGAAGATTGAGTAGTTTGAGAAAGTTCTCCGAAAATCTTAAATTGTCAATATAAAATCTAATTGAAAATCATTAATTGTAAAATCAACAATATTTTGCGCAAAATCAGCCAAAATCATAATTACGACAAATCATTAATTACCGTACCTTAGATTCCTCATTATAAAATACTTTATCTCTATTCTCCGCCATCATTTTCACAAGATTAAGAATCTGAAGTGGAGCTGGGTAGTTGCCAAGCGTTAGTTTCATTATCTAAATAAAGGAGAAAAGTGGATTAAAATAAAAATGATCACAAAATTAAAAAATTATACTAATTAATTAACATATACTAAATAAAGAAATATACTAAATAAAAATTAATTAACATATACTAAATAAATATAAAAAATGGTTAATATATGACAATATGTTCGGCATAAAAAAGAATTTGATATTTTTTTTAGCGAAATTTTCTTATTATCCAATAATTATGATCTGTAGTAAAATGCGTAAGTATTATTTCTATTTATCGAAAAATATTAAAATTAGCTCCAACTTCATGCGATAATCTTCATAATAAATGCTACAATCTTCCTTTGAATTTTAGATCACAGAACGGATTATAGTTAAACCCAAAAAAATAGTAAAGCAGTGCATTAAAAATACCTGGCGTTCAAATAAAGAAAAAGTTAATTGTCGTAGTGGAGTGGCGAACAATAAATAATTTAGAAATTGTTCAAATTTAGGTCTTTTTCGATTAGGTACTAAAGTCTCTGAGCCCAATTCCTTCGCAACTTGAACTGCAATCTAAAAATCAGAAAATTAATTTAATTTTATATAGATATATTTCCATAAGAAAAATAAAAAAATGATTTCTTTCATTATTTCTAATTATATTCAAAAAATACAGCGCATTCGTACTTGTTTCAAATAATGCAAATTATTTTCTTCTACAGACTTTATACCGATCCCAATTGGCTGAACAACTTGATCAATAAGTCCTATTTTTTTTGCTTTCGGAACAGGTACTGTTTTACCAGTAAGCATCATATCAAGAGCATTTTGAAAAGATATTAATTTTGGTAAACGTTGAGTACCACCTGCACCTGGTAACAAACCGAGTTGTACCTGATAAATAAATTAAATAAATGGAAACATTTTGCCCGTAAATAAATGGAAACTGATCAAAAATACAAATATTGGACTTTGGCGAAATTATGCCCTTATTTATTCATAACTTTTTTGCTACTGATCATTAATTCCAATGCTGTAATAATATAATCTGTAATAATGGAAGTAAAAACCAAATGTTACCTCAGGTAAAGCTAACATAGTTTTCGGTGTGTTCATAGCAATGCGATAATGACAAGCTAATGCAACTTCAAGGCCACCACCCATACAAGTGCCCATGATAGCTGCAACAAATGGTTTCCTGCTTCGTTCAATATGCATAAGTTTTTGCTGACCTTCCACTGACAATTTCTGTACTTCTTCGGCACTTTTAAGCTGAATTAATAGCCCAAATTATCCATTTTCATTTAATTTAAAAAAAACAAATTTTTAATGAAAAATACCTTAAAAAGTTCATTAATATCAGCACCGGCAATGAAACTATTGGTTTTGCCAGACATAATAACAACACTATGTATATTAGAATTAGATTCAATATGAGCAATAAGATCCGACATTTTATTGAGCAAACCTTTGTTCAATACATTTTCCTGTTGAAATGGTAAATTAAAAAAAGTGATAATAAAAAAATCATTATAATTTAATAAAATTACAAATATATGAAACTACTTTATCAGAGAAAAAACAATGGTACTAATAACTTAAACTACAATAATTAGGCTCATGGATTCAGACCATTTGTGCTTAAACATAGTTTACATGATTACCTTTGTTGCTATATCGAGAAACATAAAGAGATACAAAGATGATTAAAGGTAAATAAAAGGTAAACTATGTTTGAGCAAGCAATAAAAATTAGGCGATGTTATAAACCAACTTAATCTATGTCTCACGGAAAGTAGTAATAAAATTCAAGAAGTAGAAAAAATATGGAATTATTTAAGAACCTTCATGTTGGGAATATTGATTGTAACAATCGCTACATTATCTTCCACTGAAAGAGTTGCTGGTTCTGCAAAGCTCGTTATTTTTTAAAAATGCGATTTCATGATCAAAAATTAGGATTTCATGATCAAAAATTTAACTAATTCATAATGGAATAAACAATGAAAAGTTTTACATAATTTTTCAAATTACAGCAAAATCAATTATCGATATCCATATCGATATCCACTATTTTTTTCTCAAATGGAAAAAAAGCAGTGAAGATGAAGAAGAAAGGAATTACCTTTTGAATCAGACGCGACAGTTGCGCTACTCAAAACCTGATTACCATCACGAAATACTAAAAAAGAATTGCTCATAATTTTTTTTTTATGTCAAAAATTCCTTGGAAACTAATTGTGTTTGTTGAACCATACCTTGAATATAAAAGAACCATACCTTAGATATAAACCGTCTATTAAAACATCGTGCAACTTCGAATCTTAGAACTTTTTTTTTTTATAAAACCTCGTGTAAGTGCCACTTGTCATCCAATTTTTTTTTAAGAGTACTCACTATTACTGGTTAAACTCACTCTACTGGCTTGTCGCAATGGATAAATATGCCAAGGAATTCCTTAGCGATAAAAATACAGGTGAATGGCCAGCATCACTAGAATTTTTGCACAGGTTTACTCCTATAGGGGAATCGAACCTTAGCAAAGGCGCTCCGAATTAAGCAACAACCCACTTAGCTATTCTATCCCAGTCATCCGATTAATTTCTTTAAAAATTTTTCCGTTCCTTATTTATTATAAAAAAATTATAATAATTATAATTATAATTATAAAAAAATAACGATAATTGTACGAACTTTTATAAATATTTCTTCGCAATATGGAATGCATTCGCAATAATTTTGGGGCAATTGCCATAATAACTGAAATAATTGTTTTAAAGCATAAAATATTAATTGCACCATAGCGATATTTTTAATAAAACGTAATTTATAATATACGTAATTTATATCAAAAAATCGAGTGATAAAACCTTAAAAAATTGTTTTTCTCGAATAATTAGTGAATAAAAAATATAAAAATAATAAATTATATTTTAAAAAATATAGTAATAAAATATAAAAAATATAAAAAAATTAAAAATTAATGCTAAAATTGAAATAATTTTCCTACGAAGGAAATGATTAAAGTGATAAATGACCACTAATCAAAGTACAAAGTATACGCCATTTGTTATTTATTGCATTAAAATAAGCTACCTTCTATCTTCTTTTATATTTTATAAATACATAGTCCAATATTTTAATAATTATTTTCAAAAATTGGAAAAAAGAATGCATTTTAGAAATTTTGGCTAAAACTTTGGAGAAAACTGAACATAAATGTAAGGTGAAGAAAAAGATGGTCGACTGGAATCCAGCAAGATTAAACCATCACAGATTCGATTCTCGTCCTTTGCTGGAAGTTAAATAGCCATTAAAATTGTAATAAAACAATTGGGTGCTATAAGCCAATTTTCCATGGCCCACTAATTGACCACTGGTTTAATCCACTAACTTGTCGCAACTGAGCAATATGCCAGGGAATCCCTTGGCGATAGCAGTACTTGTGAATCGCTAGCATCATCCGGATTTTTGAACAGGTTTACTCCCGTGGGAAATCGAACCTCAGCATCGGCGTTCTCAATCGAGCAACAATCCACTGAGCCAATCTATTCCCATGATTCCCAACTATTTGTAATTCGTTATTCGTGTGCTTCATGAGTCGCTTAAGAATGCATGAAAATATTCCTTGCACCGTGATTTAAACGAGAATAATGGTTATGGATATTTTATATTCGATGCATTGTCGCTCATAAGGCATACGTAAGGCAAGGTGCTCCTTCCTTTCTCCTTTTCCTTTCTTTTTTTTTTCCTTTTCATCCACATTTTTTCCATTCGAATATTCTCTCGCGTTCTCCCACTATTTTGCTCGCCAATAAATCATATAAATTCACCGCTGTGCATCAGAAAATTTTTTTTAAAGAAATTCCTAACTTCTTCAACAAATTTCGAATAGCAAAAATTATAGCACAAACAAAAAAAAGGGATCAATTTGAATTTAAAATTGTTAATCTATTTTTTTTTTGATGAACTGAAAATTTTAATAATAATAATAATTAATAATAAATGTAATAATAATAATAATAAATAATAACAATAATAATTGAATAAAAATGGAAAATTGTTGCAATTATCCTTATATTTTCTCAGAAAAACAACTGTATAAAAATTGTTTAATCGTATTGAGCGATGCAACGTCGTTTTGAAAATTTGGCTTGAAGCATTTCAAATTAATGCTTAAATCGATGATAAAGTTTTTGATAGTATTGAAAGTGAACGGCAACACTCGGAAATGCTTAATTTACGTTTGATAAAGGTATTAACTTATGATTGCGTAGAAAAGAGAAAACCAATCCTCAATCCGACTTATAACAAGTGGAACGTCAAAGATGAATAAAGATGAACTGATAAGATTCGAGAAGAACCACCGTTCTTGATAAGATAAGAAATCTTAAATTGCGGTAAATTGTGATGAATGTAAATCATGGAAGCTGATAAGATTTCAGTGGAACCACTGTTCTTGATAAGATAAGAAATCTTAAACTGATCGATTTTTATTAGAAATCAATCAATTTTCATGAATTTTAAAAAAAAAGTTTCTAATTTTACTTTACAAATCAATTATTCTCAAATTTTCCACTTTTTAAAAAAAAATTTGTTTTTAATTTTAAAAAACTATTTAATTTTAATTTTTATTTAATTTCATTTTAACTTTAAAAAACCTTTCAATTTTAATAAACCAAAAATTCAGAAAAAAAAGAATTCATTAAATTTAAAATTCGTAAAATAAAAAAAAAAAAGAAAGAATTCATAAAAAACAATGAAGAGAAAAAGCCGAAAATACTAAAAATCGGTCGTACGACAAATACTAATTGAAAAACGCCATTGGTGAGTTGGATTTGTTGCTCGTAAAGATGGTTGATTTGAGTGGTAGCAGTAGTATTTTAGAACATAGTTTTGATAATTCAGTTTTTATTATACCCGCATTAATTATAGTTTCGGCGATCGGTTCGTTCTTTGTTTCTATTATTTTCAATTTTTTGAGATTTGTAAAAAATTTAAATATTTCAAAAAATATTGAAAAATTTTAAACCAAAATTGATAAAAATTTAGAAAATCAGTTTTTTTTTATAATTTTAATTTTATTTTTTTATTTTATTAAAGAAGAAAAATTGATTTTCAAATATATTTTTAAGTGCTATTCTTTTCTTTTCTTTTTTTTTGGTTTTTACTTTTCTAATTTTTGAAAAATTTAATTTTACTTTAGTTTAATCTATTTTTATTTTGTTTTATTTGTTCTTTATTTTTATTTTATTTAAGTGTAAAATTTTTATTAAATTTTATTGGTTCTTTATGCAGTTTTTCGTTATATTATAAGCATAAATTGTGACGTCATTTTTCTTTCTCTACCACAATTTGAAAAAATAAAACTATCAAAAAAAGTTTGTCGATATTTTTTGTAATTCAATAGCAATTTCGGTTACTCTCGAATCGTTTTTCAACGGTTGATTTACGTAAAAAATCAATTTTAGCGAATCAATGCTCATTTGTTATTTTTTTTTTTAGCGATTTTTTTAGCGATAAACATTGGAATGAAGAAAATTGTCGGAAATTATCGAAATAATAAATGTTAGAATAAAATCGAAAATATCAATTTTATAAATTTTTCTTCGTTCATAAATTGGTATTAAATTTATATCGAATAAATAAAAATATCACAAAATTGTATATAACGAATGATATTGCGAAAATTATGAGCAAATTCTATGAGATTGAACGGCAATTTTTGTTATTTGTATATTTATTATATGTGTATTTTATAAATAAATAATAATAATAGCAATAATAATAGTAGTAATAATAATAATATAATTAGCTATTTGAACTATTTGAACTCATCGAAGTATTCTTATTTAATGAGTAAGTTAGCGATAAAATAAATAAATTTTTTTATTGGACTCTTTCTATAGATTATTATTTAGAAAATTAGCAGTTAATTAATAGTTGTTTTTATATTTTTATTTTTTTTACTATTAAAATTTATTAAATTCTCTCTTTTTTATCAAACTTATTTATTTTAATGTTTAATATGTTTTTATTATTATTTATTTATTTTTATTTGATCTCTTTCGTTTAATTTCGATTTTTTGATAGAATGCTTGTCTATTTTTTTTATTTACATTAATAACATAGTAATGTGTAGGTTTTTTGATATTTAAAATGCGGTAAGTATAGCTAAATTATATGTTCTCTGGATTACCATTTCACGAGCGCCATAGGTTAGCCACTTTTATTAGCAAAAGTGAGGATTAAAAGTTCCTAATGGTGCTGCTAGGTTCATTTCTACTTTCATCCATTTCGACCATCATTCAACACGGTTTGGCAGTCTTCAATTGCTAATAGTATGAGATCTATTTACCAGTGAATTAAGTATAGAAATACAGTTCCTTAGCTCTCTTGCACCATTTTTCATTTTTAATTGCAGTTATATTGCAGGAACACGAAAAGGAATCGAAGTAGTACTTCATACTGGCCATGCTATTTCTAATTATAACTCTTTCTTAAAAGTATATAAAGATTAATTAACTGCCATGAGCAAATTATTGCATAGGAAATCCTCTCTACACTGATAAAATAATAGACGAATAAAGCGCAAATTTGTAATACGTAGGCGGTGATTTATTGACCTGGCTCCATAGTTACCAACAAGCGAACAATGCTGATTGTTATGTAATTCATTGGTACCTCCTTTGTTTAATTTCTCAATATTTTGTTATTTTTTGCGTTTTGTTGTTTTATTTTGTTATTTGTTATTTTATTTTATGTTTTATCGATATGCGAAGAAATTGAAACTCTCAGATTCAGCCAATCCAGTCATTTTCTTTCTTTTCCATAATTTAATTTTTTTTAGTTTTTTTCTTTTAATCATAATTTTAATAAATCTATTTGAGATAAATTTTCTCTTCAAATTTTTAATTTAATTTCATTTCACTTCATTTCTTGATTAATTAAATTTTCTAGCGCTTGTGACGTATAAATTAGTGGCGTCGTTAAAATCGAAGCAAAAACGTCAGGAAGAACGAAAAAAGAAACGTGAAGCAAAAAGGAAAATGTGAAAAAGAAATATCGAGTCGAAAAAAATTTACCGCTTCCGGTTTACCGCTTGGATTTCTTTTTAAATTATTGGTATCGCTTTTCTCTGTGATATTATTTTAAATCGTTGAAAGTTTATTTTTTTTATAAAAATAATTTTTATACTTCGTGGAAATTTTTATTGAATTATTTGTATTTCATATTTATATCTATATGGAGGGAAGTTTTTAATCCAACAAAATCTTAAATTCGAAAATTTTTTTCAACAAATTTTAAAAATTTCCACACGTTTAAATAACTATAGGTTAGTTTAGCTAAGGCCTGGACTGATACAGTCAGAAGAGATTTTGAACATATAAAAAGACCAGTGATATATACGATGGAGAAAGGTATGGCTTCTATTACTACTAACGATGGCATAGACCGAGCAGCTTGGAGATATCTTACCTTTGTAGCCAGCGGAGCCAACAAAACCAGTAATGGTAGGAGCTGTTAGAAGTAGAAGATGAGCTAGTTGAATGTCGATAAATTCGGCCCTTTTTTTAAAAAATTCTTTTACGAAAGGGAATAAAGTCTGCTCAATTAGTTTCTCGTTGTAATTTTTTTTTAAAATTTGCATAATAAGTTTTAAGTTTTAAATTATCGTATAATTGGCCCTTATTTGTTCATTTTCAGTCATAATTAGCAATAATATTTTTAATATTTTAAAGTTTTTCCAATAATTTGTTTCAAAGAATATATTTAATTGCTTTAATTGTATAGGAGAAATTATTGCATAGGAGAAATTAATTTCTCCCTTCCCCTTAAATTCCCTTAAATGAATTCTCATTTAAAGTGATCCCTTTGGAATTACACTTATTGCAAGATAGAATTTTTATTATTATTTATTATTAAGTATAACCGAGTGGCAAAAAAATATTTTTTGCAAAATCTGGCCATATTTTTAAGGCATTTGTTTATTATTGTTTTCTTATATTTATTACTTGTCTTGATTCTAATAATATTTCTGTAAGAAAGAAAGGAAAATTTCTGGTTTCTCTTTCAGCAGTTACTGGATAATTTTCTAGTTCTTTGTGGCTTAAAATTTAAATGGCTTTGAAAAATTCGAGAACGGTAACGATTGGTCGAGTGAAAATTCTATGATATTTTTATTTTAATCTATCTATTTTAATTTAATTCTATGATATTTTTATTTTAAGAAAATGGTTTATTGTTGATTTTTTCATTCAATAATTATTTTATTTTATTTTTGCTATTATTGCTTTCTTTATAATGCATTCTTATTTTTGAATCATATTTCGGGGTTTTTTTGGTGATTTTTTTTTATTTATTATTATTATTTGCTTAAACTTTTAAATCATTCGTTTTACATGCAAAAAAAAAAAAAAAATGAAATGAAATTTCAAAGAATTAATATAAGGTTAGGATTAAAGGATAAAGTATGTATTATATATTATAAACTCGCTCGGCTGGCTTATCCCACCAGACAAATATGCCAGGAAGTCCCTCGGCGAAAGTGAATATCACCCGGATTTTTGGACGGATTTACTCTTGCGGGTGGGATAGAGCACCAATATGGACCCAAATTTTCATACACTCAACAACCCACTGAGCCGTTCTCTGCCCCACTGTTGTTGAGTATAGGAAAATTGAGTTGTTTATAATGTTTATATGAAAATTTGAAATTTTGGAAAAAAATTAACTTAAAAAGCAGAAATTTTTAAATTTACTAAAAAATGAAAAGATTACAAAAAAATTTATCGAATATTTGAGTATTTAAGCAATTGTTCTTTAAAAAATATAAATTGTTAGCATATTGAACAACAACAAAAAAAAAGCTGCAAGTTAATTAGTTGGCGATTAAGTAGTTCTCGATCAATTGACATAGCATTTCAGTATATTTTTCGCGCTCATTGAGTGATTATAGCATTAAAGTTGATTAGAAATGTGCAATTCATAAAGTGCTAAATTTGGTTGTCATGGAAATTTGCATGGATTGAATTGTCTCGTCGATTAAAAATGTCATTATTTCATATTCATGAGTGGCTTGGCTTGGATCTTAGCGATATATCCACATTTGCTGTCGGTATTCTTATCGAAAGCAGAGGTAAGTACCATAATAGAGGTCAGCAATAGAGAATAAAGAGAAGAATAAAAATTAGCTGGTGATTAGGAATTCCTTGCATGATTCCATGTCACTCCTCTTTCTCTTTCTTTCTTTCCTTCACTAGACCACTCCATTTCTCTCTTTTTCACATTTTGGTACCAATATTATTAGTACCAAAATCGTCAAATTATCGTTAACGAGATTTATTTGCTTCAATTATTAGCTTCTTTTTTTATAAATCCACTTGAAATTTCAAAATATCTTCAACTTAAAAGTTAATTTTAAACTAATGATCAGTAGGAGAATAAAATGGTTCAGTGGGTCGTTGTTCAATTCAGATTTCTTTGCCGACTTGCTGAGCTTCTAATCCCGCAGGAGTAAACCTGTCCGAAAATCCAGTTGATGCTGGCGACTCACTTGTATTTCTATCGCCAAGGGACTCCCTGGTATATTTGTCTAGTGCGACAAGCCAGTGGAGCGAGTTTGACCAGTAATGGTGAGGACTCTTAAAAAAAAAAGAAATGATGAGTATCCAACATAGCCTGGTTTTGATGGCAAGCTTATTCCTATAAATAGACAAGTACCAAATACTAGTATATCTAAAAATAACAATGTTTGATATTTTTAAACATAGAAAAAGAAGAAATTGCTTGTTTAGATCAAATTGTTATGGGTAGCCTGGATGGATGGATTCGAATTATCGATCCAGGTCGATTCATTGATTCTCGCCAACAACTGAGTTGCTTACTTGAACAAAAAGTAAGCGATTCGATGAATTCAATAATTCAAATTGCTATTGCAAAATTTATCGCTAGCGAACAACAAAATTTTATAGCAGTTCTTTTTTCACAAAAAATTGCCATCTTTCGACTAATTGTTGGTAAATTTTCTTTTTTTTTTTATTAGAATTTAATTTGAATTTAATTTTATTAAAAATATTTATTATTTATAGAAAATAAATTATTCGCTTAAATTGCAATCGGAAATCGGATTTACTCCTCGCGATCAATTGTCATAGGAGAAATAAGTTTATGAAAAACGAATAGTTTCTCTTAGTTTTCCAGTTTTTTTACCCTAATTATTATTTTTATTATAGACGGTGATATATTTCGTCTTAATGCGCTTTATGAACACGAACTTGAAACTATTGCTTTTAATATGTGTACCATAGGTTTTGCTCGTTCTTCAACGACAAAGATTTGTATTCAAAGCATAAATTGTTCGTTAATGGTTTATGAAGCTGAGCATCAATTATTTAGTCGAAATCTACCAACTTTAATCTATCCAGGTCCTATAAAATACGCTTCACAATCTGATTCGATTATAATCACCTCAGGCGGTATTTTATCATCAATTAAATTCACTATGCTTGCAGCAGCGTCAACTAGTGCACAAGGCAAAAAACTTTCGGTATGCTCTCAAATTATTTCTTCTTCTTCTCACTATTACTAGTTAGGCTGACTCCGCTGGCTATAAGGTTAACATATCTTCAAACTAATGCCATCGCTAGTGGTAATAGAAGCCATTCCTTTTTCTATCGTCTAAGTACATATAATACATATATCAGTCTCTGGTCTCTCTATGCGTTCAAAATCTTTCCTGTTTGTATCAATCCAGGTTTTGATTCCTCCTCGACACCTTTGACACCAACCATCACAGGGCGGCTCTCAGTTATTCAAAAATCTTTCTTCGATCCTTCGTCTAATTTACACTCTCCGTAAGTTGAGATTAATTAATTCGCTATAAATGCTATTAAGTACCATTATATTATCGAATACGTTGGTTGGTATGACTGAGATTGTTTGATTTCGATTTATATATCCGCTGATTGAAATAAACGTGTCTATAAATCATAAATGAAACCAAATAACACTGAAGTGTTTCAAGAGTTATGGATTATCCGGCCTGTTCATGTAATTGGTACCAGCTTTATCCAAGTCATTCTTTGGTAAAATATCATTAGCGAATATAGTCAGCGAAAGCTGGAATGATATTAGAATGAGTTTGGTAGCAATGGTGATTTAAATCGATGCTACAGCTTAACGACTAAAAATTCTTTGGGGAAGATAGGTGATAGGTGATCATTTTCTTTATTTCTTTATATATTGGTTCGAATCTTATAGTTCGATTGGTCTTTTAATCTGGGTGATTGGCCTATCGATCTATATACGATAGATATTGTACCGGTGCAACCATCCATCATTGTCTTGTGTAAGCATACTCTTCTATGTCTAACTCTTGGTGGTACTTTAAGATTTTCGATTCGCTTACAGTATACAGCTACGGCTCTCCTTGTGTATAATGCAAGTAAGTGATCCTCAAAATCCTTTATTTTTTATTTAATTTTGCTATTTTTTAAATCAGTCCAACCACTAAGTTTACTAATAATCTATTTGCTCCAGCGTATGATGCTTATATACAATTTTGTATTGCCTCGAGTAATAGTACTCTACTCTTTTACGCCGATAATATATCAATTTGGGCAGCACATGCATTAGCAAATCCTATCCAACTTGGCCTTTGCACAGCTGGGTATTTATTTCAATTCTTGAAAAATTTTTTATCATTATTATGATTTGTTATCTTATCATTTTTTTTCTTCCAATAGCAAATACTGGCTAGGCTGGTTCCATTACCACCAAAAATAAGGCATCTTCAAGTCTCTCGGGTTGTGTTGAAATAGAAATGGCTTTTGTTTACTGAATTTATTAAATTTCGCAGATCAAAATTAAAAATTTTGTAAATTTTTAATTTTCAACTGTTCATAACATGAAACGTGCAACGCTTAAGGAATACTCATCGCTCAATGTTGGTGATTTTATCAGAAAATCGTTTATCCATAGGTTATCTTGGTACGGAACCATCATTATTTTGCTTACCAGCTTCACAGACTCGTTTCATCGATTTCGAAGAAAGACAAAAAGAACTTGCTCAACTCGAACTATCCATTCGAAAAAAGAATCCAGAAGCAGGCAACAATAATAATTTTGAATAAATTTTTACTTTTTCCGACAAATTCAATATTCAATAAGATCTCAGCATGGTGAAATGGAATGGCTGCATCAGCTAAGATCCAACAAGCATCATGAGTTTAATTCCTATTTTCTTGATTGTAGGAAATATATTTCGCATAGTAAATGAAATCTGGTGATCCTATATGTACTTCTAATGCTCTAGAAAAAGAAGCCAAGCAAACTAGAATTGTTGAATACCCAACAGGAGTAATTTAGTTTAAATATTCATAATAAAAGGTTATCTTCCTGTTGGATGGATATTTTCGAATTTGATAACAACAAATGCCATAGTAAATTAAATCTATAGAAAATTATTTTATCAAATTTATCAAATTTTAGTGGTGGAAACGAAGCCAATATTTGAAATAAATTGCATATTTGATAGCACTGATAAGAAATCGGTTAGCTTAATTTACTGATAATGAAGTTTTTTGTGATTCATTTTTTTTTCTTCTTTTAAAGCACATAAATTATACATTGGAAAGATATTTATTCGGATGATATGGTCAGAGAAAATCTATTAAATGCATAATAAATAAATTTTTTTTTAAAGAGTCTTCACTCGCTCTACTGGCTTGTCGCAATTGAGCAATATTGCCAGGGAATCCCTTGGTGATAGAAATACATATGAGTCGCCAGCGTCACCCAGATTTTTGTACAGATTTACTCCTGCGTGGAATCGAACCTCAGCATCGGCGCTCTCAATTGAGCAACAATCCACTGAGCCATTCTATCCCCAATAAATAAATATAAAAAATTTAAATTTTTTTTTTTTTAAGAAAATGGCAAATAAATTTTTCTCTTCAGTTAGCGCAAGAAATAGCAGAGGATATTCCATCTTTAACGGTCAATGTTGAGATTAGAAGTGAACGAATGGTGAAAGATGTACGATTGCTTTGTTCAACACAATTTTTTGTCGATGAAAAATATCATTCGTTAGAATCATTAAGTTTGTTAATTTATTGAATTATAGGCAATAATTTTCTTTAATAAAAATGAAATTAAAAATTTCCAAAAAAAATTAATTTAAAAAAATAAAAAAAAGCATAAAATTCTAAATGATTTAGAAGAATTTCAGATGGTACAAAAATAATTCCGTTAATATTTTATACAAAACAAGAAGCAGTAACCGATTTGAGATGTACATTTTTCTTGACTTCTTCATCATGCGGTTCGCTTATTTCTTTGCATTAACCTTCTTGATGAGGCTTTTAATCCAACAAAAAATTCTTCAGTGATTTCTAAGAACAACGACCGATTTCCAATTTGCTATTATCGTCTCATTATCGTTTCGTTGAACTTCTTATAATTAACTTTAATCATCTCTAATTTGGCTGATAAGGTATCTTCGAGATAACTAGCCAGCCACTTAGAAAATATAGAAAAAAATGATATGACGACGACTTATTCCAATAATATTAGAAAATATAGAAAAAATATAGACGAATCTGCAACACTTTCATTAGACCAGTCTTAAATATTTATGGAATTCTAAGATTATACTGTCGCTTTTTTTTCTAAGAGTCCTCACCATTACTGGTTAAACTCGCTCCGCTGGCACATTAGAAAAATATGCCAGAGAATCACTTGGGGATAAAAGTAGAGGTGAGTCGCCAGCATCACCCGGATTTTTGTACAAGCTTACTCCTGGAAAAAAATCGAACTTCAGCATCGGCGCTCCAAATTGAGCAACAACCCACTAAACCAATCCATCCTCATATTATCACTTGTCTTAGTTTATTTCGATTTTCCTGAAAAAATCCTCGAATCATTTAGGTGAAGTTTGTAATCGAGAAATAAAACTGCCTTTATCATTAATGTGCCGTACAGTAAGTACACAGCGTAACGCATTATTTAAACTCACACTTGAGTCCACAATGGATAATATTTTAAGCATATCAGATTTATTTCCAGGTTTTTTTTTTTTGAGACTATTTTCATAAATAAATTTTTACGATTCATTTCACTTGTTATCAAATCGCAATTATACGAAAAAAGAATTATTTTATTATTTTATAAAAGAATAATTATTTTATTAGCATATTTAATATAGAAAAATCAAATTATCTTACTTATTTTCATAAAAATATTTTTTTATTTTTTTAAGAATTTGAAGCAGAAAGTCAAACTTCTATTGGATTCAAACCATTTTTATCAGATTCCGTTATTTCCATATTTATTTCACCAAAAACAAGTACTTTATGATCTCTTTTTTTTGCAAATATTATTATTATATTTTTATTATTATTAAAATATTGTTTCCCAAAAGATTTTGGTATTTGTAATTTGGTATGCGCTAAAGGCTATTTAGAGAAATTATTTGGATAATACAACACAAAAATAAATATTAATAGTATAGTTATTAACCTGTTGTGAATTTATCATTGAATTTATCAAATTTATCATTGAATTTCATTGAAAAATTTTAAAAAAATAAAAAAATCCCTATCTCATTCCTATGGGTGAGAAGAGGACTCATCCTAAACCTTAGGCACTCCACTAGAGAATCTTAGGAGAATCGAATAAGGCAGATAAATTTTTAGATGGTCTCGTCCAAGGATCCTTATCCGGAAAAGTAGCGATGATTGGCTACGATTCGAAACGTTGTTTACCATAATTGCCTATTTTAACCTCTATATTCTTGCGATTTATAAATTATGTATCCCATTCGCAATAGGAACTAATGATTCTTAAACTAGAAAAATGATTCCAGAAACAATATCAGAGATCTATATTCATAAAAGGAACACCAAGTTATTGTGCAGAGTCCTCGAACTCCCAGGTGTCTGGTAGAGGACCCGAGGTTAAAGATAGAAGACTTACACTACTCGAAGGTGGCGAGAAGAGGCTTTTCTTTCTCCTATGATCTATGAAATAAATTCAAGAGAAGATATAAAAAATTTTTTTAGAAAGATATCGGATTCAGTCGGACTCGCTAGATTGGTTATATCTTTATGCAGACGAAATTGTCTCAAGATTAACTTCTCAACAACCCAATATGAATTTTTCATGTGCACTTCCTATTGATCAAATTCTACAAAAATTGCACAATTTTATCGAAGTTGTTTGATTTTCAACTTGGAAAATCTTCTAATAGTTTTCAAACGTCAAACATTTTTTTTCAATAATTTTTGCTTTTCAATTATTTTTTAATTAATAAATTAGTAATTAGTAAATTTAAATCACTAAATGTTTCATGTTCAACGTTCCTCAACATTCTACAGATTTCGAGAGAGAATGTCTTAAAAAAGAAAACGAGGGAATTTAAAATTTGCTAAAAAATTTTTATTAAAAATTTGTTAAAAATGTTGAATAAATGATTGTTAATATATAAAATAAACTTAATAAAATTAAGTTTAAATAATCTACTTTAATTGGATCTTATAGTTGCAAAAGCGTAGTAATAGCGAAGAGAAAGAACTGGAACGACTTGCAGCACAAATTCGAGGTGCTCAATCTGCTATTTTAATTAAAATTAAAAATCAACGGCCAACTTCCATTTCACATCTCGAAGCGTTCTATCGTATCACTCATTCTCAGGTGAGTTATAAGAATTAACATTGAATGCCGAAGGAAATGATATAAATGTCAAAAATAGCGAGAAATAGCGAGAAAATAGCAAAAATAGCGAAAATAGCGAGAATTGCGAAAAATAGTGAAATTGACGATATTACTGCTGTTTCTTCATTTTATTTAATTCTTGCCTTGAAATCGTAAGAATTTTCAAATAAAATCAAATATTCGTCCTGTAATCTTAATAATTTTTGAAGAATAAAAGGTTTCTAATTTTTCTCAACTTTCAAATTTTCTTGAAATCCTGAGAATTTTTATCGTGGAGTTTTGTAGATGTTGAATATGATTGATAAATCGATGGAAACGGAATCCGAATTAAATTTGGCTGCCAAATCGCTTTCTGCCTCTCTTAACCTTTTAAATTTTTTGGCTAATGTCAATGGAAATGCAATGGCCATCGATGGAAAAGTGACACATGGTCCCTACCAGGTATTTTTTAGTGTAAAATTCTATTTCTATTTCTTAAAATTCCATATAATGCATTCAAAAATTTTTCCAGATGATATTATATCCTTGAAAATTAATTTAAGAATGTTATAAAATTTTAAATATTTAGTTGATTGCTGTTTTTTTTGTCAGTTTCCTCTAAATTTTTGTAATTTTTGTAGTGTTATGAAGCCAATTTTTAGGAGACAAAGATAATAATCTGAAAGCGGGACAATCGAGTGCTTATTGCTTAGATTGTCGTCTTTATAGTCAGAGTTATCCTACCTGTCCGGGTAATGTTGGCCACATTTCCTATTTCCTAGTTCCTAGTTCTTCAAGTAATTCCCTTTCTTACCGTACTAACAGCCAGTGGAACGAGCCTAATCAGAAATGGTGATCCCTAAGCACTTTTATTTATAAATAATGAAAATTAAGAATATAAGCCAATATTTTAATGAAAATTTGTTATAATGTATCAAGATAAATGAAAATAAAATTGATATTTTTTATATATTTTTTATATATTAATATTTTTTTTGCGATTAATTTATTTTAGGAAATAGCTGAGCGAATTAAATGGATTTTGGCGATGATCACTCGATCGGAAATCGTTTCAGATATATCGCCTGCTGAATTGAAGAGTATGATTCGAATTCAGTGCGAAAGATCCGCAGCTCGTATGGAAAATATTGACGAAGAAATAGAAGATAACGAATCTGAGAATGAAGACATTGGCATTAATCCTTGTGTTTCTGGTTCACTTCCATACACCAAAAATAATGAATAATTTCTTCATTATCGATATATTATAACGCATTAATTCAGAAATTTCCATTGTATAAAAAAAAAGTCAAAATAGGAAATGGAAAAAAAAATAAAATTTTTCTGAATGAAAATTTCTTGTTTCTGACGAGCCATAGGAACGAGGTGATATGATAAGGATATCGGGAGCGAGATGATATGATAAGGATATCAGAAGCGACTTAACCAGAAATAATAAATATTATAGAAAAATTATGTCATAATAATTTTATAATAGCGAAATTATTTAAAGAATAATAATAATCTAGAAATCTCTGCAAAAAAATTAGCCAAAAATATCAAAAAGCCTCACATACAACAAATAATAAGAAAAATATTCAGTAATATTACAACAATACCATTCTACTAATGAATACTAATGAATAATGAATAAAAACTATTATATTAAAATTATTAAATTATTAAAATTATTAAAAATTACTAAAATTATTAAAAACAATTATTACTAAATTATTTTCTTAATGGATTTATTAGATTAAAAAATCGAATTGAAGTCGATCATAGATGAAAAATTTTATTTCTTTTTTAGCCCTAAAAAATTATCCTAAGGGCATAAATAATCCAATTTTGCCATTGAAATTATGAATATTGTTGAGATAAAACTCGTTTATTTGAAACGAAATCAAGCGATAGAATGGATAACTTTTGTCATGGAACTTGATGGAGGAGTATTTCGCTCAACTAGTTCGATGTGCACTATTAAGGATATTGGTTCTTTTTAAGGAAGAGAAATGAACAGACCAGTTTTTTTTAAGGGAATAATAATAGAATAGTTGGGGTTGCAAAAAATATTTCTAAAAAACAAATATTATGCTCTCTGCTGTCGTAAATAGAATCCCAGAATTCCAGCACTGGCGGTCTGGATTAGCCAAAAAAATAAAACTATCGAAAATTGATGGCTAATTTAAATTTGCCTTTTGGATTCGAATAGATCGAGAATGGTGATTATGAAGACCTGAATCGATGCATTTAGAGAAGATTTTAAATACATAGTGGACCAGTGATATGTGGACTCAAGACGGTGGAAAAAAGAATGACAATGGTGTTGGATCGAAAGGCTTCGAAACGTCATCCTTACCCTTTGCGGCCAGTGGAGTAAGCCTAATCACTAACGGTGCGACTTGGCAATTATTTGTTCTAATGCAGTGATTTCAAAAAACACTTACATTAGCCATCGAGCAGCTAAGATAAACGATTGTGGACAATGTGATAAACTATTGATGAAATTATTTCCAAAATGGTGGAAGTACCAAGCACTTGCCTTACAGTCGAATAAATAAATGAGCATTACTACTGCATTCATATAGCCTAAAAATTGGTTCCAAAGTGGAACCAAAATCGCTAAAGAATAGCTATTAATCATTTTTTTGCTGCAAAAAACACTCTTATTTCTTTTCTTTCTTCCAGGTTTGAGATAATTTTATGAATTCATTCGAATATTCAGTTTATTTTCCAATATTATTTGTTCTCTTCTTCTCAATATAAATTTGAAATTCGTGGTACTTTTCAAATGATAAAACCTGAAATTGCCTAATTTCTCAGAGCATAATTAGTGCAAATAAAGCATCTAAAAAAATGAGAATGGACGGAGAAGTGATACTTCTTGTGGAAGCGAAAAGTGGGAAAATCATCTCTTTCACCCATCCCAAGAACTACAAATCTCCCAAATCATTATTGCTGATAAGTTTGCGATTTAATATGGGCAGCGGAATGGAGAGAGAAAGAATGAACGGATAAGATTTTGAGGGAGGCTTGGGGGCCTTTTTTTCCCATTTAGATGAATCGCTGTCGCTGTTCGCCAACACTCGTTCGAAGGTACCTTCGCATTCTAACCTTACATCTCCTAAAATCCACAAATCGACGATCCAAAAATCGGTGACCGGTGATTACTTTATTTTAGACAAACTGGATTGAGAAAATATTCCCATAAGAAGAGGCGGGATTTGGTCGACGATGCTCGCGATTAATTGCTGAATTTATGACTGTACTCGTGTAATAATAGTCGAACAATGGTGCATCGAATTCCTCATTAGAGCCAACGTGTCATTATAATGTACTAATGGTGCTCATGGACCATTTGCATTTTTTTTTTTCGCTGAACCATCCTAATGGTTAATTACTTTCCTACTTTGTCGTCCAATGGAACCAAAAGGAAATATTATTTATTAATAAATATTTTCATTAAATATTTATTTTTATTTTATATTTTATATTTATATAAAATAATAAATGTATATATTTTATTTTAAATAAATATAAATATTTTATTTTATATTTATATAAATATTTTTTATTAAATTAAATTAAATACTTATTTAATACTTTATTTACAAATATTTCAAATGGAATGGCTTAGTGTGGCTTAATTGGTAGCCGATGCTGGAATTTTAATCCCAGCAGGAGTAAGCATTCAAAAGTCCTAGTGATGCTGGCGATTATGCTTCTTCCACTAAGGGATTCCCTGTTGTGTTTTTTGTAATCTGGCGAGTCTGACCAGTAATGTGAATGCACTTTATAAAAAAAAAAATTCTTTTGACTCAATTGATTATTTGGATGAGTTCTATTATGAACCTCTTTCTATGATTTTTTTCGACAAGGATTTGGTTCGTAGACCTATCAGCAACCACATATTACTATTACATTATTAGCGCCCAGTATTTCACAATATCACTTGAAATCAAGTTTATGTAATTATCACCGCTGGCTATTACGGTTCGAAATTTCTAGTCATTTGGTAATGAAAACACCGTTGGGCTACATCGAAAACAGCATGTCGCGTGCGGAGTTTGAACAGTAAAGCTTAAGGTAATCTGATTTAGAAACATGAGGCTGTTCTGTTCTTTTCACTTAATCTTCACTTCACTTATTCTTTTCACTTAATCTTTTTTTTTATTGCCTTTAATGCTATTTTATAGAGGAATTCGAGTTTTAGCATATCTGCGATAAATCGTATCGATAAAAAATTGTATCCATGAAAAAGATTCATTAAATAAGGCAAATTATAGGTGCGAAGAAGAAGAAATTTTAATAATGGCGACTTGGGAAGAATATTTGATAAATCAAGCGAATATCGATGGAATTCAAATGACTTGGAATCTTTGGCCGCATTCTCGTATTGATGCCCAAAGGCTTGTCGTTCCAATTGCAACATTCTTTACACCTCTTAAGGTTTTTCATTTTGGCTTTATTTTTCTTATATTATTTCAATTTTGTTGTTTTTTACATTTTTCTTATTTGCACTACTTGATTTCCTGCGCATAATTTATAATCTGATTGTCCCGCATTAGCTATCAAGATTAAGTAGGTATGAGTAAGATAAATTAAATTAATATTTTGCAAATATTATATTTGGTTAAATTAGTTCCGCTGGCTCTCAATATTGTTAAAAATAATATGTACTGATAAAATTATAGGTGAATCGCCAGCAATAATCAGCAATAATTTTTTAATGGCATTTTAAATTTATTCCTGTCGAAGGCATCGAGCAAAAGCCTTGTGCTTTCACCACAATTATCCATTGTGATCCACTGTTGACTCGGCTCCCTTAGCTATAAAGATAAGACCCATTGAATCATATGTAAATAAATGTCCTCGTCCAGATTTTAGTCGAACTCATTCTTTTTAATCGAAATAAGAAAATAATTAACTGTCTTAGAGTAATGTTAATATTAATGAGATTGTTTTTGATTTCCATGCCTTTAGGTTTTTTTAATTTTATTAAAAAGATATTTTGCTATGGTTCTTGATTCAAATTTCCCTATTCAGATTGAGCATTACATTTACGGATGAATGTAATTCATTCTAGTTTAGCACACATTAAGTAAGCATGTTTAATGGATTTTCTTTTTCCTGTTATCAATTCTTTATTATCTTATAAATTTTGCATTAATGATGTTTTATTCATTATAATGTTTTCTCTTCGTCACGTCTACAAAGCATTATACAAATGTGCTTATTTATTTTCTAAGATGCTTACTTTTTTTGTTTGGTGATTCGCACTCGTGTTCCATGTTCAGCTTTGTTCTGTGTTCCCGAATATATTGTTTCTTGTCAATCCCATCACATGATCGCATCCATCTTCGTTCAAATACCACTTGCATAAATAATGTTATCACAGAGCGCCGCCTTCGCTGGTTAGGGTACATTCTCAGTCGTCCACCACAGGAGTTGACGCATATTTCGTTATTTACTAAACCATGTGATGGTTGGTGTCAAAAGCGAGGGCCAATCAAGACCTGGACTGATACGGTGAGAAAAGATTTTGAACGTATAGGTGGACCAGCAGACTTAGACTTAGATGATGGAAAAAGGAATGTTGATGTTATCATCAGACCTCGCCACTTGGAAGCGTCTTACCCTTATAATCGTTGGAATTAGCCTAACCAGTATTGGTAAGAGTTACTAGAAGAAGAAGAAATTTCGATTGCAAAATCCGAAAAAATTATAAATGTTATGTTAAATATTACATGTCATATTGAATAGTTTTTTCAAAGGAAAAAAGAAATTTTTTTTTTTTAAATTTATGATTATTACTATTGTAGGAAAGATCTGATCATTATCGTCAGCCGCCGCTTGAATATGATCCAGTTTTATGTCAAAAATCATCCTGCAAGGCTGTTCTGAATGCATTATGGTTATTTTGTTTTTTTTATAATCGATAAATATTTGCTTTCATTGTATTTATGGAAAATTTTATTCAGCATGGTCGACTACCGAAATAAAAGTTGGATATGTCCCTTCTGTAACCAACGGAATCCATTTCCTCCTCATTATAACATGATTGCCGAAGATAATCGACCACCTGAATTATATCCTCAGTTCACAACCATTGAATATACCCTAAAAGTTAGCGTTTTTTTAAATTTTTTTGCTCATTCCGGCGCCGAAAACTGTTTTATTACCTGCTTCAGAAAATTCTCAAATTTGTCAAATGGGTAATTAATATTTTTTTTAGCGGGCTTCGACACTGCCACCTATTTTCTTATTCGTTTTGGATACATGCATTAGTAATGATGAGCTGAAAGCATTGAAGGAGTCGATCCAGACTGCACTCTCGTTACTTCCAGTCGATGCTTTAGTAGGATTAATTACTTTTGGCCGAATGGTAGAATTGCATGAACTTTCAGTTCAGGGCATCTCTCGTGCTTATGTTTTCAAAGTAAATATTTTTAAATTATCTTTCCGGCATGTTTTGTTTGTTTTATTATATGCTTTTATTTTAAGGGCTCAAAAGAAGTGACTCAGAAACAGCTGCGTGATGTGCTTTCCATGAACATTGGAAAACCATCTTTTTGTCCTACTTCAGTGGATGGTGTAGGAGGGGTTGCTGGTTCACAAATGAAATCAACCATTCCTAGTAATCGAACTACTCCAAGTAATGCTAATGTTCATGTAATGGCACCAAATCAAATCAGCCAGCCCCAACTACCGTTTAATAAATTTTTGCAGGTTTTTTTTCTTTTTTTGTAATTTTGCAAGTTGAAGAATGTTTATTTATTAATTATTGACACTATTAAATCTTTATAGCCAATTAGCGACTGTGAGATGTCAATTAATGATCTTATCGAAGGAATTCAACCTGATCGCTGGCCAGTATCTCAAGGACATCGTCCACTTCGTTCAACTGGAAGTGCTCTTGCTGTTGCTGTTACTCTTCTTGAGGTAGCTAAGCAAATTGCTTTTTATACGCAGTTGTGCTATTATAGATTAAGATTCAAGATTAAGATCGAAAATTTAAAATTGTTACTTAAGATTATTTGATAAATTTGCAAAAATTCATAGAAAATTGATTGTTGGAACAATCAATTCAAAATCAATTTAGGTGTGCTTTCCCAATACCGGTGCACGTATAATGACTTTTATTGGTGGACCCTGTACTCATGGTCCAGGGGCTGTAGTGGACGATGAATTGAAAAATCCTATTCGATCATGGCACTCGATTAAAGAAGATAATGTTCTTTATATGAAAAAAGTAAATATTTATTTTTGACTTTTTGCGTAGCAGTCAAAAATGATCAAATTTTTTAAATGCAAAAAATTCGCTTTGCAGTAAAATAAATTTTAGGTATCTGCAGGGGAAATGTAATTTTTAGGTCGCATCATATTTTTAGTTCCAAGTTTACTCTTATTGGAAAATTCACGAGAAAGTTTGATACATTTGGTCGTTGGGGATTTGTGTAATTGATTACGTTTGGTCTGGCAATAGCTAGTTCCTAGCCCTTGCTCACTAAGATAAATGTGGCGGGCCAGCGAAGCGAATTCGATTAGTAATGGGAGGACTTTTGAAAAAGAAAATATTATAGAGATGTGGGGAAAACTTAGATTAGATGTCATTCATCATTTCGTTTGGCGATCATTTATCAGAGTTTGACGGTTATTTTTTCATATTTTATATACTTACTGAAGTAAATAAATTAATAAATTTATTAATAGGCCACGAAGTATTATGATAGTCTTGCTGCCAGAGCGGTTACGAATGGTCACGTTATTGATATATATTCATGTGCCCTTGATCAGACAGGACTGCACGAAATGCGGGCCTGCTTCAACACTACTGCAGGTATCTTTTCGATTATATATTTTTTGTTTGTTTCATGGTATTATTATCTTGTTACATAATTGTTTAATAGTATAAATTAAATTTTTACATAAATTTTATAAATTTATAATTTATAATATGTAAATTTTTTTTGGATTTTGAATTATCTGTTTTTAGGCAATGTGGTGATGGGTGATAGCTTCATTTCTTCTCTATTTAAGCAGTCATATCAAAGAGTATTTGAGAAAGATAGCAGTGGTTTTCTCAAAATGGGTTTCAATGCAACATTAGAAGTAATTTTATTTGGAGTGATTATTGTTTCCTGTTCAAGTCAGTTTAATTTCCACTAATATTTAATAAATCACAGAGCTTCTTCAGGTCAAAGTGGGAGCAGGATTGAAAATTGAAGGATTAATTGGATGTTGTGCTAATGGCCAAGTACGAAACGCTTTAGTTTCCGATACAGAAATAGGATTATCAGGCACTTGCCAATGGAAATTTTGTTCGGTGAATCCCAGAACGACTATCGCTGTTCTTTTTGAAGTAACAGCACAGGTAGTTTATGTTTATTTGGGAATATTTGGGAATAGATAACCGATTTCTGATAACATTCTTTCAAAAAAACTTTTCATCTAGTAGCTAGCGAGCGGCTGATGATGATTATGGCAAGATATCTGAGCTTAAGATCTGGATTTAAAACCATGTCTATAGTTGCAAATAAAGAAAAACTAATTAATTAAGAGGATAGAAAAGAAATTAAGAGGATAAAATAAACCTAACCTGCAATCTGCTGACCGGATTTTGTTATCATGATAATGAAAGCTCAAGGTGATAAAATATTATAGAATCTGAATTTTTGGGGGAAAGATAAGGGATTTGAGGAGGCTTTAGGAGTTTTGCGAAATTTTAAGGGAAGGAGAAGTATAATGTTGTATAATATATAACATATAGCAAGTATTGTAGGAATGTTATGGTATATTCAATTTTTGCTATGTTTTACTATATTTTTTAAATTGATCTGATCGATCTTATGGTTTTTGATTGAGACAAGGCTTTCTCGAAAATGCAGATTAATTCATTAAAATAGGCAAGTTATTATTTAAAAAAGATAGCGCAAAATAATCATAACCAATCATTAGTTCACACCTATATTCACGTTTCATTTTTATTTTTATTTACATTTTATTTCGTGAATTTAGCATGGGTCGACAGTACCTCAGGGCGCTAGAGGAATGATTCAGTTCGTGACACAATATCAACATCCTGATGGTCGAAAACGTATTCGCGTCACAACGACATGTCGTAACTGGGCTGACATGAACTTACAGCAGTCTAGTATTGCATATGGATTTGATCAGGTGCTTGCTTATTTTGAATCGATTAAACTCCCTTTTTGCTGATATGTAGATTATACTCATGCCATTCTTATATTTTGCTATTTACTGGATTTTTTATGGAATCACTGAAATTTTAGGAAGCAGCTGCTGTGATAATGGCTAGATTAGCTTCTTGGAGAGCAATGAACGAAAACGATACTCCAGATGCATTGCGTTGGGTTGATCGTAGTTTGATTCGACTTTGTCAAAAGTTTGGTGAATATCACAAAGTATGTTTAAACCCCACATAAAGTGGAAATTTTTCTGATACTATGAGATTATACTGAAATTATTTACTGAGTAATAACATAAAATTAACCAGCGAAAAGATTCCCAGAAGCTTAAGCTTAATATTCTTTGGAGATTAATAAATTAACAAGCATATAAAGTGTAATAAATAAATGTAATTGTTATAATAAGTAAAGTGATAAAAATACCATCGCAATAAATAAAGTGATAAAAATATTCTAAATAAATAAATATTAATGATAAATTATATAGATTTTGCCACTTTTTTGCATTTCCTTCACTATACCTTTAATACTCTTTAATTGAGGAATTTTTATTTAGGATGATCCTCTATCATTCCGACTTTCCGACAAGTTTTCTTTATTCCCACAATTCATGTTTCATCTTCGCAGATCTCAGTTCCTGCAAGTTTTCAACAATTCACCTGATGAAACTGCTTATTATCGGTATTCTTTTTAATTTTTTTAATTTTTTAAATCTGGATATTTTAGGTTTTAAAATCTGTTCTGGCATTCTTTTGCAATATTTTAGACATATCTTGCTTTCTGAGAATGTTTTGGAAAGCACGACAATGATCCAGCCAGTTCTTTTTTCATATTCGTTCAATGGTCCTCCGGAACCGGTTTTGCTGGATACTTCGTCGATTTTGCCGGACAGAATCTTGCTTATGGATGATTATTTCCATGTTCTTATATTCCATGGACAAGTCATTGTTAACATCATTATTTTTTATTTCATATTTAAAAACTTTTTGCTTATAAATGGGATGGATACTCTTTTAATAAATTATGGCTAATTGCATTTTCGAATTTTTTCTATCGTCTCATTATTTTTTAAAAGATTTTCTCCTTTTTTTACTAGCTGAAAAAATATATTCAATCCTTAGTGCAGACTATCGCTACTTGGCGTAAAATGAATTATCAAGACGACCCACAGTATGGAGCTTTCAAACAACTTCTTGAAGCACCAATAGCTGATGCTGCTGGTATTTTGCAAGAACGTTTCCCAGTGCCTCGTTATATTATAACAGAACACGAAGGGTCTCAGGTATAGTCTTGGCTTTGTTGCTATTACCCGCAGCGGTCACGAAGGTTATTAGTAACAAAATTTGCAAAATTTTATGCAAAATAGATATGCAAAATTTTCAGGCGCGGTTTCTATTGTCGAAAGTCAATCCATCACTTACTCACAATAATCCTTATGCAAGCGTTGGTTCTTCTTCCATAATTAATTTTTAAACAATTTATATTGATTAAATTGTATTTATAATAATTTTCAGGAAGGTGGTGCTCCAGTGTTTACAGATGACGTTTCTCTGCAAGTATTTATGGAGCATTTAAAAAAATTAGCAGTATCTTCCTCATCATGAAAATGAGATTACTACTTATCTGCTAAAAAATGACTAAAAATATCGATTTTTTACTTGTCTTTTTTTCAAGACTTGCTTTTTTCTATTTATTATTTTTAAGTATTAAATATTTATTTAAGATAATTTCATAGGTCACTGTTATTTGGGATATTTTTTTGGTGTGTTGATTTTATTGTTATTTGTTTTTTCTTCATTTATTTTGCTAAGGTTTTTTGTTTATAAAAAATGAAGGGAATTAAGTAATATTTAGGAAAATATGGTAGATTCAGCGAATTAAGCAAATTTTTTTCAGAATTTAAAATTTTAAATAGTAGATATTTATTAATTTTATTTTATATAACCTTCTGAACTTTTAATATATAATGACAACTGATTTTTGTTGTTATTTGGTTGGTGAACTGAAGATTTATTTCTTTTTAAAGCAGCTGAAAGTCTCAATTCGTGCACAGAGACATAACATTTAGTTTAACAGAGATTATGAACCATTTTTCTAAAATTTATTTTTATTCAGACCATTATTTATTTAAAGATAAGTTAGTAATTAATAATTTTTAAGTTAATAATTGTATTATTAAAGAAAATACAAGAATAAAAACTTTGGCTAAATTAGGTTGAGAAAGAGAAAAATATAAGTTAGAATATAGTAAATTTGATGCAAAAATTCAATTTGGAGAATGATAAAATGTGTGATAATTTATCAGATAATATCATCTGATTCATTAAGTAATTTTAGGAATATAAAACGTCACAAGTCTTCATTTATTGCTGAATTGTCCTTTCAAAGTTCTTTTCCGTTTAACATTCAAATCTGTGATCGATTGCATTAGTCACTGCACTATGTTTTCAGGTCTCAGTAAATGTTATCTATTTGAGGTGGCAAGCACAAACAGTTTGTTTTGCTGAAATGAAAGAAGATGTCAAAAAATTTGCTACAAATCCTTGGCCTTCCTTTACATTCCTCAGAACCATTGTGCTAACAGCGCTACTCTTATAAGCCATTTTTTCTTATCGGATAGCCATTCTTATGGGAAATACCTTAAAGGAAGGGCATTTAAAACTCATTGGCTGGGAATATAAGTAAGGATTTAATTTCTCCATGTGGATATATTTCCACCCAAAAACATAGGAAGTATTTTCAAGGCCTATTTCGGCATTTAATAATCGTATTTCTTACTGGCTAAAGAAAGTCCTCATTGGAATTCGCTGAAAAAGAAGACAACAGGAGGTATCTTCAGATTCAGTGTGTGAAATCTTGCCTTTACTTCGTTCAGCATTCGCCATTTTTACGATAAGAAAACTCTGAAGGCTAAAACGATTGTTAAAGAGCTAAGCACTGGCTAAATTGTATTGTGAATTGTAAACTTGTGGGCATTGTTGGCCATTGACCATTTGCCCTGGGGGAAGTTCCATATTTTTAATCAATTTTAGGCTAATTTTTTGTCGTCACAAATTGTTGCAAATTGTTGTCGCATAATGGCTGCTGAGATTCGTGGAACCTTTTTTCAGTTTTTGCGATAATCTTACTTTTATAGTTCCATTGCTTTATTTTTTTCCCATATTAAACTAATCGTTCACGAATTTTCTTCCCGATCATCCAAGCAAATACGCAGTTATGCATTTTTTTGAAAAAAGTGGTCTTGGCACGACTTTTCAAAATTTTTAGAAATATTTCGTAGTTCTGATAAATTATATTTTCTGCTTGCTTTTCCCACGTTATAACTCCCCGGGTAAGTAAATTTTTGCGTATTTACTGGTAATATTTGTAATTCCTAGGATTTTCTTTGGTAAGAAATGGGAGTTTTACATTTTTCGCAAAATCTCAACCATTAATTATTCTAGAATTTTTGATATTTATTCATTTATTTAGAAATTGATAAAAATGATAAAGTGATAAATGATAAAATGTTTACGGATTGTTGCTGTGAGTTCAGAGCGCCGGCTTGGACAATGATTGACGATCCACTTGTATTTCTATTGCCAGCTTATTCCCTGGCAAAACTCGTATGCTCTGCAAGCCAATCGAGCCTAGCCAGAAATAGTTTATTTTTCAAAAAAATAGAAAATTGCTCTATAAAAAGCAGTTTTTGCCTATCGCTTAGTTTTTTGGTTTTTTGTCGAATTTGAAATTATGGAATAGTTATATATTAAGAAATTCGATAAAAATTAAGGCATTTTTCAATTTTAGTCTTTATTCATTATATTTTATCATATTATATTTTATTAACTATTAAAAACATGGAAAAATTGCAAAAATATGAAAATTTAGATCGTTTCACGGAATTCTGTCGCGAAATTCAATTATTTTCTAAAATTTTATCGTATGTTGCTGAATTTATTATGGTAAGAAATTTTTTTAATTTAATGAAGAAAATTTATTGAGCGAAAAAAAGTTTTTTTTATTGAGATATTTATCCTGCAGCAGTTCAAATAGGGAGATGGACTGATAATTGATAAGTATTAATAAATGAAAATGGAGATATTGCCTTTGTTAAATTTCTTCACTGTATCAAATTTTTTTCTTATTATTTTGATGTTTTGAATATTTTAAACTTTTGATTTTTTCTGATTTTTTATTTTTTCAGGGAAATTTAAGAAAATCACAGAAATTTGCTAGGAAACTGGCAAAAACGATAAAGCCAACAGATGCGAGGATGTTAGTTATTTAACATTTATAGTATTCATTTTTTTAATTTCATTTATTTTATTTATTTTTTCAATATTAATCCATAGTTGATTTTTGATTTTATTTAATTCTGAATATAATTAAGTAGTATTTTCTTTTCTAGAAAAGAATCGGATCGCGTGATTCGAAAGAAAAAAGAAGATGAACATGCAGTAAAAAAGATTGAAGTGTATGTCTTTTCATTCTTTCTTTCTCTGCCAGAGATTTTTCTATTTTTCCTCAATATTTTTAAATAAATTTTTTAGACCAACAGTCTCTTCGGCTATGTTTTTGCAGTATAATGACCAACTTGGTCCACCGTTCCATGTGATAATTGATACGAACTTTGTGAATTTTGCAGTAAAATATCGAATCGATATAATACAAGGCCTCATGGATTGCTTATATGCCAAAGGTTGGTTTTTTTCATCATTTTTTGCTTCCGATAATTTCATCAGTATCATTTGAATTTTTTAAAAACCTATATTGGCCTATATTACGAAACGAAATAGAATTTTTTTGCTAATTTACGAATTTTAATTTTAGTGACACCGTATATAACTGACTGCGTGCTTGGTGAACTCGAGAAATTGGGTCATAGGTGCAAGATTGCATTAAAAATAATAAAAGATAATCGTTTTAAACGTTTGACATGTTCTCATAAAGGTATTTATGCTGATGACTGTATTATTCAGCGAGTTACTCAGGTTTATATCATCTCATTTCTTTGGTGTTATCGCACTACTTAAGGAAAAATTGTTTTGAGAAAATATCTTTTAGGGTATTAATTTTCAAAACTTTTGAACTTTTCAATTTGTTTTCACGTTTTCTTTTCAGCATAAATGCTATATCGTTGCTACATGTGATAAAGATTTAAAGCGAAGGATTCGAAAGATACCTGGTGTTCCTATAATGTATATTTCTCAACATCGATTTTCAATAGAACGAATGCCTGATGCTTTTGGTGCTCCTGCAAATTGATCATGTAATTTTTTGAATCAACTTGTTGTTTTTCTGTTTATTTATTGTTTTAATATATAATATCAATAATAAAGCTATAAGGATCCACAAAGAGAGGTGAAAACAGATGAATTGTTTGAGTTCCACGAATACTTGCTTTTGTTCTACCTACTTATTTTGAAAAAATGCTAGTTAAATAAGTATGGGCGCCGATTTACATTATTACTTCTTTCTTTTTTAATTTTTGGCAAAAATGTAAATTTTTTAAATATGAAACATTCACGCTTAAGAATTTTTTTGTTTCGAATTGGCCTCAATTTTGAAGATAATCTTTTTTCTAGGTAGCGTTTTTCTATAGCGTTCAGTATTTCTGGCAAAAAGAAATTGATGCAAGATATGGGGACTAAAAAATCTGTAAAAGTGGATTTGGAGTAAAAAAATTATAACCCTTTGTATTCGAATGTTTCCCGACAATTTTATCGTAGTTGAGTCAGCTAAATTATTTCAATTCATCGATTTTTTGAAATTTTACCTCTATCTTATTGGATATTTTACTTAATTGGTCGGCTAAGGAGATAAATCATATTAATCATAAATCATATCATATTTTTAATTTTCGTGGAACCGATGGGAATATGTACCAAAAAATAGAGAATGATCAGTACATAATATAAGCCAATAGATTGCCTACTTATTTTGCACCAACAAATATCAAAATAGTTGTCAAAAATTCAGCTTGATCAGTTTTGTTTTATTCGCTCGAATTGACTGGTGGATTTATCTTATACAAATCATGTTTTGCACACTTCACCGCTTTAATTTTTATTAAAACGTATTCAAATGTATTCACTGAATTATCATCAGACGACTTTGTATCGTCAAATATTCATTTAAAAATTTAAATAAAATAAAAAGTGGAAATGTGAAAGAAAAAAATATTGCAATTTTGCAAAAATATTGTGCGATTGGCCATTCGTTAAAAAAATTTACTTTATTTTCACAAAGTAATTGGCTTTTATTCCTTATTATAATGAAACGAACCAAATGAGTTGACTACGAGTTGTTTAGAAAAAAATTGTTATTGCTGAAAGTAAATGAAAATGAGGAATGGAAAAATTGAAAGGATTGGAAAAATATTGAAGGCAAATAATTTTTTTACGAAAATTTTGTTTTTTTTATGTTCACTAGCTTTAGTTTTTTTTGTTGTTTTATTGCTTGTATTTTTGCCAGTACAATATTAGCTTATAATCGGTGTCGGAAAATCCAATCTAATGTAAAAACCAGGCACATTGAATATTTATAAAAAATTTAAATTTATTTATAAAAAATGGCCAATTTTTTTAAAATTATTGATTTATCCTTAAATCCTAATGTATCGAAAGATAAATTAAAATTCGCTTAAAATTATATGAATAATTATTAATTTAATAATTTTAATAATTTTTTTGCCGCTGCCATTAGTTGATTTAAATTGAATAAGAAATATTTTTAAATTAATCATTTAATCTTCAATTGCGATATAAATATTTTTATTATAATAAATGTTATTAAATATTATCTAATAAATATTTTTGTTATCAACTTTATGGTAACTTTTGTTTATCAATACCATGCAGATAGCTTTTTTTTTTAAAAAAGTCCTCACCATTATTGATTAGACTCGCTCCACTGGCTTATCGCACAAGACCCATGGAGTCCTTTGGCGGCGATACAAATATAAAGTGAGTCGCCAGCATTACTCGGATTTTTGAACAAGTTTACTCATGCAGTTAGAACCTCAGCAATGGCGCTCTGAATTCAGCAACAACCCATAGAAGTTGTTTGATAATTTTTCAAAGAAATAAACTATATATGCGCTAAGTTTTTTTGTCACTCAATAAGAAGAGCTCGATCTCTTAGAATGAGCGCCTCTAGCCAAAACCGCCAAAATTTGTCATACTAATAAAACTGGCAATTTTACTTTCTTATGATATGATATGATAATATGATCACGGAAAAATTTATTAGTGATTTTTTAACTAATATAATATACGGGATATAATATTGTTTGATTTTTTTGCTTTTGATTCTGAATGGAAAGGAAACGAAGACGATATTATCTGAAGCGAAGTGATATTGAAGAATTCTGATAACTAATACAACGTGATAAAAATTCAATGCCTCTTTAGATCCTACTAAGTACTACTTTTCTTTAACGCCTACCAAAATTACTTTTACAACCTATAAAATCAACCTATTGGAGAACCCCTCTCCACTGCTTCAACCACCACTCAATTTTAACACTATATTTCCATTTATATTTCCATTATACCTCGGCTATTCTCTTCATTCCTATTGTGGTACCTCTTCTTCTGTCATATATGCTTTCAAATACTGAATTAAAAATGGTAGCGTGATGTAATCTCGATCCGATTATTATTAATATTGTTGTTAAACTTTTATTGAGACGTCGTAAAATCACCATAAAAACGAAAGCCCATATCTATTTAGCCGTAATATGTTTGATCTTGCAATATGGCTGCGAAACATGGCCAATGAGAGTGGAAGATATTAAAACGCCATTAGTCTTTGACCATTCATATTTAAGATACATTCGTCGAATTCGTCGAACTGATAAAATTGTACATGATTGTATCTATCTTCGCTCAAATGCACCTGCATTAATAATGTTAAACTATGTGATGGGTTGCCTTCGCTGATTAGGGCACATAGTCCGTCATCCACCACAGGAGTTGACACATATTTCGTTAATTGCTAAACCATGTGATGGGTGGCGTCAAAAGCGAGGAGAACCAGTCAAAACCTGGATTGATGCAGTCAGGAAAGATTTTAACGTATAGGGAAACCAGCGATATATGGACTTAAACGATGGAAAAAGGAAAGGCTTCTATTACTACAAACAATGGCGTCGGGCCGAGCTTGCAGATATCTACCCTTGTGACCCTTGTTAGAAGAATAAGAAGAATATTATTGTTATAGGAGAGGTATGGAATCGAAAGCAAGTAATCTGCTCAATTGGAAAGCAACATTCTAAAAGGTATAAATAATTTAACGAGTCTGAGGGGAAAATTTATAATGGAGACGATTTTATCTATTTTATGGACCTTTTAAGCGACTAAATGTAAATAAATAATTCATTGAATATTATTATTTTCATAAAAGTGACAAAAATGAATGATAAATGATGATAATAATTATCATTTATAATTATAATAAAATTTCGAGTAGTAAAAGCAAATGGCAAACATTAAAGTCGAATCAGTGATAAATCTCGTTATAATATTACCATTTTATCATTTATTTTAATGGCTAACAAAATCTACAACTTAGTCGGCAATATTTTTTCGTATACGATTCATACGGTGGCCCACATTTTCCATAAAGTTTCATACGATCACATTCTCGTCGTTTATCTTCGCATTTTTCATGAGTTAACGCTAAAATTTATCATTTGAATTAAATTTTTAGCTTAAATCCGATATAATTTTATAGAAAAAAAATGTATTTCGTTGATTTTCGTTGATTTTTATGGAAAATTTCAGAAAAAAATTATTTCTTAAATTATTTATTATATTTAATTTATAAAATTGAGCCAAATTCTCGAATTCATTAAATATTTTTATTATATTTTATTTTTTATACGAGTAAATTTTAGAAAAATTAACGAAAAGAGGGAAATTATTAATAATAAAATAAATATATAAATTAAGAAAAATTGATATAAAATTTATTAATTTTGTATTAAATATAATAATATTTTATATATTTATTAATATTAATATAATAATATTTATTAAATATAGCATTAAATATAATAATATTAAATTCATAAATTTTATAAAAAATTAATATAAAATTGAATAAAATATTATATAATAAAGTATAGTAAAATCTAAAAAAAGAACCAAAAATTTTTTAACCATTACCAACGGGTTTGGGATTTGAGAAAATTTTATCGCAAATGCACATTTTCTTGCAGATTTCCGAAACGCGCCTATCTCCACAATAATCCGTCAATTGAGCGCAAACTGGTGGATCTAAAATCTGTAGAAATGAAGAGATGAAGAGATTTACGAAAAAAAAAAATTTTAAGTGAAAAATTGGTTTGGTGGAAAATTGCGCGTAAGCTTGGCCAACCTGGTTCGCATAACTTTTTCATGATTTCATTTCGCCTATTTTCTTCTTCCAGTCGCTTCCTTTCTTCCTCTTCTTTTCGTTCCCTTTCTTCTTCTTCTTCGTTTTGTTTCCTTTCTTCTTCTTCTTCATTTTGTTTCCTTTCTTCTTCTTCCTTTTGTTTCATTTCTTCTTCCTTTCGTTTCTTTTCTTCCTCTTCCTTTCGTTTCTTTTCTTCTTCCTTTCGCTTCTTTTCTTCTTTTTGTTTCTTTTCTTTATCCTTCTTTCGTTTCTTTTCTTTCTCCTTCTTTCGTTTTTTTTCTTCTTCTTTTCGCTTCTTTTCTTCCTCTCGTTTTTTTTCTTCCTCTCGTTTCTTTTCTTCCTCTCGTTTCTTTTCTTCCTCTTCCTTTCGCTTCTTTTCTTTTTCTTTTTGTTCCTTTTCTTTTTCCTTCTTTTGTTTTTTTGCTTCCTCTTCCTTTCGCTTCTTTTCTACGTCTTTTCTTTCCTTTCCTTCATCTTTTTTTTTCAATTTTTCTTTTTCCTTCTCATTGTCCATTGGTTTTTTCTTCTCTCCTTTTAGTTTTTCTTTTCCTTTTTGGCCTTTCGATTCTCCAAGCACTAATGTAGTTCCCCGGAAATCCCCTAAAACTGACTTTGTTCCTTCAGCATTTCCATCTTCATTGACGTTCCTTGAATCGGAAACGTTCGCTTCATCGTCTCGCGCTGTAATTGCAGGAATAATAGTAATAATAATGAATAAAGCCAACAACATTGCTGTCAATAAAAGCAATTAAATGTGTCGTTTTATTATATTTTATGCGAATTTTGTTGATTTGAAAAAATTTTACAAAAAAATTTTAAATATTTAAACAATTGACGATAAAATCGTTCAATCATACAATTTTTTTAATGAAATGTAAATGTTTTATGATTTTTTACGAAATATATTTTTTATTGAAAAAATGAGAATTTTCCTTTTTTTTCACAAATGATATCGAATGATAAATTTTTTTTTTCATTTATTTTCATGAAAAATTTTATATTTTTATAAAAATTTTCATTAATTATGATGAGAAGAAAAAATAATTTTAATTGATGAATAAGTAATTTCTTATGGAAAAAATCTACTATTATATTCTACGAATTTTCTACGAATCGTATCGTCATTTGTATTGATAAAATCTTATCATGATAATATTCACTTTCGCTCAGACATCGTTTGAACGTCACGATAATTTAGATATTTTCTTCGTCGTTCGAGAATTATTACATTTCTCTCTCTGTATATGCTAAATCTTGCAGAATGGTATCAAAAACGTGGGAGAAAGAGTACATCCAATGTTATATAGATTTATATGATGAAAAGAATGGTTGGCTCTTCAATTAATTGATATTTCAAGACTAATCCTTACGAGTGAATGTGCCGTGGAACTAAAGCTACGAATCCGGTCGTCTAGTGATCACTAAAACTGCTTGCATAGTTAAGCATGCAACATTAAAAAGTTGAATAGAATTCGATGTACGCATTTGCGATATCCTTTCCAGTATTTTCTCCTTGCAAATATTCCACTTTCTTTTAGGATTTACAAGCATGAATCGCTTTTCTTAATGGCTAATCCTCTCTCTCTCTCAAAATTTTTCCACCAATTTACCATATCTCTTTAGAAATGAATGAAAATGAGAGGAATCTTAAATTATAAACGCTTTTCGCCAACTAAATTAATTAAATTAACTAAATTAAACTAAATTAATTTTATTATTATTTTTTTATTCTTTAAAAAAAAAATTGTATAAAATTTATAAAAAATTTATAAAAAATTGAATTTATAATGAATTGCATTAAAAAAATTTTTTTTTGTATATTTCATTATAAATTCAATTTCAATTTTTGTATTATTTTAATCGTTTGTATAATTTTTTTTGTATATTTTGTATATTTTTTATTTTTATATTTAATATTAACTTTATATTTTTATATTAACTTTATATTAAACATTTTTATATTTAATAAATTATGAAGAGAATTAAGGCAATTTTTTTTTCTTTCTTTTATTTCTTTTTTTTGGAAAAAATTTTAAAAATTATTTGTTTTTATTTTTCATTAAATAATGTTTATAATTTTATTTTATTTTCATTTTATCATTTTTTTTTTGGTTTTTTATTCGCACAAATATTTATATTTCATCTTATCACAATAAAAAATGAAATAATTTTTTTTTTAATCAAGCAACGAATAAAAAATTTTATTCATTTGTATAACGCTACATTACGTATTAATGTAACATTAATATTTATCAAATTTTAATATATTTAATTTGTTTAGGAAAAAAATTTGTATTTGTTTTAAAAATACAAATTTATAAGATATATTTATATATTTATAATATTTTATAAGATTTTATAATTTTGGCATAATCGAATATATTTTGCTAAGGAGGAATCATTTGACTGGAAGGAATCATTCAAGTGGGTCGCCAGTATTTTTTGGAAAAGTGTTTTGTCTTGCCACTAATATAATCAAAACATCGTTTATTTCCTTAAATTTCAAATTCAAAAAAAAATGCAAGGTTAGGTAGAAAAAAATGGTTTTTGGAAGGTTCTAAACAGTTAAAAGAGTTTTGATTATTACTAATGAATTTAGCAAAAATAATTATTTTGGCCATAATTATTAATTTCAGAGAAATTTAATTTTCTATCAAATATAAGCATAAATTTTTTTTTTGGCTTTTGGCCCAGCTTTTGGCCTATTTCGCTCCTCCACTTAGCTTCTTCAGTAAGCTTAATCATTTCGAGATTTCGGTTTAAAATGAGAGCATTCTTGCGACTTTTCTTCGTCTTTGAATATTTTGAGTTACTTGCCTCACTTACTTACATTTATCAGTAATTTATCATCAGTAAATTAAATTCTTTTGAAATGTTCAAAATTATTCTAAGTGAAAATGAGTACAATTTAATGAAAATGAAATGAGTAGAAACACTACAGTTTTTTGATAGTTACTGAGTCTTTCTCCAGTAGATACTGAGAATTAGCATCAATTATTGAAGGGCAATAATAATAGGTACCCAATCTGCCACTATTAAACAGAATACTCTACCGTAAGCGCTCACGTAAAAATAATTTTCGTATAATAATCAATGATTATATCTTTTTATACGTAACATTTTTATATTTTGCTATGCAACAAATGACTGTAATGCAAACAAATGCATTTTATGATAAGGTAATGCATTCTGTAATATGATAATGATAATAAGATCAATTGCTTTAACTGTTTCTTTATATTTTATCTATTTATTTTTGAAAAAAAACAACTAAATATCATAATATATGCTAAATAAAAACTAAATATCATAATATATACGCCATTGCTTAAATAATAAAAACAAGAAAATAACAAAAAATAATAAAAATAATAAGAGAAACTATTAATTAGTTATAAAAGATTGAAATTATAAACTGTAAATTTTCTCGTTTACGAGAAAATATATCAATGAATCTATATTCTTTTCTATATTCTTTATTTTTAATTAAATTTGTTTTAATTTTATTTTATTTTTAATTAAAAACAAAGTACTTCAAGTAAATACAGTTTATTCCAATAAATTATCATATGTACAAATTTTGATTAATGGTGATAGGATAATGGTGATGATAATGGTGATGCGAATATATCAAAAAAATTATGATTTATGAACCACTATTGTATTTATTTATCAGTATTGAATAAATGCATAAATATTTGCTTAATAAATATATTTGTAAATATATGTAAATTCAAAAAAAAAGAAAAAATTATGTTTGATAATTTATCAATTGGCATTTTTTTAAATAATTTTTAATCACGTAAAAAGCGTCTTTATAATTTTAAGATTTCTCTTATTCGGTTATTCCCGCTGGATCAAATAAATTTTAATTATGGAAGCGTATAGCGATAACGTACCGCTGGACTATACCGCTAGATCTAGCAGGATTTTTGAACGAAAGGTTTACGGAAGAATTCCAACAGTGGTGCTTCGAAATGAGAGAGCTCGTCCACTGAGCCATTTCACTCCTTCTTTTAAGAAATTTAGAAAGGAATTTGAAGTTAAAAATTTGCTTCGATAAATTTGCAATAAAGTTTAAAATCAATAAATTGAAAAATTTTTAATTTAAATTTTAAATTTAAATTTAAATTTAAATTTAAAATTTTATATTTGAAGGAAAATTTTTATTCGTTTTTTTGATTATTTTATTGAGTGTCATGCAAGGATTTCTTAGAAATATTTTGCATATTTTATATTTATATTGCAATATATTGTAATATATATTTATATTTATATTTTAATTGTATTATTTTAAAAATATATATTTGCTATTTGCAAATAAATAAGAAAACCCATAAGATTTTTGCTTAGCGCATTTTTCGAGTTTGGGACTTATAATTTGCATTATTTCGTACATTTATAAATAGAAAAATAAAATTTTTGCTTAATTCGGCGAATTAATTAAAACTGATAAAAATTAACAATAATGATGATAAGAAAAAAGGATAATTTATAAAGGATAGTAAAGTTTTTTCTAAATAATTACTTTTCACGAATTTAAATTTGCATTTGACGACAGCAAAATAAAATGAAAAAATAAATTAATTAATTAATATATTTATTAATATAATTAATTTAAAAATTAGAATAAAATAAATAAAATATGATTATTCATTCATGCAAATATTAATAATTAATAAATAAATTTAATAATTTTAAGCATTTTATTTCAAATTAATCGCAGTGAAATGATAAAATAAGAAAATTATGGTTTTTTCTTATAGTTTTCATATAATTTCATTCGTGAATTAAAGATATGATTAAAGAATCTTTGCTAAACTAAAAACCCATAAACGAAAAGACGAAAATCGGCGTCCATATAGCTGCAATTCGCTCGATCTTCCTATATGGTTGCGAAACATGACCAATGAGAGTGGAAGGTATTAAGACGCCATTAGTCTTTGACCACTCATATCTGAGATACATCCGTATTTTTTTACGGATCCGTCGAACGGATAAAATTGCACATGATTGTATCCATTTTCTCTCAAATGCACCTGCATTAATAATATTATCACAGGGCATCGCCTTCGCTGATTAGGGCACATAGTCCGTCGTCCACCACAGGAGTTGGCGCATATTTCGTTACTTACTATACCATGTGATGGGTGGCGTCAAAAGCGAGGAGAGCCAGTCAAGACCTGGATTGATACGATCAGAAAATATTTTGACAGGGGGATCAGCGATATATAGACTTAGATGATGGAAAAAGGAATAGCTTCTATTACTACTAGCGATGGCGTCGGACCGTGTAGTTTGAAGACATTTTACTCTTGTAGCCAGCGAAGTCAGCCTAACTAGTAATGGTGAGAATTGTTGGAAGAAGAATGTGATTGATTAAAATTCAAAATTTTAGGTAAATTTTTAGTTTACAACAAAAATGCTAATTCTAATATTTGAATCTATAAAATTTGCTTCAGAAATATATGAAAAAAATTTATGATTGAAATTTTTGCAATAAAGGTTAGACAAGGTTTAATATTAAAAGGTTAGAATGTAAGCAGAAACTTTATCAACTACACTTTGAATAAGACACAACACACCAAAAAATCTCGAAAATTTCTGCAACAAGTACCATAGGTCTTCATAGCCTTTATATATCCAAAACTATTGGAATATCGTATTGCAGAAAAGAGTACAGAATGAAAAATTGTTTCATCAGATCCAATAAATCATAGAATGAAGCCAAAGCCGATAGTTTCATTGTAGTGTAAAAGAAAAAATTAAGATTTCAGTTGGCATTAAGGCAAACTTTTTACTTCAGCATTCTTGGATTCTGGAAACGCTCTGGTCATCTCCTGCAGCGCTGAAATCTTCAGAGGACATTGCAGGAGTTACCAGGTACCAGGAGTTAAGTTGGCTTATAATGGATATTGATATGTGCTCAGTTTTGCTTTCATCGCTTATGGATCAATCTACTCGCTTAATAACTAAATTATGGTGGATTTGTTACTTAGAAAATTAACTTAGAAAATTCATAAAACCCCGTGCTATGATCGTTTTTTGCTATCTTAGAATTGTAGCCTATTCAGCAATGCAAAATAATGCGAATGAATTTCTTCATTCATAGAGAATCCAAGAATTCTGATTTCTTCTGATTTCTTCTCATTTCTTCAAAAACGACAAGTCTCCTCTATTTTATGCGACCTACCTAGCTAATTTGTATTTTTTAAATGTGCAGGATAAACTATTTGAATCTTCAAGCCTCTATACTATTTCTTATTGAGTTTGATCCATCAATTTACTTATTGAATTGAATTGATATTTCTGAAAATTATATTAGCAATAATAATTTTGCATTCTATGGTACCTTTCAGTTCGTATAATTTTAGTCGAAGCAGAAGTCCAAATGTGGTACCAGAGTCGCGGCCAAAGGGTCCTCCGATACGGCCTTATGGCTTAAATATTAATTAGTAGTGTTATTCGTTGATAATATTCTCTTTCTCTTTAGAGCGTTCAACGATGAGTATATATGACCGTATTTCTTATTCGTAGTACCGCGGCCGCGAATCAAAATCAGCGTGCTGCGAGTTCCAACAATTTCCTCGTGTAATCTGGTTTGAGCCTCGTCGTGCATCGTCTCCGTCAAACTGGTTGGTGATTTTTTTTTTCTTAAAATTATTTAAAATTATTTATTTGAATAAATCCGTTTTACAATTCAATTAAAAATTCTTTTTTTATCGTCAAAATTAATCGTTTTATTTGTACGAAAAATAAATCGCATTATATTTGTTCTTGTTTCACTTAAAATTGGAGTTATTTGCTGCTTCTCGCGGATCGTTCGTGGTTGGTTGTGCTGATTATCCGCGGTACCGCTTGGCCGTATCGCGGAACTGCGCGTGGTTCTCTGCGGTATTACGCTTGGCCGTATCGCGGAACTGCGAGTGGTTCTCCGCGGTATTGCGCTTGGCTGTACCGCGGAACTCCACATGGTTCTCCGCGAGTATCGTTTAGCCGTATCCCGGAATTGCAAACAGTTTTCTAGCGATTTAATAAGTTTACAGATGTTCGAGACAATACATTCATATTGCTGTTGTACATACATAATATCTGAAATGCCAACTTTCTCCTATATTATTTTTCGTTAAATTAGCTGAACTTCTTTATAAGGAAACTTATGAAAGTTTTTTTTTGGCTTAGACGTTGCTAATATGGTTAAATGCGTATGCTGAAAATTATATTGAAATTTTTCAAAATTATTCATGAAATTTTTTATTTTTCTAAAATTAAATTAAATTTAAACTTTTTTATTTTAAATTTTTACAATCGGTTTCATTATTTTTTATTGGTCTAAAACGATTGATTCAAAAAAATCGACTAAATTTTAAAAATTTTTACTTTTATATTATTAATCTTAATTTTTAATATAAATATCATATTTTTAGTCGGCGCTATTCAATTTCCAAAGTCTTATTTCTGTAATTTTGCTTCTGATTTGTACTTGCACCTATCTTCGAGCATTTGTGCCGAAATTAATCGATCGAAACAAAGAAGGGTAAAATTTAAAATTAAAATTAAAATTAAATTTAAAATTATTAAAATTTTTCTAGAAATAAAAAAGATTGAATAGGATAAATTGAGATTAAATAATTACGGAGAGATTGCTGCGCTTTTATATATTTTGTTAGGTAATATGAAAATAAATGCTTAAAAATATCATTTTAAAAATTTTTTTAAAAATATTTTTTAAATCTATTTTTTTTGAAAAATTTTCTTAATTTTATTTTTCGAAAAATTCGCATTATAAAAAAATTAATTTTTTTTTGCATATTTTATTTGTTATATTTGTTATATAGTCAATATTTTAAGATTACTTGGTGTGTTCTGGAAGTGTGCTCGTATCGGTGAACGTCTTAGTCCTTGGGTTGCATTGAGCTGTTTTTCTATGGCATTTATCGTTCTTTTTTTTTAATATAGAGGATTTTCATGGAAGAGGAGAAAGGAGGAATTGATACGGTTGGTTTTTAATAGACATGTTAGTAAAAAAAGAATGTAAATATATAAATATATATCTGATCGTTTTTTTTCAATGATTTATGAATCTTCAGTGTTCTTTGACTTTAGGTTGAATATGAAATCAAGAAAGGACTTCCACCAAGATTCCCAAGAACAAAATCTGATATTTATATTACAAGGTCAATTTTTGTTTTCACTTTAGAAATTTTTATTTTTGTTTATTGAGCAATGAAAATGAATAAATAAAGCATAGCAGAAATTGTGCAGGCATACGAGTATTGGCGCTCAAAAAGCACGAATAGAAAAATTGCTCGATAATAAATTTAATAGCGTTACACTTCATGGATTAGGCGCAGCAGTAAATCGAACTGTTAATGTGGCTTTACAAATACAACGTAAACTGGTCGATTCGGTTAAATTGGATGTTCGCACAAGCACAGTGAGAGTAAGTCGTTTGAGTTTTTTTCTTTGTTTATTTTCTTGTTTATTTAATGAATTAATTAAACTTATTTAATCAAGTTGAAATTAATTAAGTTGAATTAATTGAACTTATTTTAAATTTGAAAGATGAAGGAGAAAATAATTATGAAATTTTCAGGTCACTGATGATTTGTTTCCTTTGTACGATGAAGTCGACTTCAAAACGAATGTACGAAATATTTCGGCAGTGCACATAAAAATAACACGTCTTCCTTAATTTTCACATTTTTATTTGTTTTTTTCTAAGCAATAAAATTTTTATCCGTTATTAGTTGTTTTGGCACAGCATGTATTTTGTTTAATTTTATTCAGAACAATTATTACTTTCTAAATTTGCTAATTTATAATTTATTTTTTGAGAATTTTATTGGATTTAAATTTTCTGATAAGCAGAAAAATGCTATTTTCACAAATGATCATCGATGTTATTTTCAAATATCATATAGTTTGTTCTTTCAATAAAAATTTACAAAAGGGGTGATCGTTGTAGGTTTTTGGTTGTAGGCGATTAATTTATGTTCTTATGGTTTAGTAAAATTAAGTATGATATGAGGAGTTTACTGTTCTTTCGACGAACAATTGCAACACTATGTGGTCGACCGCGTATAGCTGTCATCGGCTCGGGACCTGCAGGTTTTTTGATTTATTATTTTTTATGATTGAAAATTGAGCAAATTGGTGAAGGAGATTTTATTGGATATCACTCTTTAGGGGATTTTTAGGATTATATGTTTGCTCTGGAATTTTACGTCGACTACCTTCTTGTCAAATTGATGTTTTTGATAAAAATCCGACACCGTATGGTTTGGTACGTTATGGTGTTGCACCTGATCATCCGGAAACGAAGAACTGTATAAATTATTTTAATAAAATGTTTAATGATAACAAAGATCGGTGAGTTTAATTTTCTTTTAAATTATTCAAATAACACTGAAATGTTGTTGAGAATCTTCAATTTCTTACGCGTTTTAGAAGGAAACTTTTGTCTGAACTTTTTAGTCACGGGAGTTTAGTTGTTTGTTGTCATTTTAAGCGATCCTATTGTATTTTATTAATTTACCACATATTTTATTTTTAATTCTCTTCAGGTTATATTTTCTTATTTTAGACTATCATTATTTTGTAATGTTGCTGTTGGCACTGATTTGACTTTCAACGAACTCTGTTCTGACTATGATGTTGTTGTGCTTGCTTATGGTGCCAGGCATCAGCGACGACTTAATATTCCTGGGATTGATTCAAAAAATGTTTTTTCTGGTGGAGATTTCGTATCGTGGTATAACTCTTTACCCGGTTCAAGAGTGCCCGAGCTTGACTGTTCCAATGCGGTGATTTTTTTCGATTTTGATTTTTTGATTTTTAATTTAATTTTTATTTTCACAGTTGATAAAATTTATTAGAACTCAATTTATTTCTTTATTTTTTAAATGGTTGCGATATGTTCAGGTCATTATTGGACATGGAAATGTTGCTTTGGACTGTGCTCGTATAATCCTTCTTGCCGGTAATGATCGACTATTTCATACCGATATAACAAGTTCAGTACTTGATCATCTTTCTCAATCTTCTATTCGTAATGTGTCAATCATTGGTAGAAGAGGGCCCTTGGATGTAAGATTAAACTTAATTTTTTATAATATTTCTTTTAACCATTTAATAGCCATTAATAATAACCATTTTTATTTTGTCACTTGTCGATTCTATTTCATTGAAATGACTTACCAAAATCCATAAAAAAGTTTATTTTCAGGTATCTTTCACTATTAAGGAATTACGGGAACAAATAAAACTGCCTAATTGTTCTTTTGCCATTGAAATGTCCTCGTCGGACCAAGATTTGATAAATGAATCGTTAAATTCATTATCTAGGCCAAAAAAGCGAATTACTGAATTAATGCTTAAAAGTATGAATATTTGTCCTAGCGATGCCAGTCGGCATTGCCAGCTGCTATTTAGGCGATTGCCTATTGAGGTTTGAAATGTTTCTCAAATATTTTAGATATTTTAATTTTAGGAATTTTTTTTTTATTGTTGTTTAACCAAAGAACCAAAGATTTTTTTTGATAAATTGAAAAAATCTTTGAACAAATCCTAAAATCTTCTTAATAAAATAATTCTTTGCCAGGTACTAGCTAACAGTTCGGGGCGTGTTCGAGGCGTTAGAATAAAAAATTCTTTAACTGATGAAATAGAAGAAATGGAATGCGGGCTATTGATTCCCAGTATTGGTTATAAGAATATAGTGCTAGATGGTGTACCAACGGATATCAATGGTCGTATAGATCTTATAGATTCTATGCGTGTTCGAACTTGTAATGATGCACTTGTTTATGCTTCTGGTTGGTGCGCTCATTTGCCAAAAGGTGTCATTGCCAATACTTTGGTTTGTTTTATTATTATTATTTTTTTCGAAAACGGTCACTCAATGGCAATCATTTTTTCACTAACTCACCCATTGTTTTTTTTTTTTGAGTCGTGAAATATTTTTGATTAATTTTAGTTATTTTTTTTCACCTTGTTTCATTCAAGTGTTTTTGAGAAATTTTTTGATATTTTGAAATTTGTTGATTCTTTTTATTATTATTATATTTGAAGCTGTATCATTGGCAGATTGAATCGACTGGTGTTGCTGCTCAGATCTGTGCAGATCTAGAAAAAAAAGAACTTCGATCAGCGCTAGAAAGTAATCCCTATGATCGACTTAAAGCTCGCGGTGTATTATACGTTTCTTGGGAACAATGGCAAAAAATTGATGAAAAAGAACGAAAACTTGGCAAAAGTCGTGGCAAAGAAAGAGAGAAAATCTTAGATTTTTAAGGTTTTTTAGGTTTTTCAATTCTTTATGTTTATTTGCTCAATTATTTTATATTTTATAACCATTGGAAATATAACCATTGTTTCTGGCGACTAATTTGATCTGAGATTGCAGTTTTACAACGGTTTCTTTATGTTTTAACTATTTGAAAGGAAAGGAACGAGAGGATTAATAATTACTATAAGGAGGATAGAAATTGTCAAGAATAATAAAGTAATTATAATAATTGGAATGAAATTATAAAATTGCTATATATTCATTAGTTTTATTTAATTAATTGATTATGTCTTATTTATTTGTATTTCAGTGGTGATTAAATTTTTATTGATTTGTTGTTATTTATAAATTATAAATTCAGTAAATTTTTCGTATGAAATTTTTCTGCAAAATAATTGAATGGATAGCCCATGAATATTGTCTTAATTGATTGAGTTAAACCGATTGAGTTTGAGCCTTCAGCGTTTTGCCGAGCTATTAAAGCTATGCAACTTATTTTTTCCAGGTTTTCGAATCGAAATAATGGCCCTGCTGGAAGATAAATTAATTAACGGTGATGTTGCGGGATATTGCAGCAGTAGCGACGAGGATGATAATTCTGTTAACTCTAAGTTAACAATTATAAAAGATGAGGATGTTCAGGAATCTAAAGTGATGAAAAGAATTAGAAATACTGGTCCTAAAGGAGTAATCGAAGATTGGCGTATATTTAGAGATGAACAAAAAAAGTTCGAAAAATTAAAGCAACAAAAGGTTTATTAAAAATATTTTTAAAAAGAAATAAATTGATTAAGGAGATAAATGGAAAATTATGATTTCAGATTATAGGAGAAGCAAAGCGTTGTACACTAACTGGCCAAGTAGTAGACCCCGAGTTGGAAAATATTCGACTTCATAGGTTTCAACAATTAAAAGATTGCGCAAGCGCGAAAGGCAAAGTAAATTTTTGAAAATATTTTATTTTTAAAATGATCAAAATAAAAAATGCAAATAAAATAATAAGGTAAAAAATAACAAATTAAGAGTTTCTTGATAGTGTGGAAATTTCACCTGGTACCATTTTATCCGTGGTAATGTAGCATTTAGCTTGGTATTTTTAACCATTTTATTTATTTGCAGAATTCAAAATTTAATAAAATTTATAGTATAAGTGCTATTATTAGGAAGATGAAAAAAATTTTAGGTGATAGAACTAAATAGCAAAGAAGAATATTTGGTTGCTGTTGAGGGAACTCGAAACAGCCTATTGCTAATTCATATCTATGAAGATTCAATCGATGCCTGCAACACATTGAATTACGTGCTTACTTTAATTGCTGCTCGTTACTATTATATAAAATTAGCTAAAGTGAAAGCATCTGTATTAAAGATGTCATCAAGTTTTGTAAGTTTTGTTTGATATTTTTATATTTTATATTTTTTTGTTATATTTTTGTATATTTTATTATTATTATTATTTAATTATTATTTTATAAGTATATTTTTTTTCATTTGTTTCTTCTTCCTTTTTAATTAAAAAGGAATTTAATAAATAATAATTAAATAATAATTATTATAAATAATAATTATAAATTATAACTTAAATTCGACTTTTATTTATTGTTTTTATAGAGTGCCAATGCACTGCCTACTTTGCAAGTTTATTATAATGATTCACTTGTCGGTAATTACGTGAGAATGACGGATTCCTTGGGTGAAGATTTTACGGTCCAAATGCTTGAGGAATTTCTTTACAGGCAAAAATTTTTATTTTAAATATTATGTTTTAATTCATAGCAAATATTACAGCATATATGAAAATTATGTGTTTTCTTCAGGCATGATATCGATCTGGCTGTGGATCCAAAAAAGTGGTGTTCAAATGAGTAAAAAAAGGGAAGAAATGGATTTTCCAATTTCAATTATTAGTTGAAAAAAGAGAACCTCATTTTTCTTCAGATTTTTTTCTAATTTTTATTCGTATTTTTAGTGGAAGGCAATCACGAAACTGCTATTAATTTAATCCTCATTTTATAATAACGAATGATTATTTTCATAATAGCTTATCGTGCCATGTTAGCATGAATTAATTTTGTTTTTTGTCTTATTCATTTTTCATATAATTCTTGATTGGCCAATATATACGAGGTTTAATAACTTAAATCTCCATTTCCATCAGTCATTGATGTTGCCAGTGGAACTATTAGTAATGTTAGTAGTATCTTGGATGGGAAAGAATCACAAATTGAAAATAAGCGACACCTTCTTGTCGTATAATATCACCATCATATTTGTTTTAATTTTATGTATTTGTTTCAATATTTCGAACATTCTATAGGTTTCAAATGATTCAAAAGATGAAATTCATAAGTTTAGTCAGATTTTTGAAAGAATTCATGTAGTTCATTAATATTATAATAAAAGATGATATTTTGTGATTTTTTTTCGTAAAATTTATATTTTGCGTTATTTACGAATTGATATTTCCAAGGCGACTTGTATGGTCGTTTTCTCAAAATATTTCAAAAAATTTCTGGTATTTACTGATAATGACTGATGAAATTTTTTGCGGTTAATTATGCATTTATCGAAATTACATTGGTAGTTTTATCGAAATTATTCTGTCGTATTCAGATATTTTTTTTTTTTTGATAAGAAAGGAATATCAAATTTGGTTTCTGCCAAACTGATATGATATAGAATAATGTAATTACGAAGAGAAATCGTCTAAAATATTAATTTCTCGATTTATTATCAAAGATCGTCGTTTTTCAACAGTCATTGCCTTTAAGATTTTCAACAGTTAATAAAGTATGGTTGCTGTCGTTGTGGCGATAAGTTTTGGTGTCATTTGTTAATAGAAGTGCAGATGTGTATTCCATAATCGAGTTTATACTCTCAGAAATAGAAAACCACAGCATCGACACTTCAAGAATAGTAATTGGTAATTGCGGTAATTTTTCTATTCTTTTTCATTATAATCTTATTGTTTCAGCTAAAATTTTCAGTTTTTAATTGGTTTTATTTATCTTTTGCTGTTATTTTTTGGATTCTTCCAATCAATTAGTTAAATTATTAAAAACAAAAAAATTTTTTAATACTTAAAAAAAATTATTTTAAAGATTTTTGGTAATTATTATGGGAGACGAACGATATATGAATGCTCCACTTGGTGTATTATTTGTAACGATGGGTGCAAATCACGAGCAAATTTCATTTTCCTATCCATTTTCTTCGAACTATATAATGACATTTGATAAAGGTTTTCATCTATTAAAATTTTGTTTTTTTAGAGAAAATAATTTAAATATTTCTATAAATATATTTATTTATGCTATATATTTATAATTCACATGAATGTATTGTTTAATTTACAATGTAATTTTGAAGTTTTTTTAAATATCATTAAATATCATTATAAAGGAATATTTTTTCATTATAGCACTGAGGTAAATGAATTTTAATGAATTCTTTATAATTCTTTCGCTAATTCTTTATAAATTTTAGAATGTTCGCCGGAACAATTCGTCGCGACAACTGCGTAAAATTTTTTTTGACTATTTTTTAATAATATCAAGTAATATGAAAAGTATTTTATAATTGTAATTATAAAAATCATTTTTTTTTTTACAAAGTTATATGCATTGAGTAAACAATAATATAAGCAATATATTTACAAATAAATATTAATATTAATATAAATATTTCGATATAAATATGAAAACTAATATAAATATAAATATTAATAAGTAATAAGTAATTGATTTTGAAAAATATAGAATATTTTTCTTCCAATTTTGGTTTATTTTAGGTTTTTACTGGATTTTCGATGTTATATTTATAAATAAATGTTAATATTAATATAAATATTTTCGATGATTTATTTCAGAAATCGAGTTTCTTCCTTTTATGTGCTTTCTTATTCTTACTTCACAGCAATTTTTTATTTTTTATTATTTTTTCAGGCAATTCAATAAAAGAGACACTCAACTATATGGGTACGGGAATATTTCATTTATTTCTATATAAAATCCAATTTGTTGTTTCGATCTTAATTCGTTTTTTTTTTCGAATTTTCTTATCCAAACATTTTTTACAGAGTACCCGTTCAAATTTTGGCTTATCTCCTTTCTGCAAAAGGCACATGCGAGAAATTCTTTGAGCTTAAAATCGATAATATTCGATTTGCTGGTTTTCCTAAAATTGTGAGTTTGCAAAAAATTTTTTGTTAAATTTGGACAAGTTGTTGCATGTTTACTTTATATTACACCATAATGATTTTAGGTCTCCAAACCAACTGGCCGATCTCCTCAAGCGTTCAATATTGTTTTCGTTCTAATTGCCAATGCTTCTGTTTATTTAGTTCAGTCTTTTCAACTTTTAAGGTTAATTTTCCATTTTATGGCAAATTTGAAAATTCTTTGGCCATAGTGATATTTAAATTAAATTAAATTAAAATTTCTTTCAAAATCAAAATTTCATTCCTAAAAATTAAAAGTAGTGTAAGAAGAACGAAGATTTTGGCTGCAAAATTAGAAATTTTCTGAAAAATTGGAAAAAGAAAAATTTTTTATTTGAAAATTTTCGAAAATTTCCTTGCTTTTTGCTAATTTTCATTCACCTATATTAAGATTTTTTAGATTCTCATTTTTCTACCATTTGTTCTATCTTGAGATGATTAGTTAAATTCTTTCGTTAGCTGAGCCAAGTATTAATGGCCAAATGAATTCTTCAGTTTTTATTTTAAATTTTTATTACTATTAGCTATCATAGTTATCTCTAATTTAGTTATCTCTTCACAGAGAATAATATAACACTTTTTTTTGTGAAGCTCTTTTCTCTTTTTAAAAGATTTTCTCTTCTTCTCTCTAAATGTTTTTTTAGACTAATTTTTATTTTTTATCTTAATTTCTAATTTTTTGCTATAATAATTGCTACATTTTTAATTTCAGTAAAAAATTAGCAATTGCCTTAGATGAAGAACAGTCGAGATGTGGTTACTTAGCTGAACAAATGACATCCATGTTAAATGATTGTGATAAAACAGATTCATCTATTGAAGGTAATGTTGGTTTCGTTTTATATTTTACTTTTATTCATATTTTTTTTACTAATCCAAAATAAGTACATTTGCATTTTCTTCAATATTTAAAGCTTCAAATTAGGTAAAATCATTTCCAATTTATCTTACCAAGTTTTTAAATTTAATTTTTGATTTCTTGTCTGCTGTGAAGCAGAAGGATAATTTTTTCAATTTTGTTTTATTAAAACATTTTAAGCCATTCAAAGTTTTGTTTTTTTAAGGCGAAAGTCTTCCTTATGCAGATATCTTGACTCGCAGTCAGCTCGCCCAAGATCTTAAAGATCTTTTTACTGATATAAGCGAGTTTGGCATTGGTCATATCTTTATTAACGATTGTGTAGAGGTTGGATTCTGTATTGAAACTCGAGCTTTGATTCAAGCAGGTTTGACTCCAAAGTCGAGGTCTAAATTTATGATATTAACTTGAAAACTTGGAACTTTATAACTTTCATATTTTTAAATGTACTAAAAAACTATTTCAAGCATCTTTTTTTATGATTCATGTTTACTCATACCAAGAAGTAAAGAAGGTTTAACCTATGTTCTCAACCAAAGTATTATGCAAGCAGCATCTCTTACCGCCCTCCGCGCCCCTAAATATGTTTTTTTTATTTCTTTGTATTGATATAATCTTCCTATGAATGTCGATGCATTAGGCACCATTTCAGAAATTATTAGAAAATTAGAAAATTAGAAAAATTAGAAATTTTTTGGTTAGATGTGTGAAAAAATTCTTAAATCATTTTTCAAAATTTTTCAAAATTCTTAAATCATTTTGAAATACTTTAAAATATCTTTGAAGATTTTTTTTTTCATCTAGAATGGAAATAGAAAAAATAGTGAAACGTATTCGACCATATCATGGCATTATACTGCTCGGAAATACGATACCTAGTCCAGATGCAAATCCTTCTGTTCGGCTTTTTTTAAAGCACTGCGATCCCGATCGAAGGTATTCTTATTTCCTAATAATTTCTTGTGGTAATGCTTTCCTGATATATTTCAAATGTGTTTTAAATATGTGAAGTATCAATAACAATTTTTCAAATTTATTTTAGTATAGTTGGAATAAGTGATGCATCCGGTCTTCCTTTGGTACAAGTTCTGCTTATTGTACGACATTTACTTCTTTGGGCTCGAGCTATTATAATTTATCCATTATGCAGTAGCAACGTATATTCTTCAGCTGCCTATCATAAGCCGATTGTGAGGTTGGTATTTATTACTAGTAGTAGTCACCATCATATCCTTTACACATTGGTACTTTTTTCTTATCTTTATATCTTATCTTTAAGATTATCTGAACAATTCAGTGAGCTATTTGAAAATGCCCAACTTCCAGTAATTTTGGCACAGTTTTCACCACCATGCACCTTAGCCGAGTTTGTAAATGCTTCATTTCACAGTTCAGAAGAACAGGTTAATGTGAAATTTTATTTATTTATTCTTTTGTGATCATTCGCCGCAGTTATTTTACCAGTAATTATACCAATAATTAATAATAATTTACTATTTTATAATTACCAATAATTTATTTTTCATGTTTCCAATAAAATTTTATTTTGAATAGGCTTAGCTTCAGCTGTTAATGAAACGCTTGTAGAGAATGATTTCGAATTTAAATTTTTTGCTGGATTAAAGTAAGGCATTGGTAAATAGCTCAAGAATAAATGAAATTAAATACAGAATTATGCACCATTTTTGCACAAATACTATACTAAGGAGAAGTGGTAAGTAGCCAGTTATTATCGCTTTTATCATATTGAGATTTTGTGATTTCTTCCTACAGTGGGAGTAAATCTATCATTAAAATCTGGTCTGGCGATTGACGTTTAATTTTATTAATTTTATCATCAAGTGACAGAGGAAAATTTTTAACCGCACTTTAGCCAGTGAATAATCAGTGGAATGTGCCTCTAAGTACGATGAGCGCCAACAACTTATTGACTAGCTGACTTAAAATTAACATTATTATACATTATATGTTAATTCTCTATTTATCAATATCTTTTCTCGATTTCTAGCAAATTCGCGTGAACATGGTTATCAGATTGTTACGTGATAGCCTTATAATGCAGCTTCACACTTTTATATATTTACTTCCGTCTTTTTCCAGTAGTTCGGTTGATGAGTAAGTTTTCATCAGATTTAATGCTTATTATTATTTTCATTTATAGCGAAAAATAATTTATTGAATATGGAAATAATTGGATAGAATTAGAAAATAGTTTTTTATATTTTTATTTCTATATTTTCATTTGTTGTAATAAAGCAAAATAAAATTCAGATTGGAAATTGAAGCATTGCGTGAAGAAAATATTCGCGATTTAATCATTTCTTCAAAATTTTCAATGGATATTAAGGCTACTTTGGCACGGCTTTGTCTTTCTCTTTTAAGAAATTCATCATCAGAACAAGTTGCTAATATGCTTAGCCTATTTATCAGGTTGATTTTAAGATTATTTCCCTTTGATAAAAAATTTTAAAATTTTTAAAATATCAGAAGCATCTTTTTATCTTTTTTTGATGAATAAATAAATAATAAATAAAGAAATTAAACCTAAAAATTAGCTTTTCGTTAATGTGGATTAATTTAGATTCTTTTTTTTTTAAAGAATATTCGCTAGAATTTTGCAGATTTGGGTTGATTAATAGGATAAGATTCTTTTGCAAGAGAGCAACCATATGTGAATCTCCTTATCTTCAATTTTTTTTATTTATTTTTATTTTTTACAATTTTTTATTTATTCCTGTCAAAGGAAATATCTGCCGAATCAATATGCTAAGTAGCCAGTTATTATCGCTTTTATCATATTGAGATTCTATGGTTTCTTCCTACAGTTTATTAAATAGGTTAAATATAAATAGAATATTTTTAAATGGCAGTCGTCTAACTATAATATGAACCAATTCAGGCTTTCGCCTTATTTGAATGGCAACCATCATGTGGAAGATATAATGTATAGAATGAATCTTGATCGTTCCACTGTTGTGCGAATTTTAGACACATTTTCCTGTGTACTGATCTGTTATTCTCGTCCAGAATTTCCCAGAGATTGACGATTCTATTTTAATTTTATTTGTGATTATTATTGTTTATTATTTCTTTCTACGGGAATGATAAATTATTGATGCTGGTTTCTTGATATTTTTTGCGCTTAAAAGCGTTAAAATATACTTTATTGATAAAAACTGCTACCAGAAAACTACCAGAAAATTCCAGCGATATTAGCAAAATGTAATAATTGCTACTGTTGATTGGTTAATTTTTGTTTAAAATATGGATTTCACTAAGATTTTTTTTCTTTTTTCGAAGTGATTAGATAGAATTGCAAATTTTGAAATCATTTCAATTCATTCAGTGATATTTTTTAACAATTTTTCTTCCTTTTCTTCTAACAGCTTTCAACATTGCTCTCAACATTAGGGTGGTTCCGTTGGCAACAAGGAAATAAGACATCTCCAAGCTGCTCGCTCCGAGGCCATCGCTAGTAATAATAGAAGCCATTCTTTTTTCCATCGTCTAAGTCCATATATCTGTCGTCGTTCTCCATGATTTTATTAAAAGTTCTAATCTAATTTTAAAGATTGATTCTTCTAATTTTTTGCCCATTATTATTTTTCAGTATTTAGTTCTGCATTTTTATTATTAAAAATAAAATGGCAAAAACAATCGAACTCGATCGTGAAAAATATGAAAAGTTCGTGAAAGAGCGCCTGGAAGCGGATTATCGGATAATCGTTGAGGCGATGAACAAAGTTGTTGATGAAATTCGCGAATATGAAGCTTTATTATTGTGCATCTCAAAACTTAAGGTCTGTTAATCATTTTTTGAACTTTTAATTTAATTTAATGAAAACACTTTTGTTGGAATTTTCCTCCGGGAAAATATTGCTGCTTATAGTTCTTCTTTTATTATTCGCTATATTTTGCAAATTTTAAATTAATTTTAAATATAATTTAATTTAGCTTCTTAATTTAATTTAGCTTCTTTAACGAAAATTTTGAAGGAAATTTCGCAAAAATTCGTTGCAGATTACAAGATTTTTATATTATAGGAATCTCAGATCGATGAGGGCTTGGAAACTATGGTAAATGTCGGCAAAAATATATTCTGTGAAGCAGTTGTGTATGTTTTTATCCATTTAATCGACTGGCAAAATGTAGTTCTTTTCATTTTTTAAATTTTAATCTAATTAAAATATCTCTAAAAGAAATTCAAGAAAAAAGAAATTAATGAAGAAAAATAAGGTTTTAAAAAAAATTCCAGCTATTCCCGCTTTATTATTATTATTAGTTCAAAAAAAATCTTGAAAAAAAATTTCTGATTTTTTAAAATTTTAGAACGAAATGCAATCGGTTGATTGTTAAGCTATGCGACGATCTGTTCGCAGAATTGACTTTGGAAAGGGCTGAGGTTTGTTTCTTCGTAAATTAAGAAAAAGTGGGGCAAATTTCACAAATGCCTTTATCATTTTTTTTTCATTTTATTTGAAATTAAAGCGCTTCTTCGTGCTAATTTTTTTTTTCTAAATTTTTTCGATATTTCAAGTTTTAGAACTTTTTTCAATTGTCGAATTATTTTTTAGTTCTTTATTATGAATCGAATAAAATTGCTAAATGAACGAGCCGGTGTATATGAACGCGAAGCTTTTTCAATACATGCAAGAAAAGATTTAATTCTAAGTTCACTTGATCAGTTCAGTTTGCTCAATTCAAATTTATAATGCCTTTATTATTATATATAATGTTTTTACTGCTGAAAATTTGTTTCTTTAACAAAAAAAATTTTATTATTAATATTTATATGTGAATAATAATATGTACAATAATAATATGTATAATAAATTTCTTATTAATATTCATATTTATATTTATTATAAAAGCATTAATAAAAGCATTAAGTATTATAAAAAAATTTTTAAAAAAAAAAAAATTTTTTAAAATCAAAAACAAAAATATTTAAAAAATTTGAAATAATAATTTGGAAAAATAAATAAGCATAAAATATTAATGAATAAATGAATAAATATTATATTAATCTGTATTAATTTTATTAATTTTTTTATTTTTATATTTTATTAATCTTTGTATAAATATATATATTTCTTATTTCTTTTTTGATGCTTTTTTCATGCTTTACTGTTTAAAATAAATTTGTTTAAAAAATTATTTATTTTAAATTTTTAATAGAAATTAGAATAGAATTTTATGTCAAAATGCTTTATTCTTTGTTTTTTAAATCATTCTTCAATGAAAAAATTCAATTTTTCCATGTAATATTATTGTATATTAAATAAAAATTTTGCATATTGGCTATAAATTCTTTTTAAAATTCGCCATATTTTTGCAAACATGAAATATTTGTTTAATATTGTTTAATTCATTTTTTTTTCGTACATTTATTAGATTCATAAAAATTTTAACAAATTCATTAGAATTCATTTGGTTTTATTTAAGATTGTGCAAATAAAGGAATTTAACGATAAATGAAGCCAAAATTGATAACAGAATCGACGGTGAAGCGGTGTTTAGCGCTAAATCATCAAAATGCTTCGAAAGAATTCCCCGATGATATTGTTAGGATTATTGCTGAAATATCGAAAATGCTCGCACAGGAACTCCTTGAAAGGTATATCGCATTGTTTCGTCATCTAAAATCGTAAACTTTTAAAGATTTTCATATTTTTCTAATTCGATCTTTAAAAAAAAGCAATGAAACGTGATAGCTCAATGATTTAGTTGATTTTTCGGTTGATTTTTATTAAGAAATAAGAAAGAATGAAAATTTTTCTGATGATTATTTTGATAATAAATAAATTTACTAAATTTTAAATTAAATTTTAAATTTTAAATAAATTTTTTTTGAAGAATTGAAAAGATATTTTTAATATATATGCAAAATATTTGTTGAAAATTGGTCTTTTAATATTAAAATACTGGTCTTTCTTTATTAAAATAATTATTAATTACCAAAAAAAAATTTATAGAAGTGCAATTAATGCAAGAGATGGGCTATCGAATCAAGTGACATTGGAGAATTTTCATCGAATTATCGTCCAAGCCATTCTCGATTTTTCTCTTTAAACGTTTATCAGCGTTGCTTAATCATATTATTATTTATATATAAATTTATAAATAGTTCCTGAAAAAGTAAAAAAAAAGCAAATGCAGTGGATGTGGAAAATTCCATTATATTGCCCTTATTTCTTGGTTTCCAAACTCAAATCACTTTATTTTTCTATTATTCTCTATTTAATTATCATTTGTTATTACTAATTATTATTATCGTTTATTATCATAATTTACACTATTTTTTAAAATTATCATTATTGTTTTTATTATGTTAATTATTAGCTAATTCGGTCAATACACTTGTAAAATTATTACGTTCATTGTTCTTAAATTTATTTTATTATTAAAATTATTATTAAAACGAAAAAATAATTAATATTCTTTTTTTTCAGAAGCTTTCAGAACTAAAAGCTGAAAACAAAAAATTATTATTAAATTACCAAATAATTAGAATTGATAGATAGGAAAAAATATATATATTTTTTTATTCTAAACATTTTTTTAAAGTGTGTGGTTTGATTTTTAAAATGTGGCAATAAAATAATTAAAATCTTAGAATCTTAGAATCTTTTAGAATAATTCTTGAATGAATTTTTCAGACAACAAATTTCCTATAGTTCTTCAATATTATCTAATTCTTCTTCTTCTTGTTAGGCTAGGATTATTCTCTAACAGCTCTCACCTGTTAGGCTAGTTCCAACGGCTACAAGTATAACGCTTCCGAACGGCACAGTCCTGCGCCATCGCTGGTACTAATAGAAGCATTCCTTTTTCCATCGTCTAAGTCTATATTACTGGTACATACGTTCAAAATCTTCTCACCCTATCAGTCCAGGTCTTGATTGGCCCACCACGACGCCAACCATCACATGGTTTAGCAAATAACGAAATATGCGTCAATTCCTGTGGTGAACGATGGTGCTCTAATCAGCGAAGGCGACGCTCTATGATATTATCTAAATAATATAATAAAAATACATATAACAGATATAATAAAAATATAATTGACAAGCTACTTATAATAAGCATTGTTGAATCGTTAAGCAAAATGATTGCACCAAGTATTATGTAAGGTAATAAGCAACTAGCACTGTTTTCATTATTTTTGGTTAAAATTCATCCAGTTGCTTTTCATATGATAAGGAGATTTTGCCTCAGATTTTGTTTTATTCCATCGTTCGTAGAAGACGGACCATTAATTATACCTGAAAATTATGGCAATCTAAGCCGCAGCTAATCTATATGGAGAGTGTCCTTCAGTTCAAAATAAAACCGATTAGGTATCGCAGGATACCACTTAATTTTCCTATTAAAAGGAAGATGAAAAGGCTACCAAATAAGTTCGGTAAGAAATTACTTAGAAATGAAGGAACGTGAAAATTTATATGGCCATCTCACGTTATTTGAAAGGAAAGCTTTCAGTTTTCTCCTAATAGCAATTTTAATTATAAAATATGACTTCAACAATACCACCTGAATTCTCTCTTAATTCGTCGAATTAAACAAGATTTAATTTGTACTTATAAAATTCTATATGGTTGTGTAGTACGAATTAAATTGTTCAAAATATTCCAATTTTAGATTAAAGTTGAAACCAATAAGATTTAATGTGCTAAAATTACTAAAACCTATATGAACTATAAATACTATATAGATTACCTATATAAACTAAGGATTTATGACTTCTTTATTCGTACTATTAATTACTGGAATAAACTATCGAACAATGTAATTTGTCCGTCATCGTTACTAATTCTTTAAAAAAGATTAGATAATATCATTTATTGATTGATATAATTTTATCATTAATATCATTTATTGATTGATTTTTTAAAAATTTCAAATTATGCAAGAAGTTTGAAATCACGATTTTTACCATTCGATATTTTGTAACACCTTTTTATTTCCACTTTACTTTATTAATTTTTGTCATATTTTCTTTTTCTTATCACTAATTTTCATTAGTGATTTTCATTATTTATTGTTTTATCTGTTGCTATTAATAAAAACACATGGTGGTTACCGCTCTTCTTAGTTGGTTTTCAGTAAATATTAAGCATTAAACAGAACCCTAATTCCTAGTTCCCTAGTTCCCCAGTATCACTCAAACTTAAAGCTTAAATGATAATCCTTCTTATGAAATGGTCGGAATAAAGAGCTGTAAGATTCATTAATCGTCTTAGAACGAAAATTTGTAATCGATAGTTTTTATTGGTATAATATTTGAAGTGGACCTGTCAACATGTCGAAAATGCTATATATTTTCGGTTCGTTGTATCCCTCAGTTTCGTGTTTTCATATATTTTTTTGAGATTTTCAGCGTTACAATATTCATTTACATTCTCTCGCAAAAGTTATCATTATTGTTAAAATTATAAAAATTTATTATTATTATTTATTACTATTATTATTATTTAATTGGGTCGGGGGGGGGGGGGGGGGGAGAGAGATGGAATGGCTCACTGGATTGTTGCTCAAATTCTACTCCACGCAGGAGTGAACCCATCCAGAAGTTCGGGTGGATATTGTTGGCGTCCTTCAGTTCTATCGCCTGGGAACTCCCTGGCATATTTGTCTAGTGTAACAAACCAGCGGAGCGAGCTAATCAATAATGGTGAGAACTCTTTAAAAAAAATTCGCCATTAATTATTATTATTGTTATTTTTAATTATTATTAGTTATTATTATAAATTTTTATTAATTATTACCATTATTAATAAAAATTATTACCATTAATAAATCATTCATTCATTATCATTAAAATAATTAAAATCATTAACTTCTTTCCAATTTGTTTAAAACTATTAAATGCAAAAATGGTTTTACAGTGATTCTTTATTATTTTTTTAAATTTATACATTCCTGAAACAGATTTTCAAAAATTTTGAAATTGTTGATTTGCAGAAGTTTTTTGCAAATAATAGTAATAACAATGACAGAATTATTGCTCGACCCAGCAATTCGAACTTGGGTTTTCCTTCCCGTTATAATTATTACATTTCTTGTTGGTGTTCTTCGTCATTACGTCTCGCTTTTTTTTACTTCTAAGAAAAAACTGGAATTGCAGCAAGTTCAAGATAGGTTTGTTTGTTTGTTTTTATTCATTTTTGCAATACTTAGATTTATTCTCCTAAGCCTAGTTTGAGTCGTTTCTATAGAGTTTTTCACTTATATACCTCTTATTATTAAAAAAAAAAACCATTTAACGCGTGAACGATTGAATAGGGAAGAGTGATAGAGAAGAATGTATGAAAGTGTTTAAAAAATATTCGATTTAAAAAATAATTTTAAAAAATTTATTATTTTTATTTTTTCGCATTCCATTTATGATATGTAAAAACGAATTCCCTCCAGTAGAATTGATAATTTTCATTTAAAAAAAAAAAAACCATTTAGAATAAAAAAAACATTTTCATATAATTACTATATATATGAATTAAATATATGAATTTAAAACAAGAGCCGTGATAAATTATTTTATTTATTAATTTCTAAATGAAACTTCAGATTTTTAAATATTTGAAATTTTTCAAAAAAGATTTAGAGTTTTTGCATTCTTTTTCAGTCATTATTTAATACGATGTCGACTGTTGCGTGAGAATGGTCGATTCATTCCTAAATCATCGTTTCTTATGCGAAAAAATTTTCTTATCGCTGAAGAAAGTGGTTATATAACAAAGGTTAGTGAATTCTTTTGTGTTTTGTGATTATGTGATTTTAATTCTCCTTCGGTGAGAAATTGAATTTATAAGAAAATTAGTCGGAATGATGCTTAAATTTTTGTAAAATCCATGAATAATTTAAGAATTGAATTTAAGAATTTAAGAATTTTCTAGAAATATCATTTTGGGTAAATTTTTTATCACTTTTTTTGTGCCACTTTTATTTTTTGAAAATCACTTTATAACTCAGTCGTTTAGGGTATGGAACGTCTATCGCAAATGCAAAACCCAATGGCGGATCCGTCAATGATGACAGACATGTTAAAGGTACAAACTTTTCAAAATTTTTTTTGTTTCAACTTTTTTTCGTTTTGTATAGGGTTTTTAAAAAAATATTTTTGTAATCTTTTTGGAATTTCATAATCTTAAGGGAAATCTTTTAAATGTTCTGCCAATGATAATTATTGGCGGATGGATTAATTGGACGTTCAGTGGATTTGTTACTACTAGGGTTCCATTTCCGCTCACATTACGTTTCAAACCAATGTTGCAACGAGGTAATTTTTTTAACTATTTTGTTTCATTGTAGTTTTAGTCTACTAAAGAACAAATGATAAAAAAAATTCGCAGGAATTGAATTGGTTTCATTGGATGCGTCGTGGGTATCTTCAGCATCGTGGTATTTTCTGAATGTATTCGGTTTACGAGCCATTTACACACTTGTTCTTGGTGAGGATAATGCCGCTGATCAGTCTCGCCTAATGGAAGAACAGATGACTGGAGCTGTCATGGTTGTACCACAGGATCCAAAACAAGCATTTAAGGCTGAATGGGAAGCTTTGCAAATGACAAATCATCAATTCATCTTAGCCAAGTGATTTTTATATTTTGTTTTAATTTAATTTGTGGTTTAAACTGAATATGTTTTATTCCATTTACCATTAATGTTCTATTGATTTGTTAACGAATATTGACCGTACAAATTTCATTTTATTAGTATTTTTATTAATATTTCCTTATAGGTAAAAGTTTTATTTTATTAAGTTTTATTCAAGTGAAATTTTGATTTTTATGTTGAAATATAAAGATTCGTCTTTTTAATGGTTTTATAATGGTATTATTTTATATTTTATATTTTAGAGGTTACTTATCGTATTAGACTGGTTAGCATTATTTTTTTATTTTTATAAACAAATTAAAAGAATTTAAACAAATTAATAAAAAAAGCGAGAATTTTTCTTGAAAACTTGGAAAGAATTTTAAAACGTTTGTTTCCAAAATTTTCATATCTTATACATTTTTATTTTTTGGTGATTATTTGCGGTGATATTATTTATTTATTTATCTGATCCATTCTTTTTTTCATTGTTTTTTTTTTTTTGAATAATTTTCTAAATGATTTTTCCTTGCATTAAATATTCTAATCGACCGTGATAGAAATATTCCATTCGAAATAAATTAATTCAAGGTTCAATTCAGGGGCAATGAATTGAATATAATTAATTTTTAATGAATCAAAATGAATGAATTTTTTCTGATTTATTTTTTTACAATTATATTATTTCGATAATTTAGTCATTTTATTTTATTGTTAGCAATGCAATTAGTCTAAATATCCATGTAATCTTTTGAATTGTAAATAATTCACTATTAAATTATAATGATTCTTATACAGAGTGGTTTCACAATTTTGTATATGGATTATTTCATTATTCACTCATTTTTCCTTGAATTATTATTGTTATTATTATTATTAATCATTATTAGTTATTGTTAATATTATTATTAATTATTATTATCATTATCATTATTATCATTATACTATTTATTATATTACAATGGACAAAGGCAGGCTATTTGTCCTAAAGATTGCATTAAATGTATTTCGATCATGTTCACGGTATTATCATGATTTTCGTAGGTAATCAAATAAAATCTTCGGTTATAGAAATTTGGCTGAAAAAGTTGAGAGTTTTTTGAATTGAGAATTTTTGTTATGTAAAGTCCTTTTAAAGATTATGGATTCTTCTTCTTCGAACAACTCTCACCATTACTGGTTGGGCTGGCTCCAATGGCTACAAGGGTAAGACGCTTCCAAGCGGCGCGGTCTATGCTATCGTCGACAGTAATGGAAGCCTTTTTCCATCCTTTATGTCCATATATTGCTGGTCCTCCTATACTTTCAAAATCTTCTCACCGTATCAGTTCAGGTCTTGATTGGCCCACCTCGCTTTTGATACCAACCATCACACGTTTTAGCAAATAATGAAATATGCGTCAACTCCTGTGGTGGACGACGGAGAATGTGCCCTAACCTGCGAATGCGGGCATCTGTGATAATTATTTATGCAAATGATATTTGAACGAAGATGGATGCGATCTTGTGGTATTTTATCTGCTCGACGGATCCATAATATGTATCTTAGACAAGAGTGGTCAATGACAGATAACTTCTTGATATCCTCCACTCTCATTGGCCATATCTCAGAACCATATGGCAAGATCGAACGGAACACGGCTATATAGATGCGAACTTTCGTTTTTATGGTAATTTCACGACGGCTCCATAAAAAAAGGTTTCGTCAACCGGAAGAACCGGTATTTCTAGCTGCCGCAGTTTGTATCGTCTTTTGCATGGCAATTTGATATTAGAGTGGATCCAAGGTATTCAAATTAGAGAAAAATTAGAAAAATTATATATCTCTCTCAGTCACAATTTCCTTGTGTATTAATATACAATATTTATAAGGGTTAAAATTTTTAAGAAGCCATTTTTTTCATCGTTATATTCGATAATTTCAGCAAAAATTTTTCGAAAAATGAGTAATCACAAGAAAATTATTTAAATCTATAAAATTTTATCATTTTTCATCCAAAACATTACACCTTATCATTTTTTTGTTATAATTTTAATTTCTATAGGACTTTCATAACCAAACAGATAAAAAAGTACTGGCTAATCAGCGATTGCTTAATATATCATAAAATTTATATGAGGATAGAATTGCTCAGTGGGTTGTTGCTCGATTGGGAGCGCCGATGCCGGGGTTCCATTCACCACAGGAGTAAAATGTAAAAAATATCTGCGTGACTCATCTTTATTATTATCACCATGGCATATTGCTCTATGTGATAAGTCAGTGGAACGAGTTTTATCAGTAATGGTGAGGAATCAGTAATGGTCTATATTTATACATAAAAGTAATTCGTCTCGAATGAGACCAGAAAATTTCGAAAATTTTAATTTATTTAGCGGCTATTCTAAAACCTTTACTTTTTTGATAAGTGCAAAGGACAAAGGATAATACAAATTCCAAGAAGGTCAACGTAAGATTGAAAAGGTTGAAAAATTCTGATATAACCAAAAGAAATTGATGACCGCAGACATTTTTCTAAATACCACTCGCTGTTTCTGGTTTGGTTGAATTTCATTAATTACTCGAAAGGGTACTTTGAGTACCCTTCAGAAAATCGTTTTGCGATAAAAATAGGTCAATTCCCAAAGATACCAAAAGTACCAAAAATACTTTTTGCTCAATTTTTAATACACCTCGTTTTAAGTTCTATAAAATAGTTGTTTTCCTACAGTTTTTACAATTTTATTAAATTTGCGTTCTCTGTTGATCTAAACTCAGTGAATTTGCTAAATTTTGTTTGACGATTACATTTTCCTATTTTTTCCTTCATTTTTTTTTCAAATTTAAAAACCAATTTTCATCACTATTCTCTCATCGCAAATTTCATTCGACACACCTAATTTATTTTCAGTATAATTTTCGAAATATGTAATATTTCCTCGGATTTTTAAAAAAACTTATTTTATTTATTTAAAAAAAAAATTCTTTGCTGCGAATAAAAAATAAAGAAACGATAAGCAAAATATAATAATTAAATAAAAATAATAATAAAATAATAAAAAATAACAAAAAAATATCAATTTTGAATATAATTTAACAAATTTTTTGCATTTAAACAAAACGATTTTTCTTATAATTCAATCTGAAAAGAAATTTTAAAGCTAAATTATGGAAATTTTTTTCAACAAATTTAGGGAAAAAATGAAAAAAAGGAAAATTAAATAAATGAAAAAAAACCTTTTCTCTTATTTCCTTTGGTAATTCATAATCGCAAAGTTTGCAAGTTTTTTCGCACGTTAATTTCATTGCGTTTTTCATTTTCTCGTCTTTGCAATGCTTTTTTAAAGTTTTACATTTTTCTTTATCCACTTAAATATTTATATATTTTATTAAATTTTATTTTATTTTAGTTGTTTTTTATTATTTCTATTTATTATTTAAATAGAAATAATTTATTATTAATTATTTATTATTATTTAAATAATTTTTTATTTCAATAAATTAAAAAACAAAATCATTATTTTTGTTAAAATATTGGTATTTTTCTATTGTATATCTTTCATCAATTATCAATTTTCTCTTTTTGAAAAGTCCACACCATTACTGGCTGAACATGCTCGGCTAGCTTATCGCATTGGAAAATATGCTATGGAGTCCCTTGGCAGCAAAAGCACAGTTGAGTCGCCAACATATCCAACGGTATCTTAGACAGATTTATCCCTGCGGGGAATAGAACCCTAGTGTCGGCGCTCCGATCTGAATAACAACTCACTGAGCCATACAACCACATCAGCAATTAACGTTATGCTTCTTAATTTATCGCTTTCTTTTTGATGTTTTATATTTAATACTTTTCTAAGGTTTTTGGCTCCTCGTTCATCCATTTTTTATTAGTATTTAAATTTTAAATATTACTGCGAAATTAAGAAAAAAATACAAATTTTATGAAATACTTAATAGCAAATAAAAAGAATCCCTTCAAAAATATATTGCAAGTTTCCATAAATTATTAAATAATTCATAATTTATGCCAATTTTCTTTATTCCCAATTAAATATAAAAACTCTTCGAGTAGTAAATAAAATAATAAAAAAGTGATAAAGTGAAATTTGATAAAATTATGAAAATAATTAGCGAAATAAACTTACAATAATCTTTACATTCCTTAGCTGTAATAAATTCATCGAATATGATAACCAATGCTAACCAAAAAACAATTCTTTGATTCATTGCTTAAAATAAAAAATAATTTTCCTATTTGGCAAATAAAATAATTTTAAATAAATTAAAATAATTATAGTTATAATAATAAAATAATAATGAATAATTATTACAATCTTAAATAATTTTTATAATAATTTTGATATTTATATCGATTTTTTTTAAAAATAAAAAAACATTTATTAGTTTTTAAAAATTGAATAGTGGTGAAGAATCGCCTAAAGTTTTCTATTGTCAAATGTTTGACGATGATCACTCAGCCAAAAGTGATGAGCGCGAAAGAAATTTTCACTTAAATTATTAATGTTTAAATTATTAATAATATTTAATTTATAAAATAAAAATTTAAAAATATTTTAGAAAAAAATTACAAAAAAATCTAAATAATATCATTATCATAAAATATCATTACCATAATATCATTATATATATCATTATATATTAATATCATTATCATTATTATTATTATAATATCATTATCATATCATAAAATCTAAATAATATCATTTTTAATATAATTATAAAATAATTAAATATTACTAATAATAAATAATAAAAAATATAAAAAAACATAGGAAACATCATTGATTTCGATGAGCGCTGATTATAAGTGCGAAAAAATTTTCAGTATTTCCACCTAAGCCACGAGAATTTTTTTTATTTGTTCACCTGGTTTTTCTATGTTTTTCAAATTCGTTTTTTTTATAATTTTTCGATTATTTCATACATTCGCGATTTTTAAAATTTTTAATTTTATTCGAATATCGAGTGAAATGAATAAATGCAATTTATTTATCGCATCCAATATATTTTCGCTTTAATTTATTATTGTAAATTTGCATAAAAAAATAATATAAAAATATGAAACATTATAAAATATAATATAATAAAAATAATAAAATTTTATAATCTTTTTTTTTTTAAATTTGAATTTATGGAACGAATTTCATCTAAAATATTGCAAAAAATAAATTTTTATTGAAATTAATAAAAGTAAAAATTTAAAAAAAGAATTTCTCTATGAAGAAAAATTTCTTAAAAATTTTTTAGTTCTTTAAAGTTGGAATTTTGATTAGAAATTTTAAATTAATTAATTAATTAATTAAATTAATTAAATAATTTTAAAATGAATTTATACATAGGATTCATGCAAAAATCAATGAATTTTTATTGAAATTGTCCAAAATAAATAAATTTAAATATTCATTCGAATTTGCCGACAGTATGCATTTGAGTTTTAATTAATAAAACCTGAAATTAACAAATTTATTAACTAAAAAATAACTAAAATAGTTAATTTAAGAGATGCAGTAGAAGAGAGAATATCTCTTGGGTGTATGCAGAATTTAATTCGACCTGTTTTTTTGACCTAAGCCACAAGTTCCAAACTACCAAAAGGCTCAACCAAATACAGTGCAATTTTTATAAAGTACGGCGATCAATGTATGACGTAGTGTAGATGCCACCATTATGTTTTATATAAATGGTACTCCACTCTCGTGGGCCTTATTTCGATTGGCTGAATACGAAGGCTCATTTTATTTTCATGGCCAGAAGTTTCGCCAAACGAGGGAAAGCATCTACCTGAGGCCAATGGTTCTTCGTGGTTCCAAGGTGGAATTTCATTTGCCCATTTAAGATGGAAGATTTTGAAAATTTGAATTATTACGTCTTAAAGCGAAATTTTTGCCTCCGAAAATTTTTGGCAAGGAGCCATACTTCACATAAAAATATTTAAGAAATTATAATTGAAGTTCTTCAGCAAGTTGGTCGCCTCGGGTTGACCTTTGACCCTTTCTGATAAGTGATTTAACTCAATCCGATGGTTCTTCCTGGCTAATTTCGTTTATTTATGGTTCTTACCTCGGCACAAATAGTTTATCGCCAAAATTCAATTCCTCATTTATTGCCTCATTTATCACTTTTTCGTTTATCGTTGATTATTAAATCGTTGATTTGTAATTTTTATAAGATCGTTTTCGAATTACAAAAACAATTCGATAAACTTGCTTAAATATCGAATGATAAAAGAATGGAATTTGAATCAAAAAATTCGAAAATGACAATGAAATATAAAAATGAAATTGAATTATCACTTGTAAAACAACGAAATAAGAAAGATGAAAGAGCGGCTGATAAGCGACAACAAGCAAAATGTTGGACGTATTATGTGGAAACACTTAAACGAACAATTGATTGTTTATATGAAATTTGTCGTTCGGAACAATCAATTATTGGTTGTAAGGTAGATAAATTTTATAAACTTTTTTTTTTAAATTTTATAAACTTTCTTCCTTATCTTATCATTTTATCGGACAATTTCTTTTCTCCAAGCATAATTTCTAATTTTACTTTCTGAATCTATTAATTGGTCATTTGGAATAAATCAAAAAATTCGAAAATGACAATGAAAAGTTTCCGGGTGCACTTCTCGTATTTTTTGCCTTGGTTAATGGAGTTATCTCTTCCGAAAGGCAACAATCTGAACTGTTTTACTTAGCCGAAAATTTTGCTCCAACGGCCCTTATATTAACGAATAAATGAGAATGATCTAGGGTGATAGAATGGCTTAGTGGGTTGTTGCTCAATTGGGAGCGCCGATGCTGAGGTTCGATTCCCCGCGGGAGTAAATCTGTACAAAAATCCGGGTGATGCCTGTGACTCACCTGTCTTTTTATCGCCAAGGGACTGCATGGCATATTGCCCAATGCGACAAGCCACTGGAGCGAGTTTAACCAGTAATGGTGAGGACTCTTAAAAAAAATTTATCATTTATCAAGTGCATTTGATGTATATATTTATTAGAAATAGTTGCATTATTTTGACATTAAACAATTAATTTATTAATTTATTAGAAAGCGTCATAGTCATATTTGTATTAGAAAAAATTTCATTTTTTCTTTCTTTCTTAAATGCAATCTATCTTTTTTTCACCATATTTTTTCCTCATAGTTATATTATTCTATATTATTTTAAAGAATCTAGAAGAATTAGTTTTTTCAGGAAGCATTAATGTATTTGGCGAATTCAGTTCGTGATTTCGAAGCATTGATTGAAACAATTAATGTTGAAGTTGCTTGGGAAGACAAAGTAAAGTTGGTTTTGTTCATTTTCATTTTCCCTTTTTTTTCTCAATCTCAGTAATGCTGCTTATTTTTATAGAAATTATTTTGCTTTATACTGCAAATTTGCATCCATTTGACTTATTTAAATACATCGGTTCTTTTATTTCTTTTATTTTATTCTTATTTATCAAAGTTATTTTGAAATTATGCATTAAGTTGAATGTTAGATTTGTAAGCTTATCTAATCTGTCATAAATTTCATAAATGCTCCAGTCGGAATCTTTTCTTCGCATTGTGCATAATTCAATAAACGCTATAGACTAACTTGTTTATTTAGAAATAATTGATATTGTGTGAAATATTACTATATTTGCTAGGCATTTTCTTGGTTGATTTTTAAATGAACTATAATAAGATTAGAAAGTAGAATGGTTATATTGCTTAGACTAGATCGCATTCGATTCTTATCACATGGCTGGAGTAAACCTGTTATTAATTATTACTGGAGTAAACCTGTTATTATTAAAAGTGAAATTCATATGATACTGGACAGCTTGCCATGTATATCTATCTCCAAGTATATCTTCGCTGATGAGATATTATCTAACAATCAGTATTGAAGAAGATTTAGAAGAAAAGGCAGGGACAGTGATGAATTAATTATAGATTCTAATTATAGATCAAGGCTATCATACTCGTAGCGAATTAATATGTCTAAATTATTTATTTTTTCCTTATGCACGTTCCAAGTTCATTGAAGCAAAATGAAACATTATTTTTTATCGTCAATAGTGAATAAATGATTTATTTCTATTCTAAAGAATTTTACGTATAAGAAATTTACTTCTCTCCCATTTTTATCTTGTTTTCGATTTATGATAAAATATGATTTTATAAATACGGCAGAATTTTTATGATAGAAACTAGCATTAAGGTGAGTTTATTATTTGGCAGTGAATAATCTTTTTTTATTGCTTTACTTTTTGGCATAGTCCAACCAATTAAATATATGAAACTTTGTTTATTTTGTTGCTTTTCCTTGAATTTGAATATTTCTAGAAGCATTGACTTTAATTTGTTGATTGTTGATTCATAAAAAATAAAAAGAAAAAAGTTTGATTTTTTTTGTTGTTTCAGGCCACATTCGGTTGCCTGGGAAATTCGAAAAACGATGTCAGCTACACTAAACAAATCAATTATGGAAGGTTCGCAAGATACTGATTCTTTAATTGACGTTTTGAAATTGTAAGTTTAAAAAGATTTGTTAAATTTGTTAAATTTATTATTTGCAAACTTCTTTTTTATAAAGAAAATAATTGAAAATATTAGGCTTTAATGAATTCGAGCAGCTCTTCTCGAACATTTATATTGAATCGTTTAATTTTATAATTATCTAATTTTTCATCTATTTTGTTGAATAATTTTGGTGAGCAAATTTTGGCTTATCGGACTGTTCATTATGGCGATTAAAATTTCTAAGTAATAGTTAAAATTTTTATACTTTGCAGTTTATTTTTATTCTCCATAAATTTTAATGGATTTCACGAAGTAGTTCTTATAAATAAAATATTACATTATTTTCAGTCCTTAATAGATTTTTTCGATAATTTTTGAAAATTTATAGAGAAGAAATTCCTTTTAAAAAAAAAATTCATGAAGACAATTTTGATGAAAATATGAAAAATTGTTTTCACTTTCATTTTTCCATTATTTTCCAAATATCTAAAATAATTTTTCCTTGTTAAAAAGCGTTTATATATAAAACAGTAAACTGAACAGTATTTCATTCAAAAAAATTTTTTGATTAGAGAATTATTGATCTTCAAAATTAGAGAATTATTGATCTTCAAAATCTGTAAAATATATAAATCATCTATTTATCTCTTTACTTTTTTTGAGAATTTTTTCATTTAAAATTTTTTATGTTTTTAAATTTTGCCTTTTTTTTCTGCTTGTTTTTGCGGCTAAAGTCTTAAGCGATTCTTTTCTGATGGTTTCTCCTATTAATATAAAAATTTAATTTTACTAGTCAAAGAATTTAAAAATAACAATATATATATTATATATTATTATTATATATTGTTAAAAAGATTATATATATTATAATATATATAAATCTTTTTTATTTAAAGTGAGTTTTTAAAATAAGATAACCATTATTATGAAATTATTTTATTTAAGAAATTTTCTAATAATAGTTAAAACTTTAATAGTTTATTTAATATTTAGGAATCTTATGAATATAGCATCCTTGATGAATTTGTTTCTTTAGGATTCTATGAAATTTTGGATTCTCTTAAAAAGTTCTTCTTTGCTCCCGATTTTTTAAAATATTGAACAGTTGGGAAATTTAAGTGATAGTTTTAATAAATTTTTATCTATAATTTCTGCAACTAATCTAGGCACTAATACTTTGTAAAATTTGTACTTTTACTTTATTTTTTAAGAGTGAAGAGTTGAGTTTTTTTTTTCCTCAATGTCTGGTTTAGCGTCTATAATTTGTAGACTTTCGCAACAACAAATCGATTGTCAATTTCAGTCTTCGGATGGCATTTTTTTTGTGTATTCATATGTTTTTTCGTTTTCTTTAGTGAGAAACTGAAGAGTCGTCCTCCTTTGTTTAGCTTATTTTAAAATTAATTTTAGAAAAACACTATTTGTTTTCGCCTAAACAATTCTTTGAGGATATATTGAATAGATAAGGTTAGATCGAGTGGAGTGGAATTTCGGCTGAGGTGAAATTATCGGAGGTTCGTATTCCTTGGAAGAGAATAACAATTAACTGATATGATATGTTCATTTAGTTTATATTGAATTCATCTATTTTGTTTTTTTTTTAGTATCTTTTAACCAAATAAATTAAATTCAATTGTATCATTGATTTTTTAAGAAAATATTTGTAAAATTTTCAAATTTTCAAATTTTTTAGTTTAATCAATGAATTTTTATTTAAAAAATTTATTTATTAAAAAATTATTATAAAATTGTTATTATTAAAAAATAATTTTAATAAAAGTGAATAAATAAATTTTATTAAAAATAAAATATGCAATAATATATAAGAGGAGGATTCGAATATTAATTGTGTTCGGTTAATAAGATAAATTTCGGTTCTTTCGTGATATTTGCTTATTGTCTTGCGTCTTGAATAGAAATTTTTGTCCTTCCTATTATTATTATTTTTCGACTCATTATTGTGAAAATCCCTTTTATGGTTCATAAATTCATAAAAATTTCTTTCATCTATCGATATCTTCTTCTTTCGTTACAAAAATTTTTTCTTTTCCTCTTTATCTTCCTTGATTTTATACGTTAAACTGAGAATAATAGAGGAGAATACATATGTTAAATTTGGGTAGAACGACAAAATTAATAGTAAATTGAATTAATGGTAGCTCGATTCACCGAAGGTCATTAGTATTTATTGAGTTTTAACTAAAATTCTATAAATACATTTGAGAGAATTGCATAAAGGTTGATGGTGAAATTAAGAGAATTTTTATGACTATTATTACAGAATGATATTATTATTATATTAAAATTATATTTTATTCGATTATTATTACAAAATTATCAGATTTTTATTAAAAAATTTTAGTTTTTTAATGATTTTCAACAAATTCATACTAATTAGTCATATTAAATGATAATTTATATAAAAGATTTGTAGTTTGGTTCTTAATGATTCTGAAGTTTTCCTCTCTCAGATTCCCTGTAAGCTATTCGGAATTATTGACGATCATCGTACATTTTTCTTTTTTATTTGGGTTGTTTCTTTCTATGAAAGATTTACTGTATTAGAAATAAAAATTAGGAAAATTTTCAAATATATTGCAGTATTTTTGGCTTCGAAGAGGCCCCGCCTTAAGAACCACATTATATATATAGTTTTAGTTTATAGTAACGATGCATCGTTGACATTATTGGTTTGTCGAATTTTATTGTGTTGAAACTGCAAAAGAAATCGAGACGTCCTTCTCAGCTGTTAAGATTTCTTTAGCATTTTCTCCTCTGCTGAAGAAGATTTTCATCAACATTTTCGAGCTACTACGAGTATTATTTTATGTATAATTTTTTATAGGCTAAATATTGTCGGGCAATTGCTATTTATTTATTAATAGTAATAACAATATTCCTTAATTTTTTCTCCTAAACCTAACGAGTAAAATCTATTTACAATAGTCTAAACGAATTTGCGTTGATTATTTATTATATTTGTTATGATCCTCTTGGGAATTTAATTAACATTTCTTATGAATTTAATTATAAATATATATTTACATTTGTGAGGAATTAATTTCCTCCCTTAAGCATATTTGGTTGTTGTTTATTATAAATGGATAAGTCGAATGGCGTTTTTTTTTTCAATTTTTCCAATTCTTTTTTTTTTCACTGAAATTTTCCAAAAATTATTAGTTTAATAATATTTTTTAAAATGGATTTTTTAAAAAATAAAAATTAATTAAAAAGAAGAGCAAAAAAGTCTTCTTTGCTATAGCGATTTTTTTCATCGCGACGGATGGCGATTGATGACAAAATAATGAATTATCGATTCCACAAATGGATTGTTTTCTTGCTAGCCAAATGTCCTTCATTTTATAAATTAGCTGGCCATTTTAAATATCGATTCTATTCTCTTCCAATAGACAATATCATTATTTCGTCCAAAATTAGCACAAAAAAAAGAAGGAATCTTCTAAGAAGACATTTGAATTTCTTTAAAACAGATTTTTTTAGCAGAGGAAAATTTTGAATGAATAAAAATTTTTTCTTTTTCTTTGGAAAATGAAAAATTTGGAGAACTTAAGAAGGAATTTGATCATAAAATTTTTCATTAAAATTTTCAGATTTATTATTCATGGTGATAGCGATGAAAGGATTTAAAATTAGATACGCTTCGAGTGAATTTTATCGTTAAATTCTTCTCGTTGCGATTTTAGAATGGAAAAAGAAAAAAAAAGCTGGGAAAAGGATGTACGATGACTAATCATAAAAATATTGTGTTAAATATAGGATGACGGAGGTTTTCGAGAAATAAAATTTTTCTTATCATTTATCATTATTATTCTCATTATTATTCTTATCATTTTTTATTGTATTCGAAATATTATCGTTAAAAGTTTAATTGAGAAGAGCTCGATTTTTTTCGTCGAATTTTGCTTACGGTTATTTCATTAGTTGTCTATTCATTTTTTTATTTTTCACACTTTTTGCTTTAAATTTTTACTAATATTTATTTGCAAAAATTTGGATTTGAATTCGCAAAAATAATTTTGCGAGAATGTTTTCTAATTTTAAATTTAATTCATTTAATAAATTGGAATTTTTTTTATGCAATAAATTTCTAAAAAAAATAAAATTTCTAAAATATTTTTTATTTTTGTTTCTTTTAATTTTTTAATTTCATTCTAAATTTGACGGAGATTTCATGATAGATTTGATAGATTTCATGTAAGGGAAAGAATTAAGGTTTTCCACATTTTTATATCGATAATCTTTTAAAATATTTTTACTGGAATATTACTGGAATAAATGAATAAATTATTGCAAATTTCTCATTTTTTTGCGTTAGGATCTTCATTTTTTCCGTCTTTGAAGAAATTTTTTTTAGCTTATTAAATGGAATTATTATGACGTGGACGTGGCTGATTCCGTCGCTGATTTCTTTAAATTTTATTTTATTTAATTTTATTTAATTTATCAATTATTTAATGAATTAACTAATTAATAATCAATAAATAATCAATTTATTTAATAAATTTATTTATTGTATTTAATTTTATTTAATTTCCGAAATTTATGTCCAAAATTCATAATTTTTAATAAAATTGATATTCCATGATAATAAAAAGTTTTTATAAAATTGGTTGAAATAAATTTCGCAAATGAAGTAAAATACTTCATTTTTGTTAAAATGCCGTGTCAATGAATTATTTAATGTTTTTTTGTGGAAATATTTCGTTAGATTTATTTTAGATCGCCAGTTTTGGTTTGCGAAGCTGTAACAAATGCTCAGTTGCAAGCTAGCTTGAATAACGCGATTGAATGTTCTGAAGATAAAGAAAACCAGCAAAAAAGATTTCCAATTATGGATAAACGTAAGTTTTTTATTAATGAAAAGAGGAAACAATTTGAAATAAATGACCGATTTTTATTAAATATTGATATATTATCAGTTTTAATCAGTTTTAATTATTGTTCATTTTTAAGTAGCATTTTAATCTCTAAATTGTTCACGAAATTTGATTTGCTCATGAAGGAAATAATTTTTGAAACGAAATAAATTTGAGTAATTTTGAGAATACTTTCATAGAATTTAATTTTTCTTTTTTTTTATCGGCTACTGTATATGTAAAAATTTCATTGCAATGTGAGATATACTGCATCGTATAAAAATCTTTTTTTTTTTATTTTCAGAAGAAATTTTAGTCGATGAAGGATGGAGGTTAGTCACAACTCGAAGTAAAAGGCGGAAAAGTGGTAGTGGTTATTCAGCCGAATCAAGTGACAAGCAATTAAATAAAAATGAGCAATTAATGGTTATCTTGAACCTTTTACTTTTTTTTGTCTGCGTATTTAATATTTAGTGAATGAAAAACATTTTGGAGAAATACTAATTGCTAATCTTTATACATTATTGAAATTGATTCAGCAAAAACGTTCAACGATGAATGTCTATGAACGTCTTGCAAGTGGTGTTTTACGACCACCAAATTTAACTCAGCGTACTGTCATACAATCTGACGAGGTGCCATCAGGTGGACGAGGTTTAATGTTTCCACGATGCGCAATGGATCTGCCACAAACAAAGGTATTTTCGAAATTTCAAAATTGAAATAGATTTGAAATATAAATTTTTTTAATTTATAGAAATATAAAAATTAATTTGTAAAAATTTAAAAAAATGTAAATATAATAGAAATGTAATAGAATGTAAATGTAATAGAAATTTTTTTGATTTTTGGTATTTTTCTGTAAAGGATTAAGGAAGGAATATGTTTATGTTTATATTTTATATTTTGCTGAAGAAACGATTTTGATCTAATTGATTCATAAAAAAGAAAGAAAAATTTTGAGAAAATATTTTTTCATTTCTTTAAATTTATCAATATTTAGGCATCAATGGCTAAGATTGCATATAGCCGACAGCTTCTGTGGAAGAAACATCAATCATTGCTTGTAGAAAAGTTGCAAAAACGTCGTCGGCGAGATTTTCAGTATTCTCGAAAAACTGTTTCTGTACCATCGTTATCAGCCATTAATTTCGCTGATCCTATAGCAGTAAAGCGCAGCGCAGAAGCATTTAAAAGTCGGCAGGTAATTTTAAATATCTATATTGATCCTATTATTTTCATTATTCTGAGGTTCTCCACCACTTATTTTCACCAGCCCTATTAATATAAGTGATAAAATCTTTATTTTACTACATTTATATCATAAGTCAGCTTATTAATATAAATGTGCGTAAGAATTATATTGCTATAGTTAAACTCTGAAATTTACGAGGCTGAATAAAAATATTAAAGTTGTGCATTCATTTCGGATATATTCATAAAGCTTTTTTCAATCGTTCAGTTTTTTATTTAAATTATGTAAAATAAAGCAAATAATTAAATTATTTTTGCATTCTTTTTAATCTGTTTTTTTTCTTTCGTTACTATAGTGTTAGTTTCAAATCTGATTAATTAATCTGCTTGAATTCTAACCATTTTTCTTAATTTCCGAGGTCTTGATTTTTTTAATTTTTAGAAAGTAAATCGATTAGCGACTTCGAAAATTTCAATCAGTCATGATAAGGAACAAAAGGATTTTGAAAGTATTGAAGTAATCTTTGAAATCATAAAAAGTCATAAAAATTCTATTCTAATCCTAAAAAAACACGAGCTTCCTCTTTTTTTTGTTCAAGATATTAAAAAGATTTTCGAACTGATTTTTTCCCATGTTTTTTTAGGAAGTCCTTATTGAGAGTGAAGACGATCGTGAAAATCATTGTGGGCAAAATAAATGCTTACCAACAGAAAAATGTAGTAGGTACAGATTTTAACTATTTTTTAATATGTTATAGCAAATTTTCAATAATTAAATATAATATTAGAAATTTAAGGTCTGAACCTCCACCTAATTTTTCATTCTTACCCGACGGTATGGATGCGGATGACGAGTGGCGAGCAATGACCGAAGAAGAAAATTCCCTTGTTCAAGAGGAGCAAAGCTTGAAAAAAGAAATTGAAGAGGTTTGTGAATTAACTTTTTTTTCGCTACATAATTTATATTTATTTATTTTACTTATTCATTTTTTATTTTCAAGAATATTTTGTGGTAAAATAATTTATAATTCACAATTTATATTTACAATTTGATAGGAAGAAAATCTTTCAATTGATGCAGAATTGGAACGTCAGGTATCGAATGAAGCTGCAGCTGTCGAGGAAATGGAGGTTTTTATTTTATTCTCATTCCATTTCACTTTACGTATTTCCAATGTTGAATATTTTTGCTCGATTTGCTAAATTGCTTGTGCGTTTTTGAATAAAGCATCAATATCAATATGTTTATAAAAAAAACCAGTACCATTAAAGAGAATGGAGGAAACGAAAGCTGAAAAAAAGATTACATTGGTCACATGGCAAGATGTTATCAACAACTGGAAAAGTAAATTTAAAGTTCTTTAATTGTCGCTAATATTTTTAAATTTCATTTTGATTTTTTCATTAATTTTGTTGTTCAGAAGAAATGGAAAAATATGCTTCAATAAGTTGGAGTGAAATAGTAGAACGAGAAATAACTCATTATCGAAAACCCGGTGAACTGGCGCAAATTCACGAAAAGTTGTCATCACCTAGCAGAAAAAGGTAGGCAGTCGATTCTTTCCGGGATTAATTTGTTTTAAACATAATAATTCTCAATTTTATCGAATTATGAGTGGCTGAAGTAAAGCAAAATTATTCTAATCTTAAGACACAAAGAGTTTCATTTGTTTTTATAAAAATTTTGATAAGTTATAAATATCAATATTTTAATATCTTAAATTATATTTCTATAGGAATCTAGAAAATGCCACTAAAAAACAAGAAGAGAGACAACAAAGAGCCGAAGAATTGAGGCAAAAATTGCAGGAAGAAAAAGCAAATCGTTTGAAAGATTTATCGAACAAAGTAAGTTTTTTTGTAGGGTTGAAGGACATACTATCGTTGTTTAGGAATATGTTGCATGAATCAAAGATAACATTATTAGACCAATAGTGTTGAAAGATGTTTTTTAGCTGTTAAATTCCTTGTTCGATAAATCTTTTAATTTTTAATTTAATTTTTAATTTAATTTAATTTAATTTTTCTTCTTTTCTTTATATCTTTCTTTATTCTTATATTCTTTTTTTTTCATTCAATTTATTAGAAAATTTCCAATATTAACATTATATTTGTCCATATTTCTTCACAAATTTTGGTTTTTCTATACAGTAATTACAGCTATCGTTTATTAAATAATTATCTTTGGCTATATTTCTATAAGTTCATAGCTAATTAATAATTAGAAAATAATTTTAAAAAAAATATTTTAATAGTAATATGAATCTTGTATAAATCGAGAAATTAGAATCGTAAAGAATTTTTCAAAGTTTACACGAATATTATTTGAGTACATCTTATTTATTTTCAGGTTGAAGAAGTACGTCGTAAACGTGAATTACTTTTTGAACGTAAAAAGGAACATTTACAAAAGCGGATGGCAAAAGCCGAAGAGAATCGTCAGAAAAGTCTTGATGAGATAGTAAAAAAAGCTCGTGATGATGATGTGAAAGTCATGGAAATTCAATTTATAAATGCACTCGAAGCGGATAATATGCGTTATGACGTAATGGCAAGAAATCAAGAATGGGAACAACGCATGCAAACATTGGCTGAAGAGAGAGCAAAGAAAAATGGTGAAAAGGCAGCCAAGGAAAGTGCTGCTGAAGAACGTAGACGAAACGCGGAAATCGTAAGAATTTTTTAATGTCGAAATCTTTTGTCTAAAAATTTTTAAAATCCATTAAAATCCATTTTATATAATCCATGACTTCGCATTAAAATTTTTTTTAAATTTTGTTTGGTAAATTGTTAGTAAAAAGAAAATGCGACTGAAATTTTACGATTCGCAACTTTATCGTGGGCATTCTAAAGTTTTTTGCAGCAACGCACTGAGAAATTGCTAGAGAAGCGTGCGCGAAAAGCGCAGTGCGAAGTACAGCGTTTAGAGCAAGAACGTGAACGAGTAACTGCCGTTAAGAAGAAGCAACAGTACTTTTTTTATTTTTTATATATGATACTTCTTTCTTTCCATTTTATACTTCTTCCCATCTAAAAAATGGCTTGGCTAAGTCCTTTTTGCATTTGGCTATTTTAGCGGGCTTTATTCTGTTTTGCTGTTTTAAAATACAGAGATTCATAATTTATCATTTTCTTTAATTCCTTATCGCCTTTCAGCATGCATAAGAATTTTCAGAGAGGTCAGCGAGCGCGTTGCAGAAAAAAAAGCAATTGAGGCCGCTGAAAATGAAAAGCTGAGGCAAAAAATTCAACGAAAGGTGGTTTTTTTTACATTACTATTTTTTGCATCACTATTATTATTGTTATTATTATTTTTAATATTATACTGTCATGTTTCGTTACAGAATAATTTAATAATCGTGCTTCTAGTTCTTTGCTAGTTCCTTCCAAGCCAAAAAAATTTATGCAAAATTTAATAAACTAGTAAAAATTGAATGTCTTTAAATTTTTAAAACTTTAGCAAGAAGAAACGAGACGTCGATACGAGAATGCATTGATTCATGTAAAACAGAGAGCGGTGGAATTAAGTAGTCCACGGCCATTCGATTCGCTGTCCAATATTGCTGATTTCTGTCATTTATTGTCGGAAGAACCATATGTGAATGGTGTTGTTGCTGCTGCTTATAAAAGTTGCAAAATTTGCGATGTTCAAGTATTTGCATTTAAAAATTGAGAAGAATACATAACCTATTGTTATATGCCTTTTCATGCTTATTATTTGTTTCCTTAGCTTTTTTTTTACGTGCATTGCTAGGTTTTAATTCGAGAAATAAAATAACTTTTAGTCTTTATAGGTGAAAAGTGATCTGGATTTAATGGCACATTTACTATCTTCTTGTCATTTATCAAAGAAAAATATGGATATTATGAATGTCACGAACGAAATTTTGGTTTACTTCTTTTTTTAATTTCTGAATATTTTTCGGATGATTTATGTAATCTTCAATTATTTCAAGAACTGAGTTATTTTTCAGAAGTCTGATCTAGAAAATTGCATAATCAATGTTGATATGGAGGATTATCAATGCACGAGTATTGGACTAAATGATGATTCGCCTAAATCATCAACTGGCATAAAAAAACGACGTAATCGTATAAGGCAAAAATTAATTACGAAGTATGCTTAGTGTTCTACGTTTATTTTTGAATTTTTTCATCGTGACTTTGCAGTTTTTGCCAAATCTTTTGCTATAAATAATTCTTTTATAAATTCAGATAAATTTGGATTTTCTTATAGTTAAGTTGCAATTGTAGATCAAAAATTTATGAATCATTAATCAATCGATCAAATGATCTTGAATCATTTCTTGTTGGCACTGAAAAAACCAGGTTTTTTTTTCTTAACGTTGAAAAATGATTTTGTGATTTGAATAATAATCTAGGAAATCAGTAAGAATGAAATCAAATGAAAATTTCTAGTGCCGATCGTTGTATCCGAGAAATTTCGAAAATTTTGAAGGAAACATTACAAGAGGTATTTATTCAAGAATGCTGCAATGGTATAGTGCAAAATAACTGTATTGGCAAATCGTTACCGTCATCGAGTGTTCATACTCTCGAAAGGAATTTTTCTGATCTGTTGAAAACTTTTCATGAGGCTACTTTGGTGATTTTTTTTTATCTATTTTCATCTGAATTTGTTATCGTTGTTCTTTTCGTTTTTTATTTTTTAATTATTTCTTGATTTTTATTTATGTATGGTATTAAAGGAAAAGCGAAATGCAATGATCAAAAGTATATGGAATGCTGGTTTAATTGATACTTTTTTGGCACTAATTTCATGCTGCTCTTCCGGTGAAACAATCATACCTTCAAGGTTTTTATTTTTTTGCATTTTATTGCATATTTTGTGTTTCAGTGTAATATCACTATTTACGTCAATAATTTAGAACTTATTGCAAAGTGGTATCGATTTTAACCGATTTATTGGAAAATGTTCATGTTTTCCTGAGGATTTTCTACAGCAATCGCATTTTAGTGCTTATTGATGCATGTAGTATCAAATTAAAGGTCTGTACGATATTTTTAATGAAGTGGTCGTTTATTCTTTTCGGAATCCATGCGATAATTTGAAATATCATAGTTATAATTATATCATGGTTTAAATATTTTACATGGTTTTTGCGTAGCTTAGATTGGGATTTCTTCATAAGAAACGGTCGATTGTTTATTAATTTTTGCAAATTTTTAGCTATTAATAGCGCGAGTACAAGGCTCCGAGCAAGTGAAAACCATCGCTTTAGGCGATTCTTGTAATCGTTTCTTAATTGAATGTTATTTATTGCATATTCTTCTTGGGCGTTTATTTAAATTACTCCCTTTTATGAAATGTTCTTTATCGTTGAAAAATTTTCTTGAAGATGGAGAAAACGAGCTGGACCGAGCGAAGTTAATTATGTCGTATGTTTTAAGTTTTTTTTAAAATTTTTCAAGTTAGTTTTATTCGATTTTCTAAGGAAATTCTGAAAATAATTTGTTCTTTTTGCTTATACCCGGATATTTATGGTGTAGTCAGTAATCAGTTATTACAAACATAACTATCAATCTTACCAATCTTTTTATTTTAGTTTGCTTGCAACAAATGGCTTCGGGCATTCATTTGCTTTTTTCATTGAACAAACGGGTATTTCTTCTTATTTACCATGGTTATTACAATTGGACAGCGATATTGTTGTTGTGCCGTATACATTTTTTACTCAAATTATTCTTAATTTTGTTGAAGTTTGTTCATTATATGGAATAAAAAGGTTGGAATTTTAAATATGCTATTTTTTCACAATATTTTTATTTCTTTTTAAATATTTATATAAGAAGTTCCATAATAATGCAATGCATAATATAATTTCATTTAATATATAACATATATATATATATAATTTTTTAAAGTGCAATTCGAAGATTTTCACAAATTTATAACCATTTATCTTTTTCTTATTCAGTTTATTTCATCTTTCAGCGAAATTTAAAATGCTTTCCATGCTATGTTTTTTACTCGCGATTCATTTGTGGTTACCAAAAAAAAAGCTATTTTTGTGGATTATATTCATAATTTTTTTCTTTTCAGCTATCGGGAATCTTCTCCGGATTCAGTATGTGGTGATACTTCGGAAAAGAATATTTCTCTTATCGCGTAGGTTTTTAGAATCATTTATTTTGGTATCATTTCATTCTTTTCTTATACTCGTTTATAAAAGAGAAAAAGAAAAGAACTATTATAAATAAAGTTTCATTAAGAAGTCTTGTCGAGCCAACTTTGCGACGCCTTATTTGCCGAATTTATTCGATGCTTGCTTTGGAGAGTGCTTGTGAATCAAATTCGTCCACTACACACGCTAGCATATCAGCGAAATCAGTTATCAGCCAGCGAGATGAATTTGATCCTTTCCAGCAACTTGTTTTATCATTCAGTCGACTTTGGTGTGTTCTTGTTAGGCATGATCCAACTGAAGCTAAGGTTAAATTCGTCTTTTTTTTACATTTTTATTTGGTTATTATCAGGCAGTATGTATGAGTTATTATATTGGAAATCTGAAAATGGGAATAGGAAGTTCTAGCGTTAGAAAATAAATTGTGGTATTTCGAGATGCATAAATATTTTTTGCTACAAGATTATCATTTATTTGTTGTAATTAAATTAGTGTTAAATGAAAATAGTAAATGAATCGTTTCAGAGTTGTATCTTGGATAATTCATTGTCACTTCGAATGGTGCAAATTTGGGCCCATCTTCTAGCACAAGCGGAAAAAAATTTACAGTCATTGACTAGTGGAACATTGAAGAAATCCGAAAAGCAGAAATTCACAGAGTCTTTACATCTTTTGATTTTTGCAATTGGTTATTTTGCTAGTGTGCATCCTCATGCCCAAGTAAGGAATTTGGTAGATAGAGAAGTAACGACAATTTAATCTTTATTTTCCTTAATCAGAATATTTTTAGATCATGTGTGTGCTTGGTTGGCAGCGCTCATTATTGACATATCTGTGTTCCTTGCCATTTGTTTATTTTTCAAACAGCGCTCTAACAGCAATTTTAATGCCGACATTAATTGCAATTTGCTTTCAAAATAAACTTGCAGTTGATTTAATAAAGCCAACACTTAGTACCAAAGTGTTCGAAACTTTTCTTAAGGTTGTAGGTTTTTTAAAATTGTTTACAATTTCCCATTGTTGTTGTTAATTTTCTAAAATTTATGAAGAAAAACTTTAGTTATGTAGATTAATTTACCAAGTCTTCTTTTCTATACTTTTGGTCAAACATCATAGGGAGTGAAATCAAATACTGGAAGAATAATAATAAAGAAATTGTTTCAGGATGCAGACTTTGCTACCATCCCTGAGAATATGCGTTTTCCGAAGAAAATTTGGCCAGAGGCTATTATTTATTTTCAGGCCGTTTAAAATGTGATATGATTTCTATTTTAATTGTATTTTCATAATGTACTTCATTATTTATATTTCATTATTATTTTTATGTAATGTATGTTTACGGCGGTATCATTTTTTTTAAAGAGCATTATTGGTTACCTAAATATGTTAAATATATTCTTTTGGCGATAGAAATACTAGTCACCAGATTTTTGGATAGTTTTACCGATATCTCAGCATCGGCGCTCTGAATTTCCCAATAACATAATCTCCTTCGTTTTTCTCAGCTCAATGGAGAGTGGTCAGTCCGGATTCAAGTGTCGATTCTTGTTGATAGGCAATTATCTTGCCTCTTGCCACGATCTTATTATTTAAAAAGATTTGAATCCCACTTGAAAATAGTCTAAAATTTTAGCAAATTTCATGGTTTATTCTCTCGAGCTTTTTTTCTTCCACCTTTACGGTTCTAAGTTAAATTAATATATAAGATTAATATGTAAAATTCTTTCACTTAAAGTGTTCCAAAAGTGTTTTGATTATTATTTTGTGGTCATTTTTTATTTATTCCTTTCAAATTCTATAGTTATCATTGCGTAAAAATAATTATTGTGTAACATAAATCACACATTAAAATCATTTTATTTTATTGATTTCTGGTCTTTTATTGAATTATTTGATTATTTGTTAGAATATTATTAGGATTCATTTCGAAATTCGATTATTTTATTGGCATTTACTATGGGCATTTTTAATAATTTATAGTTTTCTGATATTTTATTGCTTTATTTTAATGAATATTACAAAAAAACGTTTAGAGTTTTGCGTAGTATTAAGGAAAGAAAGAAAGAAAACTTGGCGAGTGAACACAAAAAATGAAACGAGAAATAGTTCTTCAGTTAACGATGGAAAAGGTGGATTTTGTAAGATGAAACTGGGGAGAGCCTCCGTCACTTCCGATGAAAAAAGAATTCATGAGTGGCGCATTAAACGACATTACACATATCGATTCTGATGGATTCTGCATGGGAAACCTTAGGCGAGTAGAGTAGTGAGGTAATTAGAAAATAGGAATCGCGTTCAACGGTGAATTACAATTTGCGTTTCATAAAATGCGAGTTAAATTAATTGGTGCAACGTCGGTGAATCGCCTATCGTACGATGCGATAAGAAATTTTTTTTAGCAAATTTGTAACCGATGAACGATATAAATTTATTTGCGTTTACTTAAGATAAATCGTTATCATTGAGTATTCATTCAAAAATTATCCAAATTATCTTTCTTTATCATTGGGTTTTATCAAATTATTAGAACTTATCAAATTAATTTGTGATTAATTGATATTTATTTTTTTTATTTTTGTTTTTTTTTAATTTTCGAAAATTTATCAATTTTATTAATATTTGTATAAAAAGTTGAACTATAAATTGTATATTCTATTTGCGCTTCTATTCTTTTTTCTTAACTAATTTAAAATTTGTTTGAATTCATATTTTATTTCAAAAATGATGCTTTTTACGTGGAATATTTCATCAGCTTCTTTATCAGTTTATCAATCAAATAACAAATTATAGCTATCAACATTTTATGATTCTTTTTCAGCGAATCAGTTTACTATTATCAGTTATCATTCATCTATACATCATCATTTGAAATCCATTCATTATTATTAGCATTTGCATAGATTAATAGTTTAATAAATTTTTTCTGCGATGAATCGGTTTCCAAGTCTTCCTCAATAGAAAAGAAATGCGTATATTATGCTTCTATTATGTTCAGAATGGTACTTCTATTTTGTTAGATAACAAATATTTCCCAGTTCAAGACGTATAGCTGGCTATTCACGAATAAGTGGATAGGAAAAAAAAGTGTGATCGAGCAAATGGATCAGTATAAGCGAGTACCAGTTAACGTTTCCAATAGTGATGGTTTGATAAAAGTGGGATGTTAGTGAAACAGGTTGTTTGTTTTGTTATTTGGTGAAATATTCTTTTTCCTCAAACAACTCTCAGTATTACTGGTTTGGCTCTGCTGGCATGGTAAGGATCTCTAAGCTGCTTGGTCCGACGCCTATCGTTAGTAGTAATAGAAGCCATTCCTTTTTCCATCGTCTAAGTCCATATATCGCTGGTCCTTCTATACGTTCAAAATTTTTCCTGTTTATATGAGGCCAGGTCTTGACTAGCCCTCTTCGCTTTTGACGCCAATCATCATAGGGTTTAGCAAGTAACGAAATATGCGTCAACTCCTGTGGTGAACGACAGAGAACGTGTTTTAACCAGCAAAGGCGATATCATTATTAATACAGGTGGTATTTGAGCAAAGATGGATGCAATCATGTGCGATTTTGTCCGCTCAACGGATCCGTAAAATTTTGGACACGAATAGTCAACGGCTGATAGCTTCTTTGGAAAACTAGTATTTGGTGAAGTATTAAGCTGAATTAGCCAGAAATTATTTGGATTTCCAGTTAATCTTTTCTTTTTTAAGCTTATCAAAATAAATCTTTTATACAAAATCGAAGAAGAATTTATAAACTATAAATTTATAGTTTATAAATTAAAATATTAACTAAAATATAGGGTGCAATATTTTATATTATTTTTTATATATTTTGAGAAGTACGAGTGCATTCTTGGCTTTGGCAATTTGAGAAGTACGAGTGCATTCTTGGCTTTGACTAGAGAATCAATCCTAATTAGAAATTTTCATTTCGTTTATCAATTTCTTTTCTGATAATTTTGTCGATAAATTATAAATAATTTATATTAAAACACCTTTCAAAATAAACTCGAATTCGTGCTGAGCGAGGCAAATTTTATTTGATCAGCGACACACACCAAATAGTTTATACAATAGATATTGTTAAATATTATCATTTGCTATCACCTAAAATCCGATCCTTGTCGACCATAAAAAACTATTTTTAATATAATTTTATATTTTTTATGACTAATTTACTGATAAAAATTGGCCATTTCTATGATGGAAACAATGGTTTAATGGTGTAATTTTGTAATTCGCATTTGCACATTTGCTGATTATGACATTCCGGCTTATCATTCATTTGTGACTTATTGGCTTCTAAGCGCTATTTTTAGTTTTCAGCAAATTCCTGATGATTACGCTTTAATAAAGCGAATTAGAGAAATCGAATGGTACTTTTGGAGTTGTAGGAAAATATTTTAGCGTTTACTGTTTATGCAGTTTGTTTTAATTAAGGAGAGTGTTAAAGCGATAATAACAATTCGCCATATTGCGACGTTCAAATGTCAAAGGCTGAAAATTTCGGATATTTTCCAGAGAGAGAAGGCAAGTCGGTTCTTTATTAATGAAGAGAGGATGAAATAAAGGCAAAGTAGCATTATCATATCATATCTGATAATGATAAAACGACGCGAAAAACTCTATGAATCTCTTAATCCCCTTTCGCCTCTAAAATCTCTTCTACTTCACGTAGAAAATTAAATCTGCTAGAAGTGAATTCCCACGGGAAATTTTGATAATTTCACGTATTTTAGTTAATAATCGTAAAAAAATTTCACGTATTTTAGTTAATAATCGTAAAAAAATATTTCCGTGGGAATAATTGATTGAGGAGGAGAAAAAATGGCTACGAAATTAGATAAATGAACTCTTCTTGTATTCCATATCAAATGACCCACGTATCAAATGACGTGGAAATAAGCGATTTAAGTAAGATCGACTGCCTTTTTTCGTACGAGCGGCCACACTTTTTTCGAGTTGTACCGCTATTTCGCCTAAGGCTTATTTGCGTTGTATTTTTTGAAATCTTCCGTTGAAATTTATTTGTTTTTTGGGTTGTGGGTTCTTGCGGGTTTCAGATCAATGGGTCGATTGTTTAAATCAGAATTAAATGTTTTCTCTTATTTCTTGCGATCGTTTAATTTGAATTTATTTAATTTAGTAAAATTTTGATTTATTGTTAAATTATATTTCAGATTTTTATCGTTGTGATTATTATTTCCTTTTTTTATGGTTCAAATTATAAACGAATTAGCAAAAAGTAAAAACAAAATGTCCGATGTTAAACCACCATTTCGCATTGGTTGGTGATTCGTTTTTTTCCTTTTTTTTTTTTTGTTTGAACAAATTTAAATATTTTATAATTTGATTTTAAAAAATACAACAATGAAATTGTTTATAAAAACCGCGGTCCTTATGGTCTGATCGATTCATTTATTCGCGTTAGTTAATTTAATGAATTCTTTTTTTTTTGTGAATTCTTTGTTAATTAGAATGATTCAAATTGCTAGAGAAAGACTCAAATTCAAGGTTTAACTTCCAATTAGGAGCCTTTTGCGGGGTTTCGTTTAGAGACCTTTTGCGGGGTTTTGTTTATAAATAGATTTATTGCTATCAAATCAGTGAATCAAAATTTTATTGCAGAAATAAAGTACCAATCATTTGTCCTTATTCTATGATCGACAATTATTTTTAAATTGAATTGAATTGAACTGAATTGATTTCTCGTGATATTTTACGATTAAACTGAGATTGATAGAAACTGATGATATCTGATAATAGTGATCTGAGCACCATTCGACTTTACTGCCTTTCAAATTTACTACTTCATTACATTTGATTTTATATTTGTTTTTATAATGAAATATTAAGTATTAAATTAAAATTATTAAAAATTTAAATATTAAGTATTAAATTAAAATTATTTTTAATTCCTTCAGCTGATATAAAACTCGCCGAATTTGGTCGTAAGGAAATTAAATTGGCAGAAGAAGAAATGCCTGGATTGATGGCGATGCGTGCTAAATATGGTCCTAAAAAGCCACTAAAAGGTGCAAGAATTGCTGGTTGTCTTCATATGACGATACAAACCGCAGTTTTGATTGAAACACTCATTGAGCTTGGCGCAGAAGTTAGATCATCTTTGATTTACGAAATTTCTCTCTGTATTTGAAAATTTATAAGGTTTTTTATGCATTCCTTTTTTATTACCTCGCATTATTTCATTTTACTTGAAATTTGCAAATTTTAATTCAGAAAGAATTTAAATATTGTAGAAATACTTTATTTGGTTAGGACTATATTTCATTTTAATGAAATGCTGTTTTAAAAAAGTATGACATAGTATGGAAATCACTGTCTAATCAAGTAATTTTTAAGGTGCAGTGGTCTTCCTGCAATATCTTCTCCACGCAGGACCATGCAGCAGCAGCAATTGCTGCTACAGGCGTTCCAGTTTATGCATGGAAAGGTGAGACAGAAGATGAGTATGAGTGGTGTATTGAACAGGTATTTTCTTTCTTCACATTGGTGTTGAAATATTTTTTTGGGTATTTTTAATTCAATATTCGTAACGCTAATTATTTAAAAATATTTTTAAAATATTAAATAATAAATATTAAATATAGATGTTTTTATAAAATATTTTTTCAATTTTCACAAAATTTCTCAATTATCCAATTTTATCCAGTTTTTATCTTAAATTTGGTATTTAGACATTGGTATTTAAAGATGGCAAACCTTTGAATATGATTCTCGACGACGGAGGTGATCTAACTAACTTTGTCCATGAAAGGTATCCTCAATATTTGGATGGTATTTATGGACTGAGTGAGGAAACCACGACAGGGGTGCATAATTTGGTACGAATGCATTCGAAAGGAAAATTGAAGGTGTGCTTACTATACATTGTGTTTTTTCTGATATTTGTTGATTATTTTTAATTCTTTTTATTTTATCTATCCTTTTTTTTATTATTTTGTTTTTTGTGCATTTGGGGAGTTAATAAATTATTTTAAGATACCAGCTATTAATGTAAATGATAGTGTAACGAAATCTAAATTCGATAATTTGTATGGAATTCGCGAATCATTGCCCGATGGAATTAAAAGGGCCACGGATATAATGGTAGCAGGCAAAGTGGCTGTTGTTTGTGGTTTTGGTGATGTTGGTAAAGGTTCTGCTGCATCTCTTCGAGCTTTTGGTGCTCGAGTGATCGTTACGGAAATCGACCCCATCAATGCCCTTCAAGCTGCCATGGAAGGTTCTATTTAATTCTTTTAATTTAATTTATTTAATTGAATTTTTAATGTTTCGTTTCTCATTTTAGAATTTTGTATTGAATGTATGAGATAACCATTATTTTCTGGATAGCTTATTCTTAAGCAATTCTAGGTTATGAGGTTAAGAGATTGGAGGATGTTGCCAAAATCGCCCAGATTGTGGTAACAACAACCGGTTGTAAAGATGTTGTACGAGGTGAACATATGACTGAATTTCCTAATGACTGTATAGTTTGCAATGTTGGACATTTCGATGTTGAAATTGACGTTAAATGGCTGAATTCGAACGCAGTATCTAGTGATAGCATTAAACCACAAGTAACTTATATTTCTTTGTTTATTTCAGCGGCAATTATAATGCGAACGGAATAGTAATGAAATCAAATGTTTTAAAAAAGTGAAAAATTTGACTGGTACTAAAAGAGAGATGAATATTTTTTCATACTATCATGTTATGTATTTGAAAATTGAAATATAGTGAAAAATTGGCCACATCCCAATTTACATTCTTTTTTCTATTAATATTGTACTTTGCTATAAATATTTAAGGTCGATCGGTATTTGTTAAAGAATGGTCGTCACATAATTTTGTTGGCAGAAGGGCGACTTTGCAATCTAGGATGTGCTACTGGTCATCCTTCATTTGTTATGAGCAACTCATTTACTAATCAAGTACTAAAGATTTCTCTCTTCGATCAGAAAAATTGCCTAAGGTGATTCTTTCAGTATTCATTTTAAATTTCAGGTTCTTGCACAAATAGATCTGTTTACAAAGCATGGAACTCCGCAACAGTATAAAATCGGTGTACATGTATTACCGAAAACATTGGATGAAGAAGTCGCTCGTCTACATTTGGATAAACTAGGCGTGCAGTTAACTAGATTGACTGAAGATCAAGCAAATTATCTTGGCATACCAGTTGACGGACCATACAAACCAGATCATTATCGTTACTAATGAAGCTAAATCTTCATTCAGTTTCTTTTCTCTTGTTTGTTTGGTTTGGGTTTGACCTTTGGCTTTGGTTTTATTTACATTGTGTTGGGACCGGAAAAATATATTTGTAAATGCGATAATATTTAAAAATTATTTTGAGTGAATACCAAGAAATTTTGACAGACCTGATTTCGGTTTCTATTTTGGCTTTTACATATATAATAATAATATATAATAAAATGTTTTCCACATCTCATGGTTTTCCATTATTTAATATCTTTTATTTAATAGAATAAAAGATAAAACAATTTCACCAGAAAAACACGAATAATAAACAGAAAAAATAAAAACATTTCTACAGAAAATAATTTCTCGTCAGCTGATGTAAAGTTAATATAAAAGTATATATACAAAAAATCAACTGATCAAGATATATTACATAAATAAATTAATCAATGAATCGAAATCGATCGCTAAGAATTTTATATTTGTCATCATCCATTGAAAGTATAAATGTTTGCGTAAATGCATGTACCATCGCTCCAAGTATAACTGTTCCAACACATAAAACTACCAATGGTTTCGAATCATTGGTAATATCTTCCAGTGCGTGGCAATCAATCGAAGATAATCTAAGATAAGATAAGATAATCTAATCGAAGATAAGATAAGATAAAAAAATATTCTTTCAAAAATATATTCAAAAATCATATTCATATATTCCATATATCATGCGAAAATGAAGAGTAAATTTCCTCAATTTTTGACGAAAAAATTTATGACACTTCATGATCTCTGATCCCTGATTTTTATGAAATATAAACTATTGGTTTCCTGGACAAAACAAAAAAAAAACCAAATAAGAGCTAACGTATGACTGGAATTAGGCAAAGATTCCCAAAATTTAGCAATTTCTTCGGCTCCTTGAATCAGTTGACCATTCCAAACAAGTTGAGCATCTTGAACATATAAAAAATTCATCTTATTACGCTTTCGATCTTGTGCGTCATAATAAAGTTTAGTGAAACGATCAGCTGCACTGCATGCTGTTCCATCTTCAACAGCAGTAATCGGCATTTGAGAACTTAAAAAATCACATTTAGTAATAAATGAATAAATTAATCGATTTAATTCGCAGTGAATAATTTTTGTTTCTTGTTTAATTTCTTCATTTCATTCTTAAATTACAAATCTTTTTTTCCTATTTCACAACTTATAAATATCGCATTAATCGTTATAAATATTGATTTACGACAGAATAATTCGAAATTCTTATTTACTATTCTAAACAATTCGCCTTAATTTACAAATTATTATATTCATTCAAATTCTTAAATTCATAATTTAAATAATAAAATCGAAATCATTTCGCATCGAATCAATTAAATGAAAATGATAAAATGATTTAATAAAAATTCAATAAAAAAAATAAAAATTTAATAAAAAAATAAAAAAACATAAACGTAACATAAAACATAAAAAACAAAATTATATTATTAATAATAAATCAGAGAGGTAAAAAATATTCGAATATTTATAAATATTAATAAAAATAAAAATAAAAATTTAATAATAAAAAATAGAACATCGTTCACCATTGAACAAGGAATTATTATAAATACTCGAATCAGATACAATTTTAAAAATCAATAAAACAAGAAAAAGGAGAAAACTTCAAGGAGCAAAATATGTCACCGCGCAAAAGCACCAAATGTCACCATTTTAAAAAAGAATTTCCCTCCTCTAGATAAAATTTTGAATTCGCCTTGGATCGATTCGGCAACGTTCCACTCCCAATCCTAAAACTCGATCTTCGCCTTCTCATATTGAAAGTTCGACACTTCACTAGTGAAATCAAATATTATAAAATTCAATTTTAAAATTTCTCTAATTCGTTAAACGTTCGCTTATCTAAGCTTAACCAGCAAATTTTTATTTTAATTATTTCTAATCATTTTAAAATGGCAATCATTGGAAAAAACATGGTATCAATAAAAAAAATATCAATAAAAAAAATATAAATAAGAAATAAAAATAAAACTATATCAATAGTACCACTGTTCTTTATTCAAAACCTTTTTATAAAGCCAAATTTTGAAACTTTTCCTTTCCTATAAAATAATTGCAATGATAATTGGAGCACTTGAAAAAATGGCTTCATTAGATTCAGTAAATTCGAGTAGTAGTGGTTGTGCTCATCATTTTTCACTATTAAGCTGGCTCCACTGGTTGTTAACACGGTGAGCAGAATTGCTAGAAGGAGCCACTTGGAAATACATCCTCAGCATCATCCAGACTTTCCAATTACAGGTTGTTGGAGGAACTCTTCTGGAGATCCATTTAGATCCATCTGCACTATTAGAAACAACGAAGATTCTGCGCAGAATGCTCAATTCCTCAATTTTTCAGGCATTTTTCGTAAAAGATCTGAAGTTGAAGAATGACTGTGAGTGATCGCTCACAGCGAGGTGAATAAAAAAGTTTTTTTAATTTCTTTATATACTTATTGCAAATTATTCCAAATATATAGATTATTCCAAATATTTTTGTTTAAATTTAAATTAGTTGAATTAAATTTATTTTAAATTAAATTATAATCCAACAAATTTTCATTATATTATTAACTTTTCTTCACATTCATTTTGTATTTTATATCCTTATCACTGTCTTATCACTAATTTTCTTTTTCACTCGAATTCTTATTTATCTCTGTTAACAGAAGAAGCACATGGCCCCTATTTTTTATTGCTATTTTCAAATAAATTGATGAATTGTTAAGTATTCAAAATGCTTAAATTGCGCAGCGAATTTTAAAATAGTAGCGCATCTTGAAACGAACTTCTGATTTCAGTAATAGATAACGTTTTTTTCATAATTTTTTATATAATTTTTGCGAGTTTATTAATTTATTTTATAATTAATCTTATTAATCTTAGTTCTTAGTCTTAATTAATAAATGCGGTTTTGTTTTGGTCTTTTTAAAAATTTATTTAAATTAGTCGTTTAAAATAATTAAATTAATAAATAAAGAGAAATTAATAAGGAAAACAATAGTTATGCCCATTTTTAATAATAATAAATTAAATAATAAAATAAAAATAGTTAAATAAATAAATAATAAATAATAACAAAACATTTATAATTTATAAATTAATAATGATCGTAAAAGAATAAATAAATTATACAAATTATAATGAAATAATAAATATAATAAAACAATTAAAGTATAATAAAATAATATAATGTAATAAAATAATAAATAATAATATGGATTAATAATAATAAAATAATAAATATAGTAAAAAAATAGAATATATAATAAAATATTGATAAATGAAAATAAATAAAAAGAAATAGAAAATAATAAATAAAAATAATAAAATCGCTTATTATTAGCGTAGTGCATTATTAATAAAAAGGCGAAAACGATGCAAAAAATGTCTGAAGTGCTTATTTATTAATTATTTTAATTTCGATTATGAATTCAATTAAAATTTGTTTAAAATTTATTGCTTTTTGAATATTTTCGAATAAAAAACATTTTTATTCAAAAAAATTTAAATTTAGTTTAAAAATTCAAAAGGCTAAAAAAATTTAAAATTAAGTTTCAAAGTTTTCGAAAAGTTTTTTATTTAAAAACCTTATAAAGTTTTTTTTTTCATTCATTGAATATTAAATTTTACATTTCGTATTAAATCAAAAAAAAATAAAGTAAAATTAATAACGGCGAGAAAGAAATAAATATCGAAATACTTTTGCTATTTTAATCAGTTTTCCTTTTCATTTTTCTATATTACTTTCTGGTAATCCATTCAAAGTATGTATTTGGCTCGTTGATAATGATAATAACGATGGTGATGATATGGGTGAATCTGTGCTACGATCGCTGCATTCACAGTTTGCACCATCGGGCGATTCCGTAGAACGTGCACTTCTGAGTGCACACTTAGCACCATCGGGCGATTCGATAGAACGTACACTTCGGCCACTGAATCCACACTTAACGCCATCGGGCGACTCGATAGAACGTGAACTTTGGCCACTGAATCCACATTTTGCGCCATCGGGCGATTCGATCGTACGTATACTTCTGCTGCTGAATCCACAGTTAGCACTATTGTGCGATTCAGTGGAATTTGCACGTCGGCTGCTGAATCCACGGTTAGTATTATTATGCGTTTCAGTGGAATTTGCACGTCGGCTGTTGAATTTTTGATTAGCATTATTTTTATTCTTTCCTGCTTCATTCGTTCCACTTGGTCGTTCAAGAAAATCTTGATCATCAATTTCACGTATTAATAAAATTGATCGCTTATCAATAGCTTCGAATATTTTATCGGTTTTTTTAAAATATTTATCGTTTGCAGGTAAAGGAAAACATATGATATCCTCGATATTTTTTGCCTCTTTAAATGGCAAATCATTTTTTGATAGCTTCGAATTCAGTTGCTTTTCATTTCGCTTAAAATTTTTTTTTGACGCCATTTTTTTGAATGAAAATTAACCGATGAAAAGGCTTTAATCACCGAAAATATTAAAATATTCAATGGATTTAAAACCACCAACCAACCGTGTAACAGTTTTTCCAAATTTTAAAAATGTTTTTTGAAAAATTCAAAAAATCATTTTTAGAAATATGAATCTTTCACGTACATTGTTATACTCGCGATTATCGCCAAATTTGGCGTTCCTACGAACTTTTCAAACAACATCGAAATTATTTAGCGGTCATGAGCCGGAATATTATTGGGCACCGATTAAAGCTGGAAATCGTGAAGTCGTTGGTTTTGGAGTTAACGGCGATCCGGTTATTTCTTCTTTTTATGGTTTTATTGATTTGATTTGGTGGTTTCGCTTTAATTTTTTTCATTTATTCGAATTTTATAATTTTGTAATTTTATCATCAAATATCAGTGGATTGGACTTCAATTTATTTAAATTTACAAATTATCAATTTCCTTTCCTAATCCATTTTAAATTTTTTGTTGGGGATATTTATTGCCTTAATATTGGCCATTCTTTGTGTGAGTATTCTCTGCTTTTTTTTCAGCAAGTTATCAAAATACAAAAGAAGATATAAAATACGTACTATTGAATTTTAAAAGTTGCACCTTATAACTCGTTTTTTAGGCATATCTGGATCGTTTGGACTATTGGTATCCAGCAATAAGATTTCGTGAAGATGATGATGTTATTCGACCGATTCGTGAAAAAGAAAAGGGCGACTGGAAAAACCTTACAATTGAAGAGAAAAAATTGTTATATCGATACAGTTTTAAACAAACTTTGGCCGAATTTGAAGCACCGAGTGGCTATTGGAAATTAATCGTCGGTATTTTATTATCAGTTATGGCATTAGCAACACTTTATGCCACTTTTCTCAATCATTTCGGTTTGTTAATTTTGCTTGTTAAATTGTGCTATACTGATATGAATATACTGATATGAATGTAATTCACATATTTTTTTGAATAATTCTATTTCATTCTAATTTGCCGCTATCGAATTTCGCAAAAATTAAGAAATAAATAAATTTTTAATTTGATGCAACATTTCTGAATAACTTTAAATTAAATTGTGTTTAATAAATTGTGTTTAAACTAAAATGTTTAGTTCTACAAGGTCCACCACCAACGCTGAAAAATGAATATAAGGAAGCTGTTTTGAGGAAGAAATTAATTCTTGAGAAAGGCCAATTCTTAGGGCCAGCCAGCTATTACGATTATGAAAGAAACCGTTGGAAGGAATAAATACAATACAGGTTGTACAGAATTGGATATTTAAATTATTTGAAATTAGATATTTCATTTTTAGAAGTCATTTTTAACTGAATTATTTTTTTCACAAATTTGTTCAATTTTTTAATTAAATAAAAGATTAAAGTCTGAAAAAATTTAAAAAAAAGTATTTATTAATATTTTCTAAGCCTCATTAATTTCTTACCAAATCCACTTTTTTCTGAAAAAAATATTTATCTTTCGATTTTTTCAATGGTTGTTTAGTGTGTTTACAGTGTGTATACCAGTGCCAGATGTGCCAGTGACAAATATCATCTCCAGTGTGATAAACTATAAAATTTTATTCATATTGTTTGCAACAATTTTTTTTTAAAATAGTCGTTTTAATTTAATTTTAATTTTAATTTTTGTATTTAATTTTTAATTTTTGTAAGTTGAATGCGAATAAAATCTTTGTTAAAATATGGAATATAAAGCCAATACACATTTTTATCGTTGTCACTAGAAAATTATTAAAATACTTGGTTTTATCGTCCTAATTTTGTATCAATAAATTGCTTAATACGCATTGTAGCGGAAAAATAAGTTGAGAATAAATTTAATGGTTAAAGGAGTCTTCTTGGTTGATTATAGAAAAATCCTCTTGAATGGTTGTAATTTTCAAAATAACTCGGATAAACGTGAAGTGGAAAGAAATTATTGCTGCGGTATACGAGGTCTTAGATTTTAAAAGTTTGACTTGATGTTTGACTTTCGTAATTCTTTCAGAAGAGTTGAACTGTTGGTAATTTCAGTTTTATTATAAAAGATTGTTAAAATTATGTTATATAATGATCAAATGATAATATGGAAGTGGAAATTTCGACGTCGAGAATGGCGAAAGGAATTTAGCGATGTAAAATGTGATCGAATCGAAGTATTACTCGATCCATTAACTCCTCGATCGAAATACAGGGAAAGTCGATCGAATAATGAACGCACGCTAGGCAATGATTCGAGTGTGGATTTCGTCGATCCTCTTGGTTTGATTTACTTCTTTCCAGAAATTTGAACGAGAATGTTGTGCTGAATATATATGTGATCTTATAATCAAATTTGTTAAAGGTGCAACAAAGGACGATTCTTTTGAAACTACGATTAAGCTAAGTGAATCGTGGATATCAAAATCGAGGCAAAAACAAGAACCGATATTAGTGAATACACTTGAAAAGAAATCTGATAATTTAATTGTTATGGATGAGGTAATCGTCGTTTTTGCTGCTGTTGCTGCTCTTTTCGAGTTTCTTCTCATTATACGCCATATAGTTGAGCGTTTCGTGTGAGTGCAAAAATCTCTCTCCGTTATTTTCGAAGAGGCAATTTAGAGATAAAAAATTTTGTTTTTTCTAGTGAAATCGAATCGCTTGTTGAAATATTTCGAAAGCTTTTAATTTCATTTTCTTTTTCAAATAATTATTATTTTTAGGAAATTCCCGATTTTATTCCTTGGTCAGTTAAAAGAAATGAAATTTTAAGAGAATTTCCAGCGAAAGAAAAATCATCTCCACCATCAAAGACATTTTTCAATATTCCTTCAATAACTGTTGGTGGACGTGCGGCTCATAGGTTCTTTTCTTTCATTAAAATTTTTATTTTTTTAATATATTTTAAAAATATTCAATCTTTATTTATATTTATATTAAAATTATATTTATATATTTATATTTATATTTAAATATATTTTCCTTATTTTAGCAGTAAATATATTAAATATATATATTAAAATATATATTAATATATTTTAAATATAAATTAATATTTAAAAATGCTTTATATTTGTCTCAAAAAAATTTAAAATAATTTTATAGTTTTAAATAATTGAAGACTATTACCAAAATAATGGTTATTTTCAGATTGGAACAGTTAGAAGATTCTTCTGGAAGTAAACGATTAGCTGAATTGTCTCGGGAAGAATATGTCGAAAATATAAATGAATTAAAAAAAAAGCTATTAATTGCTTGGGAAAATGAGAAAAAAATTGAATCAGTTAAGGTATTTTTATTTATTATTTATTTAATTTAATTATTTAATTTTTATTTTGTAAGTTAAAATTTTTTAATAAATTTCTTAATTTTTTAAAATTTTGTAGGATTATTTTTAGGAAAAAAACAATAAATAATAAATAAATATATTTATATACAGTAATAATATGTAATAAATATACAAATATTTTTCTTTTGAAATGAATTTCCTTTCGTGGCGAAACTTTTTTTTAGATTGAAATTTATTTTCGCTATTCGTCTTTAGAAATTAAAAATTTTGTTAAACCAAATATTTCATTTCATTTAATAATGCATTAGGAAAAGATAAAATTTTTTAAATAATATCTGAGATAAATAGTTAAATAATTTTATTTATTTGTTTTAATTTTCTTTTTCATAGATTATTTTTCATAGATTTTTTTAGATTATCATAGAACTTTCACGAATTTTATCATCGACAGCGGCACCAAATTTCTATCCAAATCAGTTCGTATTGGTCACTGATATTCTAGATTTGTTTGGCAATCTTGTTTTTGAGCGACTTCGAACGAAAGCTTCGAAAGAACGGATCGAACTCGGGCAAAGTCCTCTGCCGAAATGTTTTACAGTCGCTGACGTCCCCGAAACAACTAAGGAAACAGCAAAAAATTGGTTTTGCAAAGTAGGCGATATAATGGAATTGCTACCGAGATTTTATGGTAGGTTTATGATTGAATCTAATAAAGGGCCTAAAAAGAATTAATATCTTTTTACAAATTTATTCATAAATATAAATTTATAAATTTTAAATAAATGTAAATTTTATTTATAAATTTTATTTTATATTACAAATATTCATCTATTTCAATTTTTTGTTTTTTGAATTTAATTTTATTTAATTAATTTAATTTAATTAATTTATCTATTTCAAAAATTAAATTAATCTAATTAATTTAATTTTTGAATTTTACTTTTTTTTTCAGTTGAAACTTCAATAATCGGTTGTATACTTTTTCTTGATGCCGACTCGCTGGCTATTAATCTCATACGCTTGTCTGGAATACCGTTGTCGATTTCACATCCTCTGATTGCTTCTTATGCTCGAGCTTATTTATGTCGTGTAGCAATGCGTCTTCTTCCACTTAATCGAGCTCCTCATTGGAAATGTCTAAACGACTGGATGCAATCTTTTGTGGTTCAACCAGTATTATTTTATGCTTTCTTCTCAGTTTGATTTCGAATATTTTTTGTATGATTTAATTGAAATTCATAATAAATTTATTTTACAGGCAACTTTATTGATTCCAGCAATGGAGTGGATCTTGCAATGTGTTACTTATAAAGCCGTAAGCTATGACGATCTTCGTCGCATATGGGAATATTGTAAGATGTCTGAGAAGCGGCAGATTATCGTTCGATCGTTTTTAAATGCTGTTTCACCGATTTATCTTAATGAACATTGCCTAGAAGCTTGCAAAATTGTTAGTCATTGACGCTTTTTGATATTTTTTAGGTTTGTTTTTTTTGTAAAAGTCCTAATTTAAATTTTTCAAGAAATTTATAATTTCGTTCAGTTATTTAAAATGTTTTTTTGTATTTTCGGAGCAATTTGCAGGTAACATCGGGTGACGAAATTTCTGCGCAAGAACTTTGCATTTTTGGAAAACGATTACTGATGAGCGAAACACCTGAAGATGCGAGAAAAGTTATCTTAAAGAACGTTTGGCGAAGAGTTTTGTAAGCTCTTTTAAAATTTTTTTCTTATTGCATTTTCATTTTTGTTACCAGTAAAATTTTATATTTTAATTATAATTATCAATAATTTTATATTTAAACAATTAAAATTTTTCCGTTTCTTTTCTTAAATTTATAAAGTTTTGAAAAAATTAAAAATGAAAATTTCAAGGAAGTTGGCACTCATAAGTGAATTTGTTGACTGTACCATTGTTTGGATTGAATTTACTGCTCGATATTTTTCAATTAATGAACTGGGAATTATGCTCGATATCTTAATTAAGAAAATCTCGACTGAGAAAGTTCGTTCATCATTCAATTTCCAATTTTCCCTTTTTTCAATTGGAATTCTACTGCGGAGCGTTGTCCTAACATAATACATAACTTATTTAAGGTTATGTAATTTCTAGAAACACGAAGCCTTTAGTGATTCACTTATTATTATTGTCGAAAAAATTGTTTTACACCAAAAAAATGTGGCGAATTTATTCACGTTGGAACAATTCTCATCATTAATTAGTTTGTTTCGTAGCGATGGCGGAAGAGCGAAATGTTCAACTATTATACTTACTGCATTTGTTAACCATCATCCAATCAAATTTTCCGATAATTTCCAGTTGGGTTATCAAGTAAATATTATTTTTCCATTTTTTTTTCATTCTAAATATATTACACATTTTAGAAAAATTGGAAATTTTCTTTTAGCTATGCAAATTGTTTGCCTTTTGTTAACATTGCAATTATTAAACGATTTTAGATATTGGGCCTTTGTAAATTTCTTCACAATTCATTAAATGCAACTTCTTCTGAAGAAGAGAGACAGACTGTGTCTTTTATAATTCAATGTGCTCTCGATCGTTTTGATTTAAATTCCGATCCGGAAAGAGCGTTGAATTTTCTCGTTGACTGTCGAGCCACTTTATCAAATATCGACGAATTAATCTCGGTATTTTTCTAAGTTTCAGAATTTTCGAAACAAATATAAAAAAGCAGATTATCTTATTTCATTTTAATTTATTTTCATTGATCGAAGATGAACATGACCTAGTTTTTTGGTGGCCCTAGTTAATTTCTTTCTGGAAATTTGAACAGAAATATTTTTTCATTTCATATCCCTTAACAGAATTTCATATTTCACTAACCACATATTGCATAATTTCTGCAAAAAAGTTACCCCATTAATTTTACCACTCAGATTCCATTAGAAAAAACAAATTAAGAGCAGGCGAAAAAAATATTTTGATTGTTTAGTTATAACGGTCAGCATTTAGAATCATAAGGGAAATTTCTTTAATTATATTATATTAATTTATTTGGAAACAGTCAAGCAAAATCCATGTGCGTATATTATTATTTATTAATATTAGGGAAATTAATAACCTTAATATAAAGCAAAAAGAAATATGACCAAAAGCTAACGTAAAAGGAACAAAATGGCATGAATACTGTGGAATTCTAAATATAAAATATGAAAAATAATAATAAAAATATTAATAAAATTCCTCAAAAACCTTCATTAATCAAATTTTAAAAATTTAAATGTATTGAATTAATATTGTTTAAAAATATAAAAAATTTTTTATAATTTAAATAAATTTAAATTTAAAAATATGAAATTTCTTTTTAGTATTTGGTAAATCGTGTTTGTGCGCTCGGTTTTCTCGTGGTTCAAAATCAAGAAAGAGTACGTAACGCTGCTGAATTGCTTCGTGCATGTATTGCAAACGCATTCATAACAACTGCTTCCTTATCAACACCTATGTGTATAAATCTTTATGTGCATATTGGTCTACTCGCACTCTCCGCTAATTCCTTACCACAAGTTCGTTGTCTTTAACAAAGAGCAAAAAAGTCTTGCGTCGGCCGGGAATCGAACCCGGGCCGCCCGCGTGGCAGGCGAGCATTCTACCACTGAACCACCGACGCCTATGGATGTGGCCAAATTATTTTCATTATCAGTTGATAATTAGGAGTAATTAACTTACATTGAATCACAAATTCAACTTTTTTTGGTTTGATCTTAAACCACAAATATCTCTGGCTTGGGCCATTTTTCTTTAGTACTCAGTGCTTGTGGTTAGGTTCGTTTGTTCTTAGGTCTAAACTTTTTTTTAGTTTTTTTCCACTGCCAGTTTATTAATATATATTAGCCTATTACATACAGATATGATATTCAAAAAATCATATAAAAAATATAAAAATATAAAAATATTATTATGAAACTTCGATCAGCGATGTTTAGCCATGAGCCAGGAATGATAACTGCTGCTGGAAGAAAATTATGCGAATCTATATGGAACTATATGAACTATATGAATCTATATAAATCTATATTTCAGGTGGATGCAATAGTCAAAACTGCAATAGAACTTCTTGCTTCATGTCAAGATATTAATCCTATGACTTATCGTTCGATGGCATCGAACTTCCTCGGATTCTTAGTCGTTGTTCCTGATTCTCCAGAAAAACCTCCCTTATACATGTTTAATGGTTTTCTTAACGCTGTCGTCAGGTTTTTCTCTAAATTATTAATAGCAAAATATAGATTTTTTTTAAAAAACTGGTTATAAAATATAAGATAAATTTTTTGGCTACATTTGAATAGATATTTTCTTTTTTTAAAATAATTGAGTCTTCCAACAAATTAATTTCCAGATTCAACTCGTTATACATAGTTGATACTGAAAATTTAAATCATTACATGAGGTATATTATTTATATTTTTATTTATATTTTTATTTTTTGTTATTTCTTTTTTTAAAGATTTCCATGGCACAATTATCCACTCGAACATGCCCGTTTGTTGATTGATTGCATTTATTATTTATCTGCAATCGGACAAGTCGAATTGCCTTATCATATTCGTGAAGTGCAATCAAATGATTCCATATATGGTAATAATGAGAAATATAACGAAGCAATTGTGGAAAAAGTGGAGATTATTATGGGACGTTACGAGGAACTATATAATGAAAATATATTAAAATATCCACTTATTTCTATCGAATTGTTAGAAACTATTTTGGTTATCGGTAACGTTGAAAAGGTTTATTTTTTGTATTTTTGTTATTTTGAGATAATTTTGAGATATTATTTTCTATATTTATTTTTTATTATGGAACGTTACGAGGAACTATATTATGAAAATTTATTAAAATATTTAATATTAAAATATATTTATAAGTATTAATATTAAAATATATTTTAATATTAATATTAAATTATATTGTTTTTTTCTCTTTGTTTAACATCAATTTGTTGAAAGTTTATTGCATTAATCGAATTTGATTAAATTTTCATATATTTTTCAGTTGAGTAGTCTAATCTTGGAACTTTTTTCGAAACCCGTCGAAAAGATGGAATTAGTTAGACGCAATGCTATTTTTGAACGAATCAAATTGCTATCGAAACGAAAGCCAGCCGTTGCTCAATTGGTTAAAGATATATATGGAATGGAAACTAAGAAATTTTAAATATTAATTCTATTTAATATTAATATTAATTAATTTTTTAAATACTTTTTGTGATTATTTATTTTTAATATATTCTACTAAGATTAAAGAAATTTTGACAGTTTTAAATGTTGGATTTAGAGAATATTTTCGAAATATTTATAAAACGATAGTGTGCATAGATTCAGTTTTGAAACTTATTGTCGAATGCTGTTTTTATCAGCAATGTGAATATCATGGATATATGTTGATTCGATTAAAGTCAAGCACATCATGGATTCAATTTCTATACTTTAACAAGAAGAAACTTATCATTGATAGATAAATCCAGAAACTGCCGATTTATTCGTTCATTCCTAAGTGGAAAAAGAATTTATCTTTTTCATCAGTGAAACACTAAAGTAGTTATCACCAATAAGAAAATAAGAAAAAGAAGAAAAATGATAAAAATGCCACGATGAAGAATGTAAATTCATTTTCTACCAATTAAATCATTTTGTTTAAAATTTGTTATTAAATAAATAAATATAAATATTCATTTTTTGTTGAATTTGATCTTATTGATGTTGTTTATAACTTTTATATTTGTGCATCCAGTAAGCTCAGTTGTCACAACTGGTTAACTGAAATTTCAATATCGTCAAAAATTTTTTCCAGAATTTTTTTTTTCATTTTCACAATTATAGCTTTAAATTTTCATGGAAATTACTTTTCGCATTGAAGTAAATTGCTTGAATAAAATAAGATTTTCCGAATAAATTTTCAAAAATTCATGAAAATACGTTGAATTACTTTTATTACTATTTATTTTTCTTATCGAATTATTTTTAACTTTTAGTTATCGATGACTATTGATTTGCATTAAATTATTGCATTTTAGCGAGTATTAATGGATGATTTTATACTGCCGGAAGATTTGGATGAATTTAATATTGATGAACTAGCGGATACAGTGAATAGCGATGATGATAACATGCAAGACGTGAACCATGACGAGGAGGATTTGTTCGATTCGGTTCAACCATCGCCGACGATTTCGGTCGATTATTCGAAACAATTAAATGAAATTGTTTTAAAATATAAAAATCTAAAATCGCGATTAAGAGAAACGGATTCAATGGCTAAACAAGTGATTTTCAGATTTTTACTATTTAAGTTAATTAAATTAATTACTATTAAATTGTAAAGTTAAGTCCAAATTGGTTGAATTTTCTGTTTAATTTAAGCGACGAAAATTAAAATTGACTGAAAGAAGGAATTATTTAAAGTTAAATGAGAAGGAATTTTAAAAAAATTTGATAAATTTCGATTTTTTTTTCGAGGAAAAATAAAAATTTTAAAAGCTATTTATAATATATTTATTATATAAAAATTGAAGAAAAATAGAATTTTTCTAAAATTTTTAACAAAAAATATTTATTTATTTATAAAAAATATTTCAGTTGGCTTTTGGAGTTTATCTGCAGTCCGAAATGGATAAATGTAGTAGCGAAAGGCGTGATTTTCCAATTAAAATCAATTTAGAGGTTTTATCTTTTCGATTATTTCATAAAAATTTAATATATTAGAAATGATTTTGGAAAATATTTTAGCTATGTTCTTCCTCGACTTCCCTCCTTCCTTCCTTCATTTCTAATGAATGGATCCTTAAATTTCTTATAAGCTATTTTAATGCATCATTCAAATTGCCTATTGGCTTTTAATTTCAGGCTAAACAACTCACATCTGGCTCTTCTTTATTGTTGCTTTATTTAAAAAATCATTCCAATTTCGTTATGCTTGAATGGTATATCGTCCTTACAGTAATACCTATGATGAACAATTTAAAAACCGATATAAAAAGTTTGTAAATTTTAAATTTATGCTATCTAAGAAATTAAATGAAATTTAGAATTTATTTAAATTTAGAAATTTAAAAAAAAATAGAAATTTTTCATTTTTATTCTCGTATCGTTGAAAAATTTTCGATAATTTATTTTTTGAATACTTCTATTTTAAAATAGAATTATATAGGTTCATCAAAAATGCATTCAGTTGCGATCTTCGTGCCACGCCTTAGCAAAGAGGATGAATTTTCTTCTGAAGTGATCACCTTTATTCATCTTATCACTTTATCAGTTTTTTCCATCTTATTTTCAAACGAAAATTTCTTTGAAAATTTTACAAAATTTGTCATTTGTTGAATATTCAATTATGATTTTTATATTTCAGGTATTTTGTACATTCAAACATGTAATTCCTTCATTTATTAAAGTGCATTTGGTAAAACATTTACCATTATCCGTTAAGCCATGTGTTTTTCAAACCAACATCGAACCTATATATTTTTCGCATTGGAAGCTCATGAAAAAATTTCATTGTGAAGAAATATTAGACAAGCGATCTGTTCTTTATCAAAAAGTCGCAAAGGTTTTTCTGTTTTTTTTTTCGTTTGGTTTTTCATGAGATATCTTAATTTTTTTCTTCTTTTCCTAACAACTTTCACAATTAGTGGTTAGGTTGGCTCCGCTGGCCAGTCTCCAAGCTATTCGGTCTGACGCCATCTTTGGTCAAATAACTATATCATTCTAGATGTTCATTCATTGGTTTTCCTCGTTTTTGGCGCTATCTATCATAGAATTTAGCAAGTAACGAAATATGTGTCAAATCTTGTGATGGAGACGCACCTTAACCAGCAAGGGCGACATTCTATGATGATAATATTAATATCGCGATTTTATTGGCGATTCCCTAGATATATTTTGCATATGAGTGGTCAAAAGCAGATATCCTCTAATCTCATTGGCCATGTTTCGCAGCTATATATAGGATGAACGATTCATAGCTATATAGAGACCGACTTTCGTTTTTATGGTGATTTTTTGACGGCTCTATAATGGTTTCGTCAAGCAGAAGAACGCATTTCTAACTATCGTTATCGTTATAATTTCGTCTTTTGCCTGGCCACTTTGGCTTAGAGTGGATTCAAATTATTTAAAGTCGGGATTTTCTCATCCGTGAATTGGTGAAAATAGGCATTTTATCAGCATTTTGTATATAAAATACTTTTACTTACATTCAGTGAAGTATAACGCTCGTCGGAAGATACAGACGTTTCAAAGAGAATTTCTTGCTCCTTTCATCATAGAGTTACTTGAGGATAGACCACTGGGTCCCAACAATCACCTGGATCATTGATACCATGGCAGGTTTATTCCTGTCAAAAATAAAAATAGTTGATTAAAAAATAGGGGAATATAAGAAAATTGAAAGTCTTTACAAAAAATTTATCTAATATCGATTAATATCATATAAGATTCATCTTAATCTTTTAGAAAAAATAAATATATCTTATTTTTGGTTTGTTCCAGTTGACCATTTTACTTGTTAAAGTTTCTTGCATGAATTTTTCCAAATTTCATCTAAAAAATTAAGGAACAATTTCTCAAACTGCCTGAAGCATTGGTTTTCTTAATTTGTTATGAAGAACCATCTGAAATTCGTTTGCTAAATTGGATTTTTTGTTCGGATACCAATGATTCAAATACAGATAATCCATTGAATTGTGTCTTAACAAATGAAGTGGGCAATATAAGCAAATTAATTATCAGTGTTAAAAAAAGTGGTTCTTCTTATATATTTTCAATTGAAACGAATGAGCCAGAGATTGGATACAATTTATTAATCGAGCTTCAGCTAAGGATTCTTGTAAATTTTTATTAAAAAATTTCAATAATAACAATAATAAACTATTGTAATAACGGAGGTAATGATAATAAATAATATGATATGCATAATTTATTTACTGAGAAATTTATCACTATTTATATTTTAAAAATTTGATAGAGAATTTTAAATTTTATCAATGTAGAGAAAAATTAATCTGATTTTAAATTTCACTAAAAACTGAAAAACTATAATACAATATTAATATAACCGACTTATTTAAATATTGGTTAAAAAATACTGAAAACAATTAACTATAAATATCATCAAAATTTAAAATATTTCAGATAAAAGGGAATTTTCTATGGAAAACATTGAATAATGAAGATTGTGTAGAGGTGATAAATGAGACCAATATATCAAATATTTTCAATTCGTATATTTCTCGATTCAATCGCTGAAGTTAAAATTTATTTTTTTCTTTTTAATTCTAAATTTTACATAAATTTTATTTTTGCAATGAAAATATCACACAAAATAAGCTCTTACTTTAAGTAATTTTAAATGTTATTTATATTATTTTCGCTGTTTTTTTACGTATTTTTATATTTTTATATACTTTTATATACTTTTTTTTTTATATATTTTTTTTATTTTTATATACTTTTGATTCTCTTAATATAATTTTAATTTTTAAAGAAAAAATTTTATACATCAAAGTGATTTTATTCTTTTCTTTTTAGGCAACAGAAAATTTTCTTCCGCTATTTGCTTAAAATGAATTCGTTTAAATTATCATATTCATTAGATTTTATGGTTTTTTAAAAATTTTTTGCTGGTTCCACTGGTTTTTAAGAAAATGACACTGAAATAGTTCAGATAAGGTTCTGAATCCAGAAAGTGTGCTGTTTCGGAGTGCAAGCATCTTTCCATCTGGCAACAGAATTAGAGTTGGCTCTCTAGCATCACTCGAATTTTACTTGGCCAATTTTAAAAGTATTTAGTAGCATCGATAATTTTTATTAAAAGGAATTTTATTTTTTGTTATCATTGTTATCATTTATTTATTCATTCGATCCATTTTGAATGTTTTTATAGCTTGCTTAATTTAATATTTCTATAGATACTTTATAAAAAAATTTATTTACAATTATTTATATTATTAATATTGTTATTGAAAATTCAACCTAAAATCAATTTATTTCCTAGATTCATTTCAAGATTTATTTATTTATTATCGATGTAGAAAGAACGAAGTGATATTTGTTGGACGATATTGTAAGTCAATCGCTTCTCTATTGTCATATAAAGTTGGAGCCTAAAAAATTTTATTTTATTTAAGCATGAAACATCGCTATATCAAAAGGATAAATATTAATATTAATATTTATTAATATAATATTAATTAATATAATATTAATTAATATTAATTAATATTATATTAATTAATATATATATAATTTATATTAATATTATTAATATAATATTAATAGTATAAAATAATAGATACAATTTTTTTCGTAAATTTAATTTCTGTTGAGATTGAAACTTAACGCAATATACTGAACTAATATAAATATACTAACTAACCTGGATTAATATAATTATCGTTCCAAAAAAGCATGTGAAAGAGAATATTAGAAGAAAAAGTCGATCAAGAACTATCGCAATATATCTCCAGTCTTCATCAATCTGGAAGATTTGTGAGATTTAGGATTGAAAAATGAATCCCAGTCAAGCAAGTTTAGCTAAAAATTATAGAAATCGATATCGATATTCACTGATAAGTTCATGGATAAATTAAATTCTGGAATAATATTAAGATTTTATAATTATAATTATTATTCAGAAAGCAATTAAAGGATACCTTATTATCACGATCTTTTTTTTTCAATAATTCAGCTATAACACAAATATTTTTGAAAGCTTTTATTACGGTCGGAGAATGATAAATCTTCTGAATCCGATCGTCGAATTTTACGTTAAGTTTGTTAGCATTTCCGAGATTACGATTCATTCGATATTCGTGATAATTCATTAGAACTTTATCAACTAAAAAATCAAATACATAGCCAACCAAATCAATTTTGTAATTGGACCGTACACAGTCGTAAATATCGCAAAAATTTTATTTATTGATTTAATATTATTAAATTAAATTAAAATTGAAATTAATGATTGTATTTTTTTTTGCAACAATGCAGAATTATGTCGATTGTGCAATACTTATTTGTATTAATTATCAATTCTGTATTCTTTTAGAAATCTAGATTTTGTAGAGAAACTGATAATGCTTTACTGATAACATCACTGTTTAATTTTACTATAACGTAATATAAGATTGAGATAATTTCATGAATAAAAAGATAAAAAATTTCTACCTTTATTTTGACAAACTTTTCGAAACTGATCAGCAGAATCATTTATTGGCCTTCGCATAAAGAGTAACTTTGGTAAAAATTTTAAAAAGACCCATTTAAGCCAATCTGGCATTATATGAGTTGTGGGTGTACGAAAATGCAGATTCAAAGCTGGAATAATTCACCTATTTATGTGATTTGATAAATAGGATTTTTGAAAAATGAGATATAAAAAATAACTACCTTTATGGAATAATTAATGTATAATAAAATAAAATAAGGATGGTTGAGATGTTTTAATGAATGATATCAGCCTAAAAGATTTTCTTTCCAACATCCATTTTTTCTATTTTGCTAGGTTACTTGATTATATGGATGAGACTCATTTGCCAATTCGCCAGAAAGCCAACTGGGAAATAGGGAATATTCAGGTTCATCATTCTGGATTGGGAATCGAATTTAGTTGTTTTCTGGCTACCAACTTATGAAGCTATTATTCTGCATTTTTCATTTCGCAAAGATTAAATCATGTATATTCCTTTATCACTCGTTTTTTGTATCATAGCAAAAATTTTAAAGCTTACAAACAACTGTGACGACAACGCTAAGAGTGACCATAACCATTGTGAATAGAAGGTATTTGCCAATCAGTGGTAAACTAATACTCGTCGCTGGTATAATTTCTATCTAAATAATAGTAATAAATAAATAATTAATGATAATAATCAATAATAATAAATAAATATATGATTTTTATTGATAAGAATTTCAAAATATTTAAAGTTGAAATTTGCAGAAATCTCCAAAATTTATTTTAACACTAATTCATTCATATTTCGATTAATATAAATATTAAATATTTTAATATAAAAATATTTAATTGGTTAAACGATACCAATTACATAATTAATTAGTAATTATAAAGATAATTTATTAAGATGATTAATGATAATGGAATTACGAGTAATAAGAAGAAAATTGTTAACGCGAATAAAATTGAAATGCACAAAGCAACTTTTTCACCGCTATGCGAAGGTAAGTAAAATACGAGAATAGTTAAAAATGAGATGCCAACGCATGGAAATACGAGATTCACCGTATAAAAAAGTGGTTTACGACGTAACTCCAAATAAAACTGAAATATATATTCATTAAGCAAATTAAATTAAGCAAACAATCGGCATAAACCTCTTTCCTATTGATCTCCGATTGATTCTCCGTCGAATTGAACTCATTTTAAGTGTTAGCGGAATTAATCAAATCAAAAATGATAATAAGAGGAAAAGGAAGAAAATATTTAAAGTTTCCATGATATAAACTTACCACTATGTCTACATATGCTTCATTCTTTGGGCAACAAGAAGGATAGTTTTTACTATGCCGTTTCGCTACTCGAGACATTATATCCCATTCTACTGATGGATAATAGTCTGATAAGTCTAAAACAGGTTATCAGTATTCATTGAAAAATTCGTTCGATTAATATTCCTCTTATAAGCGAAAGCAAAAATTTTGCTAGTTTTTATCAAAATTGCTTATTAAAATTATAAATATTATAAATACGCTAATTTTTAAATTTTTAAATAATATTTTAGATAATATAATTAAAATTAAAATTTTCTACTTTGAAATAAATTACAATATAATAATTAAACTAAATTAGCTGTTAAAAAAATATTAAAAAATACCGATGCCATCATCAATAACTGTTACATTGTCAACTTCACCATGCTCATTCATCTCGAGTTCATAACGCTCTTCACCATCCAACAGCCTTAAATCCAGCAAATCGTCCGAATATGTCCACGATCCGAACTATAATTATGCTAAAAGTCTAATTATTATGTCCTAATATTATTATGAACCATTCTTAATGTGCACTATTTAACCATAAAATAGGATTTTTGAGATTCCGATTTCCGATTCCGATTCAGCGCCTTTCGTTTCATTACGAAGGAAAATTCAACAGAAAAATTATTTTCACTAACAATAACGAAACAAATGAATGAGCATTTAGTTATTCATAATAATTATTAACAAAAATGGTTACCTTCAAATGACATTTTTGTTCATCAAATGGAAACCTGAAAAATTAAATCACTTCTAAAAAATTTCGAGAGATTTTCCATGAAATAGTTCATTGTGCTATTTATTTTTTATTAATTTATAATTTCACTGCGCAGATTATATAAAATATCAAAATACTAACCATCGAACATCAATTTGGCACATACTTTTAAATATTGCTGGAGGTTCCCATGTCACTACGCCATCATAACGTAATGTTGCTTTTGTACTGATTGTTATATTATAATTATTATCAGCACTGAAATTTTATTTCACTTTATATAAATTTTATTTATCTTATCATATCTTATCATATCACTTGAAATAACCTAAACACAATAGTTTTATAGTTTTAATGAATATAAATAATCTGGGGAAAAATTTAATTCAATTTAAACGAAAACTACTTATTATAAAGCACAATGTCTGGAACCCATATCATCTCATATGGCACATAGAGCACATTAACACCGCCGTATCGCTTTGGATCCCAAGAAAGTTTTTCATCAATCCATTCTTGCCTTAGCCATACACTACATGTCATTATCTGATCAATTTCATGCTGAAAATTATACATAAATTTCATCGTATTTGCTTGAAAATACTTCTTATTGTCCATCTCATCTTATTTACTGATCACTGCTGCTAGTAAGATTCACCAATTATTTCTATTATAGAATTGGGATGGTCGACAGGTATTTTTGCATCGACTGAGATTCGTCTAATCCGTAGACAATCTATCTAATTTCACTGTCGTGCACCACTTGCATATTGGATTCAATCTCCTCGATTCTTGGGAATGTAGTCGCCATCAGAAGTGTCAGAATGGCCTTGGAGATACTTCAATCTTCCAGTAATTTTCTGGCCAAAAATTCTCGTTATGTTAATCAGACAAATTAAAAGTAGTGAATGGGAATGACTATTGAGATTATGTGAAGTATTATTGCATATTGCATATCTTCAAAAGTTTTTTTTTTCTATTATGATTGCATCATATATTGTATTCTATTATACTTACTGATAATATCAGTGGTACCTAATATTTTGTTACTTCAATGTAGAAAAGTAAATATAGAAATTGTAAGTTACCACATCAATGATTTGCGAAAGTCGTAATTTAAGTTTAATGGTTACTGGAATATGAGGATTTGATGACGGCCTACTGAGCCTGTTATAGTGAATCATTAGATCATCATACAATCGTTTTGCATCTTCATTACCTAATGCAAAACTTATCAGCATCAGCGAAATCGTTAGCCATAAATTTGCAGATAAAATCATTCTTTCATAAAATCCATTGAAAATTCCACTGAATAAAATATAAGTAATTAAAAGTGATGGTAATATCTAATATTATCTATCCATCCGAAAGGAAGACGGGTGGAGCTTGGTGAATGTGAAAGCCATTATCCTGAACGAAATCTGAAGCATTCAGAAATGCATCAGTACGATGATACCAAAGAATGAGCTGCCGAGAGAATCTGAAGCATCGGTGCATAATTGGAGCACATCCACAGACATTGGAAAAAGACTAAGGAGAAAAAATTTTATAGCAAAACAGGAAGCTCCATGGATTGTTGAAATTGGGAAATCCTACCAGTGGAAAAATAGAGCACAGAGGCCTTGATCATGGCAGCGAGAACACGTATTAAGCCAATGAAGTGGAGATTTACGACATTAGATAGAATTTTAGGTGCAGATTCTACATCCCATAAACAGCCCAATATATAGTGGCAAGATGTAAATAAATAGGAACAACATACAATGAAAGGATAAGCAAAAAACTGGGCCCATTTACAGGAATATCTTCTCGGCATATGGCATAGACCTTTCCAAGATAGATGGGAAAATCGTGGAGAATAATAAGATCCTGTGGGACTTCTTCATCCATATAAGCAAAATCGGAATGTTAGAAAGAAGGAATAGGAGAAGTTAGAGAAATACCAAGCGTTGAAAGAAGAGAAGATGTGGAAAATAAACGCCAAAATAATTCCAATGATATTTGGAGTCGTTGGAACCGTGACCTCTAAACTACAAAAGTGAATTTCAGGAACAACATCAAAGATCTTTATCCAAAAGAGTGCACTGTAGGAACAGCTATACTCACTGCACAGAATCCTTAATCTCCTAAGCCTCTGAAAGAGAACCCAAGATTTAGGATGATCATTACCACTTACAGTAATAAAGAGATAATAAAGAGATTTTTTTTATCTTTTTTTTTAATATAATATATATTTTAACGCATAAAATATTTCATAAAAATTATGAAAATTATGACAAATATGAAAAATAACTTTTTCGCCAATTATTTCGAACGTATTAATTTATTAAAATTTCTAGGAATTCATTTTACATTTTAAAAAATTTTCTCATTTCTTAAATTTTAATTTAATTAATTTAATTAATTTTTAATTCTTATTTCTTATTTTCAGCTTTATAAAATGTTTTTTTTAGTCTTTAAAAAAATATTGACGAATGATTTTAAATTATAAATAATAAACATATATATATAAATGATAAAATTAAGGATCGATTTAGCAAAAAACTGATAAAAATTTTGTGGATTTTCGTATTTTTAATTCTATTTGTTTCACTAAATCGATTAATCAATATCACTTCATTGAACATTTGCTTTTTTTCGGCTCTAAGAACGGAAAATCTTATATGAAAAAACTTTTGGTCCACAAACATCGCTCAATAGAAAATTATCATTGCATTGTTTGTTTATAGTAGAGTTAGTTTAGTGGTTAATCATTTTTGGTCAGCCTCGCTCCACCGGTTATTTCTGCTAGAATGTCATTCAAGGATAGAAGAATATAGGTAGATCTCCAACAATACGGCAGAAATATTAATGGCAGGCTTATTTCTACTATAAGCAAGGATCGCAGTGCTTGAAATTAATATCTAAGCAATGAAAAGACGATAAAATCAGTGTATCTACAGAAATATATGTATTCAGAAATATAGAGGGAAGGGGAGTGGGGGAAGGGTCAATATGGAATGTGAAAATGCAAGAGTTCAAGAATCATAGCCGATACCTACTCTTCCAGTGTTGCACGCCTTGGGCAAAGAGCGTTTTAAAACGCTAATCTTAGATATATCATCCAAACATCAGAATTATGTCGGCACATATTAATAGTTGCGCTTGCCTAGGTTCGAGGAGCCTTTATATTCAAAGGATCACTGGAACAAAGAGGTCCTTTTACATGGACAAGGCAAGATGATATGATAAGATGATATATAAAAGATCCTTGCATCGAAAAGATTTATATCGGCACTAATGTTTCAATTAGAAAAAATCAAGATGCTTTCAACTTAAAATGAACCCATTCTGCACTAAATCCTAGACTCAAGATGAGGAATAGAAAGAAGAAAAGATTCGGAAGCGAAAAAGTTGGGTATTCCTCATTATAAAGCAGAGCAGCTGACTTCGTTCAAAAAATCATGAAAAAACTCTTGACAAGCCAATGGAGCGAGCCTAACCAGCAAATTTCTACTCCTACTTAACATATCTTAAATATATTACACAATGAGGACAGAGTAATTCTCAGCCAGCGCCAAATACTGACCAGTAACTTACCAGTATGTGTAAAGTCTCAAAAATGCCCTCCCCCTCCCTCTCCCCCTCCCACCCACCTCTTTGCTTAAGCCTTCTCAGCTATAAATGAACGATACTGACTCGCTCATTCATCTAACATGAATTTGTGGTGAGATGGTATGTGGTGAAGACTCCGGTAACTCCTCATATTTTCACATTTCACTCCAAGTCTAATAATTAAAAATTGTATGTCGGATTGTATAAGATTGTATAAGATCGAAGGCTGATTATTCAGATATATGTTTTTTCCTTTCAACCAAGGACAAAATCCTACCAGTAGATGGAAAATCATTTTGCATTCTGTTAGGTACAATACTATCCCCTTGAAAGTAGGTGTTTAGAATGGGCTATTAGGATCGATTTGGAATAAAAGCACGAGTAAGTCCTTAGAATCACTGCGATTTACTTTTAGCATATTTAAAATAGCATTATTATTCATTAAAATATTTTATTCCTTGTTTCAATCAGCTTTCAAATAAAGTCTTAGCATAGATTAGATTAGCTAGTCAAACACTACATTTACTTCATAGTCAAAGTTCAATATAATTTTACAATTATTTTACAAACAGGAGAGGCTTTAACCTAAAATTCAATTCGTCACTGGATCCATTCCACGATTTATTCAGATTTAAAATGTAAAGGAGGACGTGCTGTTTGTTGGCCGATATTGCAAGTCAATTGCTTTTCGATTATCATATAAAGATGGAGCCTATAAAATTTTTATTTAAATTTTGCTATGAAATGATAAAATTGAAAAAATAAAATAATAAATAACAAATGATCTAAATAAATAAAAATGCTATAAAATATAAAATAAAATGAAATAAAATAAAATATCAAACGATTAATGATTAGTTATTATTTTTTCTCATTCATAAATTATCTAAAATATTACGAGATGAAGCAAAATTGATGAAAATATCACCTGAAGTAGTATGGTAACTGTTCCAAAAAAACATGTTAGAGAGAATATTAGAAGAAAAAGTCGATCAAGAACCATCGCGACATATCTCCAGTCTTCGTCAATCTTAAAAATATCATTATAGAGGATCTAAGAATTCAAGGTTACATATGAATATTAACTAAAAAATCAAAATCAAAATCTTCTTATTTATATTAATCTATAATAAAAAAGTAATTAAATGATACCTTATCATCGTGGTCTTTCTTTTTCAATAAATCGGCTATGATACAAATATTTTTGAAAGCTTTTATGACAAGCGGAGAGTGATAAATCTTCTGTATGCTATCATCGAGTTTAAGTTTTTTAGTACTTATAAGAGCTGGACTTACTCGATATTCATGATAATTCATTAGAAGCTTATCGCCTATAAAATTCCAACTATTTAAACAAATCAAACAAAAGTCAGGTAGGTCTGCATGCGCCTTAGCTGCATGGAACGTCAGAACGTGCTTATGGATGCAAGAAATTAGGCGATAACCGTCCATATTTTATCCAAATATTATACTCATGTCGCTTGCCTATCCAAAGTTCATCTTTCTTATTCTTTAACGATAATTATAATTAATATAATTATAATAAACGATAATATAATTATACTTGGTTCAGATAAGAAGTACTGGCTTTTTCTTAATAATTCGTATAATGTTTCGTATAATCAGGGAGGAATGAAACCGCAATTGTCAGGCACGAAAGAGCAACAACAAGTTTTAATTATTTTGAAATGCCTAATTGGTTTACGCCAAAGTTTTGCAATATCACGGTCACCAATGCTCCGAATGTTATTGATCTGGGTGAAAAGACATATTTTATTTCAAGCTTAACTAGCTAACTCTATCCAAAAAAAGTGAATGTCTTCTCTTTGCTAAGAAGCATGGGTTTTTTGCAATAGATACTTTTGACATTGTAAAAAAACACCTAATTACATTCGCAAAATAATCAATACTGACTGTATTTTACGTACTGATTATATTTTGGCCCATCACTGATAGCTCCATAATCGAAACCGGGAACCTGTATTGGTCGGACTATACTAGGAGAACCAATCTTTTGATTATTTCAAGTTAATAAAGATTCAGAATCAATCACCACAAATCAAACTGAGGTTATTGGAACTTAAAACATCTAAGGAACTTTAATATTAATATCTCGGGCACTTCTAAAAAACTACTATGTCCAGGAGTCAGCTAAAATACACGACTCAGAAAAAGAAGAATAATAACTGAGTCTTTCGACGAAACAGTCCTATTGTGCCGCATGACATATCAGGAGAGAACTATCAGTGCTTCCTCTTAACAACCATTGGTAGTAACGAAATGGGATAAAAAAAAAATCGATGCTGAAATCGTAGCTCAAAAAATGGCTGGTGAACTGATCGGAAATGAGAATAATAATCCCCGTTATGACCAAGGGCTGCCTCTCCTGATAGAGAGGTCTCTTCGAATCTTAAATTACATGATTCCCCAATCTCCTCGCACTAAATTTCGGAAATAGCTGGAATGGATTCAGAGCAGTACGATTGCCAACCACCAACCCAGCAAGCGATATTTATTGTTTTTCACATGCTTAAAGCTTATGAAATCCTTGGATTCCATTCTTCGAGCAGAGCTTTTCAAATGTTTTCTTTACGATAGTTTAAAAGATTACATTCACTGGCGTGCGAGAAGACGCAAATATCACGTGACTGCAGCAATGCAACAATACAGTTCCCAAGAAGGAGTGATAAGATATAGAATGCGGCAACTACTGGAAAATCAACTTATTTCTGGGTAATTCTGAAGTTTTTATTTCTTTTCTGCTGAATAAAATAAACAATACGCAGCAGCGGATGTGACCATTCTTGCTTAAAAACCGGATTTACCTTGTTATCAGACGCTAATAAAATCGTCGCAACTTGTATAAATTCAAAATTAAACGACCAAATAATAGTCATACGAAAGATGAAATGGCCAGCGGCGCTTTTTTCTGTCTGGCGAAATTTCTTTGGAATCGCTGCGAAGCCGGCCAGCTTCATTTGGCTGTAAGCAATCCTACTAAACGGCTGCGAACAAGAGTGGAAGATTTGTGAAAACAATTTGCAATTAACCGTTAACCATTCGTGCTTAAGTTATATCCTACATACCTGTGGACAGAGTCTAAATGATTGCATCCACCTTCGCTCCATTCTGTAACCATCTGCATTAAAAATATCGTTATAGTGCATCTGCGCTAGGTTGGACATGTTCTTCTTCGTTCACCGCAAGAATTGACATTAAAAATATTGTTACTTGCTAAACATGTGATAAATGATGCCAAAGCGAAAAGGGACAATCAAGACATGGTTTTGTAATATGAGATAAGCGGCCTAGCGATATGGTGGAAAAAAGTCTTTGCCTTAGTCACCAGTGGAATGAGCGAAACTACCAATGCTAGAAGAAGAAGAATTCAATGTAATATGCATAATTATCTATATCTGCTCGTTCTTGATAAATCTTCACCAATTGGAATAATTTATGGAAATTCTTATTGAAATAAAAATGCGTAAAAAAATAGGGGATTAACAATTAAATTTGATTTTTAGAAATTAAAAATTGAAAAAATACTTATAAAACTGATTAATTTGATTTTTTATAAGAAAATCAAAATTTCTACCTTTGCTTTGGCTTTTTTGAAATGGCTCATCACAATTTGTTAATGGCCTTCGCATAAATAACACCTTTGGCAAAAATTGCAAAAAAAGCCATTTCACCCATTCTGGCATTATATGAGTTGTAGGTGTACGGAAGTGTAGATTCAAAGCTGAGAATATCATTTAGAATTGGCCAAATTTCATGAATGATAATTAAAATATCAAATATTAATTAAAATTAAAATATTTAATTTTAATTTAAATAATAATATTTAAATAAATTAAAATATTTTTTGTCGGAAATAGATCCTTTACTCTTATAAGAGACCCATTTTACCGGAGAGGTGATTGGGGAAGCGAGGTACATATACCTCACAGGCGTCATTCCGATTTCACTTTTAACGATGAGATTTATTCTCGACAAGGGATTAGGAATCAAATCGGCTTGATATGCTTCCCGCAAGAAGCTCCCATTACTCTCTTCCCAAGAATCTTAATTTATCGTCACTTATCCACATTTCTCTTGCCCACATTTTCTGGAAAAATGAAAATTCAAGCAGTTTCGCCATATTATACTAGTAAATATATTAGATGAGCAATAACCAATATGAACATTTCATTTATATTATTTATTGATCTCTTCCTAATTGAAGTTTTAATTTGCGATAATTGGCAATTTTTAAATTAAATATTGTTTAATAAATACATTTTCACCAGTTTTTGGTAAATTTGCTAAGTTATCGAAATTTATATATGTTTTTAAAGCTTACAAACAACTGTGACGACAACGCTAAGAGTGACCATAACCATTGTGAACAGAAGATATTTGCCAATCAATGGTAAACTAATACTCGTTGCTGGTATAATCTCTGTCTAAATAATAATAAATATTTAATAATAATAAATAATAATAAATAAATATATAATTATATCGATAAGAATTTCAAAATTTATAGCTTTAAAATTGAAATTTGCAGCAATGGTTGATTTCCGAAATTTATTTTATTTCACTGATCAAACACAATGGATAAGAGAAATTATATCATGAATCTGTCATGAATCAGCCTTATTTAATATAATAATGATAGAAATAAGATTTTCATTTTAATTATCAATTATCAAATCACTAATTTCTCAATGAATATGGATTAATAACTTACGAGTAACAAGAAAAAAATTGTTAACGCGAATAAAATTGAAATACACAAAGCAATTTTTTCACCACTACGCGAAGGCAAATAAAATACGAGAATAGTTAAAAATGATATGCCAACGCATGGAAATACGAGATTCACCGTATAAAAAAGTGGTTTACGACGTAACTCCAAATAAAACTGAAAATTGTATTGGTTAAGATTTCATGATAAGTAAGCAGTTCAGCTCATCTATCTTCAAATGATATTCTGGCGAATATTTAGTGCGAGTGATTAAAAATCAGAAAATCCATTCAATGAGAAAAATTTTGCAAAATCCCTAATGTAACTAACCATAATATCTACATATGCATCATTCTTTGGGCAGCAAGAAGGATAAGTCTTACTACGACGCTTCGCTACTCGCGACATTATATCCCATTCCACTGATGGATAATAGTCTGACAGATCTGAAATAACATCTCGGTTATTTATAGAGAAATTTGATATGAGAATTCCTCACATAACTGAAAATTAAAAACTAAAAAAAATTTGTTTTTTTTTTGACTAAAATTGTACTGAAATATAAAAGTTATGCATTAAATTTATGCATTAATATTTAAATAATATTAAATAAATAGTATAAAGTAAGATTAAATAAGAACTAAATAAATAGTATAAAAAAGCAGTGCCTATTCCATCGTCAATAATTGTTATATTGTCGATTTCGCCGTATTTATTTGTCTCGAGTTCATAACGCTCCTTACCACCTAACAGCTTTAAATCCAGCAGATTGTCCGAATACGTCCATGATCCGAACTATAATTATGCTAAAGATCTCCTCATATTTATTATGGCTTGTTAAAATATGAGTCCATCAACTATTAAGGCATAACATGGTATTTTTACACAACAATCAATTAACAAGAGTGGATCTAGTTTTTCTGCTTTTGATCATTCCTAAGGTGAAATAGGATCTCATAGGATCACTTTATGACTTCGCTCGAAAAACAGCAGAATTAATAACAATAAGCATCGGTCTATGGTTGGTTAAATTATTCTTCGCCGCTTATCACAGAAATTAACTCATATCTCGCTAAATTTTAAGTCTTGTGATGAATGTTATCAATATTGAAAAGCGCTAATCAGGACTGATAATAAAGATTTTGAATATTCTAGCAGTGCAGTCTTAGCTTCAGTTAGAGTCATTTTCTCTTGCATCCAACTCGCTTAATTTGTATAGTGCAAGCTGTTAATTAAAGAAATTATTAAGATAATTAGAATCACCTTTAAATGACATTTTTGTTCATCAAATGGGAACCTGAAAAATTAAACTACTTTAAAGAGAATTTCCATTGAAAATTTTCTACCATTTATTAGTTTACATTTAGGTAGATTACCATAAAACATCAAAATACTAACCATCGGACATCCATTTGGCACATACTTTTAAATATTGCTGGAGGTTCCCATGTCACTACGCCATCATAACGTAATGTTGCTTTTGTACTGATTGTTATATTATAATTATTATCAGCACTGAAATTTTATTTCACATCCTATCATATCTTATCATATCACTTGAAATAACCTAAACACAATAATTTTATAGTTTTAATGAATATAAATAATCTGGGGAAAAATTTAATTCAATTTAAACGAAAACTACTTATTATAAAGCACAATGTCTGGAACCCATATCATCTCATATGGCACATAGAGCACATTAACACCGCCGTATCGCTTTGGATCCCAAGAAAGTTTTTCATCAATCCATTCTTGCCTTAGCCATACACTACATGTCATTATCTGATCAATTTCATGCTGAAAATTATACATAAATTTCATCGTATTTGCTTGAAAATACTTCTTATTGTCCATCTCATCTTATTTACTGATAACTGCTGCTAAAATTTATCACTTATTTCTATTATAAAATTTGGGATGGTCGATCGGATGGCATCGACGGAGATTCCTGTAATTCGTAGACAATCTATCTAATTTTAATATCGTGAACCACTTGCACTTTGGATTCAATCTCCTCGATTCTTTGGGATGTAGTCGCCATCAGAAGTATTTCATGAGAATGGCCTTGGAGATTTATTTATACTTTAGGTAATTTTATGGTATATCATTAATATATTAATCAGAGAAATCAAAAATGGTGAATGGCTACTGAATAAAATAAAATTACGTCTACTGAAAATATAACTGAAAAAATAAGTATTACAGTCTTATTGCACGTACACATCTTCAAAATTCTTTTTGTATTATGAGCTTTTTTATAAAAATACATATTGTTTTATAGGGATAGAATGGCTCAGTGGGTTGTTGCTCAATTGGAATCGTCGATGCTGAGGTTCGATTTTTTCCCGCGGGAGTACCTGTACAAAAATCGGGGCGGTGCTGGTGACTCATCTGTACTTCTATCGCCAAAGGACTCTCTGGCATATTACCCAATGCGACAAGCCAGTGGAGCGAGTTCAATTATTAATGGTGAGGACTATTAAAAAATATGTATTGAATTATATTTACTGATAACAGTGGCTAATATTTTGATAATTCAATATTCATATAAAAATAAATATAAATAAACTGTAGTTACCACATCAATGATTTGCGAAAGTCGTAATTTAAGTTTAATGGTTATTGGAATATGAGGATTTGATGACGGCCTACTAAGCCTGTTATATCGAATCATTAGATCATCATACAATCGTTTTGCATCTTCATTACCTAATGCAAAACTTATCAGCATCAGCGAAATCGTTAGCCATAAATTTGCAGATAAAATCATTCTTTCATAAAATCCATTGAGAAATGCATCAACTGAATAAAAAAAAATTAGCATTTTAATATTGTTTATACCAATACATATAAGAGTAATCGAATTGGGCATTTATGCATACATTTCAATCTTCAAAAGTAAAGTAGTCTCATTTATAATAATGGAGACAATTAAACCAGAAATTATGAAAGATGATAAGAACAATATCAACAATAGTGATATAGCCTATCAAAAAACCTACTTAAATTTTTTACTATTCTATTTGTATTTTATTAATACCAAATTTTTATATATTTTATTTCATATTTACATTTTGTTTTTTCATTTTTTACAGGATTCTTTGAATTAATGATGTCATATTTATGATAGCTAAGACTCGAAATTGAAAAGAGTTAAAAAAGTGATAAGCGTTTTTATCATTTCTGTGATTAGTTTAGTTAGGCTTTTAGTTCAGATCAGAAATTTTTTAACATTTTTGCCATGGAATCACTTGGTTAAGCTCATAAATAAGCCAATAGTGCCATCCGAATTGTTAAACATGTTCTAATAAAATAATCGAATCTATATTCTATATTGTTCAATATCGATAAAATTATATGGAAAGCGATTAATAATAAAGATTAACAATTTTTTTTAAAAAAAAATCTTCAAATAAATAAATAAAAATGATAAAAATTAAGGATCGATTTAGTTGAAGCAAATAAAAATCCTATAAATCCTTATTTTAATCCTATTTCTTTCACTAAATCGATTAATCAATAGAATTTCATTGAACAATTGTTCTTTATGCATTATTATTTGTAATAATAATCTTATATAAATAAAATAGAAAAAATTCTTATAAATTTTATTTTTGTAATTTTTATAATATTTTTATAATATAATTTTATAAATATCGTTCAAAGAGGAGAAATTCATTGGTTCAATTCGAGGACGATTAACTGCTTTTAGTTAATTAGCGGTGAGTATTTCCGATCGCCTCGTTGAATAAAGAGAATGAGATTGTCGTCAGTATGGGAGATCGATCTTCTTCGAATAATATTACACGAATTTTTTTAATAGCTATAAAAAAATTATTGAAAAAAGCTGAAAAAATGATACATGCATTTATTTAAGGAAGAAAACGATCGGGGAAAGGAATCGGGAAAAGTAAGGATTTTCGAAAAAAGAGAAAATTCAAAAATAACAAAAAGACCGAAGGATACATTTGCTGGAAGCTTCATTTAAAGCACGATCAAATTTCATTGGGCATTCATGCTTAAGAGAACTTACAAGGATTTATGTTTGTCATCATCTTTGTCGTTCACCACTTCGTACCGTTATTTTATATTAAGTATCTCATTTCCCATCCCCCATTGACTTCTAAGTATAAGCAAGCGCTCCTGCTTACTAGCTCTTTTAAAAGCGTATTCAGTAATCGTCCATGCTTTATTTGTCACATGGTTTCGCGATCTATCTTTTTTTAGCAGGTTAGCGTCAGGTTATCCTGTGTTGGCCCTGTGCTGCAAAATTTGATACTCCTGTTAACTCGAGTTCTTTTAAAAAACTTGACTATGAGATTCATTACAACTATAAGATTAGTTCGAGAATACCATTATATAATACGTAAACCATTGCTTCTGCCATTATTACCATATTTTCTTTACGTTCAACAAAATTTATTAAAGTCTATTGGGGGATAGAATAGTTTAGTGAATTGTTGCTCAATTCAGAGCGCCGCTACTAAGGTTCTATTCCCCTAAGGCTACTAAGGTAAGAGTAAACTTGTCCAAAAATCAAGGTGATGCTTTCGACTCATCTTTAAAAAGATTTTCTATATTTGTTGAGTGTAGCAAGCCAAGGGACTGAGTTTAATTAGTAATAGTGAGCATTCTTTAAAAAAAAAGTTCCCTGGAAACTTAATATTAGTGATCGCTCATCATTTAGCTGCAGTACCGTGTCACAAATCTAAACCCATTATTTCTCTTAGCAACCTCCATTGTTATTTTATCTCTTATAATTCTCTTTCTGACATTTATTTACGGCAACTTTAAATTTTTTTGGGGAAACAGTAGAGTGTCACTGTAGAGTCCGATCTAAATTGATAGTAAAATTGGGCTTAAGGGCTAATAAGGGAAGTTTTAGAGAATATTTAGAGAATATAAAAAGGCTCGCGAAAGTTAAAGTAGTATGACAATAACGAATTCCGAGAGCATTGCAGCAAAAAGAACATAACTGGTTCTTTAGAAGTTTTTGTAGTTCGAAATATTTTGACACCCCAAAAACTTGGAATTTTTTTAATCGAATGCATCCAAATCCAAATGAAAGCCTTTTTGTTTTTCAAAAGTTTTTATTTTTTTATCCTAAACTTTGCGAGTCTAATTTTTTATTACAAGTACCAACTAATAAAAATATTTCATAGATCCGGAACATATTTTTGTTCTCCACTGAAGAATTTCAAATGGAGTCCTAACAATTACGGTTGAGCGATGCAATGGTGCAGCGGTGCGAAGAGACTATGCCTTGCAAAATCAAAGAGATTAATTCATATGCGAACACATAGCTGGTTCTCTAAAGATGCATCGATTATTGCCCATCGTTAACCAAATTTTTGCGGTTTCTAAATTTTTGATTCATATGATTGCATAGTGATATATTCTTATATTCTTCTCGAATAAAACTAGAATGGCGTAAAGTGAAAATGGGTTGTTGATTATATTTCAGACGAAATGCTGAAAATCAGAGTAACCGTTAAAAATCGATGGTACTGACGACCTATTCGTGCTTCTATTGCAGATCCCATGGCATAACCAATTTGTTCGATCAAATTTGTCTGGTCCAATAGACAAGCCATCTATTATATATGTGCTCTCATAAAAAAAAAAAATTATTCGGCTCTAATAAATTTGATTATAGCAAAGCTATATTTATTTTATAATAAAACCATAGGTAAACCACAGTTCATGGTTCATGGAATTTTTCGAATCAATCTTAAAAAATTATGCATTATTCCGGATAATCTCATTAAATCCAATTAAATTTAAATGATTTTCTCTTATTAAAATTTTTTTAGAAATTGGCTTATAATATTATTATTTTTTCCATATTTAACTATCCAAGTGATTAATAGCAAAGATAAAATTGACAGTCTTAAAATTCCTTTTTTTCGACCTAAATTTTTAAAGGCAAACAATACGCTCAGATGAACTGCCAGAAATCCAAGTTAGAATTCAATTCAATTTACGAAAACCTCCTTCTTCGAAATTCATTATCAGAATCAACTTGATAAATAAAATATTCTTGAAGTAATAAATGGGAAAAAAAAAGAAAAAATTTCTTCTTTCGAATAAATATAATATAATATAACATGTAAGCAATTAAATAAATAATAAAAATAGAGAAAAAATAATAATAAATAATAATAAAATAATATAATAATAAAAATAATAAAAATAATAATAATATCACAGAGTGTTTAAATAAGATATTTTACATGAACGAAACAACGTAAAGATTACTAGAAATTTTTCAAAAGTCATTTCAATTAATGAAAATTAGCTTGAGAAAATTTATTTTAATATTTTTATTAAAAATATGTGTGAAGTTAAATAATTTAAATTAAGAAAGATCCATTCGTAGAAATCTCCGTTTTTTTTCAGGAATAAAATCTATTTTATTATATGAATCGAGATTTCGAGATGAGATTTTTATTCATTGATTTTAAATATATTTATAAGATAATTTTCTATTTTTATTCGATATTTAAAGTTTAAAGTTACTCAAAATTACATCAAAATCCGACAAAAAATATTGTCAATTATGTTTCGTTATATTATCTTGAAATATTTGAATCGATTTTTTGATAAGAAAGCAGATTAAACTAAGAGATAAGTTTCGGTATTTGATTTTTTGCTAGCTCATTTCTGGTTTTTTAAGTCTTTGATCGTGAGGGAGAGAGAGAAATTAATTGCGGTGTATCAATTAAGACTCGGTTTGGTTCAAAGTGGCTCAATTATTATGGTTTATATTTATTTATATCTCTAGTTTAAGGCTCTATCAATGGGGTCCCGCATCCTAGCAATTAGTAGAATCACTCAAACGGAGAATTATGAGCACTGTCAAGGGAAGAAAAGAAAAGAATTGAAGGATAACGAAATTAATGAAGAAAATAAAAAGCATTTTCAATTTTTTTTTTAATAATTGAGAAATTTGTTGAAGAAACTTTTCTAGCTTATAGCTTTGATTAAAATATTCCTTAGAATAGATTTGAAATAGATTTTGCAAGTTCCACACGTTACATAGATTTTTTGCGGGCTCATTTATTAATAAAATGGAACTTTAGAGGGTTTTTTTACTTTTCGCTTTTATTTTGATATATTGAATAATTTAGTCGAAAATCGATGCCTTAACAAATTTAATTTTTTTTTAAATTTCTATTGGGACTTCATCAAAAATTTTGATCACTTATAACTTAGAGAATATCCCTTCGATTTAGGTTGGCTCCACTACATTGTAGCGCAAAATAAATTTTGCCAATGAGCCACACGGCGATATAAATGAGTTGCTACATCTGAAATACGTTTTGCTCCTTTCTGTTTCTTTTTCTTAGGCTGGCTCCAACGGCTAAAAGAGTAAGACGCTTCCAAGCGACGCGGTCTGATGCCATCGTCGAAGCCATTCTATTTTCCATCTTCTAATTCCATATATTGCTGGTCCACCTATGCTTTCAAAATTTTCTTGACCGTATCAGTCCAGGTCTTGATTGACCCACCTCGCTTTTGACGCCAACCATCACATGATTTAACAAGTAACGAAATATGCGTCAACTCATGTGGTGGACGACGGAAAACATACCCTAACCAGCAAAGGTGACGCCCTGTATTAACATTATTAATGCAAATTGTATTTGAATGAAGATGGATGCGATCATGTGATATTTTATCCGCTCGACGGAAAATATATTTTAGACATGAGTGGTTAAAAGCAGATAACTTAATATTCTACACTCTCATTGGCCATGTCTCAAAGCCATAAAGCAATATCGAATAAATTACGGTTGT